GGTAGAACATGGTGGCGTCGTATGGACGTGTTACACTTTACGGAAACGGCTGCGCGTCGTTTCTGGTACCGTGTCCGCCCCTGCAATGGTCCTGCCTGCTGTAGACGGACCCAACGATTTTGCTATACCTTCAACCTCGTCCGCAGGCCTGGGGTCTGGAGCCAATGGAGATGCCTCCGTATCCTCAACACATCCGGACGAACTGCAAGATTATTTCGGGAGCACCATCCCTACAATTCCTCTGGGAGAACCAACGCCTCCCATCTCCGCGCCTCAGCCTGAACCAAAGTACAAGAAGTTTGTCGACAAAGGCAATAGCATGATTCCAAGACCGTCCCAAATAGATACAACGTCGGTAGAAGATTCCTCTTCCTTTGGGAATGAGTGCGTATTGCGAGCTCACACTGCAGGCGACGTTGACCCGTTCTACAGAGAAAGTAACGCTCATCGGAATGAACACCATGACATGGGCTTCTTTGACTGGACCAGACTTGCTATATCGCCCTCTCTTCCTAGACATATCCAATTTGCCCGCTCAATTGACTGGGCGTCTACACCTTTGGGTCCAATCGAATACTGGTCCAACGACCTTCGTGCAATGTGTAATCTCATAATGTGAGTTGACCCAGTTGGGTGCGGCATACTTCACCTCAAATTCTAATGGCGATCAGGGCGAGCCCTCACCCTGCAGCTATGTACTGGGGAGAAGAGCTTGTGGCTATCTACAATGAAGCCTATATTGGTAAGTCCAGGCGTACTACGATGTTGACATCAATTAACATCTCGATTAGGGCTCGCAGGGCAAAAGCATCCTGCTCTCATGGGTCAAAGTTATAAAGTAGCTTGGGCAGAAATCTGGGATGAGGTCAAGGGAGTATTTGCAAACGCTCGTATCACAGGGCAAGCAACCATGAAGGACGACGACTGCTTGTTTATGAAACGCAGCGGCTTCCTTGAAGAAACGTACTTCTCGTGGTCCATCATCCCAATGGTCGGCGAAGACGGCACGGTCATGGGTCTTTACAACCCAGCTTTCGAAAAGACACGGCGGAAGATTGCGGAAAGGCGAATGCTCACTCTCCGCGAAGTCGGCGAACGGACCGCCACCGCTCGGGAAGTGAAGGGTTTCTGGGATCAAGTGCTATTAGCACTCGCCGAAAACGAGTTCGATACCCCGGTAGTTATGCTCTACAGCGTAAACGATGAGAATGATAGTGACTCGTCTTCCTTGCAATCCAGCAGCTTGCTTGGCTCGAAACAGTGTTTCCTCGAGGGCTCGCTCGGTGTGCCAACCGGCCATCAAGCTGCCCCTGACCACATTGATTTGAAAGAAGGACAAGAAGGATTTGGTCCGGTTTTCCGCGAAGTCATGAAGACCGACAAGCCCGTGGTTGTTAGCATCGGATCGGGCGACCTGCCACACGCCATGATGGACGGACTCGAATGGCGAGGTTTTGGAGACCCCTGCCGAGACGTGGTGATCTGCCCGATCCATCCCACGACAGGTGAAAACATACTTGGCTTCTTGGTCATGGGCATAAATCCGCGAAGGCCTTACGACGACGATTACAACCTCTTCATCCAGCTATTGAGTCGCCAACTTGCGACCTCTCTAGCTTCCGTCGTTTTGTTCGAGGAAGAAATTCGAAGGGGGCAGAGGGCAGCCCGGCTCGCAGCGGAAGATCGTTACAATCTCTCTACACAGCTTGCTGCACGTACACAAGAAGCCAGGGAAAGCGAGACGAGATTTACGCGGATGGCTGAATTGTCTCCTGCAGGTCTCTTCATTGCTGACCACGTTGGGCGCATAACCTACTGCAACGACACGTGGTATGAGATTGCGCGAGTGCCAAGAGAGCCGGAGATGACCGACAGATGGATCGACTATGTCAAAGACGAGGATCAAAACCTAATTCTTGCGCACTGGAAGGAACTGGTCAACAATACCACTCCTATCAACATCGAGTTCCGATTTAAAGCGCCTTGGGAGGACCGCAACAGGAACAAAAGTGAAACGTGGGTCTTGTTCCAGGCTTACCCCGAGAAAGATGAGGATGGGCAATTGAAGAGTGTTTTCGGAAGTATCACAAACATTTCTCCACAGAAGTGGGCCGAGGGGTTTCAAAAGAGGAAAATGGAGGAAGCCGTTGAGCTCAAGCGACAGCAGGAGAACTTTATCGACATTACGTCGCACGAGATGAGAAGTGTGATACTTCCGTGTACGAAAGTTCTTCTTATACTGACTACAATTTAGATCCCCTCTCTGCTATCCTACAATGTGCCGACGAGATTAGCACCATCCTGGGCGATTTCAGAGCTTCAGGCTCCAACGTCATTGATGAGACTGTTGTGGCCGATTCGATAGACGCGGCGCAGACGATTGCTTTGTGCGCACAGCATCAGAAGCGCATTGTAGACGACGTCTTGACACTATCGAAGCTCGACAGCGCAATGCTGATGGTACGAACATGACGTTCCAAATTCGCGACATCTTTGCTAACGAGTGCGTCAGGTAACACCGGTCGACGCTCAACCACTACAAGTCGTACAGCGCGCCCTGAAGATGTTCGAAGGAGAAGTGCAAACTGCTGGGATTCAGATGGAGTTTGTCCTTACCGACTCGTTCACCAAATTAGGTGTCGATTGGGTAAAGATTGACCCGTCTCGAGTTCTCCAAGTTCTCATCAATCTCACCACCAACGCGATCAAATTCACTACCACCGAGGAGATCAGGACCATCAAAGTCGTATTATCAGCATCGAGAGACCGACCCTCAGCGAGCGATCATCCCACCGTTAGCTACTTCCCCATGCGAGCCAAGAGGACCGACCAAACTTGCGGTCCGGACTGGGGCGATGGTGAAGAGATCTATCTGGAATTTGCGGTGCGAGATACAGGCCGAGGTCTTACGCCGGAAGAAAAGAAGCTTCTCTTCCAACGCTTTTCCCAAGCAAGCCCTCGAACGCACGTCCAATACGGCGGCTCAGGCCTTGGTCTATTCATTTCCCGCGAACTGACTGAACTCCAGGGTGGTGAGATTGGCGTATCTTCTGAAGCAGGTAAAGGCAGCACGTTTGCCTTTTACGTCAAGTGTCGGAGAAGCAGCGAGCCACAAGAAGCTCTCGAGGTTCTTCCAACGCCATCCATGTCCAGGAAAGTTTCGAATGCGAAGGACAAGGGCAAGAGGGAGTTGCCCGCGCCGTCCAAGATTGCGACTAAGATAAAAGACTTTGCGACCATGCCTGCCAAAGATAGCGTTGCCTCAAAGGCGAAGCCAAAGAGGAGAGAACTCAAGGTTTTGATCGTAGAGGATAACCTTGGTACGTTTGAGGTTTTCCCTGCCGATCTGCTCCCACTAACACATTACAGTGAACCAAAAAGTACTTCAACGGCAGCTTCATAATCACGGCATCCAAACGACCGTCGCGAACCACGGCGGCGAAGCGCTCGAAGCGCTCAAGGCGTCTACCTTTTGGGCCGAACCCCAGCAATCTCCTTTGGCAGAAATATCGGTAGTGCTCATGGACAAAGAAATGCCAGTCATGGACGGTCTACAATGCACCTCTCAAATCCGCTCTCTCGAACAGCAAGGCAAACTCAAGAGGCACGTTCCGATCATCGCAGTCACTGCAAACGCACGCAGCGAACAAATTGCAACATTGCTGGCAGCAGGCATGGACGACGTCGTCAGCAAGCCCTTTAGGATCGGCGAGCTGATCCCCAAAATCGAAGAGCTAGCAAGCAAGTTTGGTAACAAGAAAATACCAGACGAAGTCTCACTCGGCATTCCTATCGGGCCGAGCGAGAAGCCGTATGGCGTATGAAAGAGATGCGTTACGATGCAAGTAATTCGGATGATGAAAAGAACGGTCATCTCAAGCACTATGGTCATGACGGCGGGCATGCGTACATTCATGGCGCTAAGGAGTCAAATTTGCATGAAGCGGTATTACTAACATGTGCTTTGGCATCAGTACGTCTGTTGTCTTTGTTTACTCTTACGGTTTGGGTCCATTGGTAAATATGCATATGGAATATACCCCAGGGAGGTTCAGGGCGTTGGTAAACGGATGGTATATACGCATGTCAACTAGATAGTAAGTGCAATGGATAATGAATACTAGGTGTTTGAATCTGTGATTGAGGGACGTGACCATGGGAGTTTGAGGGCTAATGTAAGCATGCGTAGCATGAGCCACTGGATTGCTACGACTAAGCTGCTTACCAGCTCACAGCTAACTCAACACAATAGTTCCACTCTCTACCTAGGTCCCCATCCTCACCTACTGCCACCCATGTATGGTAGCCTATACCTATCCCACTGACCTCCACTACCTCTATACCAGTGATCTGTACCTCGGTTTATACTGCTATCTAGGTGATATTGGCCCTGATCACCAAAACATGTAGAGCGCATGCTTGGTATACGGCAGCAGCCATAAGCATCGGGCTGTTCAATGGGGGCGAGATCGAGGCCCCCAATGGGTAGGTCATGTCGGAGTGTAACGCCGTATGGTTGATTCAACCTTTCGCCTTGTGGCGGATAGTAACCTGAGGGCATGGTTTGTTTGGCGTAAGTGCTTGTAGAGAACTCTCAAGGATGGCAGTGAGAGGCGAGGCGGTACAATGATATGTAGGTAGTTTAACAATGGGAAAATATTGCTTCTGCTAGCGTAGATACTTGGGTTGAGCGTGTGGTATGACTTTCCTGTATGCTGCGTATTGTTATTGGTGAGCATGTAGTTGCGTGTAGCGGTGGAGACTTTGTACTTTGGAGCTGTGATTGAACCTGCACTTGATGGGTCAGAGTGCTTGATAAAGGGTAAAGGCAGTGAACTCTATCATGTTGAAGGGACAGCAACAGGCACGCATACTCAGACTCCGCGACGGCGTATCGAAGAATGTGTAGCTATTCTCAACGTTTGGTTGCATACATGTGCTTCTCTTTCCATCCTTTTTTCGTCTTGTTCACAGATGCCGCAAAGAGTGCTTTGTACCACCTATCGTTCACTCTCCGCATTCATCCATTTCTCCTCCTTCTCCCGCATCAAAGCACTGTCGCAGTCGTTAAGACCCCTCGTCAATGCTTTACGGTGCGATTGACTCATTGATGATGAATTTGCATCCTCTGTGAGCGCCTTCTTAAAGTAGTCCCCCATATGAAGAAGCTCAGCACTCTGCCAACTATCATGAAAGAGCCTCTCTCCTTGCCATGGCGGTCGCCGTGCGCGAAAGGCCATGTCTTTTACTTTCCTCAAGTTAGCTTTCTTGTCTTGCTCAGCGGCAGCTTCTCCAGCTCTCTCAGTAAGCACCTCGTCTTTCTTCTCGGATTCCATGTCCAAACCCGCAAACTCCTTTTGGAGCCGATCAACAGTCGCCCAAGAGGTCTTGGAATGACTAGTATCGTCTTTCTCGTAGCCCTCTGGACTCGCCCAGCGTGAGGGCGCATAGAAACGGGAGCTTCGACTGTAAGAGGGGCGTTTACGGCTCCGCTCCATGATTGTGTGCTCATGGTGTGACATCGTCGTGGCTGGAGTGTGATCGCAAGGGAGAACAGTGGCTTGCATGTCAATGCTGACCGATTTGCGAGTGTGAGAATCAGTCTGTTGGAAAGAATCAGCTGCTCCGTTAGCCAAACACAGCAAAGGGGATATCCTTACTAGTGTCATGTCCCTTTTGAGTAAGCTCTTTGACTTGTTCATGGCTTTTGCGACAGCTGCTGTAGTGGCGCATCTGCCGTCTTTCACGAGCGTGTCGAAACGGTTCCTAGGTGTCGAACTCGGATCTGCTAGCCTATTGTTGACTCCCTCCATCTCTTTCAGAGTCACCTGGTCGGCATCCAGCGGTCCGTGCTCGTCTGGGAACGAATTTTCGATCGGTTGAGACCTCCTCTTCCACATACGTTTAACCGTCTCCCAACTGCCCTCAGAATCTTCCCCCTCCTTGGTTGTAGGCTCCGAAACAGTCTGCGTGATCTGCGATCGTGATATCAATTCTGTCTCATTGGGAGTGAAATCTTCCAGATACCGACAGCCAGGCACCTTCCAGCATTCGTCTCTTGCCAGTTCCCAGAGATACAGCGCCTCGTCGACTCCCCACTCCTCTGCCATGTCGGATTGTTCATCTCGTAACTTCTCCAGGGTCGCAACGAGTCTCCAACAATCGAGTTTTGCCCTCTTCCACCGACTCGTGCAATCTTTGTGTGACATCCAACTTTGGTCATCGACACCATTCGTACGCAGCTCTGGCCCTGCCTTTGAGGATTCGAAGATACCACCGCGGCTAGCTAATGCAGATTTCGCGGCTCTTACTTCACTGATGCGAGCCTCTGTGGTGCAGACTGCGCAGACGGAAAATGCTGACTCGAAGATAAGATTCGGTGCATAAGCATAGTTGTGCTGGCATGGTTGTTGCATCGAAGCTAGTGTCGGAAACTGCGAGGCCATGTCGACGCGATTGGGAGCTGTGTGTCCTGGCAGTAATCCTAGGTCTGGCCAGTAAGTAAATTGTAGTACTTCGCGCGGATTCGATTGCGACCAGCGGTTTAGGAGCGAGAGTTGATTGTCGCCTAACGAGTTGTACCGACCCAAAAGTATGCGAAGGACATTCGTTCGTGAATAGGCAACTAAAGGTGTTCAAAACCACGTCATTAGAGAAAAGCTATATATCTGTATCGGAGGTGAATAAAGAAAACAGCGAAGAAAGAATCGTAGTTGTGAGATCTGTCGCAGCCGAAATGACATAGTAGGGTCCGACGGTCACTGTGAGCTGGCTGGGCCGAGCTTCTCCCCATTCACTCATCGCCAGGGTCCACTCTGTGCCATCGAGGACATATGGTCTCTAACGTTGCAGATCCGATTGCTCGCTGTTCCTGCCCTCTATAGGCTTCTGAGGGGCGATGTTCAGAGTGGCCAGAGTCGAGAGGTGTGGATTCAGATACACTGCGAGAGCGGCTGCCACATTGTGAACAGCACAATGCGACAATGTCTAACCTGGTCCGTCCGGTATGATTGTTGAACGCGTAACGCGCTCAGCCTGAACGGATATTGTGTTAATGGCGATTTTGATAGAGGCATCCGCGAACATGACGCGACAGGTCCGGGTTACGTGTTGGGGCGTCTGCGATGCGATGCCTCGCCATAACGCTTGCATTGCGATTGTCCCGCATAGTTGACAGGATACCCGGAGGCCTTGTCAGTCAGCCTGTCATCGCGAGACAGCTAGCGTATATATTGCTCAGTGCACTATGAGCTTAGTGCCGCGCATTGTGCTCATTCCTCAAGGTGCTGAAGAAACATGCTCAATCTGTCACTGATTAATCCCGAGCGGGGGCCGCCTTTCTCTGCCTCCACCATGGCTGTTGTTTGAAGGCAGGGTACTGCCGTACAGTGTTCCGTCGACGTTTTCAGCGACCTTCAATCAGATACGATGAGCATAGCATGGACTGTTGATGGGTGTTGAGTTCGGACGGGCCGGCAAAAGAGCGATGACGTTTACTGCTTGGCGCTAACGTACGATGAGCTCCGTCGTTAGCACCTGCACCCGGATAACGCTTCTTCTTCCAAACACCTCAATTCTGTACTCATTCCCCTTCTCATCATACCAATTCGTCTTGCCATGTTTGCTAGACAGGTATTCCGCCCAGCCAGGACGCTGCAACAGGTATGCGCTCACATTTCCGTCAGATTTGAGATTACAAATCGCCCAATCTCAGTTTTGGAGGTTGACAGAAAATAGCAAGTCCGCCGTTACGCATCCGAGGCGCCCAAGAGCGGCAACAATGGCATTCTCTACACGGGTATCGGCGCTGCTGGTCTCGCTGGTGCCTACCTGTACATGAGGGGCGGCGACGCGCCGTCAGGGCAGAAAGGCAATGCGCCGCCCTCAGAAGAGGCCAACAAGATCCCCGCTTCCACCGGCTCCGTCAAGAAAGCCTTCACTGGAGGCGACCAGGGCTTTGTGTCGCTTGCGCTGGAGAACATCGAAGTCGTCAACCACAACACCAAGAAGCTCCGCTTCAAGCTGCCGGAGGAGGACATGGAGAGCGGATTGCCTGTCGCATGTATGTCTATCGGCAGAATATCCCAATCACCGCACATGCTGACTGAATACAGCGGCTGTTATTACCAAGTACAAGGGCCCCGAGATGCAGAAGCCAGTTATCCGACCCTACACCCCGATTAGCGACGTGGACCAGAAGGGCTCCGTCGACTTCATCATCAAGGCCTACCCCAACGGCCCCATGTCTCAGCACATGCACAACATGGAGCCAGGCCAACGGCTAGACATCAAGGGTCCCATCCCCAAGTTCCAATGGAAGGTACGACCCTCCTCGATATCTCAGTCGTGAAACAAGCACTAACATAGGTTTTCCTTTCACAGCCCAACATGCACGAGCACATTGCCCTAATCGCTGGTGGCACCGGTATCACACCCATGTGGCAAACCGCACGACACATCTTCCGCAACCCCGAGGACAAGACCAAGGTTACGCTCATCTACGGCAACGTTTCCGAAGAGGACATACTGTTGAAGCGCGAGTGGGAGGAGTTGGAGAACACATACCCCCAGCGCTTCCGCGCTTTCTACGTTCTGGACAACCCGCCTGAATCATGGCAAGGCGGCAAGGGACACGTTACCAAGGAGCTCTTGAAGACTGTTTTGCCTGAGCCCAAGGAAGGCGACAAGATCAAGCTGTTCGTATGTGGACCACCAGGCATGTACAAGGCTATCAGCGGAGGCAAGAAGAGCCCGTCCGACCAGGGCGAGCTTGACGGCATGTTGAAGGAGCTTGGCTACAGCAAGGACCAGGTCTACAAGTTCTAAACGTATGTAAATATAGAAGTGTACGATACCTGATAGTCTCTACCATTAAATGTATTTGCAAGAGCGAATGTAGACATATAGAGACGCGACTTTCACTATCCCCGGCCCAACATCTGCTTCCATATAATATCGCGGAGACGGCGAACAGCACTATGGCCAAATCTATCCGTATCACGAATACGCTCACCATAAAGGGGAGAAAGTCGTTCTCATCGAACCTTGATGCGTCAGCTTAGCTGACTATAGCATCAGTCGGTCTATTTTCGCTTACCAATGATTGGGTCGGCGCCAGCAACCGTGGGTACCTGACCTGACCAAATCATGACGTTTGGAAACAATTTCACACGAAGGATGTCTTGCAGACGTAAACAACGCCTGCTGCCGACATTGCCGTGCAACCTGAACCTGAACAAACTTTTGTTGTTGCGTAGGCGCCCATTGGTCCAATTCATTGACGACTTGTACCTGTATCACGACTTCTACCCGTCCCAGAACAAGTCTTACCAAGCATTACTAGCCTTGTATCACCCAGGTGACAGGAGCTGCGAGATGGGTGTCACAGTATCCCATACAGCCTTCTCCCCGCTATCTATGGTATCGACAATCATCGGCTTCATTTCCTTCACCTTTACGCTCGCGACCTTACTCAAAGTCTCCTGGTCAAACCTAGCAACCTTTAACGCCGCGCCAGAAGAGATCAAAGACACCTTATCAAGTCTGAAGCAAGGACTATTGGAGGAGAGAAGGCATTTGAGAAGAGTGAGAAAGAGACTGAGGAACGTAAGGAGAGATCAAAGCCACGGCCCTAGCGCACGAAGTGATTCCGAAGAATACGACCGTGGGGAAGAAGGTCGAAGAAGAAGCAGACGAGGGAAGGGAGGCCACAAAAGGAGGACAATGCACTTCGACCGCGATATGCAGAGTATGCGATCAAGCGGCGAAGCAGAAGCATTAAGCGTGATGCGTGTCACCATCCGCGACCTCATCCAAAAGTTCCGAGACCTCGAGTATCCCTTTCTCAAACCGGAATACCAGTCCCAGGACTCAGCGCAATGGTCCACTCAATCTTCGCCTTATCCATCTGAGAGATCGCCATATGCAGCGCAATACTACCCGCACTCCGATGATGATGATGATGATTCTCCCTCAGCTGGTCACATGCGCAAGAGCAACCGTCTGGGTCTGGAATACGCCAACTGCGATCTTCAACGTCGCTGGCTATGGGTGCGCCGGAAGGCCGATGTGATCAATCTTAGTACAGTGCTAAGTAGAGTAGAGGGTAGACGGACGGCGCATGAAGTGGGCGAAGTGTTCAGTATGGTGTCGAATATCGGCAGAGATGTTGAAGATTTGAGAGGGGTACTTGAAGGGGTGGAGGCTAGATTGAATAGGGTTGTGGGGATAAGACGCGTAGATTAACATAAGAGAAGATCGGAAGGGACTGTGTTGGAGAGATAAGATATGCATGGTGGATGAACCATGGCAGACATATTCGCTTCAAGCGACCCGTCCCATGCGGGTTTCGCGCACATTATGACACCTACACCGCCTATGAACAACTGATATCCTCCATAAGACATTCGCCTTCCCTCGAATTTTCAATTACTGAAGCCTCGGAATACAACTTCAAGCATCAAGAAAATTTAGCCAAGCCATCGCCATGGACGATGCCCAGAGTCCTCCACCACCCTACCCATCGACTCTCAGTCATTCATCTCACCATGTCACTCCTACTCCCAGAACTCCATACTCCAACACCCGACGGGATAACAGGAGAAGTGCCATTCGCGTAGCATTCTGGCCCGCACGCGAAGGCGGTGGACCAAACGACCATGTGGTATACTCTCAAGAAGACTCCCAATTACAGGAGGGACATGGTGACGACGATTCTATAGAAGAGGATGAGCTTTTAGAAGGCGAGCGCTCAGATGGTGGTGTACGTCTTCCAAACGCATACATCGAGAATAACGAAGACGCACGCGGTGTCGAGATCGAAAGACGAAACGGCCTTGAGCCGCACGGCACCCTTGACAAGACGATTGAACTCAGAGAAGGCGAGACTGACATTCTACGCGTTGAAAACGGAACATCACCGGCTAGACAACCACATCCATTCGCACTATGTGCTCGCACGCTACTGAAGTTGCCTTGTCGCCAAAAGAAACGAACCTGGTCAATGTGCATCAGACACCTTCTCAACATGAACTCCGGTTTCTGTCCCGGCCCTGTCGCTATATGTCGTGCCGAAACCAAGCCTCTCTACTCGACTCAAGAAGATCAACACAAGTATCCACACTGCGGTATTTCGGTCAGGTTATCTTACCCCCAACTATACTATCAAGGTTGGCCGACATACCAAGGACGTTCATGTTCCTTTATACTTAAATCACATCTCCCAGATAGCGCAAACTACGGGGCTGGAAGGCGTGGGTGTCTGATTAGTTGGGAGTACGAGTGTGTATGGGCTGGAGCCACGGACGATGATGAATGGGGAAAGCACATGAGACGCCACTTTGAAGATGAGGGGTACTGGGTTTGTGAGATTGAAAACAACAAAAGATACATGATGGATAAAGGGGATTGTAAGGCAAGGAAGTGCAAGGCGGTGCATAGCTGAGGTGGGGTCATATTGCACCACTTTATCAAGAGAGATCATGAAGGGAAGGGGCATGTCACTAGGGGAGGCTGGATTGCTTGTCGCATATATACGTTTAAATCTTAACAAGTAAGCAATTGCTAAGGCAATGTATGCTTTTACCTGAATAATATTTTCAAGCATGCGACACAAATTCTAGCCACTCCTAGTAATGCTTTGGCATATATAACGTTACAAGTCTAGTCGTCAAACGCTAATTTATACCGTTATAGATGCTGGATCAAGATTTTCTTCGCGTCTTGTCTATTCATATACAGTGTGATATCGTTTTACAAAGACTCCAATACATATCTTCAAGGGTACCAACGACTGAAATCACTATACAACCGCCTATAACATGTTTGCTGCACATCTAACGCTCTTCACTCACAGCGCAGCATATGATCGTAAAAACCTCTATTGTTCTCGAACCTCGTTTCTACGGTGAGTATGTATACATATATAAGTGTGTCGTTCGTTCTTCCCTGGGCTTCTCTCTCGTGGCCTTCATCAGTGCTCAGTACCTTTGGTTCTCCTCGACTCATGACTTGAGTCTTGCGAGTCTGCTACAAAGTCGCTCGAGTTCGCTCCAGGGGCCAAGTACTCCAAGCCGAAGAGACACGTTGTTGGAGATCAAGTAAGCATGATTCGAATAGCTAAAAAATCTTTATAGCTCCAGTGAATATCGCGACGTGTCTTGACGCACGAAGAACATTGTGTCAAGCACTGTTCGAAGCTGCCCTCGGTGATTTCAATGCGAGACATAGAGAGCTGTTAGCATACACGTCGCTGCGTCATACCTTCTATCACAACGGTCACAATCCTCTCCTATTTTGCGGTATTGAAATGAAGACAGGTGCATAAAGCATCGCAGCGATACTTCTCCCACTTGCCTATACCATAACCCACAATACACTCCATACCAGCGCAGCATAGCAAAGCAAGCAATCATACAACTCACTCGATTAACCAAAGCCTCACACCCCAAACCAAAAGCCAACTATCCATAACCCATATAAAACTGACATTCGGCCTCAGCTCACACACCACGCGACCGAAAATGCCCTTTAATCCTTCTTCAAACCGATTCGACTATCGAAGCGACAGACTATTTGAATTACCAAGGAACGGCTTCAGAATCCCTCCCATAATGCCAGGCGGCGGGGAAGATCGCAGATATTATACTAGTGACCCGCAGCAGAGACAATTACCCAGCGTAGCCCCACAGGGCCAAATATGGGGTAGGACTTATTGGGGTGGGCCCAAGTATTGGAATTGATGAATTAGTGGATCGTGGGGAGACAGGAAAAAGAGAAAGAAATGAGTATTGGACGTATGTTCAATCAAGGAGAGTGCATATAACTTAGCTTGAATGAATTTATACATAATCTCCAGATATATACCTTTTCCTGCTATCAATCACTTGTTTCTGTCTTACCTATATGTCGTGGCCTGTCTTCTTTGGAAGTTGGCTGTTCATTTCATAGTTGCCAGCTTTCTTGCCAAAGCTCATCTTTGCTGCCAGACATTTGCCGGTGTTGTACGAGTGTTGTACGAAGACACCACAAACAACGTCAGGTCATACGCGTCCCAATATCACTCAGCAAACTACGCGCGTTCCTTTCCTTAACTTCGGAGTCCATTGAGGTCCCTTTGCAGCTGCTCAGGCAGCTGAGACAAGGCGAAACCTCACCGGCCAAGTTCCCAAGACATCTCCTGTCTCCTGCTCACTGCATCGGCGCGTAACAAAGACGAATGCGATGATATGGCCCAATATACAGCCGTTAATGTATCCGTACGGACCGCCTCAGTCTGAAAGAGGCACTCTCCGCGTTAGCGGAAGCGGAGAAGGGCAATGACGTCGTTGAGGAAAAAACCGTCGAGAAAATCGTTCGGTAGAAAACCCATCGCAGGGTCTTTCCGCCTAGACCGCAAAAGATCGCAAGGCCCATGAATCCCTGCTCATGCCGCCTCCACACCTTCCAAATCACAGTCCAGTTCACAATACGAGCAAATGCGAGCCAGAAAGCATTCTACATCCTGCTCCAGATCAACAACATCACAAGCACACTGCCACGGCACCATGCATTCGCAATCACACCCTCACGCGCATAATACCCACACCACCCACCGCCACAGCTAGCGGTAATAATCGGCAGCGGCCGGTTACAGCAACGCCAAGAAGACCCTTTGTGGCTAAAGGCCCCCAAGCGGCATTTTAGCAGCGAGCTTGGCAATAAGCTTAAGAAGTTGTGCATGTGGCTCGTGATGCCGTGCGGATTTCTTGGTCGCCCTAGAGTGGGCCAGAGTGTCCTGCGGGAAAACGGGTCTGCGCAGGGAGGTACGTCATTGATGGATTGCTGCTTGTTGAATTGCGACGGAAGGAATGGGGAAGGTGGAGGATGAGTTAAGGATAGTTCTAACTTGAAAGAGTTGAGGGCGGGGACGCAATGGCGTAATTTCTCGGTCTTTCATTTGTTGTCAAACATTTCGTCCTGCGATACTTTCCATGATGAGGCGGCCAAAATTTGGATCGCTGCGTAGATTCGTGATCTGCGGGGAATTCCTTTCTCATCGCAAATTAATGAAGATCGGAAGCAGAGGTGATAACACGTTGGCAATAGGATCGCGCAGAATATGGGAGTTGATGTGTTATTGAATTAGATAATGTATTGAACTTTCGACTCGCTTCGCTACGCTAAACAGTGTCGCATGTATCTTGTCGTTGCGACACGGGAACATTTGCTTCATCTTAAGAAAGCTCTATGCTTTATGATGCTTATTGTCTTGCACACCAAAAACTCCATGAAATGCGACGAATGTTGGTATCCGCAGATAATAATGAAACCGACAAAGGAAATCGTAACCCAAAAATGAAAATCCGATAACAAGGGAGATCGAGCAGGAGGTTCTCGTCTGTAGCTCCTGATGCTTGTAATTTTGCGCAAGATGTTGGTTTAAGCCATATTGGCGGCGCCGTGCTTCTCATCCTCGTTCTTTTCAAACATCTTGTCCTCAAGCCACTTGGTAGCTTTCGCGCACTGTGCGTCCACGTATGTGGTCCAGAGATGGGCGATGGTGTATTCGACGACGAAGAAGATGGGAATAGCGAGGGCCCAGACAAACCAGTTGGTAGACCGGGGAATATAGTGTTCGATGGGGTCGCCTTGGCCGTCCTTTGGCTGTTCGACGTGGTAAGGGGCGGTGCTGAATCCGTAGATCAGGCGCGCGAGGCCGACCTTCATGACCGTTCCGTGGGTAAGGTATACGGCGAAACTGTTACGGCCAACCCACATGAAGAGCTTGTTCGAGAACATGCTCTGCAGAGAAGGCGATAGCCAGATTCCAGTTACCATCAGATCCCATCCGATAGCTGTCCAGCGCTTGGGGTAGCTTGCTGCGCCTTGAGGAATGATCCAGTCTCCGATGTTCTTGAGTTGGACAGACCAAGTCGACCACTCCCAGTGCTCGCCGGGGTAGCACGCGACGTACCAGCCGAGGAGGATGAGGAATGCGGTCGCGATACGTCGGGCCTTGACACGGCTGTTCACAAATTCGCGAAAGCTCTTCTCGGAACCGAGATCGCAGAGGATGACACCGTAGAGGAATTGGCACTCGAAGGTTTCTAACAATGTCAGCTGGGTGTTATAGAAATCGAAGTATGAATACATACCCTTCTCAGGGCTGGTGCGCATCCAGTACCACAAGAACAGCACCATGCAGGTGAAGAGGCGCATGCGGAACTTCATGAAAACGGTGGCGAACAACAGAACGTAAATCAGAAAAGCACCCTGCAGCAGAGGCAAGAGAGCCCACTGGTGGTCATCGTATTCGTTGTTGGCGCCGGACCATGAAGTCTGGAAGTTCTTGATCAATCGTGGGATCTCCGTGTCAAGACCACCGATGTTGGTAGGGACGGAACGGCGGAACCAGTGGGAGTCGCTAAGGTGCGCAACCTCGAAAGCACCCAGCTGTGCAAAGAACCATGCAATGAATAGGGCGATCGTCGCGGGCATAATCAGCCGCGGTGGACGACGGAAAGCAGATTTGCCCAGTGTCTCGAGCGCAGCCGGGACGTTTCCGGATTTGGCCTGTCGTAGTGGTTTGATGGCGCATACGTAACCGGTGAGGAAGGCAAACATTGTGACTCCAATACGGCCTTGGAACGGTAATCGGAGGAAAGGTAGTTGCAGTAGTTGGGGTGCTGCATTCTCGTTGTCACGCGGTGACCACAGGCTGTAATCCCAAGCCCTGCATAGATGTGTTACGACGACCCAGAAGGAAGCAACTCCACGAACACCCTGTAGAAATTAGTACATGTTCCTGCCGTGCCATATCACGACTACACACCTCAACCCAAGTAACATTCTGGCGGTTATTGGAAGCCATTTTGCCAGGACCAGCGGCGGGTTCCAGAGGAGTAGCAAGGCTCGAGATGGTGGCGCGCGCAAGCGACAACGGGGCCTTTGCTAGGAAAGACATATGCATGCAGACGACTCAACGACTGACGAAGGGAGAAACAGGCCCCGAGGATGGTGTGTGAGGACGCTCGGCGATAGTAGGAAAACCAAAGGAAGGAAGAAAAATGAGCGACAGTGACAGCTATAGAGGCTGCATTGGTGTGGCTTGGATCGAACCAAGAAGGAGGTTAAGTGGAATGCAAGGGTGTAAGCAAGTTCCCCCATGCGAAGACGGCATTTCGGATACGCTTTCTTGGCATGATAGAGATGGGTAGAAGGAATAGGGATTTTTGGCCGTGTAATTGGCTTTGGGGCTAAAAGGGGGAACAAGCGCCGAGCCAGCATGGGTGGCCGCGTAATATTCATCGGTGGATGGAGAATAGACCCCACCGGTTTCAGGCCTTCAGTCTCTTGGCATCAAGCCTCTGCATGGGCAATTCGCTGTGGCGGTGGCAGAGGACGCGCCAACCGGAAGCCGGCACTGCACTCAAGAGAACGAATATAGAGTGTGTTGGCACGGCTGAGGCGACGGGCGCTGGGCGGAAAGGTGCCCTAGGTTGCGCAGAGGTGCATGCCGGCCATGACAGGACATTGGACGTGTGGCGCAAAGTTAGGACCCAAAGCAGCGTCTGTACCCACCCTCCGCGTTTGGTTGGCGGCTGACAGTGCAGGGCGGGATCGTCGACGTAGATTAGATGACAGCCGCTGTTTTGTGTGTTTCAACTTTCGAGGCCGCGCAATATGTGTAGCGCGTATCATCGCCGTCTCCTAGTGCGCTTCGACGACGATGGAGTGCGTAGACGACGACGCGTTGGATTATGCGTGGACTGTCGGCCGAAATGAGGCTCTCGCAGCTTCGACGGTACAGCTGCTAGCGCTGGCGTCGTGACGAGCCACAGCTGTCAGGCGAAGCCCTGGAGGCCGCATGGGAATCTGACGACCCCCAAATACCATCCGTCAGCATGCATCCGCTCTTGGAGAACTCCGCCAACTCAGGTCCACGGGTACCTTGGGCAGGATTATTCGAGAGCTTGGCACCGTGTAAGATGAGCAGGTGAGATGCCTGATGTAATCTTACTACATCTTATCTATTTACTGATCTGCGATGTCGCTACACAACGACCACTTGAGCCCTAGTGGTTCTTCTCAACAATTTCCTTGGCAAAAGCCGCAAAGTCTCTCTTGTCGTCGACCCTGTCCCACAGATTCGGCTGCGTAAAGACTGCCAATGTGTTCCTCGCTACCTTTCCTCCAGTTGCCGCGCCTCTCACAAAGTGGGGAACGGCTTTGAACTTGCCCTGTGTGATGATCTCGAGCGCTTCGCCCGTCTGGAAAGCGAGGCAGTCTCGGGGTATGCTGACCTTTGTGACAGTTCCGGTACGGGAGTGGATGTAGAGACCCGCTTTGGGGTCGGGTGAGCAATCCAGCTCTTGTAGGGGCGAGAATGATGCACCTGTTTTTGGCGGACTGGCAGCTTCGTCGACGAACATAGCAGAGGTCAGCCCAGTCAGACAGCCATGATCGAGGTGAGTCGCACACCAGTCGTCTTCGTCACCGCTGGATGTGTCGGGGGCGGGCGAGGGACTGGGGAAGTAGTGCAGTAGCCTAGCCTTGGTGAAGACACTTGTCTTGACTACATGCTCGAGGTAGCCCTTTTGGTAGCCATCAATGTTGGCTTCGGCGTACTTGTCGCAGGCACGAGCAACCAATGCAGCTATGTCGATGATGAGGGTACACAGCTCGCGGAAAGTCTCCTCGAAGCCTGGGAGAAGCTCTTGAGATGGCCACACATTCGGCGCGGTGTACTCTGGAAAGGACGGGTACTTTTCAGCAACTGTCTTCTGCTGCTCTTCGAAACCGTTGGCACAGTTGACGTAGTATGAACCCTTGAGAGTGTCGTATTTGCCATCTTTGAGCGTCTCTTTTCCGCAGGACCAGCCAACTAGCCACTTAGAAGCTGGAGATTCGAGCTTTACTAGTATGCTGTCAGTAATCTATCAGATGCAGAGTGCACCATTGACACGTACCTAGTTCATGCTCTGGTAAGTTACCCAGAGCAGAGGCGTATGAGAGCAATTTATGTCGTAGCTCATGGAACTTGGACGGAAGATCCTTTACTACAATGATGCCCAAGCTAGACGAGCCAAAGGCGTCTTCGAGTAGCGAGAAGTCTACATCATCTGGAGCCTCATCAGCCAATTAGGGTTACAGTCATACAAATGGCACTCACTATTCTTCAGAGCATCGAGTCCCACGGAGACGGCGCTCTGGTTGACTGCAGCATTAGCGTTGGCCATATTAGTCGTCTAGCAAGATACGTGTATGTGATGATATTCACTACGTAGTCGGTACTGCGACTTTATCGTGATGCCGTAGTGTGCGGTCGGTCTCATCTGGTCCGCACCTCGACTGCACCTGCCTGATTTGCCGCAGCCTCGGCCAGCTCCGATCTCTCACCTCCGACGCCTGATCGCGACGACCAACAACGCCATCGCCATGCCCAAAGCTCTGCACTTTAAAGGCGACAAGAAGGTCAAGAAGCGCAGAAAAGCTGCCGACCCCTACGACGCCGATGAGAAGCCGTCGAAGCAGCTCACCACGAGCGCGCCTGCCGAAGCGGAGCATGACGACTCTTGGGTGAGCGCAGATGCGCCGAGCGACATCACAGGCCCAGTCGTGATTGTGCTGCCTACCGACACTCCGAGCACGTGTCTGGCGTGCGACGCCAATGGGAAGGTCTTTGCGAGCGAGCTGGAGAACATTGTCGACGACGATGTCGCGACGGCCGAACCGCACGATGTGCGCCAGGTCTTTGTCGCGAATCGCATCGCTGGCACGGAACAGCTCAGTTTGAAGGGCCATCATGGAAGGTGAGAAACCACGACGTGTATGGAAAGGGCGCGGCTAATATGGTTTAGATATCTGAGCTGCGACAAGTTTGGCGTCCTAAGCGCAACCGCAACCGCCATCTCCCCCGAAGAGACGTTTGTCGTCATCCCCGTGCCCGACAATCCCTCTGCCTTCTCCCTCCAGACTGCCCGCGACAAGTTCCTAACCGTCGACGAATCCTCCTCCAAGGGCCCAGAGCCACGCGGCGACGCCGAACACATAAGCTTCACCACTACTTTCCGCATCCGCATGCAAGCCCGCTTCAAGCCGCGACTCAAGGCAAGCAAGGAAGACAAGGCCAATGTCAAGATCAGTCGCAAGGAGTTGGAGGACCAGATTGGCCGGCGTCTGAACGATGCTGAAGTCAAGAAACTCCGCAAATCCAGAGTCGACGGCAACTTCCACGAGACGGCCCTGGACATGAAGGTCAAATCTAGTCACGACAAGTATGCCAGCATGTGAAAGCCGACAAGTATCAGCCACGATGCCTCATAGTAGCAATAAAGCGTTGCGTCGCTGCATGGTGCCGCAATGACACCACAAGTCGCCCTTGGCGTCCACAAGCAACGGTAGCACCCGCGTTACACCATACTCTGCATATACCCGATCCTATGGCTGCGACACTGCAAGGCCGCCTAGCCTTTATGCGCCACCATCTGGACCTGGTTTCGAAACATCACCCGCCACACCTTGTGGCTGGGCGTCCGTCTGGGCAGCATCCGCCTCGGCACCCGAAGCCTCAACATAGATAGACGGAACTCTGCATTGTCTCAACAATACACAATGGACTGCGAACAGACCTCATGCGGCCAGTATGCTTTTCTTTCTTGGCAGACCGCGTATTAATAACAAAGGAATCAACACATCTTCTGCAGTCCCTGTATGTGTTCCTTGGTTATCTCCTCTTTCCTTTTTCTTCTGGCCGCTTTTTGTCGGATGACGCGATGGTGACGCGTCTAGGACTATGCTCAACATGCAGCTTTGAGTGAGATGGGCTTGAGTAACCGATCGGATGGAGCCGATGACGCCGTATTCTCAACTCAGTGACAGTGTAACCACAACTGAAGAGGATGCATCAAGAGGCAACTTCGTGCTGTAGCAGTTCCTATGCATGTTTACCAATGAAGCACTCCGCGGGTGGTTTCCTCATGGCATCACCATACGACCAGCTGACTTGGTGATTCTATGCCTGACTGCAGTCTTGACACTCGAAGCACCTTCATGGAAGTTCACATCAATGCCGCATGCCAAGCACGATCGCTTATCCTCTGCTGCGGCAAGATCCTGACAGAAGCTGTAGTACTGCTTCGACTCGGTAGGTGAGAACATAGTCTGCATTCGTCCAGTCATTCCATCATGCAAGCTATACGGGAGCTGGTGCGATGCTGAATCAGAGATGCGACCAGATCTGAGCCGCGAGGGTAATATAGTGAGATCTAACCTGTGTCCTTGTCTGAAACATACCTTGAGGTGAACAGACTCGGATTTATTGCTTGAGTCGCAGAACCGCCATTTGGTGCAATCAACATCATGTATCAAAGAGGCCATGAGCCAGAGCAGAAAGCCCGTGGATACTGTGGTTTGGTGAAACAGACGCGCTATGGAGTGAAGGCACCCTATACTTGCATTGGAGTACGTCCCCAGCTAGAAAGGCATGTGGCTCCTACCTTGAGGTGAATGAGCAATGATGACCTTCGCCTACATATTTTATGGATCTTCTCTCGAAGACCCTACTTTTACGTGTCCGAGATTGTCTTCCAGGAAGGCGCATTGGACAAACCCGCCCTCATTACCGCAACCACACGTCGATACCCACCACGCCAACCTTGGGCCACACAATCTCGCGTCCAAACTTTACGGACCCCAACCCGCTCTGCAGATGAATTTAAACAAATGCATTCGTAATTCCGTGGAGGCATCAATCTTCTCATCTACGTGTCTCGCGACTGCAGACCATCTAGAAGAAACTTCGTCCACGATGCCTGGCAGCTACGTGAAAAAAGACTGGTGCATCACCGACAGTATCAGACCCGCGGTGTGCTTCACCACAGCTGTATTCTGTGCACTCTACATCCTCTCCTTCCCACCGCCCACGCGCTTCTATCGCAAGCTCTCCATCCTCGCCCTCGCCCTACCAACATGGTATGCATTCCGGTATTCGGACAACTTAACACCTAATTACGTCATAGACGACACATTCGCACGCACATGTCTGATATGGTTCGCGCACATGAGCTACGAAGTCTGTGTCATGGAATTCGCGCCCGTACTCACACGAGAGAAGCGAGATACGGGAGACTGGGAGCAGAGGAAAGAGAGAGTCAGACAAGGATACAAGGTGCTCTTCGATCGCAATCACACGCAGGTGCTCGAGCAGCCGGGGCAGAACGTAACGAGAGCACCCCATGATGCTGTTTCGGTGGCGAAGGAGGAGCCAAGCGAAGAGAAATACACGGTGACTGACAAGAAGACCGACGAACCCGTCTTGCCACGCGCTCGCGTTCAGCACGGCGTTGCGCTACCGATGGGTCACCGCCACGGCTACTCGCGCTGCGAATTCGTCGGCTATCACATACTCAAAGGACTTTTCTACTATGGCGCCCAATGCGCCTTCTCCACCTACGAAGAACAGTACTCACCATCGAATCTAGACCCTGCCACATACATGACGCCGGCGCTTCTATCCTTCTTCCACCGCCTTCCGATACTCCAAGACAGAAGGGAGGTATTCTGGCGGCTCGAGTACACGTTCGACTGGTGCCTTGCATCCATGTGGCTTTACGAGAGCTATCACAGTATGTTTGCCGTCGTTTGGATTGGTTCGGGCCTCGACGGAGCAGAAGAGTGGTCCAAGGGTCTCTTTGGTCCGTTGAGCGCCGCGTGGTCAGTCAGAAGATACTGGGCAAAGCACTGGCACAACTATGTCTATCACTCCTTCTCGGGCCATATCAAGTGTGTAACGAGGGGCTGGCTTAGCATGAAGCGCGGCGCAGTCTCAACCCGATTGATAGAAAACACGCTCGTCTTCCTGGCATCCGGACTCATGCATGCGCTCGTTCGATGGCAACAGACCCCCCTAGGCGATCACTGGGGTATTGCCTGTTGGTACGTCGGACAAATGCTACCTATCATCATTGAGATGGTCGTGGCGCATCAGTGGAGGATAGTGCGGAAGTGGCTAGGATTTGGCACAGATTCCAAGTGGTTGAACCGCTTCGAGTATGCGGTTGGATACTCGTGGGTCATTGCCTGGTTCCTTTACAGTGTGCCCCTGTATTACGAGACGAGGATCGCATGGACGAATGCAATCATACGGAAGAGAATTATGGCTGAAATCGCTGCGGATGGATATATCAATAAGACGGGATCGAGCTGATATGGGGGGATGCACACCGTTCGATTCGTATGCAGCAAAAGCTGAAATGGTACACGGCGACGTTGACCGATCGAGGATGCATAATGTACCGTAGAGGTTGCATTACTGCACTACACGATACACGTAATGATTACTACCTTCTTACGACTCATCAAGCTCAAGCAATTGATGGTCTCACAACGTCATCATAGAGTTCTTACTTCAAAGAGCATCAGTGTTTTGTAATCAAGACGTCGAGAGTACAGGGCTTTTCAAAGACTGAAAGGTCAGCATAGCCTAAGCGTCAAGGATTTAAGCAGGATAACATCTATAACAACACTGCAGTATAGGTGTTAGTTGCCGGTTGGAGTAGAACAGTGACGTATGCGAGATCTTGTGCCCCACAGTAACAACTCCTACAGCCGACATGTCACCGAACACGATCTTCATGGAGTGCTCATTCTTACTTCATTACGTTGGTATCATCATTAAACTATGCTACAAATTTCGTTACACTGACATCGGATTTAGTACTTGGTCAACTTGGGGCTGCCCTCCCACGCTGGGAAACTCCACTTGGTCTCGACAAAGACCTTTTGCATGCCGTCCTCCTTCTTCTCAAACTTGTAGTAGACCTTGTCCAAGTCCTCGAGGCGGACACGGTGGGTAACCATCTTTGACGGGTCGATACGCTTCTCTTGGATCATCTTGAGGAGGGACTCCCAGTACATGTGCACAGGTGCCTGACCGTTGCCGATGAGACGGATACCGCGCTCCATAAGAGAACCAATGTTGAAGTGGTTGGTGAAACCGACGTATACACCGGTGATACCGCAGCGGCCCATGTTGCGTGTGCTGGTGATCATCTCGTTGATGAGCTCGCTGGTGTCGGTCTCGAGACCGAGCATCATCTCGAAGTAATGAGCCCAGCCCTTGGCGTACTCGCCGGCAGCGCACTCAATGCTGACGTCTGGGCCGCGGTTGTTGCACATCTCCTTGAGCTTGCTTGTGACGGACTCGCCCTTGCCCAAGGTGGAGAAGTCAATGGTTTCGACGTTGGGGTATTTGGACTTGACAAAGTCAAGACGCCAGTTTTGGTCGATCATGATGACTCTTGATGCGCCTTGCATCAGAGAGAAGTCTGCTGCCATTTGTCCGATCGGGCCAGCGCCCCAAATAGCAACGACGTCTCCCTTGTTGACACCAGTGTCGACGACTGCGTGCCACGAGGTGCACACAACGTCGGAGAGGAAGAGACCCTGCTCATCCGGAACATCATCGGGAAGCGGCAGTAGGTTGACGTCACCGTAAGCCACACGGGTGTACTCTGCTTGGCCGCCAGCATATCCACCAGTGAAGTGAGAGTAGCCGAACATGCCTGCTGTCCGGCCACCGTACATGGCGTTCTCGATGGTGTTGGAGTTGGTCTTCTCGCACTGGGAGGACAGCTTCTGCTTGCAGTAGTAGCAGTCACCGCAGGCGATCTGGAAAGAGGCAACGACTCGTTGACTACTATATGTTAGTGATGCGCTTATACAAAGACTCGGGGATGTACGTACCCCTTCTTGAACTTTGTGACACCAGGTCCGCACTCGTCTACAACACCACAGAACTCGTGTCCGAGAATGTCACCCTTCTGCATCTCCACGACGGCGCCGTGAAGCAAGTGCAAGTCAGAACCGCAAACTGTGGAGCCAGTGACCTTGACGATGACATCGCGGTCCTCGAGAATCTTAGGCTTCGGTGCGTCGATCATTTTAACATCGTTCTTGCCGTACCATGCCAGAGCCTTCATGGTCTCTGAGTAGTTGGCGGTGCTCTCGTCGTTGCCAGGGTTGGTGACGTTTTGCGCGGTGGTGGCGTTGTCGCCATGGCCAACGGCCTTTTCGACCTGGCGGGCTGCTTGGGACATCATCTTGGGCTGATGTTTGGTGTGTAGTTGTGATGTGAATGGGTAGAAAGATGTTCACTTCTGGGGAGACTGTAATACGCGCAGCGCGCGCCTACCTTTTCAATGCCACCCAGAGACATTTTCGATGACATATTACAAACCTGTGACGTGAAATTTACAGCCCTCTTACAACTACCGCGAACCAGAAGATTATCCGCCCCCTTGTACATGCGCTTGGAGGGGCTAGCCTAACGTCATGACACGCTGTGGAGGGGCACAAGTCCGCTGTACGCGAGCTGAATGTACGCTTTTGGAAATGCCATGTGCTGGCGCAGATCGATGTTGGCGATGGGAATCCTGACGAGCGTCATGGCGATGTCATGGTGGGGCAGCACGCGTTTCGCGTTCGGCCGTTGGAGCTAGACATACAGCTTTGGCCAGACCATCGCAGACCGAGCACGTCCCGAACGGCTTTCTCTCGGCAGATGGAGTTGTCGTCGTATTAAGCTCGGGGTGTTGATACTATACAGAAAGTGGATTCAGTGTCGTGTGTAGATGCGGAAATATATGATGCCTACTCTTCACGACTGCAAAAGCGTATGCAGTTCAGGTCGATTGATAGACTGAAAGACAGCGGCTACGCGTGGGCTTATATGCCTATGACTGAGGACCATGATGGTGAACGGACGTCCAGATCATTACCATACGCTGGAAGTCGGGACAGGTGATATGCATGAGACGGTGCTGAGTAGTTGCCGGCGCAGGTACGGAGGCTTCTTGGGCTACATGCGCCAGCATAAACGCGTTAGCGGTAGGAGTCGGTGCGATTCGGTACTGTTCAGCGGCTTCCAATACTGCCTCTTTTCATAATATCACGGGCAGCTTCGTGCATCATATGTTACCGCGTCAAGCACGAAGCCAGTCGGCCGTTCGTCAGGCAAAACGTATCGGATCAAAAGTACTTGACGTTATAGCCCTGCGCGACAAAATGGGGAGGTTTGTTCGATAGGAAACCGCGAAGAGCTCGACAGGCCAAATGGGACAACGAGGTATCATGCTTCACACTTGAGGACATCACCATAGAAGTCGAGGAGCTGCGGTGTTGATCCTGCTGTGCAGACAGCTCGTCATCGGAGCTCAACGCGTTACTAGGGGTGGCTACGATGCGTGTCGCATACATGCTACTAAGTTTTACTAACTAGACAGCCTCTAAGGTAATGTATACATCTGGTATGAATTTCTTTTGTAGAATGCGACACAAACTGTAGTCACCTCTAGCGTTGGCAAGTACTGCAGGACGACTGGCGACGCGTCGAAAGCAGCACCTCAATCAAGGAGAAAGTTAAACCACCAGGGATGGCTAGAATTCATGTCGCGTTTTGCTGCACACACGTTGCTGAAACCTAATAAATAAGTGTCTCCCAAGTCAATGTACACTTTTACCTCGGAGAACTTTTTTCCTAGTTTGCGATACGAATTGTAACTACATAGTCTACACTGCCTGAAACGGTGTGAAGTGTTCTCTTCCTTCGGGCGCCCTCCATGTTATTAAACACCTTCCTCAATTCAGTGCACAAGGCACTGGAATCAATGAAAATGTAAAGCCGCAGTGGCAGACCAGCAAAAATTGCCCCGCTGAAGCCCCCGAAGGAGATTCATGACAACACCACACCCCGCTGTGCAATGGAGGCGACGTTGTCAGACCATCAAATACTTGAGCTTGATGAGTCGCAAGAAGGTAAGTATGAAGAAGCAGAAACGGGGACGGGGCTCGCACAGCATATGTAGACAGGTGGGCTTGGCACGCTAGCAAGTCATGTGATCGTGCACAGATGTTTTATAGACGCTTTATCCTCGCTTAACGGCTGGACTCCGGGCGCTGGGTGGGCTCGTGCAGTCCGAGCTGTTAAAGTTCTCTCACCTCTTCATTGCTTGTCGTTGCGTGCCATGACAGGCATGTCCCAGAGAAAGGTAGGTCCAGAGCTCTCAATTCATACACAACCCTTCCTATGATGATCCAAAACAACCTTAGAACCGTTGCGAATGACGCCTTCGGGCGGTTGACTTCACCATACCCTTTACTGAACCACTCTTCACTGCAAACTCGTTACAATCATTGTCAGCGGCTTCTAGCTAACGAGGATAAGGAACCATGAGTCGACCAGGTCTCAACTTTCTCCGTCCATACCTTTACCAGGCTAGTCGTTCCGTCAAACCGGAACATGCTCGAGCATACCTCGCTACTCGGCGACGCTTTGCTCAGAGCCTAGCCGCCGATGCATACACCGGCCCGCACGATGTCGAGAAACAGAAGCGCCTGGAGCATTTGGGCAAGGTGAAGCCGCTGGGCGACTACCACCCCAAATTGGTCTACTCTGTGGATGCTCAGAACTTGTCGATACGCGACTTCAACGCCAAGTACGATGGCATTCAGGAGACGAAGGAGGATCTCGTGTCTGTGTTTGGTAGGGTGCACCGCCCATGAGCATCAGTCGGGTTCTGACAGTGTCAGGAAGGGTGCGCTCAGTGCGGCTGCTCGGCTCCAAGTTGATGTTCCTTGACATCGAACGCGACACCCAGCGATTGCAGGCCATGGTGGAGCTGAAGAAGCTCACGCCGCAAGATGGCCTAGACGAAAACTTCAAGAGTTTCAAGAAAGTCGCCAGAATTGGCGACTGGGTGTGTAAGTAGATGAATATCCAGCTTCAAATCAGGCTCTGATTTCGTATAGCTATCAAAGGCAATCCTACGAAGACATCTACTGGACAACTCTCAGTCCTTGCTCTTGACGTACCTCAAATCCTCGCGCCATGCCTTCACCACCTCCCAGAGAGGATTGATGATGCCGAGACGCTCGCCCGACGACCGCACATTCACGCGCTCACAAGCGACGAGCCTGGGGACGTCCTTCGACTCCGGGCGCTGATCTACGACTACGTGCGCACATACTTTATACAGAGCGGGTTTCTGGAAGTGGAGACACCCATGTTCGACGTCAACGCCGGAGGTGCTATTGCGCGACCCTTCGAGACGGTCGCAAATGAAGTGTCCAACACCCCTGTGCGCCTCAGGATAGCACCTGAGCTCAACCTCAAGCGGCTGATTGTTGGGGGACAAGACAAGATCTTCGAGATTGGACGCGCCTTCAGAAACGAAGGTGTCGACAACACGCACAACCCCGAGTTCTCGACTTGTGAATTTTATGAAGTTGGTGCGACGCTCCCCACCGTCGTCGCCAGGACAGAACAACTGGTACACGGTCTCCATACTGCGATCGAGTCACTAAGGCCGACGTACTTCCCTACACTAGCGGCGCCGGAAGATATCGACTTCGTACAGCCCTTCGCTCAGCTACCCTTCATACCCACCATCGAGCAAGCCTGCAGTCGCAAGCTGCCTGATCTGTTGTCACCGAATGCGTCCAAGGAGCTGCTACAGCTGTTTGATGAGCTTGGACTCACCGTTCCGCCCAACCCTACACTTCCACGCCTTCTTGACACCCTTGCTGAGATATACATCGAGCCGCTCTGCAAGAATCCTACGTTCATCACTCAACACCCCGAAGCACTCTCTCCACTCTCAAAGTCTTATCTTGACGAGGCTACTGGGCAACGTGTTGCATCTCGCGTGGAACTCTTTATCCATGGCCGCGAGTACGTCAATGCATACGAAGAGGAAAACTCTCCGTTTGAACAGCGTCGCAAGTTCATGCAGCAGCGTGACTTTCACCCCGAGGGTGAAGGCGCTATTGACGAAAGTTATCTCGAGGCGCTGGAGTGGGGTATGCCTCCCACTGGTGGCTGGGGTTGTGGATTGGATAGATTAGTCATGCTATTCGCCAGTAAGAAGAGGATAGCAGACGTGCTGCCTTTCGGTACATTGCGAAACGTTGTTAGCATTTCCAAGACGAAGTGAAGTGCTTCGATTCATAATACAGAAACTATCCATGCAGCTCTTGTGCACCATCAAATCATGTCAGAATTCGCGACCCTTACCTCCTATTGCCTACATAGTGCTTTGTTGTACTTATTAGATTCTTTGCAGGATAATGTATGCGTCTACTTACAGTATTCAGTATATTTTGTAGACCGTTGCTTCTTGGTAGATGGTTGATGCGACACGCATTGCTGCTGTTGGAGGCTGGTACACCCAGATCCGAACGAGAGGCACCCCAGGGCTCGCGACCCGTGTACCCACAATTGCACATCTTCCCGCGCTATTTTACATCGTAGCGGATGTAGACAACTTCTGAGGTTTGTGTCGCATTGTTCCGTTGTAACGGTCGACCCAGGACGCCCTCAAGTGTAACAGGCTCCTGTCAGCATGGCTTGAGGCGTCGTTTCAGGCGTCCAGCATCCCGCGGCTACAGTCAACAGGCACCAGCTCCTTCACACGCTCGCCCTTTACATTCGCCCCACAAACTTCGCGTAGAGTCTGCTTCTTACTAAGACACATCTTGCTTCTGTGAATCAGTCTTGTTGTGCTCTTCGCCGAAGATTTTCGTTTTCTGGGGTAGTGCGGGTTGCGCGTAGCGCGTACTGTCCAACAACGCCCCGTGTTGATTAACATGTTTTGGGATGGGGCGAAATCTTGCAGATCTTCCGATATTTGAAGACGTGAGCCTGCTCCCTACTGCTTTCAACGTCCCCGAGACGTCAGCTTAGCAAAACTACCATGTCGTCGCAAAGTCTCAATCCCCAATGGCAGGGCGGCTGGCAGACACAGCGGCGCCAGCAGTCGCCGCCGCAACAGCCTGTGTACCCAAACAATCGACATTCACAGGCCTCTTCGCCCGACCATTCATACTATGGACACTATGCACCTGCATCAGGATCATATATACAACCACACTACAGCGAAGACATATCAGTACCTTTCATTGCAGAGCTGCCAGCGCCGTTGCCTCCGGCCCCACCGACTACGACTTCTGGGGAGCAATTGAAGCAGGATGAGCTGCTTGCGCATAGGATGCAACATTTGGAGGTAGAAGGAGTTCGAAAGAGATCGGTTAGTGCAGTAAGCCAACATCAACGCCCTGCAAGTATGATGCCGCCCAGCTCTCAGCGTCTATCACCACTCCTACATCAGCAACGATCTGCGCAGGCTTTACGATTACATTCAAAAAGCGTTTCTTCTTTCGTCGACCAGAGACCGGCAAGCATGGCGCCAGTGACCACCCAGCTTGCGCCTCTACCTCTGGCTCATCAACGCTCTGCACAGTCGCTTCGACCCCATTCGAGAAGTGTCGGAGCGGCCGCCGAACCATGGAGTCCTGGATCATTCGAACAACCGCGAGATCCAAATCTGTTCAGCACCTTACCGGAAGTGGTCGTCGAGCATGATACGGATAAAGATCTCAAGTCACCACTTGAAAACTTACCGATTCCAGTCTTGCTGGATCAACAGCCCACGGTCCGGCTACAGGAGCCCATAAGACGCCCATCAGTCGCACTAGAATCAATGTCGTTGCCTGGATATCTCGAGCAGTACCGCCAAACACCGTATCCGCCTCAGTGGAACCTTCCGCCTGTTGTTTCTGCACTGTATGCTTACCAGGAGAGCAAACGGTCATCCGGATCCAGCTGGCTGGACACACCAGAGTCGTGCGCATGGCGAACAATACGCCCCTCGGAGCATGCACGCAATCCTGTTCCACCGGCGTACATGTTTAGATTTAAAAGCACGTCTGGCAGCTTCCGCAGCCCAAAATTTTCGTGGACAATGGCATGTCCCGATGACCCCATTGAACCGGGAAAGAAAGTTTCGAAAGCACAGCAGACCACATGGGCTTATGAACTCAAGCTGGATCCCAGGACCAATCTACGCAAGTCAGAAGTCTTACTTCATGGTGGTCCAAACGCAAGATCCACCATGACAACTTATTTGCACGCGCTCAATTACGACTCACTGCGCTTCATCGGTCCAGATGGACGCGCATATATGTGGGTTACAAGCACCAAGGTTTCCTCCATCCACGGTTCACGATACGACACAGTGAGACATGCGCTCTTCGCCGCCATAGGGAACAATCCCGATCCGCTGTATGGTGGCATCGTTGCAGACCACTGCTTCTGGGATGGACATGTTGATGCAAGCGGGGGTTATCTCCCTGATGAATCTATCTACATACGCCAGACGACCGTGGACCCGGCACTTGTCGTAGCGACATTGCAGGTGATGAAAGAGTGGGAAAAGCATACACTCAGACAAGAGAAAAGGAAGAACCCCAAAGCCTTTGTAGCAGCTGAAGAAGAAGCCCGGAGATGTGAACTTGGTGCCTCCAGCTATTGGCAAGCCTGAGAGGTCTTGCAACCTCGGGGGCGCAAAGCCAATCGAAACACATTACGTTCTGGCATCGTCGCATTGTTCGAGAGTCGCCGATATGTTCTGGTGATGTATCGGCGTAGGAAATTTCCCCAGATATGTGCTTGGCTGCAGCCTCGTGTTGCAAGTCATTTGCACTAACGTGTAAATACATGGCACGACCTTCCAATAGTCACGAGCTGGGAGCTATACCAGGGTGTGGACAAGAACAATGTCACCATCATGTCTATTCGGCTACCCGACAAGATGTTCAGGAGCCCTCCCACAGACGACTTGAAGGAGTTGCTAGAGGCGATCTTCGTTGTTATTGTCTTCAGGAAGAGCACTTGCATAAATTTCGGCACCGTGGGAATCCTCTTCCCGGAATGCGACCATGACGGCTGCATTGTGGCTGCAAATCAACTTGTAGGCTTTACTATGGTCATCGCCAAGGCTATTCTTCGCACATGAAGATCGACTGCGCATCGAATTTTTTTTCTTTCGCCTGTACTTGTACTTCAGTTTGTAGCCCGCAACAAGATGGCCCAAGAGTATCGTAAAACAATGTTGTGGTATTAATAACAACAACTCTGATATTTTACACAGTGCGCTTCTGAAGACTACACAACGCACATGTTCAATGCAGGTACACGAGATCCTCCTATGTCTTCATCTAATCCTTCGTCAACCTATCAGACTCGAAAGCTTGCTCAGTCCCTGGACGCCATCAATACCCTTGCGCCCAGAGTACCATCCTGCAACCGATCCCGGTGATTAATGAAAGCAGGATCTCGAATTTAGTCCTGTACCGACATCCTATTATATAAGCCAAACTCAATACCATGACTTCTTCGGCTACGTCTCGACATGTAGGAGCCTCTGGTAGACGGTTAACTCCGCCTCGGTTTGAAGACCTCAACTTACCTTTGACCTTTGAGTCACTTACACCTTTACCTCGCTTTCCCTTGGCATCCGTCACAGAGGAGACGGAGGATGGAAATGACTACCTCGATGTCCTTGCTGAAGGTACAGACGCTGACGAATCCTTTGCCGAGCGGTGGGAGGCTGTAGCAACCGAGCACGACCCAGTCCTCCGATATGCCACTACCTGCTCATTCCTACCGGGACGAGATTCTCTTCATAATATCACCACCTGCTCCTTAGCTATCGAATACGACCGCGATATCGATGACCTCTATCGCGCGACTGCTTGCTTTCTCGGAAATTGTCATGATGGCGAGTGTACGTGCCTGGACGACAGGAGAAGCACTTACTGTGTGCCAGGAGAGAATTTCGTTCTCACTGACAAGAACGATGACTTCAGGCTATCATTCAGCCATCCCACAGTAAAAGCTATCTTTGAACTCATGGATGAGCTGGTCGATGTCGACATGTTTGACACGAAAGATGGCCTCGACAATGGGCGGCTGCTGTACTCACCTACTTTGGACGATGTCTCAAATGCGTGTGGCAGCGACAATGTCTCAGAGACATCGGAGACAAACGACAAACGAGGTTTGTCACCACCTCGGTACTCTGAAATAGCATATGTAGATGCTGACACGCACAAGTGCATCGCGTATACCGCATTGAACCAATTGTTATCGATGCAAGAAGACCAACCGCTTCCGGTGGCTCACCGAGACATCCCCGACGACGATGATTACGGCTCAGCTGAGCCGAAGGAACACAACTATCTCAATCTAAAAGATCAAGCCAGCGAGACCCCACTACCGCTACGAGATGACCCCTGTCCGAGCAGGTTCTGGTCTAATTTCACATCAGGTCTCGCACAACCACCAGCACTGCCACAACCCAATCTTGGAAGCCAGTCAGCTGTGCGCCAGCAGTGTCTACCGTTTGGGCTGTACTCCAGCAATATCTCTCATGACCGGCATTGCCTTTCACGGCTGACACTTGCTACTCAGCTCGTGCCTGCACCTAAGCCTTTGTCCACGGTCGACGAGGAACAGCTTTCTTGGCCCAGCCCTTCGTCCTCAGGAGACTCTATCGATTTTGCTGATCATCGAGGGTTTACGAAATCGCTCGAGGGGCGCCGACAAGGCTTCCTAGCTGACGAAGACGAAGACGAAGGAACCTACGTTGAGCATGGCTTAGGTTCGCCAGTGATGCCGAGCTCATCTCCACACTTCACATGCGAGGAAATGTTCACTGACGCTGTTTGGGACAGTGCACCAGATCTCACACTCGCTCAGTCCAATTGCGAACTATATGCAGCAGCTACTCCAACATCGCGTATGCCTCCGGCTCTGCCCCTCGAAGCTTTTGAGATTGAAGTCCATGATCGTCTCACGTTCATCTTCAGCTGCATGAACGATGAACGCTACGATGAGCTACCGGCTTTGTGTAATGACCTTCACTGGACCTTGTGCGTCCTTGCGCATGACTCCCCAGCTATGGTGGTGTTGGACAGTCTTGGGGCAGCTGTAGAGATCCTAGCTGAGCGGATAGTAGCCTCGACGCCTGCTCCGTAACTTGACAATCACAGCTGCCGACGCATCTCATTCATGGAAAAGCAAACATCCTAGAGCTTACTTTAGCGTTAGGTTACCTACTTTGCATGTTACTATCTTAATGTATGCTGCGGACCTGTTTCATGTCTTTCTTGAATAAGGTAACTGCGGTCGACGGACAGAATGACGCTGATGTAGGCGCTAGGAGTAGACAAGCTGAGCGCCACCCACCTTTGGTGAAGCTCATCAAGTCAACCGTCATTGCCTCTTCCGTGATCAATAAGGATCGCAAAGTCTCAAAATTAGTTCTCTGCCCCGTGCGTTCGGCATGTTGAGATTGCAGTGACTATTTCCTCGAAATTAGCGAGTGTATTGTAGCCTCAGGCTGTTGCTTCTGCCTCTCGCGGGGGTACCGGGCCCATCGTCATCGCTAGCAGCCCAAGTCTTAATAGTGCCAAATTGCGAATCCAATTCATCTCCTCAGCTCCTGATCACAAAAGCCAGTAATCCAAAACTTCGCTGTACCTGATGATGATGATAGCGCAGATCGTACGATACCTGTATCGCATTCCTATTCTAGTGCGGTGACAGTCTGGCTGAAGTCCCTTCCTGGAAGCTGGACACCATCAGTCTTGTTACTATGCGCTGAACAGTACCAAGACCTGGATCTGGAGCCATATTCTAGTGTGGCTGGACCGCCATCCGATGCTATTAATGGCATTCTTTGGTGGGATGACCATGCTGATGCTCGTATCAGCATGAACATCACATGATAGTGCGCTGGGTTGATAATGATCACGACATTCTACCCACGCCATGACGAACATTGCGCCCAGAACACGTCCCACTTGCGCATTCAGTGATGGCGCGCTGGTATGGATATCCGGTTTGTGCGGTCTCGTCTATTATCGGTAGGGATACATGTGGCTGCCTGTACACATTCGCTGTTTCGCTGAAAAAGTATTCCACGCCTTGGTCAAAGAATTACTATGAATTTGCGATCGCTGCCATGACAGATGTGACGACGGAGTCAAACGTTTGTGGCAGCGACCGAGTTCGCGAACGGCCTATACGGCTTCACTTAGGCGCCAGACAAGATCCGCCGGCGCATTCGAATGTTCTGGTAATAGAAGTGCCGAAATCGTGATTGTGCTCCGCTTGCTATGATCTGTGAGAAGCTTGAGAGAAATAAGCTTTGACCAGATTCAACAAACTGCGGAGGCAAGTCGAATCGCGGGCACAACCAGCACGAATCCAGAGGTGTGATGTATGTGGCTGATATGCTATATAGCCGAGCCTTCCTAATAGCCCGGTGCATTCCTAGAGGTAGTGATCCTAGTGGCTGTCGATTGGAAAATACGAGTAGCGCGGTGGAGAGGGAAAGCATTCGCCCAACCCAACGCTTGCATCTCGTGTTAGTGCGCCCATGGCTCTGCTCGCGCAGAGTACTGCAGGTTCAGTCACATAGCTTCATGGGACGCGGCACAGAACGTTTTCTGCCGCATTCGCTAGTGACCATAACGGACGATGCTCATATGCATAGAGGCTTGGGTCAGCGGTGCAACGTTCATGTCAGGTCGGACGCCACGGACCATCAGCGCATTGCTTGTTTCCCGCGTAGATTACCCCGGAGGGTAAAGCCGACATCTCGTAAACTGCAAGTCAGCACATGTGGCGTCGCTGGCGATGGAGTAAGGAAGTATTGACTGCGCAATGAGGAAAGGCGATAATACAATACTCATCCGAGTTACCGAGGGTCTGTTATCAAAGACCCGATTGGGTATAGCCTCCACGGTGGCTGGAAGTAGACATCTGGAAAATTCAGGCTCCGGCTCGTGGGTCGCCCGAGGCTACGGCCCTGGTGGATCTTCAGGAACGTGGCCGGCTATCTTTGGGAGCGGAACGTGGGTAGCGTAGCAACAATGGGAGTGTCTCCGAATGCGCGAAAGTCGCGAACGGCTGTTGTTGAGGTCTGACGGACGATGGGCTGGACTGAGATGAGGATGAGGCGATACGCGCTCCGGGCGCCGTGAGTGGATGACAGCCGCACACTAGTCCCTATAAGGTCAAAGCGTGATGCAAATATAGTCCACAACGGTCGCTCATCCCGGCAGCGCCGGCATTACTGTGCGGTAGGGCTGTGCCTCTACTCGCTCAACCCCTGCGGCTTTTTTCGCTGATGCTACTGTCAGGCTGCTCACGCTATCGACAGCTCGTACGTAGAGCGGAGCCCTTCACATGGCGAGATGTTACTTCGTGTTGACAAAGTGGGGACGGCATCGACGTCAGCCATTATGGAAGTGTATAGACTCTGGGGACTACGGTATATAACTTCTGTTCCATCTCAACTATCATATCCATCCACCAACCATCACCTTCGCTTTCCTACAATTTTCCTACACCAACACTCGCTACAGTGTCACCACAAAAGCCTTCTAATACTTAATTCCATCTCGACAACTTCCAGATCAATCACCTAGGACTCAAATCAGCAATACCATCAAGATGCGTTACTCTTACGTTGCTGCTACCCTCGTCGGCTCGGCCTTGGCCATGCCTCAATACGGCTACTCAGCGGTTGTCCCCACTGGATATCAGCCTGCACCAACTCCCTCCTCCAAGCCGTACGAGGCGTCCACGCCCAGCTCTGAGGTCCACTACCCAGCCAGCACACCAGTCTACGAGGCATCCACTCCTGCCGCAAGCTCATCGGTCTACCATGCTTCGACTCCAGTCTACAGCGCGTCTACTCCAATCTACAGCGCTTCCAAGCCCGCTGAGAGCTCGTCGGTCTACAAGGCATCTACCCCTGCCGCCTACAGTGCCTCCACTCCTGCCGCAAGCTCATCGGTATACCACGCTTCCACTCCAATCTACAGCGCGTCGACTCCTGCAGTGAGCTCGTCAGCATACCACGCCTCCACTCCGGTCTACAGCGCTTCTGTTCCCGTCTACAGTGCTTCCAAGCCCGCCGAGAGCTCTCCGGTCTACCACGCTTCAACTCCCATCTACAGTGCCTCCAAGCCTGTCTACAGCGCGTCCCACCCAGCCTACAGTGCCTCCACCCCCGTCTACCACGCCTCTTCCTACGGAACTGGTTACGTCAAGCCTACTCCCAAGCCTTCATCGGCTGTTGAGTACCCCCACTCCGACATCACGACCACGCTCACCTCCACCCACACAGCTTGGGTGCCATGCAGCACCTCAGTTGGCCACGGAGAGCACTCCAGTGTCATCTACTCAACCTACTTGACCCCAACCTACTCCACTGTCACTGTGACATCGACCATCCACGGCTCGAAGCCCACACCTGACATGCCCGTTTACCCAGCTGAGACTCCTTCGGCCCACCAGCCCACTTACCCTGCTGGAACTCCCGAGGCTCCCAAGCCCACGTACCCAGCAGGTACTCCTGAGGCTCCCAAGCCAACATACCCAGCAGGCACCCCTGAGGCCCCCAAGCCTACCTACCCAGCCGAGACTCACCCCGCTGGTACTCCTGAGGCCCCTAAGCCAACTTACCCTGCTGGAATCCCTCCCGCTCCTCAGTGCCCTGCCCAGGTCACTGTCACCAAGACCGAGCACGTAGTCGAGACTAAGACCGTCACTGTCGGTGGAGCTTACACTCCCGGCCCAGCCCCTTCTGCCTACCCCGAGGGTATGAAGCCATCCACTCCTGCGGAGCACTACTCGGAGGCTCCTAAGCCATCGTCTTCTGGAAAGCCTTACCCAGTCGGCCCCAAGCCTTCAGCTTCCACCAAGCCCTACCCCGTTGGTCCTAAGCCTTCCTCTGAGGTCAAGCCTCCCTACCCTTCCTCCGGTAGCTCGATCCACTACAGTGCTTCTTCCGCACCCTACCCGATCCACACTCCCTCCTCTTCCAAGGCCTACCCCACCGCATACCCTACTCCTTCGTCATCCACCAAGGAATACCCGGCTGCTACCCCCTCTTCCTCCACTAAGGGCTACCCAGTTGCCACTCCTTCCTCTTCCACCAAGGAGTACCCAGCTGCCACCCCCTCCTCATCCACTAAGGAGTACCCGGCTGCCACCCCTTCAAGCTCGGCGGCCCACTACCCCGTGAACACTCCTTCGTCCTCGAAGGTGACCCCCCAGCCCACCGGCTACGTCGCCTACCCCCACTACTAAGCTACTCGGGTAGCTTGAGCAGATTCTCTTCACCTATCAAGCAAAGATTTTGGGCGGCCTAGGTGTTTTGACTGCAGAACAATTGCTGTAGCTCTTCTGTATTGGGGGACCTCATTCCCTCGCCTTGCACAGCTCCAGCGTTCTAGTTCTGCTTTATCACGGTTTTCACGCGTTTGGGTTTCCTTCTTCAACTGTTTATATTGAACGAACAACTGGTATAGAATGGTTACGACGGGTACGAGTTTAGTAGTAGTAGACAGCATTTATGACCAACTTTTGTCACTCCTTCAAAAGTGTTTGCTCATCTTTCTTCGTGAGTGTGCTATGGGCGGCGTTGAAGCACTCGCAACACTAGCATCAAGCAAGCCCAACCCTCCAAGTATCCAATGACGTCAACAAATACTACACACATACAACATTCCTCACATGCTAGCACAGGCTGGCGCAAAAGAGCCAACATCGCGCTTATGCACGTCTAATCAATCTATGCAACCCCGTACTCGTGTTACCAGCGACGTTGCCGCATTCGGCAGTCTTCCCGCGCAATCGATAGTCTATCTCGTATCACAGCGCGGGAACATTTCTTTCACATCGTCAACCCACGAATATGCATCGTGAAATGCGCGCGTGATGGCTTCCATGGAACCCTGCGATAAGACACTGCGCTTGACGCCGCATATCTATGTATGAGACGAATGACAGACGTTTGGCGCCGACATCGCTTAAAACTTGCTCAACCAAGCAAGCTTTCATGTTGAGAGATTTTCTCGGCTAGTCGACAGAGCGGGATGACTGCAGGCGATGGCCTGGATGAACACTGCTCGTTGTCATCGGTCGTCTCAAAGACTTGCATATGCTAGGGTGTAGCCAATATTCACTGAAGTTTATCGGCTGAACGGCAAGTCTAGACAGAGTACGCGGGACACAACAAGTGGACGAGAGAGGTAAGAAAGACACTAGCTGGCGGCTTGAGTCGAGACTCTCTTCAGCGATCAAGATAGACAGAAGGATGGAGAGACGTCAGTAGAATACTTCTGTAAAGTAGTTTTTATGGTAGAAAGTAGGAAAGATAGTGTTCTGAACGCCGTCGAGCGAGACAAACGTTTAGCATGACTGGCAGAAGCGACAAATATTTCCTCTGCGGCATTTAGCTGCACCTATTGGTCAGTAATCGTTCTTACTCACCTCCGTTCTCTCCGTCTCCTACAAACCCAATACCAATGGCACAGATGATACCTACAGCTTTCCATCAAGTGATAGAGATGATAATCTCAGGTGGAAGTCTCCCACAGACTGCGAAAACGTTATTTCAGGTGGATGTCCTTTCGTGTCTTCGATCACGGACATGTAACAGAGCTAGGCATGTCGTCGAAATCGTAGTCCGTAAGTCCCTGTTGATGCAACCAGCTGTGGTCGTTATACCGAGCGTGAGATGCTACATCTGAGCAACAAATAGGAACACTCGGCTTGCTTAGTCGTTCTGATGGAGACAAAGCCTTCATATCTTGGATGATGGCGTGAAGGTTATGGTAAAGTTGATTGGCGACGAAGATTTATCCGATCGAGGAGTCATCCTTGTGGCTGCGTGCATATGATCATATCGTCGCTCCGAGATCAGAACAGCCCAGTGCAAGCGTTGATGCAAATACAAAAGCAGTCGTGAGATGACTTATCGTGACTGTCTGGGTGTTGCAAGGCTGAACTTGTGACGATGGAATGTCGCCCGTGCGTCATCGCCACGATTTCCCCAGCCTCCACTAGCGCCCTTTCGTCGCATCGTCACCGTCTCGACGCGCCAGATGTCGCCCTGAAGTGCGCGAACCCGGCGCGTCCATCTAGCGCAACCGTAGAATCAGCGCGAACATACCACCACACATCCGAAACATGGACGAGCCGTCTTCACAACTCCACCTCGAGATTCGCGACGCCGTCGTTCGCGCGCTCGCAACGCGCCGGCCCATCCTCCACCACCTAAACGCCGACTCGTCTTGGCTTCTTCAGATACCGCGTCCAGCAAACGCCGTCAAACACGGGAGCCGGGTATACTACAATGTCTTGATAGACCCGTGGTTCGTTGGTGGGCAGAGCGATGTCGCAAAATGGTTCAGTCAGCAGTTCCACGCGACGGAGAGTGCTGTCAAAAGTATTGCTGAGGTAGAGGAGTTGGCACGACAGGTCGAAATAATGGCTGGAGGGTTGCGACTAGGCAGAGGAAGAAGCAAAAAGAGGAAGGTCGAAGAGGTGGATGAGGAGAGTTATGTGGACTGTGTGGCTATTAGCCATGAATTCACCGACCATTGCCATAAGGAAACGCTTTTAGAGGTTCATCGTGATGTGACTGTGCTCGCGACAGAGGTATGTTCTCGCACGACATGATTAAGCCTACTTTCGGCTGACAAGCATCGCAGCAAGCAGCCAACCTCATATCCTCCTGGAACCACTTCCGCACCGTAATAACAACACCCACCTTCGCCGACCACTCCGACTGGCACGACTATAGTCTCTCGCCGCTCCCCTCATGGCTCAGCATATCGCGTCTCACAGCGTCTGGAGACTCTCTCTACCTCCACTCTGCGCTCCTAATAACCTTCGCCACGCATCCCTTCTTGTCGACAGCTACGCCTAAGAAGCGTCTCTCTACACTCAGTATAAACGGCGACGGAGCGGAAGAACTATCGTCTAATCTCAACGGCGAAGAAGCGGAATGTGTAATCTACACACCACACGGCATCCCCCACGAAGCCCTCAGCCCAATCGCCACAGCCGACCCACCACTACATACCCTCGCTTTCCTACACGGCCTCCACGACGTCTCTATATCCTCTGCCCAGCAGCTCAACCTGGGAGCGAAGAACGGCATTCTCGCACAACGCATACTTCGAGCGAAGTATTGGGTTGCAACACACGACGAAGTGAAGAAGGGAGGAGGCCTGATAAGTTGGTTCCTCCGCCGAAAGGTGTGGACAGTGGAAGATGCGTTGAAAGAAGCGAGAGCACAAGATGGGGATGTCTTTGAAGATGTGCACTTTCAAGGTATGAAGAATGGAGAGAGTAGGGTCTTGGAGTAATATGAGCCATTTCTTTGGAGGAGAGGGGAAGATTGGCTGTAAGTAATTTGTTTTGGTCCCGAGTATATACCCACTTTCGCAAAGCAGGCCCGAATCAAGGCATTTTTCAGATCATCGACGTATGCAACACACTCGCAGTACTCTTCCAGTGACTGAGGGGGTAATCACTACCGTGGACTCAGATCATAATTGCTTCGCACGGCCCCGCAAGCTGGCCCCGAATCCTCTGCCTTCACCTCTCCTTTTGCTATCTTCTCTTCGAGGGTCCTTCGTTCCTCGTTGAAACGATCTCTCTCTGCTATTCGCTCGTTTTTAGTACTTGAAGGGGGTAAAACGCCCGGGAGTGGATCGAACCATTGTCTAGACAAGGTGTCAGCCTCGACTTGTTCGATCCACAAAGCATGCTCTACGCCATGCTTACTTTTTCGGCGTACTCCTGCCATCAACACCACGGAAGCGATCCTCATTCGCTTGACTCCAGTCGTGTCGATCAAGGTACTCTTTCAGCAAAAGCGGTGACATGGGCTGTGCACCATAGACCTCCATGCCAGTTGGCTCGTCATCCGGTCCAGGCACCCAACGAATGGTCCTGCAGATGCCGTCACAGCCTATTTGGCGGAAACACTTGAGATCTGCCGGGCGCTTCATCGTTGCGAAGAACTCTCTGAGCGTACCTGTATGCTCAGATGGGCCTGTAAGGCCTGGTTCGAAGCTGTCGATAACCTTGAGATGGGATTAGTCTAGCCGGTGGTGATGACCCGTTGTTTTACGTACGCTTTTGTCAGGGAGTGAGTGGGGTTGTGGTGTAGACATGGTGGTATGTGGAACTCTATCGATGCTGTTGAACTTGGATGTGAGGGCTGTCGCTGTGCATGTGTTTATTAAAGCTTGCGCAGGCAATGGAGGTAAGTGGCAGTAGAAGACTGGATTCAGAAGGGAAGTCGAATTGGGGTTATTGCGGCACAGATACAGAAATGAGGAGGATGTGTTGGTTCAATATGATAGTGCTTGCTTACTGGTTGAGCATGACGTATAAAGTATCATCGGTATACGCAAGACTACATTACCTAGGTACCTTAGAATCTTGACGACTTTTTTTACACGAATCTAGATTGTGACACCTGTTTGCTTTCTTTTCTTGTTTAAGATGCGGATGTCGAGTGAGCAGCAGAATGTAAGAATTTCTCTCTACCAGTGCCCGCCCACAATAATACTAGGCAAGCGGGGCCTCATCCACGTTAGCCTCTGCAACTCCAACCTCACGCGCCACTGAGGATACAATCGACCTGACCCTCGCCCCAGCTCCGCAAGACATCGAGGATATAGCACCTTATTCAAGGGAAAAAACCGAACAGGTCTAGAGTTCGGCCTGCCTTCGGTAATTGCTCGCTGTACGGAGTGTATGTGAGACGTATACTGAATTCATACCTCTACCTCTGCAGGCATCGGAGTATGCTTATTCCATGTACCTGGGCTTAAAGAGTGCGCTACGTGCATGAGCATCGACTACTTCTCAGAAGAAGAGCGGCAGCGGGGATGTGCATGCCGACGTGGAGACTGCACATTAGGCCTTCGAGACACAGATCATTAGCATTATTACATTAGAAACTGCCATGGAAAGCTCATGCAGCAGGTTGGTCCTGGCGGGGAACACGTTTGTGATGTTCACGTGCCTATGTTGCACCAATGCGTAAACTACAAGCAGGTGTAGCTAACATCAGCCGTTTGTTGAGCCTACAGACGCATACGCAAGATGACGTTCGAGCAAAAGTAGTCACGCACGTGAACGTCTCGAAATTGTGTCCGGAAGATAGCGCGACTAATGCGCTTATGCATATTAAGGAAGAAGGCTCATAGTATACTACATGAAGATCAAGATCCCATTTTTCCATCCATCGTCGCTTCGCATCAAAAACAAATCAAGAGGGGCTCCTTGCCACCAACGCCATTACTATGCAATGCTCATCTCTCTGTGATGATGTTCCAACAAGCCCGAAGTAAAGGGGGAATGGAGAAGGTAGTCGCTGGGGAAAAACAAACAATGTGGCCAATCTTGTGGAAATGTATAGGTACACGTGTATGGAGGTGCTAACGGAAAAAGGAGTATGGTGAACAAATCAATGCAAACAAAGTGATCGAATCCGTGGTCAAAGGTGATGAGCTAGATGCTCAACCCGCGGTTCGTAGAATGGGTATGGATGTCGACATGGACAAGGCCGTTTACTGCGATTTAGGTACGCACTCTGTGTACTTCGCTGCGAGTTCCTGTGCAATCTCAGGCGTCTTGACTGCGTAAAGAACAGACTGGAGTCCGCCTTCCTTGGCAGGCTTGGTCGCCATGACCATCTTCTTGCTACCGCCAGTGACAGTGGCAGGCAGCGCTGGTAGTATCTGGTAGTTGACTGGGGTGGCACCGCTCGGGATGCGCACTCGCACAGAGCACTTGCCCGTCTGCTTGTCCTTGAGGATCCAGAGCGGGCCCTTTGCGATGTTCGTCCAGCCCTTTTCTCCCTCCTGGTGCTTGGCGAGTACGACTTCGGTGTGGAAGACAATGTCGTAAGTGTTGAGCTCATCCTCAGTCAACTTGGTCAAGTCAATCTGTTCTTGCTTACCGCCGTCTTCGTCATCTTCTGCTGCAGACGCGGCACTGGTATCGCCAGCTTCAGAGAGAGGCGTGTTTGCGCGCGAAGAGAATACAGACGATGTCACAGAGTTGCCGCCTGATGGAGCGAAAAGCGAAGATCCACCTGTGGACGGGGCGAAATTGAAGATCGAGCTGGGTGGTGGTTTCGCCGGCGTTGTGGAGAACTCGCCAGCACCAGGTGTAGCAGGCTGGAAGCTGAATTTGGGTGCAGCGTCCTTCTTCTCAGTAGCAGGAGCTCCGCCGAACTTGATCGGAGTACCCGCCTTGAAAGTCTGATCGCCGGCGAACGTGTCGGTCTTCGGCGGCGCGGTCTTTGATGCAGCACCGAAATCGAAGAACTGGAAGGGTTTGTTGGAAGGAGTTGTAGTACCGTTACTCTGCCCGAACAGAGAGGAGGCGCCGCTGTTCTCCTTCTCTGCCTCGGAATCGTTGTCCCTGGTGATCCTTGAAAACAAGCTGCCCTTAGAACTTGACTCCTGCTGCTTGTGCTGCTGAGTATCGTCAGATTCGGTCTCCGATACATCGACCGAGCGCTTCGGAGGCGAAGGCGGCTCTACTGAATCAGTATTGTCTTGTTGTTCGCCGTCGTCGTCATCCGACTCTTCCTGGTTGCTGGAGGACGGACCTGATAGGTGGCCGAAGATATTTGGGGATGATGCTTGCGAGTTGGAGGCGTTGAAAATCGATTGACTGCCTGTAGACGGCGCCGGGCTGGGAGCTTTGGGAGTGGAAACTCCGCTCTTAGGCTTCAAAAGCCCAGTGAACGGATTTTCCTTGGGTGAAGTACTCCCAGAAGTACTACCAGGTAACACAAATTTAGTCGAGGCAGCAATCTCCTTCTCCTTGGCGAGACGCTCAGCCTCAGCCTTGTCGTACCTGGCAGACCACTCCTCTTTGGTCTCATCGTCCGAGTCGTAGTCCTCATCCATAGCCTTCTTCTTGCGTTCTGCGGCAAGCTCCTCGTAAGTCTTTGCGGTCTTGGTGAACTGAGCCATGAAGCCGCCTGCCGGAGCACTGCCAAAGTTCGGCTTGAAGCCAGTAGAGCCTGATGTACTAGTGGAGGAAGCACCGAAGCTTGGCTTGAAGCCAGACGAGGCTGCCGCAGTTTCTGCACCGTTAGTAGCGGGAATTGAGGGCTTAAAACCGAAACCGGTAGTCGATGCAGCTGGTTGCGAGGGCTCGGTGGCGGGCTTTTCAGCTGTCTTTGGAGCGAACAGGCTTGCCGATGAAGCTGGCGCAGGTGTAGAGGGCTTGTTTCCGATCGCCTTGGCAAACATGTTTGATGTCGCCGTGGCTGGGGCACTGAGCTTCGGTGTAGAAGCCGAGAGCTGGGGAGTCGGACCAGCAGATGCTTCTGTGGCACGAGCTCGCTTGGAAGGGGATGGATCACGGACTTCGTGGCTATCATCGTTGACCTTGCGCTTGGTGGATAGGCTTGATTCATTGCCGGTGATACCTCGTCCGGCTGCACGTTGCTTCTTCACGTTGTCGATCTTCTTCTTAATGTCGACCGCATGCTGGTAGTGCCAAAGCGACACGCTTGACCAGTCTGCCGTGGGAGGAAGGTTGCTCAGCTGTTGTCGGTACTTTTCGTTCAACATTTGCAGTTGAGCGGTCAGATCGGATATCTGCTTCAGTAGACCATCGCTGCTCTGCGCGCGAACGGCACCTGGTACAGCCCAATCTTTGGGAACGTGCACCTTGGGAACCTTGGGCATTTCTGGTGCCTGCGATTCTCTAGTCGACTCAGAGGTAGTACCGTTGAAGATCGATGTGGCCGGCGCAGGGGAGGATTGCGAGGGTTCCTTTGAAGCGCTGAACAAGTTGGGACGATCTGTCGAAGGTTTGGGCAAAGAGGCAAAGGGATTGGAAGCCTCAGGTGCAGCCTTGGGTGTTTCTGATACTGAGGTCGATGAAGGGGGAAAGCTTGACTGTGGCTTTTGGAACAAATTGCTGGAGTTGTTGCTCTCGGGCTGGAACGTTTGGGAGAAGAGGCCAGAGCTAGTTTTGGGTTGAGCAGCAGTGAACATGCCACCTTGAGACTTCTCCACGTCGGTTGTCTTCGCTGGCTGTGGTGTGGAGAACGGCTGGAATAGACTTGACTTTGGTGCTTCGGGAGCCTTCACTGTTGCTGCGCCCGTATCCTTATTGGCACCAAATATGCTGAAACCTGAACTGCTTCCTGTAGTGGTAGGTGTGTCGGCTGGCTTGGGAAGTGCCGCAAACGGGTTGGACTTGGGGGTATCGGCAGGAAGGCTGCTGCCAGACTCTTCAGGTTTCTTGAGGCTGCTGAACATGCTTGTTGGTGCAGCTGCCCCAGAAGACTTGTTTTCGGCGGTCGGGAGGTTTGCGAACGGATTGCTGGAAGGAGCAGATCCAAAGAGGTTTGTTGGAGGTGCGCTTGACGTCGTGCTGTCAGACTTCTGCGCATTTGCGCCGAAGTTGAACAGATTCGAGACAGGAGCGGTCGCCGTCGCCGTCGCATTTGGCGTGCCTTGCGCGCTCGTACCCAAGCCTCCAAAGAAGTTGTTCTGCTTCGGCGTTTCCGAGGTACCCTCCGTCTTTTGTGCGTTGGAACCGAAGCCACCAAACATGTTGTTTTGGGGCACAGCCGCCTGCTTGGGAGCATCTTCCTTCTGCGCATTGGCACCAAAGCCACCGAACGTGCTTGGTTGTGAAGGCGCCGTTGATTGTGTTGAGTTGCCAAATCCGCTGAAGATACCGCTTGTCGCCGGCGTACTCGTGGTGTTCGAGGCTGTCGTCGCTGCGGCACCGAATGTGAAGGGTGTGGATGCGGGAGCGGCGGTGCTCGTAGCATTTGGGGCGCCGCTGGTGGTGCCAAACATGCCACCGGGGGCAGCACTCGATGTACCAAACATACCACCCGAGGTCGCAGCGCTGGATGTACCAAACATACCGCCGGAAGAAGCGGCGGTGGATGTACCGAACATGCCTCCTGATGATGGTGCCGCACTCGATGTTCCAAACATGCCTCCAGTAGGCGCAGCGCTGGACGCCCCAAACATACCGCCTGTGGGAGCTGAACTGGTAGCACCGAACATGCCGCCTGATGAGGCTGCGCTTGTGGTATTGTTTTGGCCTAGGCCGCCAAAGGGATTGCTCTGCGCCTGGTCATTGTTGCCAAAAATGGACGATCCTCCGAACGCGGGCGCAGGCGTGCTGCCATTGGTCGCGGATCCCGAGTTGGCCGTCGCGAAAGGGTTTGCACCTCCAGCTGTGAAGTTGAAGCCCGCCGCCGAGGGTGGTGTGGGGTTGAAGCCTGTGCCCTGGTTGCTTCCTCCGAACGCTGGAAAGGACGAGGCAGCGAAGTTGTTGCTCGGGGCAGCGGACTGGGCGGGTGGGAAGCTGTTAGTCGCGCCGCCGCCGAAGGCATTGTTGCCGCCGAAACCGTTTGCGCCGTTGTTCGTAGGGGCGGACGTTGAGGCACCGAAGCCAAAGGCGTTTTGTTGTGGTGCGCCGAAGTTTGCGCTCTGTGATAGACCCTGATGAGCGCGTGCGTTAGCAAAGGCCTGCATCCTGCGTTGCAACTCGCGTCGCCCTTTCGGGGTGTGGCGGTCGGTCGACATGCTTGCGCAGCCGTCGAGAGTGCGATAGGGAGAGTAGTGTTGTGGTTGGGGTACTCACGGAGGTGGCGCCTGCTGGTCGTCGGGCTTTCGCGGTCTTGATTCTGGGGGACAAATAGTCAGCACGCGACGGACAAAGCGCGTCGTGACTAGAGCAGTCTGGGATAGACTCCAAGTCATGACTGGTGAGGGTGACTTACTTGCGGGCTGCCAGCTGTGCTGCCGTCGCCTTCTGGGGCACATCCGCGACATCATCGCGATCTTCGTAGGGGTTTTCGGGCCTCCCCTGGTCGAAAATGTTGCCCCGCTTATTGGACGACATGGTCGCGATCACTCGAGGAGTCTAAAAGTGATGGATGCGGTCGGTGGCTTGTTGGGATGGTTATAACTCCATGGGACGCGCGTGGTGGATGAAGATGGTGCTGAGATGTTTTTGATGTTGGTAGGGAAGTTGCGACCCGTGCTCGACGTCAGGGTGGGCCTTAGTCATGGCCTAGCAACGCGACTTTCTCTCACCCTGACAGCAAACTAGCCCTGCCAGAAAATAGCAACACTGCACACAAAGGACTGCACTATGTTGCTTCTACTTCCATGTGCATGCTCACAAATCCTTACCACCATGTGTTTCTACTGTCATGTCCAACGCCTCTTCGTCGGGTAAAGCCATAACCTGCCTTGCAGCACTATCGAATACAAATTTTTCGATGAGCCTAAACCAATTCAGATGCTGACTACTCTCGAGCACATTCGTCATCTTCTCGATGCTCGAAACGCGTCCAATATTGTGGCACCGCGTCCTATGTTAGCGCATCGCGTTGTGATACAACTAAGAAAAGAGGGTTATCAAGAATGCATTGCACCAGCACTTTGACATGAATTTGATAGGGCATAAGAAGTCTTTACTCATACTCGTATCCTACAAGGAGACGTCTATTCAACTTGATACATTGTTGATGGTGGGACGCGTAGTGGCTCTCGATATGCGTAGCGTGAAGATTCCAAGGTCCCAGGTAAATGCTGTTGATCCAAGGCCGGCCAGATGAATCACTTTGCATGAGTCTTGTCGTACATACTTGATTCTCGAAACCGAGGAATGGTACACGCATGGTATCGATCGAAAGTCTTGGAGGGGAGATGGTTGGACGAGAGTGTGGGGTAGAAGAGGTGTTTCATCCCAGGATGTTTCAGGCGGACCGCGGTGAAATAGCGCACACGTGAGGAGGTACTTGATGGCTTTTGTGGGCCAGGCCTTCTCCTCGTCATGCGGCGTTGAGATAACAGCCTTTAATGTCTGGTGTGGCTTGGGGCTAGGACCAGGTTTAGTATTTTGGGACAAGGCGGGGTAAGCGGAGTATCGTGAGATATCAGCCAATTCCGCGATGGGCAGAGCACTTGTATGGCTGAGTCGTGCGAATCTAGGTCAGCTTCAGCTTTGCAGCTTGCTTCTCCACGTCTCGACTCGACTCGCGGCCTCTCGTGATGAAGTGCTGCGCGTCCTGACCTGCTGTGCCACCAGATTGCGCAGTGTTGCTGCGCGACGGGCCCGCGGGCGGGGCGAAAGAGGAGCGAGACGGAGCATGTACAGCAAGTCCTGAGACATATCGTCGGACGGCACGGTAGCACTCTATTCCGTGGCTCACGAGCGGTGAGGCTCTCCCAGCCAGTCGTATTGCTATCTCGTTCCAAGCAGGCGGCGACTCCGCTTCAGCCGGTCTCCTCTCCTCCCTCCGCCATGCTGCATCTACCAGCGCATATAAGCACCCCGCGTCCTCAATCGCCGTGGGCGTCTGCGTCTCCGTCTCGAGTGGTGATGCTCCTCTTATCACTCGCGGCAACGTCAATCTCTCTCACCTACTCACCTACCGCCTAGCCGTCTAGGCGCTTAGAGCTGGGGCCGCCTTGGACTGAGCGTTCGCAGCGTGCAGCACCCCCTAGTCGGACCAGTCCCAGCAACCAAGGAAACGTCTGCCGACTAGGAAACCGCCGTCTTGTCTGCTGAGTACGCCATCGGCCGTCATTGAGCTTGGAACTGCCCCGGATCATCAGCAGCGGGCCGCGCGCCCACGAGTTGACACAGTCTTTTCGTCACCATCTTTTGGCGCGCTCGACAGCCGCGGAACGATCGGAAGATTGCCGCCAGTCCTATAGGTCGCACGTTGGCTTGGTGATGCGATTGCGTGCAACAACCACCCACCGCTGATCTCTTCTGGCCTATTACTCTCTGACATGCGCCGATAACACGCTTGAGCACTCCTTCTAACATGTCGAACCGGCATGCGCGTCTGCACAAACGAGGCTACTCCGCCTCCGCTGTGTCGAGTTCGCGCCCTCTAAGCCCCGTTGCTGACTACGACGTCGTTACCTTTAACCGTTCGGACACGCCCAAGGTCTACGAAGAGTCCTGGATAGAGACACAACGCCCTATGCCGTCTGCGACTTCCTCCCACCAGCTCAAGATCAAGCCCTACCTGCGCAAGCTCTCGTCCAAGGAGACCAGCGGGCTCGATCTGTCACGCCCTGCTGCCGAGAACGACCTCACCGGTCTGGGTATATCTGAATATGGCGCCTACTCACGGTCCATATCTGATGTTACTTTTTCGCCCGTCAACGGCCGCCACCGACACAACCGCTCCACCTCCAACACCTCGCAGTTCTCGTCGTCGTCTGGTCTGCAGCGGCCGACGCCCCTGCCTGCCATCCGCCAGACTCCGCAGCCCTTCACACCGCCAATAGCCCACTCATCGCCGCCATCAATTCTCGGGAGCGAGCACGAGGGCGATGATATCATGTCGGACGATGAGTTCCGCTTAAGACAAAACGCGTATGAACCCGCGCGCAGATCCGGTTCCATCTCCTCGGCACAGGGAACATCCCTACGCATCCACACCAACAACTCGTCCACCCGCCTTGCTGGCAGCTACTCCCAGTCGTCCGTCTCGCTCACCTCTCCAGTCGCCCAACCCAGGGCGCGTGGTGACACGCTCAAGTCCATCGACACCACCTCGCCCAGTTCGCGTACTTCCTTCGATCAGACCTATCGCTTTATCCGCGGCGGCCGCGACTCCCCCGTAGACCCAGCCTCGAGAGCTGCCTCCATTCGTGCTGCGCGACAGAAGTTCGAGGAGGAGCAGCGAGCCAAGGAGCGAAAGTATGAGAAGGTGGCACACAAGCAGCAGGAACGCGACTACCGCAAGCAGCAGAAGAAAGAGGACCACCAACGTCGCAAGTCAGAGACGCTCGACCGATCAGAGATTAACCGCACGCGCACTGTATCCACCGACTATGAAAAGACACCACGACCTTCGATAGCCGGGCGCCCTTCAGTGGGTGGACGCCAATATTCAGACCACCGTGAGGCGCACTCCAACTCACTGCCAAAGCTTGTGGCAACTGTCGATCCTGAGAAAGCAGCCGCCTTTTCCTCTACGCCCAAAGTCACCAAAAGCCGAGCCGCGAAGGGTACGTGGCAGCGTTTCGTAATCTGGCTCAAGACTCGACTGCTACGCATGTCTGGAAAGTAGGCCGCATGCACCGCCACAGACACACGCAGCAGGTGTGGCCAACCTAGCCGTGTAAGCAGTCGCCTTAGGTGCCACTCCACTACCTCTAACCCCGATGCCTTACACACCCCTCTCACTTGGCCCGACACTTGAGCAGATTGGTTTTGCATCTCATCCCTATACCCCATTTTTTCTTGCATATATTCTTTCGTGTTTTTAGCATGGCGTTTGGTTTAGGATTACGGCCTTTTTCATGATACATGCTCCTCTCATGCTTATGCTATACATCTTGCGAGCATCTTCAGAGACTTAGCATTCTACCTTTGGGCGCATTGGCAGAGACCTGCTTTGATCATTGCTTTCTACCATTTCTTATATTCTCATCACTTGGATATGCACAGGCGTTGGGAACGCTCTGGGTAACTTCCTCAAGACCGGCACTCAGTGTCTGGCGGCGTTGCGAGAATTTGGGTACGGTGACTGGGTTTGCTTTCGGTACAACACGCTCTGGTATCGGCCATCGAGCTTCTCAAATGCATTCTATCTTATCGAATCTTCATCTACCACACGTGACGCTTGCTTTCGTTCGCAATGTCGTAATTTGGAAGGCTTACACATGTTGACGCATCTTTTCCGACTTGTCCCGATGTCGCGATATCTGCCAGTAATTGCGTACTTGTGAATTGTGCATGAACGCCTCTCCACAACCACAGGGAATGCTCATCACTGGTTGCGACGTGCATACAGAACTCTTGGCGGTCTCTTAAGTCCGGGATTTACCCGCGCATCATCATCGTTCAGCTCACATGCAAAGCTTTCCCCGCTTTTGTCGCATCGACGCCTACGACATGAGTTACCGTCAATTGTAGTCGCAATGCCTCTACGAAGCCTGCCACGGGGCTCATTCGCCGTACGAGGCGCAACGGGAGCAGCGCTATGGCGGACATGCGGAGCTGGTGCGGGAGTCGGAAGAATAACGCAGAGGCGATGGGCGAGTGAAAGAAAACCGATGGGCAGGGAGGACGAGAAGCCATTCTACCTGCAACTCAATGAGAGTATCTACGAGCGTGTGCAGAAAGAGAAGGCCGAGCAGATCCAGATTCAATCTTTACAGCAAAGAACGGCAAGAGGACAATTCTTTGCGACTGTGTTTGGTACCAACAGTTCATACACCCCAGTTGTCGCGCATACTAACAGTTGAGTAGCATGTCTTATGACCGCAAGCATCGGCTATTACTATGGCCAGATGATTCCTCCGACCCCAGACATGAGCTCTACCGCACCGCTCGAGACCTTCAATCCTCCCAAGCACAATATTTCAGAGGCGAACATGGAAGCAGCATGGACAGACTTCCGCGACATTGTCGGAAAGGAGAATCTTACACTGGATCCCAACGACCTAGAATCGCACAGCGGATCATCGTGGTCTTCGCATCCCTCTCAACCAGGCGATGTGCCATTCTGCGTCGTGAAGCCAGGCAGCACACAGGAAGTTAGCGCGATCATGAAGGTCTGCCATGAACGCAAAATACCAGTCACTCCGTATAGCGGAGGCACAAGTTTAGAGGGTCACTTCGCAGCAACAAAGGGTGGCATATGCATCGACTTTAGCCGCATGGACAAGATTATAAAGCTACACAAGGGCGATATGGACGTCGTGGTTCAACCAGCAGTGGGCTGGGAACTCCTGAACGAAGAGCTGTCGAAAGAAGGTCTTTTCTTCCCTCCCGACCCAGGTCCAGGCGCAATGATCGGTGGCATGGTCGGGACAGGATGCTCTGGCACCAACGCGTATCGTTATGGCACAATGAAGGACTGGGTCGTATCACTCACCGTAGTCCTGGCTGATGGAACTGTCATCAAGACGCGACAACGGCCGCGAAAGTCTTCCGCTGGATACGACCTCACGCGCATGTTCATTGGTAGCGAAGGCACGTTAGGCCTCGTCACAGAAGCTACGCTCAAAGTCATTGTAAAACCACAACACACCAGTGTAGCAGTATGCGCGTTTCCGTCCATCCGCGCAGCAGCAGATTGCGTCTTCAAAGTCGTTGGCGCCGGCGTACCCATCGCTGCCATTGAAATCCTCGACGATGTTCAAATGCAATGTATAAATGACGCTGGACAGACTTCGAAGACCTGGAAGAACGCCCCAACGCTTTTCTTCAAGTTTGCTGGCACTCAGAGCTCCGTCAAGGAACAAATTAGCCAGGTGCAAGGTCTTGCCAAGAAGACCGGATCCGTAAGCTTCGAGTTCGCCAAGTCCGAACAAGAGAAGGAGGACCTATGGCAGGCGCGAAAGGAAGCACTCTGGAGCGTTATGGCCAAGGGTGAGGGCAACCCAGACATGGCTGTCTGGACCACAGACGTCGCCGTCCCGATATCCAAGTTGCCACAAATCATCGAAGAGACCAAGGAGAAGATTCGACAGAGTGGACTACTCGCCAGTATCGTAGGACACGTTGGAGACGGAAACTTCCACTGTAGGTTCATGCGTTTATCCTCATCTTATGACTCTTTCGCTTACGTATCATTCTAGCCATCATCCTATACAACCGCAACCAGGACTTCGACAAAGCCTCCCACCTCGTCCACGAAATGGTCAAACGCGCTATCGAACTTGAAGGTACAGCCACGGGTGAGCACGGCGTCGGTCTCGTTAAGAGAGACTACCTACCCCACGAAGTGGGTCAAACCACTGTGGATGCAATGAGGCAGCTCAAGAAGGCATTCGACCCTCTTTGCTTGCTCAACTGCGACAAGGTCGTTCGGGCGACACTGCCCAAACAGGGGGAAGTCGCTGAGTGGTAAGACACGCAGTATGTAGCCGGTTTCCTGTAGAAATATACTTTTCAAGCGGTTTGCACACTGCGCTGTGTATTCGATTATGTATTACTACCTCTTCTCCATCCTTCCTCAGTCGTGCGCTCTCTCATACTTGCACACTAAACAAACATCCCATATACCCAATACCCAGGTTCCCTCCACGCGCCATTAAGCCACACTTTCTCCTCTTCCTGCTTCCAACCCAGTTTCTTGAAGCCAAGTTTCTCCAAGACCTTTACGCTACCAGGATTCTCCTCGTCTACTGCTGCCTCGATGTACGCCTTTCCTTTTTGTCGCTCGTTTCCGTCGTTATCTTCCTGTGCGCCTGAAAATGAGGAAGACGCGGATACGAAAGCCATGTAGGCCTTCAATAGCGCATGGCCGGCTTCTGTCGCATATCCTTTGCCCCTCGCTGATGGAAACAAGGCATAACCTAGCGCCCTCATTGTGGTCGTTGTTGATGTGGATGGGATTGGGAGAGAAGGGCCGCTAGGTTGAAGACGTAGGCTTACGCTGCCTATATGCTTGCCTAGCCCAGTATCGTCATCGCCGGTAGAGGCTGAATTTGATGTATCGGGTTTGACAAACACAGAATAGAACATGTTATCAGTTGCAGGCCCCAACTGTTCTTTCATCCATTCGTAGCTTTCGGTCATGGAATGTGTGGGGCCGTGCAGACTCCATGCCGTGATGTCAAGGTTTGACCAGTTCTCGTGGAAGAGGCGGACGTGTGGAGAGGAAGGGTATGAAACGTCTGTTAGGCGGAGGAGCGCTAGGCGAGGTGTGTGGAGAAGGGTATCCATAATTGTGTTGGAGTGAATGAAGAATCGGCGGTATTGATCGGAAGGTCTTGAGAGAGGGTTCGAGGGTCGTGACGTAAGCTGATGTACTTTCAGGTGAGATTATAGTGAAGACGAAACAATTTATGTTGAGGATGTATGAGTCAATAGTGCTTACTTTTGACTAATCCAAATTCTTACGCACTTCTCTAGGTTCAAGAAATTGAAAATCCGTCGGACTTGTTCCATTGTGTTTTATGTAAGATATCATGGACTCGTAAGGTGCCAAGTTTGAGAGGTGATTGCCGGAAAAGAGCACGTGAGGACGCATGGACGTGATGACTAGCGCGCTTTCTCACTTTGGCATCTCAGCCCTCGTTGCGCCTACCGCATTTCGGGATTTCGCTTGTACAAAACAGAGTCACATGTGTCAACAAACTCACATCCACAATTAGTCCTGCTGTGGCTATCGTCTGGCCCATAAGAAGATGACTCATTACCCGACAATCTCAGTCATCAGATTCTTCGGCCACGCCGGCTTATCGACACCATTTCCTCGCGTCCCTACATTGTACCCCAACTTCACATTTCCTTGTGGGTATTGGATGATCGGCTTGACCCCCTTTATGTCCTTGCCGATCGCGCCCGCATGTCGCATCTCAAAGAAGTCGGGCTTGAATAGCACGGATCCCGAATTCTTGAATAGCATCTTCATGAAGAGCGGCAGTGTATACTGCATGTTGTGGTGATGGCGGAAAACTTGGCGTCCATTGCGTGTCCAGACATCTTCCCAAACGTCTGTGGGATAAGTGCTGACGCTGTTTACTAACCATTGGGAATAGTAGTTCAAAGCGATCTGTAAACATTAGCATCCAGTACGCTCCCGTAATGGGGTGCTGACTTACATCGACTTTGTAAGAACCACCTTCAGCGCCCCTTCGAATTATCGCGTTCAAGACGGCGATGACACCAGAAGTACCAGTGCAGAAGTCGCTGTTAGGAAAGACAGGTGTGACGGGCTCGTCATTGCCCATGGCTCGTCCAAACTCCATCGATACGCCACAGCACGCGTCGGAGATTTGCTGCCACCCGCTGCGATACGACCAAGGACCATACCAGCCATAACAGTTCTCCCGCACAACGATAAGACCTCGCTCTCGATCCTTCGTCAGGTCTAGTAGGCCTTCGGGCGAGAAGCCATATTTATCCAACACACCAGGCCGATAACCTTGTACTACAACATCGGCTTCTCGGACCAGAGCGCGCAGCTTCTCTCTATCCTCTTCTTTCCGGAAATCCAGATGCGCGTTCCACTTTCCCCAGCTAAGATCGACGTGTAACATGGACATGTCGGTAACGTGCTCAGCTGTTACTCGCATCACCGAAGCACCCAGTTCGGCGAGGCCTCGGGTTAGAGCTGGAGCAGCAATGACGCGGGTCAGGTCGACGACTTTGAGACCTGCGAGTGGCCTCTTTACACCTGTCTCCGAGCTATCTGGCCACCAGCACGCCGGCTGTTTCTGATTCTTGACATCGTGGATTTCGTAGAGGCCTACATGGGCATTCGCTTTTCCATGCTCGCTTTTCTTAAACTCTTCGGTTGTCCAGCAGATCGTACCAGCTTGCTTGTACACATCCGACGCCAACCGTTGCATCTCGTCGGATTCGATACCTGCTAGCTTCTCTTCGTATGGTTTCCATGGATCCTTCGACTCAGCTATGTCCATGTTATGCGGTAATCCGACACTCTCTTGCGTGGGTTCAGGATTCATGGAGCCATGGAGATGGAAGTATCTTCCATCTTTGCACTGGTAGATGTTCGTAGCCGCTACGCGATACGGAGTCCTACTCAGATCATGCAAATCGCAGTTCTTGAAATATCTATTGTATGCGTCCGAACCCTTCGCGAATGGTTTGGTCAAGAACTCGATGTTCTCGCCATCGGGTTCGATGACGTTCAGTAAGATCGACATGAAGAAGAGTTGCGCGTGGTCGCTTTTCACGGACACGCGTTAGCTACTCGATTGCAACAATGCCTGGTAATAGAACTCGAACATAAAGGCTTACGTATCAATGACGGCTTCTTGGGGTTCCAGTCCGTATTTCCTCTTCAAAAGGACGTTGATCATGGCAGCTTCTAGCCCCTTGAGTGCCGAGATGCTTTCGGCGAAGCGCCAGTTGATGGGTATGCTGGGCTTATCGGTGCCCTTGAACTGAACTTTCTTCGCGCATTCTGCGATACCGGTGGGTAACGTGGGAGCGATGAGGGGATTGCTTAATATGCCCTTCTCGAAGATGTTTTGCGTCTCGCGAGGGACAGAGTAGTCCTTGTGGCTACCATTCGTGCCATTAGTGTGGCCGTTCGTCATAGTGTTCGTCGTTTCCAACAGTATTAGAGCTTTGAATTTGACTTGAGAAAACCGAGAGAGTTGCTATGAGACGCGGATAGCATGAGCTTTATCACTTTCGCTCTCCGAAACAAGTCCCACCCAACCCACTCAGCTCCTCGGTGGCCTTGTACGACGGTGCAAGCAACGCCAATCGGCGCACCAGCTTCATCATCCCAATCGTCACCGGTCTTACTCAAGCATTGCCGATCATGGTAGATGGACGGCAATTCGTTTTCGGCCCTCGGGCGAGTAAGTCGACTAGCTCAATCTACCCGACAAGGTGGGGTATCACCCCGCAATCTGGATACACGTTACGCAAGAAGAGGATCAGGTCTGTTGGCATAGCAGCCTGATGTGGAAATGTTTGTAATTGGAAGTCTGGTGGGTGGATTTAAGTTGCGGTTGTATCGCGATAATGCAAGTCTGCTTTACGCGCATCCGCATGCGTTAGCGACCTAATCCCAGAATACACATAAGATTGCACCACAAGCCCTCTCTCGACTATCTTTGTTGAAACAGTAGATATGGCATCGTCAGACTACAGCACGAGATGGACAGCGCAGCGCGGACGCCGTCCAGTGAGGATAGCAAACTGCTCAGGCTACAAAGGTGATACCAGCGCTACGTATGCTAAACCAGTCTGACGAACGCAAGGGGATCCCGGATATCATATGCTCTATCAAGCAGAACTAGGAGACACAGACTTCATCACAGGCGACTACCTCGCCGAGGTCAACATCGCGGAAAACGCCCAGGCACATGCAGCGGGCAAGCATCCTGGATGGGAGAAAACAGCTTGGGACGGTATCGAGCAGACGATCGACTTATTGAATGAGAAGAGGATCAAAGTCGTTGTCAATGGTGGTGCGCACAATCCGAAGGGGTTGGCCGAGAAGGTGCATGAACTCGTGAGTCTCGCCTCATCAATGTAGTCGCTACACGGGCTAGTTGACTGAGAGATGAACAGGTTGTAAGCAAAGGATATGATCTGAAGGTTGCGTACGTGTCTGGCGACAACCTAATGGACGAGATGAAGGATATCAAAGAGAAAGGTTTACCGCCGCATCTAGATTCTGACAACAGTGAGGTAACGATCGCGGACCACACGCTTGATGTCCTGAAAACCGACAAACCGATCGTCAGTGCGAACGTCTACCTCGGCGCTCGCGAAATCGTCAAAGGTCTCGAAGAAGGCGCAGACATCATTATTGCTGGTCGGGTTGCGGACGCCAGCCCCGTTATCGGCGCTGCATGGTACTGGCACTCTTGGCATGACACCGACTTCGACGCGCTTGCAGGAGCGCTGATAGCAGGTCATCTCATTGAATGCAGTGGGTACGTAACGGGCTCGAATTTTGCGGGATTCTACGAGTATCCGCTGGATGACCTGTACGACATCACTTTCGGTATCGCAGAAGTCGAAAAGAACGGAACATGCGTGATCACGAAGCATGAAGCGAGGAAAGGTTTTGTTACAGAAGACACTGTCAAGTGCCAGTTTCTATACGAGCTTCAGGGCAATGTGTATCTGAATAGCGATGTCAAGGCTATCTTGGATGAGGTTCAGGTCAAAGCTGAAGGCAAGAACAGGTACGCTCAAACATATCTCACTCACATTTCATGTTGGCAGGAGCAATCTCGCTAACAATCAGAAAGAGTTCGTTTATGGGGCGTCAAAGGCAGACCACCCCCACCCACTACGAAGCTCGCAATCTTCTATCAAGCAGGCTACCAATCTGAGATTGTCGTTAATGCAACCGGGTATGCCACGGCTGAGAAATTTGATCTCTGGGAACGCATGATCAAGTTTGGTCTGAAGCAGAAGGGGATACTAGACAGATTCGACATCTTGGAATTCCAGCGCATAGGCATGCCAGAGTCTAACCCGAAGAGCCAGCTCAGAAGTACATCGTATTGTCGGATCTTCGCGGAGAGCGGCGATCCGAACGTGAACCTGGGCCTAGCGAGTCTACTGGCAGACTTTGCGATGCAGCACTACTCAGGCTTCCATAGTACTATGGATCATCGCACAGCGATACCGAAACCGTACTTGAGCTTCTATCCAGCGATTTGGCCGCAAAACAAGCTCAATACTGCGATCAACATTCTCGAATCTGGTGAGACAAGGAAGTCGACGACTACGCCGCCACCAAAGTCGGAAGAAATTGAGAGACGGGAAAGCTACGAGACTGCGAGTCCTGTAGATCTTACATCCTTCGGCTCAACAAAGCGTGCGCGACTAGGAGACGTGGTGCTCGCCCGGTCAGGTGACAAAGGCGGTAACGCAAATATTGGCTTCTTCGTACCCACAAGCCTACCTTCCTCTTACCCAGAGTCATCGCACCTGTACGCCGAGAGTTGGGACTGGCTCCGCAGCTTTCTTACTATGCCTAAACTCAAGGAAATGTTCGGAGAAAGCTGGAGCGACAGCTTTTTCATGGAAAGAGTGGAGTTCAGAGGTATCATGGCGGTACATTTCGTAGTTTATGGGGTGTTGGGCAGAGGCGTTAGCGGGAGTAGCAGGTTGGACGCTTTCGCCAAAGGCATGGGCGACTGGTTGAGAGATGTAGAAGTCGAGGTTCCGGTGAAGTTTTTAGAAGGAAGGGTTCGCGGCAAGGCTGTGGCTGGAAGGTATGCGGGGGATGCGTGACCGAATTGCCTGATTGCCAGACGTCCATCGCGTTTTCAACGCGCATTTATTAAAGCGCGCATCCGTGATTGTGGCCGGGGTCTATGCTCCAAAGACCCTGCCAAGCCACCAACGATGACGTAGACGGTTAGGGGACAATCAAATCGGGGTTTGTCGCGCATGCACAGCCACAACAGGCCACCTTCGCTACATCACCATTCAAGTGCGCCCGCTTTCCTGGTAGTGTACCTTAACAACACTACACAGTCCTGATCAAGATCTTTTCGACTACTTCCCACATGTCCAACGAATTAGGATAGGTCGTCTTTCTGCACTGCTCTGAGTTCCCAGACCCACCATGTTCAAGAAGTTCAAGGATAAGATAAAGGGCGATGACAGCTCTTCAAGGCCGTCATATGGGACAGATCAACACAACCAGCATTCAAACAACCCTTACTACAGCTCGCCTCAAGACCAGCACCATAACATAGCGCCCACGGAGAAGTATCAAGCACCACCTGGCCCACCGCCGAACCAGGCTTCATCCTCGTCTGGGTACTCCGCTCCGCCAGGTCCTCCACCGAGCCACGGATCGTCGTCTTATACTGCTCCTCCAGGGCCTCCACCTAAACAAGAGTTTTCAGGTTACGCACCCCCGGCCGGATCACCTCCTTCGTATCCACAGCAACCCCCTCCTAGCTGGGATCCTCCGCCATATCACGACTGGACAGTCGTACCTGACACTGCACTTCTACCTCCACCACCTTCGATGGGTTACGATAGTTCTCCCACTGCTAATGCGTCTACTGAAGATGGCGATCGTGCTTTGGCTTGGACCAACATGAATCCTTTGTGGCCACCGCAGAACCTGCAGCCTAGCACTCATGCTGCGATTCAAAAGGGTCAGCTTGCTCTACTGAAAGCGCCATCCTATCTGGGCGATCTACTCCCTCAACCTCAAGCAGGCCACTGGCGTTGTCGCACCCATGCGAATTGCAGGGATTCGAGTATTCTCACGAATCTGCCCATGTACAGCGTGTTTTGGGACTCACCACTCAACACACAACGCTCCAAGACTGTCTACTTCGAACTCAAAATCCTTGGAATTGGTCGCGGTGGTTTCTCCTTCTCAGAAGCAGACGCTGGTATCGCGATAGGCTTCGTTGCGCCGCCTTACCCCACGTTCCGTCTCCCAGGTTGGGAGCGTGCCAGCCTTGGTGTGCATGGAGATGATGGAAGAAAGTACGTCAATGATGCATGGGGCGGCATCGACTTTACCTCGGCTTTCAAGCCCGGCGATACCGTGGGTATTGGTATCACCTTCTCAGTTCCGCGCAACCCGCCATCCTACGAACAGTCGCAACAGGGAAGGATGCTAGATATCGACGTGTTCTTCACGCGTAATGGAGTGAAGGAAGGTGGCTGGGATGGCAACGAGGAGCTCGACGTGCGAAGCGAGGGCGGCAACACGGGACTGAGGGGCGAATGTGATCTCTTTCCGGCGATTGGCGTGTTTGGTGGTGTGGATTTCGATGTCTTCTTTCATCCATCACAGTGGCTTTACCGCCCATACTGAGATAACCGGGGTACATGATCAAGGCTCTCAGGTAAAGGCAGTATGCACTTGCAGTGAGATAGAGGTCCTGCAACCTCACTTGTATGCCGTACGACTAATGTTAGTATATTCTTTAATCTCACAGCTTGCTTATTGGTCTCTCTATCATCTTCTGGATCCTTGAGCTAAGCTACATTCTGCAATTATAATCGATTCTTGCTATCACTCAATCAATCTCGATTTCAGAACCGATTGCCATGTCTTCAACTACACCATACTCACTTCAGGACTTTGGCTATCCGTTGATGCTCGAAGATTACGTCCCGGTTCCTCCTCTACCAACTACTGTCGCAGGTCTTTGTGGTACGTGTCATGCACCTGACGCGAGGAAAAAATGCAGCAAATGCAAGAACATCCGCTACTGCTCGCCAGCCTGTCAGAAACGCGATTGGGAGTTCAGCCATAAGCTCGTCTGCAAGCCCTACGCCAAAGCTATCAAACAACCCATCGGGGATAACGTGAGGCGCGTGTTGCACTTCCCCTTCAATTCGACCAAACCTGTCTTCTCCGTTCTCGCGTTCGATGAGGAAGATACGGTAAGCGGTCTCGAACATCACTTCCCAGGCGTGCCGGCCCAGGAGATCAAGAAACTATCATTCCACAACCGCTACTTTCCGTACTTCATCCAGATCAACTACAACATGAATGCCAGGGGAGAACATGCACTCACTGAGAACAAGAGCCTTGGACTACCGTTTCGCGGCCCAGTCGTCGTGTTGGCGTATGATCTGGAGATTGCGCTGAGTGGTCCCGCGTTGAACGCCGATACCACAATCATGCGACCATTGATGGAGTACATTCAGCTGTTGCGCGAGTATGATGGACCGAAGTTTGTTGAGGTAAGTTATTGAGAAAGGACGTTTGGGCAATGTCGCTAATTGTGCTTTGCAGCAGCCGCAGCAGAGGTATACAGAGGCAGAGTTGAACATTCTCATGGGCTCGGCTTCTATATCTGGTGAAGCAAGGAGATTGATTAGGGCGTAGTTATTGTTGATCAAAATGAGCAAGTGAGAACGGATAAGGTAAAAAGCGCTTTGCTGGAACTACGAGAAACGGGCGTTTCATGTATCAATAGGAAATACGAATTATCGACCTTTGTTGTGGTCATTCTCTTGTTCATTAGCACATTAAAGCTTCCAAGTTATCTCGTATGGGGAAGCAGCTGCGATTCTAAGCCAAGCCATGCCGCAATTTCGATTACTCTGCTCCCGATTGCTCATAGATGCTTCAGGATAAGCTCTACCTCTGCATCTGCCGCCTCCAAAATATGCTTCGGCTCATAGCCTGGCATCCAAGCTAAGCTGTAGGCCCTCTTTGCTTCAAGCCTGCATCTGTGCCTGCATTTAATATCTAGTTTATCATTCGAGCATGCGAGTAGACTTACTTTCCACCCAACTGCACTGCAACAAGCTCTTTTGGGCAACTCAAGGCCTGCGCCATCTTGTCTAGCGCTGCATCATCCGCTTTCTTGACTTCAGGGCTGTCGATTACTCCGCGTTTCGCAAGAGCTTTTGCCATCGCGGTATATATGTCGCACCAGGCCAGACTTCCGGAGGAAGCAAGATAGTACCCATTCTTGCCATGGTTTGGGTTCTTGTCGCTTAGAATGCTCTTCAGCAAGTCCACGTAGAGTTTCGAGTTATCGTCGATATGGCATACGGGCCAAGTCTGTGTAGCACGTAAGTATGCGAGTGGGTGGCTTGATGGCTATTCGACAATACCTACACAGCCTTCTGGGTTGACATCGTACACGACGCCGGCGCCCTTCGCGGCTTTGACCACAGCCGTGGTTTGGATTGAGATCTTGTTACCAAAACCCTTGCCTTCGCCGTATACGATACATGGGATAAAGATGTAGCTGCGGACTCCATATTTCTCTGCCGTTTCGATGATGACATTGTTCGTGTTCTTTGCCTTGAGGTCACATGAGTAGGAGTGACGGAGGTTTGGGCCGCGTGCACGCTAGTCGCTTCAGACATACCTGTGTCCAGAGTGGATGCGGAGCCTTGGAGCTCTTTTGTAGCTTGTACAGATCGGGATCCGTATCAGGAAGTGCTCGGTCGATAGGCATTCCCGCATGCTCACTGAACATCTTCGCGCCACTTGTGTGCAAAAAGTGCACTTCCCGGCCAGTCTGCTTCTTGACTTCTGCAAGAGCTTGTATCATGGGCACTTGCATATCGGAGTTCACAGCGTCGACAAGGAAGAATATGACGAAGATCTGCGCATCTACGATGCACTTGACAACGCTCTTCTCGTCCTGTAGAGTGAAGGTGAGAGGGTGTGCGCCATACTTCTTCACAGCTTCCGCTTGATCTTGAGATCTGACAAGGGCGTATATGTCTTTGTGCTCTGGAAGTACGGTGTTGCGCAGTTCCGCAAGCAGCGAGCCACCGAGATACCCAGAGGCGCCAGTGATGAGGACAGACATGGTGGAAAGTGGGTGAGACTTAGTATGAACGTGTCGTCAATGAAGTTTGGTTACTACATGAGAGCATGTACTTTGTGCTATACCTGTGTCAATAAATGCTAGAGTTCAACATTGGAATTCTTTGTAATGGCCTGGTTGGGTGATCGAGCGAGTAGCCGATAAGACGGCGTAGTGCTTACAAATCGTCACGTGGAACAGACATCTTGGACACCCGTGGGCGTCCCCCCGATCGTCGACTGATTGGCATGGCTGCTCCATCCGGTGAAGAGTGCGGCAATGTGAGTAGCTACGCTAGGTTCGACAGACATGATACGAGCGAGTGGGTTGCAATGCTAGAATAGTATCGGGCTTGAATGCGATGGGGGGGGGGGGGGCAGCGACGAGCGTCTAGCTACATTCGGCGAGGCTGCAAACACGGCGGGTACGGCGCCCCCTGTTCTGCCATGTCGAAAAGACGGTGATCGGTCGATGAAGAAAAAGGATCACCCGCTTGTGGCGTCGCAATGCCTGTGGAGGAGAAGGTTTGCCCCACCAAACAATAGCTGTCTTGCTGCTGCGCGGGGCTGAAATATCGTTTGCTCTCATGCAGAGTGTCTCGGAAGATGTAGATGTACAGGGTTGATACGGGGGCATGGGATTGGGTTCAAAGGGCATATGGCTCGGGGCGAGGCGATGGGATTCTCGGCAGATCGGCATGTGGGAGGGGAGGTGCGAGATGCATCTTCGATTGCGCCCCGTGCTCGCCTGCAATCGACGCCAGTACTGGCCGAGAGAAGCCCCGTCGCAGCCAAAACCAAAGCATCGCATGGGAATAAGATAACCGGGTCCTGACCGCGTCTGGTCTGCGCAAACGTCGCTTCGTCTTGAGGATGCTGCAGCCACTCTGTATCTCCCTCGCGACTGCCACCTCTGCGCCAGCAGCTACATGCAGATACTCACCCCTCCCCCCGACGAACAAGGCTTCGGCGCTCCTCCCATGAGCTCCGACGATGAATGCGCATACGATTGGACTGCCGCGCTGCCCCAGACTGACCATGTCACCTTCTTCCGCACCACGGACTGGTCGCGCAGCCGTCTGGGGCCACTGAACACATGGAGCCCGACGCTGCGCATGTTCGCAAGTTACGTCCTGGCTGATTCACGGGGAGCCTGCCTCTGGTGGGGAGAAGACATCTCCAGCCTCACTGCCATCTACAACGAGGCGTATGCGCCCATAGCCGGTGGCGCCCACCCCAACCTTATGGGCTCCCTCTTCCAGGAAGGTTATCCAGATCTCTGGCCGTCCATCAGCCAGTACTTCATCCAAGCCAAGCGAACTGGCACTGGCGTAAACTATAGCTCTGCCACGCCCACGGTTGTCGAGCGCAGGGGCTACAAAGAGGAAGCCTTTTTCTCTGGCGGCTTTGTTCCAGTAGGCATGCCTGGCGCTGTCGAAGGCTTCATGAATACGACGTGAGTTACGTGCAGTGACCAAGTTGGAAAACACGGCTCTCCTAGTTACCCATTTCCCAACCACAGCTGACACAACTAGCTATGAGGTAACAAGCCAGAAGCTCGCAGACCGCCGTACTGCCTGCCTGAACACACTCGCCTCCATCCCCTCACAATGTGTTGACGCCGTCTGCTCCCACGTCCTTACCACACTCGAAACCAATGCCAACGACGTGCCCATGGCCATTCTATACCGAATGGACGCAACCCCAGGCTCGAACAATTTGATACTCCATGGCCAGTTCGGTTTACCCGAGGGGCACAGCCTTGTCGTTGAGACAGCCACCATCGATAGTGAGCAGGGCCTAATTCCTGATCTGCGACGAGCTGGAATAGACACCATGCTCATCGAGTGTGACGACCGGTTTCTGACTACCTCTTGGAGAGGTTGGGGTGCACCGTCTAAGCAGATCGTCATATTACCCATCATGTGTGGAACGCGCCTCTTTGGCTACCTAGTCTTCGGCACCAATCCATACCGCCCTCACGACGATATATGCAAGCAATTTATTCAGGACTTAGGCCGCATGGTTTCAAGTATCATATCTTCTGCCGATGGCAACGAGTCCAGCAAAAAGCGTCAAGAGCAGCTCGAGGCTGACTTGGCTTTCAGTGATCTCAAGCTACGCCACCTGATTGATCACGCGTCTGTGGGCATGTGCCATGTATCTCTGGATGGCTACATGCTATGGGCTAACGATCATTATTATGAGCTAGCCGGGAAGTCCCCTTCGGAGCATGCAGTCGGCCTCGCCTTCCTTGACGCCTACCACGAGGATGATCGGGTAAAAGCTGACGGTGTCTGGGAACGTCTGATCAGAGGCGCCGACCACGTCACAGCCGACTTGCGCATGAAGCGCATGTACACGCCTCCTACTGGAGATCCCGAGCCCGCCCAGCTCCAGGTCCTGGCCTTCCCGTATCGCGACGAGCATGGAAGCGTGAGAAGCGTAATGGCTTGTACGACGGACATTAGCAGGCTGTGCTGGGCGCAGACCTTCCAGGCCCGATTAGCCGCCGAAGCAAGAGAAGCAAAAAGACAGCAGGAAGCCTTCATTGACGTAGTTTCACACGAAATGCGGAACCCATTGAGCGCCATCGTACATTGCGCAGATGCGATTGCCAACGCGATTGTCGAGTGCCAGACGCAGCTGGCCGATATACCTGTACCGTGTCTCGATACTCTTAATGACAACATACAAAGCGCAAACGTCATCATGCAATGTGCAAATCATCAGAAGCGTATCATCGACGATGTACTTACTTTGAGTAAGCTCGACTCCATGCTCTTGTCCATCACGCCTGTCGCAGTCAAGCCCGCAAAGCTCGTGGATTCCATCGTCAACATCTTCCAAGCTGAGATGAAGACGCACAACATCTCCTACAGTATCACACCAGACACGTCATTCTTGAGCCTAGGCATTGACCACCTTCATCTGGATCCGTCCCGCGTGACACAAGTCTTCATCAATCTACTGACGAATGCCATCAAGTTCGTCAAGCCATCGAAAGAGCCAGCCCTCTCCATCCGCTACGGCGCTAGCACATCAGATCCTCGCGACCTCTTTCCAAGAGACATGTTCTGGGCTACTGAAGGCAAGCAAGACGGCGATGTCACGAGCAACCCAGACTGGGGCACCGGTGAAGAGATCTATCTGGCATTCACCGTCAAAGACTCGGGCATTGGCTTGCAAGAGAAGGAAATTCACAAGATTTTCGAGCGCTTCCGCCAGGCAAACGTGAAGACGCATGTCAAATACGGGGGCAGTGGGCTTGGTCTATTCATCTCGAAGGAGCTTACCGAGAAGCAAGGTGGCGAAATAGGCGTGTCATCTGTCCTGGGCCACGGTTCGACTTTTGGATTCTACGTCAAGACGCGAAGAGTAGAATGGAAGCCCAGGACCCTCAAAGAGATGTTTCAACAAACCGGCAACGAGGAGGCGGCAATGCGGCAACTCCACGTACTGTTGGTGGAAGACAATCTTATCAATCAGCAAGTTCTCGGCAAGCAACTTAAGAAAGCGGGATGCCATGTTTCTGTCGCAAACCATGGTTTGGAGGCTCTCGAGATAATGGAAAGAGAAACGTTTGACATTGTCTTGATGGATCTGGAGATGCCGGTGCTTGATGGACTTGGTGCCATGCGCGAAATTCGGAAAAGGGAACACGAGCAGGGGGTGCTGTCTTCTGAACGCTTGCCTGTGATCGCCGTCACGGCGAATGTCCGGAAAGAACAAATTGATACTGCTCTTGCTGCTGGAGCAGTAAGTATACGTTATTCTTCGAAAGTAATTTCGTGCTAACAGGTTGTACAGGATCGCATCATGCAAAAGCCGTTCAAAGCAGCCGACTTGGTGTTGATGATGAAATCCTTGATGCCGCAATTAGCGCCTTTGTCAATCGAACCTCCAACACCAGGCCTCGGCCTCCGGTCCAATGCGTTGGTACCTTGATCTGGGTTCCTTCAACCCCTTTTCTTGAAATCATTCGGCACCCCAATCATTGGACCAGAGGTTTTCCACCACCTCGTCTCCCATCTCAAAGCGGTCCCTGGAGAACCCAATGCGACGCTACGGAAGGGGCAAGAATCGTGTGTTCTTGTCATGCAGTCCACAGCTGCGCATCGAACTCTCTGCGTCTCCCGTTCCTATTGGGATATGCAATCATCGCCTGGTGGCACCCGTACAGGTTAGTTGAGTTCTCATATAAACTCATCTGCAAAAGTACTTTACGAAACATCATCAGCCGGTCTAAGTGTGGCCGCATGAGATACCACGTACGCCGTTTTTTTTTTAGACGCCAGACGACTATATCTCATAGTCCACTGAGCAGTACGGTGCACAAGGTCAGGGGAAAGAAGATTGGTGTATGAGAGAGCGATGGGGTTGACAGACGATACACAGTAGTAGCGAACGACATTGTGGACATGATGTCGAGAACCCTTGAACTTTTCGAGGAAAATGAACGTCCTGCAACATGCTTCCAACTTGATCTCGACGATGAACCATCCTCATGAGCCGTCTGATCACAGAGTCATTTCGAAGACTCATCGCCGTACCGCGGATGCAAACAGAGACATGCCAGCTCAGAATTCGTCGGCAAAGATTCATCACATACCCAACCACCCAAAATATCACCCAAAGTCGTTGCAATTAGATCATCATGAGTCAAGCGCTACGTTGTACATGCTGTTGTCCGGTGAAATGATAGTAACAGGCATGGACTGACCACGTCATAGACTAACACCGCTAATATCGCCAATACCCGTCGTGTAAGAACTAGATAGAAAATCTTGGCCACTACGTTTGTTCTCCGCCGAGCCGTGCGAACGGCCCTTTTCACATGCTGTCTTTGGAACAGATATATGCCAAGACACGAGATCGACCGACGATCTAAAGTTCAGATGTGTGCGACGGGACCTGCAGTGAATAGCGGAGAATAACAAGGCCGAGATCGATGTTCTCATGCGCCGGCCGGGCCTTTTGTTTGCGGTAATGCCTGGTGCTAGTAAGAATTAATTGTAATTGTGAGTATGAAGATCGCTTAGTGGCTGACGCACTTTGGTGACCACTACCAGGAAAATACTCTCGCTAGGCAATCGCTAAAGGAAGAGGACAAAGCTCAGGAAGAACGGACAAGGGTGCAGATATCATGCTGCTGTATAGACCCCTACAGTCTTTTGGGCATACACCATACGATCGAGACCTGGTTCCAACAACCTGGATCCTCAACGCGGCGGTTTGGCGAACACGCTGCTGCAGATTCCGGAGGTTGAGACGTATATTGTGGCGATGGAGGCTATAGAACCGGTGGATAGGAGCTACCCGGAAAGATTTCGGTAGTGTTTGTATACATTGCATGGTGTTGTTGTTTGAGGATGGCGTAGCGGCTGGCCTTAGTTGGATTCCTAAAGAACCGGTGTCCCGTATGCGTCAGGCTACGCCATCTCTCCCAGCATGAAGCCCGTAGCAGGTGCCACACGTGGCGGTTATTTGCGAGAAGCACAGGCACGCGTCTGAGCACATTCACCGCTCGCTCCGCTCCGGCAACTACGTATGGGTCGGGAGATGCCGCACGTCCGAGTGCTTCATGCGTCCGTCTGTGCGATGAGGGGGAAATGCTAGAGTGGCTTGGCGCAAGGACGCGTGCAACTCTGCTTTGTACACTGAAGCTCTTTCTCTTGGTGCATGAAAGAGATAAGGTGGTGGTCGTGTGTCGGCGAGCACTTCGCCTTGTTGGAATGGAAGGCGTGGGCCCGAGCGCCAGAGATCGTCCGGAACGGAGTGTGGGGACTCATCCCATGTTCAAAGACTTTGCAACCCGCGGGTAACCCACGCAATGCATGATAGCCAGTTCGGAGCATGCCAATTGCGCGCCCGTTATCCGCGCTTCAGTCGGCTCGAGAAGCTTGTCGCGGTAGCTGCATTGCATCTGCGCACCTGAAACACCGTCTTTTGCTGTGCTGCACACCGGGTTAGCCTAAGCCCCGGACTCTCAGCCTTCAAAACCACACTTACGCACTCCTGAGCAGCAAACAAGCTCACGCTGACGTTTGTCGTCTTCTTGTCTTCCATCGCCCAAAGACTATGCCGTGCGCCTGTGCAGGGGCAGAAAGGTTGTTATCTGCAGAGTGGCCATAAATGGCGAACAGCAAGTGAGTAATCAATAGCTTTTCGAGCGGGTGGGGAAGCTGGTCGCCTGCACGAGCTCACCGGACCTCAACTAACGAACTTCAGATACGAATATGTGCGCGGGTTCGAGCAGCCCGACAACCTAATCCCCAACACCTGGATCGTAGTGCGGATAGACGGACGTGGCTTTTCCAAGTACGCTCACCAATTCTCTCTCCCTCACTTACGCCGTGGCAAACTTTCTTGGTCCGGAATATGCAGGTACCCGTCACCATGTTGCATGAACGGAATTGCTGCCCCAGGCCAACATCTCGGCTATTGTACGCCAACAAGGGCCATTGTTAACAATGCGCAAACAGGTTTACGTCCAAATATGAGTTCCTCAAGCCAAACGACAAGAATGGCCTTGATGTCATGAATGCTGCAGCCGTAGCGGTCATGAAGGAACTACCCGACCTTGTCCTTGCATTTGGCAACAGCGACGAATACAGGTATGTGGCATTCTTTTATTCGAGCACCTTGTGTTTGAGATTGATTATGCCTCCATCGAGCTGCCCAATGTTCCCAGCGACGTATACACAGGGGTGGGGCAGCATGTTTCGGGGCTGCTTAGCTGACGTGGGTCGCAGTTTCGTCTTTCACAAGGACTGTGCCTTATTCGAACGACGAGCCAGGTACGGGAATCCTCCCATTGGTGCAACTTTATCATCTCCGGTGGCCGTTCGTCCAGAACTAATCCCCGTTTAGCAAACTGACTACGACGATTGTCTCGACTTTCACTGCTTACTATGTGTATTCTTGGTCAACATACTTTCCGGATAAGCCACTTACACCACCCCTACCGACATTCGATGGGCGTGCAGTGTTGTACCCAAGCGATCGCAACCTTCGGGACTATATGAGCTGGCGGCAAGTCGATTGTAAGTATTTGACGCATCACGTTCATCCTGCCTTCTCTCGTTAGACTCGGTCTTTTGCTTGGTCTTGGTGTCAGTTGTAGAGAGGATCTGACCATCGTGCAGGTCATATCAACAATCTATACAACACCACTTTCTGGACACTTGTTCAGCAAGGTGGCATGGGAGCGCGAGAAGCAGAGCAAAGACTCAAAGGCACAGTGTCATCCGACAAGAACGAGATTTTGTTCAAGGAGTTCGGGATCAACTACAACAACGAACCAGAGTGCTTCAAGAAAGGCACGGTGTTGTACAGAGACGTAAGATATGCTTCAGCAACATCAATATCCACGTTCACGTATCTAATGGTGACAGTTCTTCTCTACCCCACCAACCAAGGAATTGTCGTCGCCCGTGCTAGCGGACTTCCCAACGCCGCCGATAGCTCAGCCAACACCAAAGCGAGCATCCAATCACCAGGCATCACAGTCCATTGAGAGGTCCATTCCTTATCTGCCGGACAAAAGAGAGATGATGGAGAACCCGGGTCTATGTAGACGTCCAACCTTTCTCTCCACAACATCAACGCCATCACCGCCGCCATCACCACCTACCATGTCAAGATCAGCATTCCCCAACCCACTCAGGTCCAATCCGATTGGCTCCGATGGTGAAGGTCATATGCCAGGCTCGTCCATGCCGCTTTCTCCACCAACAACTGCCACCTGGAACAACAATGGTTCCTTGAACGGCAAGCAACACCTACCCTCGTTGACGCCTTTGCCGCTGTCCCCACCAATATTGAAGCCAAGCAGCAAACCTCCGATGTCATTGAGCCAACCAAATCCGACAACACGCACCAACTTTTCCCCAGTGACACCACAGGGCGATTTCCCCGCAGATTATCCTATAGCAGGCTATCGCCACCAAGCAACTACAGCGGCCAGTCATGGATTTTCCCACTCAGCTTCTGCTTCTTTGACAACTTCATATCCACCTCAAGTGAAGCCTTCACGAGTCAAACAACGATCGCCGAGCCAGCCTTCACTGCCATCGTATTTTGCATCGTCTAGCGCACCTGCAGTCAAGCCCCCGTCTATACCACTGCGGATATCTAGCATTCCTGCCAACAGCAAGCCGCGCAAGCTGTCTTTACCGGTCCATCGATCGACAACAACACTCAAAGCCACGAGAGATAGTTCGGACGAGAAGGAGAGCATTGTTAGTCCCCGAGATACAACATCGACACCGCCCCGCAAAGTCAGCCCGCCGATTCAAAAGAACAAGGCTCTGCCCAGCCCGCCAATGAGCGCAGAAGAGGAGATGCGCACGCGAGAGAAGGTCAAGGGAAACAGCCCACGGCAAGACTGGGGCAAGTACGCCATCAACGGCAGTGAGTCGCCTCAGCGAAGGCCGAGCGACTCAGACAACAGAGCGGGCCAAGGCTGGGGCGACGCCCAAGATCACATCTCCCACCCAGGTATCGCAGAACTCCACGCCTTTTCCACACCAACACAGTCTGCGCCTACCTCAGCAACCTTGCCGTACCCTCATTCAGGCCCTGATCTCCACACCCTGATATCCTCAACATCCACCGCAGGACCAAGTTCCCAGCCCTTTCCCACCAGCCGCCCGTCCACCAGCAGCCGCAACAAAGACACCAGCATACCCAAACCCTCCAAGTCCAACTCTTCGAAGACCAGGCCGGATAAAGGCAAGCAGCCACAGTCGGAAACGAATGGTAAGGCTGCAGCTACTGCGCCTCAACAGGCGAATGAAGGACGGCCGGTACCCATGAGTCGTACGCAGAGGGATAAAGATAGGAAGAAGCGGAGTAAGGCGACTGTGCTGATGGAACATGTGGATATCATCAAGGACGAGTTCTGGGAGAAGAGGCCCTGGATTCTGAGTGGGAAGACGGGTTGAGTTGGCTACGCGAGGTGATTCATCGACAAACTTCAGTTTTTTGTAGGGTTTTTTTTTGTTGATGAGCTTGGTGGGTTTTCTTTCTCTTCTGGATTCATGATGATGATTTTACGATGGGGTTGTTGTGACGATTGGTGGAACGAAGCGGTGTATGATAGCGGGGATGAGATGGGGGTGAGATGTAAGATTCGGAGATTGTTCATGTTGTTTATTTGAGTGATCGAATAATACTCGTCTGTTACGACATCGCGATATTGGTACAATGCACTGTTTCGCATGTTTGACATGCGTCTAGAAGATCCAACTCTGCTGTGTTTTGCTTCCTGGTCATTTCCCTGTCCCGCTGCTCATGCCGTGGTCCTTGCTTTGCGTTTAGACTACCTTTTCTGTGGCAGTCGTCAACAGCCCCTGCAGACTTTGGTAGCACTTGTGTGACGATAGTGCCCGGCTCATCGAAGATGTATCGGCGGGGTATAGCTTCTCGAGCCATGATGCCTTTTACTTCTGTTCTCCAGACAGCTCCCGCATGCGCTTCGACAGCCGGTTGACCCTTACAAGGCTGCGAGCGTCTTGCGCCGACCCTGACAGGGACGTGGTCGTCTACTGTTCTCTCCATCTACACTATTCTATCATCGTTGTTATTGCGCCTTGTTGCTCTTCTTCTCCTTTTTATCTGACTTCGATTTCTTCTCCTTGATGACTTCGACCGGCTTGGGGGCACGCGTTTCTGCCTTCTTCTGGATACGACGGAGGACGTATTGCTCGAGTGTCTGGCCCTTTGCTTTCGCGCGTGTCTCGTAATCGGCCTTTTCTTCGGTTCTCAGCTTCGCAAGCTTCCTCGTTACAGCCTTCAGGTCTTTGCCCGTGACGGCCACCGGACTTTGTTCATGCTTCGATTCGACCACGTCGCTCTTCAACTTCTTGCTAATTGCAGCATCTCCCTCCTCTCGCTTGCGCTTCTTCTTTTTCTTGTCCGAAAGCCCCTTGGTAGGCGCGGGCGTTTCAGTGTCGGATGCGGATGTAGGAGGCGTGCTTGCGCCGGAAGCGGGATTCGACGCGTCTGTGGTGGTCGCTGAGGCGTCTCCAATCGTACCTCCAATCAACTCGCCCTTTACGAAGAAGCCATAGAGGCCACCGCGATAGATGCCTTGCGTTCGGATCTGGTCGAGCGTGCTCTGGGCGGGAAGTTAGCCGTTTGATCGCGCAGGCGCAGTGGGACATGACTGCATACATCCTTGCCTGTACCAATGCTCTGCAGGCTCTGGTCGAACGCGCGCAACCACCACTGGTCGTCTGTCGTATGCGCCGCCTTCTTCTTGCCGAGTCCCAGCTGGTCGTTCTTGTGCGCGATGAGAAGCGGCTTCTTGATGCCGCGGCCGGTTTGGTCGAGAGAGTGACCCGAGCCCTGCCAGCCTTGCTTGCGCAGATAAGCCTCGGCGTTCATGGCAGCTGAGGTGAAGGACTGATCCCCAACTTCGCTTCTGGAAATTTTGGTGGGGAAGTCTTGGCTAGCGCGACCGTCCAGAGCGGACCCCCGGCCATTTATTACCTGCCCACCTTCCTCCACACCTCATCGTTAAATACGCGACAACACCAAGTCAGTCCTATACAGCCATCGCTCTTGGCGTTACCTTGAATTGCATCTAATCCACGAGCACCGCATCTGAGCTGAGGTAGTGGAATGAGTAGCGTCAGCAGTATCAATTTCAACGAGAGCCGACTAACTAGTTGGGTACTGAACAAGATACTAGAACTTTGTGACGACCATTAGGGCACCTTTATGCATGAGAGGTCTTCAGCACTCCCTGGTCTTGACTTGCCTTGCGTTGGGGACCGTCAAACCTCGATTTCTTGTCAGGATGGCATTAGAACTTGCGTGATAACGAGATCCAAGGGAAATTGAGCTGAACCCCCCGACTGCCGACCCCCAACAATGCGACTTGCCTTCAATGAGTTCTGGTTGATGTTCTTTCTATGAAGCGGGTCACTGTGGTCCTCTAACGGCCAAGGTATACTATATCTGAGATCGGTGGCATCAAAGCATTTGAACGGTGCCGTTATGGCGTAAAAGTATCAACGAGACCTGAGGAGAGTTCAGTGAGTACGTCGTATTTTATTTTTTTTAGGTTTCATTTCGTGTGAGCTCTTTCCTATGACGTCGCTCGCTCTTCACTTTCGACTCGACTAGGCCGCAGGCCCCTTCCCGACTCTCACTTTGCAATTTGCAGGAGCAAATATGTCTTTCCTCATTCACTTCCTTTGCCTACAGTCTACTCACGCTTCGACTGGACTTACTTCACTTTCAGCTCGGCTACCCGCTACCTCTGAGTGTATCAACTTACAAGATCCTGCGTAACCCATCATGGCTGCTTTGAGATCTACCCAGTTGATCTGGCTGCTGGTTTCAACAGTTAGTGCCACTGTGCTTCACAGCAGGTCCGCGCCCTACTATGCAGGTATCCGATTCGCTGTGGATAGACAGCTGTCAATTACCGTCTTTAGTGATCTCCACTTCGGTGAGCGTAAGTCACCAAATCTTTCTACGTCGCATGCACCTGACACCGGCATATGCTAACCGCTTGTAGTTGAGTCTCAGCGCGGCCGTCGATACGCGGACCTCAGAACAGTTGGTGTCATGAACTCAGTCCTCGACAACGAGCAGCCCGACTTCGTCGTCCTGAACGGCGATCTCCTTTCCTGTGAGTGGGTGGCCCCTCAAGACGTAAATCCTTTGATCGATCAGATCATGGCTCCACTCGTCGCTCGCAATCTGCCTTTCGGCGCAACATTCGGCAATCATGATGCTTCCAAGACTTGCAGCACTAGTGCCATGTCTGAACACATGTGGTCGGACGTCAAGGGCAACAATGGCAAGAAACTCTCCTTCACGACGCAGTCCGTGTCTGGCGATGTCAATCAAGTCGGCTGGAGCAACTATTTCGTTCCGGTGTACAGCTCCACAGATGCGTCTGATCTGAAGATGCTGTTGTGGTTCTTCGACAGCAAAGGAGGCATGAAATATCAACCCACTGGTAACGACGTCGGCATTCCAAACTGGGTTGACGAGAAGGTATGAGACCCTTGTAATTGTTTCTCATAACATACTGATTCTTGCAGGTTGTCGGATGGTTCCGCAACACCAATAACGCCCTTCGCCAGCAATATGGCCGCGCAGTTCCTAGCATGGCTTTCGTGCACATTCCGATACAAGCTGCAGATTCTTTTCAACATAACGGGCGTTCCAGCACAGCAAACCCAGGTATCAATGAGGAAAATATAGGAAACCAGGGCGATATTTGCGATAACACTGGGAATAACTGCAAGTACGGTGGAGCCAACATCCCCTTCATGAAGGCGCTCATAGAGACAGAAAATCTCATGGCCGTTTTCTCGGGTCACGACCATGGCGTAGACTGGTGCATGAAATGGGCCAAAGACCTCCCTGACAATTCTCCTAGCCACGGGAACGGACTGAATATCTGCTTCAACCGACACTCGGGCTACGGCGGCTACACGGATTGGACACCAGGCGCGCGTCAGATCGTCGTCAACGAGGACATGTTGGATGCGAAGGTGGTCGACACGTGGATCCGTATGGAGAACGGCAAAATGTCGGGGCAGGTGTCGCTCAACTCTACTTTCGGTACCGATCGATATCCGGTGGTGGACAGGTCGAAGACCTCATAGCCTGAGCCAAAGCGACCGAGTCTGCATCAATGAGACGTTGGACGCCTGTGTCTTCTGTCTATCTCACGTTACGTGCTACGTTGCATACAGTGGAGATTTTGGAAAAGTATGATATCATCTTAGTTGATAGCTTAACTAAACATGTCTTTGTCAAATACCAGCAGAACTCAGTCCCTCAAGGTTTGTGCATGCAAGTCATGTTTATAAAGAGATGCTTGAAGTAGGATCGGATGTCTGCCCCTGCTTGTCAGGGATCTCGAAGGGGTATCGGCCCCACTTACGCGCTCCATGGGAACCGGCCCATGACATCATCAGCATTCTCAAAACACCAAACACTACAGCTAAGTTTCCCGCGCGCATCCGCACAGTCTCGCCAGCGGAGCAAGCGTTTCAGGCGGGGCCTTCTAGTGCCTGCTAAGCATGGCGAAGCATTTTCGGCCTTTGTTCCTCGCGATTGCTGTATCGCTTTCTTCGCTCTGAGGCGTAGTCCTGCCGCGCCTGTTTTGTTACGCGCTTTTTCTTCTAAGATACCCTAGATCACCCTTCATACCACCACTCATCATCGACCATGTCCTTCCTTGAGCGTCAGAAGACGCGCATCACGGGTGACGAAGGTGGCGCCCGTCGACACAGCGTCCTGAATCCCTCGTCCTCGGGCAAGATACCCAACGCGAAGAAACCACGCACGAGACCGCCCGCATCGATACGCGATCATCTCCCTTACCCGAACTCGACCCTTTCTCCCACTTCAGGACCATACTCTATAGGCAGCATGGAGATAGAAATCCCTGTCGAACACCCTCGTCCGATCTCGAACATCAAGCGCAAGGGCCGGCACCTTCTGCAGTTGGAGACTGTCTTGTTCACACTATATTACCCTGCTTCGTTCGGAAGTGGTAACGGGAATGCCCCAGGAGGAGAGAGGAAATGGAGTCGAGAGACATGGCTTCCAAGACCGCGCATGGAGACAGCGAAGGGTTATGCGCGGTTTGCTGGCATACCGAGCCCTATAAGCATCGGCATCTTTGGCGCGACCACCATGCTCACCAAATTGCGCGGTTTCAGGAATGCCCCTCCTGCGACTCATTGGCCCCCGGAAGGCAACATGAAGAAGGACGGTTATAAGATCAAAAACCAGCAGGGTAGTCCGCCCGAGGGAATGAATGATGAGCCCACTTTCCCACTGTTGATGTTTAGTCATGGTCTTGGTGGCTCTAGAACTGCATACAGCAGCTTATGCTCTGAATTCGCGAGCTACGGCTTCGTCGTGTGCGCGGTGGAGCATAGGGATGGGAGTGGACCGCGGACTTTCATTAATCACAAGAAGCGAGGGAAGCGGAGAAAAGATGCCCAAGGAGGAGGAAAAGCGAACCATACGGATTGCGACGGAGACGAAGAGGACGACAAAGACTTTGCTAAATTCCAGCACCTGGATCACACAGACGAAGAAATTGCGCAAGGTTATCACTATATGGTACGTACTGTGGGATTCGAGAATCCAGGATCTCGTAAGCTGACCATAACAGGACTACATCTTCCCCAAAGACAACCCGATGGATACTGCACCGAACAATGAGCACGGCGTCGACGGCGAACTGCGTAGCGCACAGATAGAGCTGCGCCTTTGCGAGCTCGAGGAAGCATATCGTGTACTCAAGACAATATCTGCTGGCAATGGAGAGGAAATCGCACGGCAGAATCTCCGAGGCGAAGGCTACGTTGGAGGCTCTTCCAGAGGTCTAGGCGGAATTGATTGGGCACAGTGGAAACATCGTTTTCACGTAGATAAAATGACAATGGCTGGTCATAGTTTCGGAGCTGCTACAGTGGTAGAAGTGCTCAGGCATACCGAACGATTCACAAATGTGCAGGCGGGGATAATTTACGACATCTGGGGGTGAGCATATCTCCCTCTCCCTGTTTGCATTGGAACTAACACTTTGCAGCGCGCCTGTAAAACCACCTGTGGAAGATCCGAAGCACAGAATACACCTCCCCCTGCTGGGAATCGCCAGTGAAGCGTTCATGTATTGGCAGAAGAATTGGGATGCGGCCATGTCCTTAATGAAGGAGGCCAGCGAGCATGGTGCCCCTGCGTATCTTCTAACGGTCCGAGGCTCCATCCACATCAACCAAAGCGACTTCTCGATCTTGTACAAGCACGTCTCATCGTTGTTCATGAAGGCCACTGTCCACCCGCAGAGAGCTATTGACCTCAACGTCAGCACTAGCCTCGAGTTTCTTCGTCTGGTCACGCCAGATTCGGGAGGCGGAAAGTCCATTATCAATCGATGTATGACAGATGAGAAGATTCTGGACACGCCTCTTATGGAAGACATGCCTAACGACCACCGACCGAATGACCAGTGGATAGCTGCTCGTCTACGGGTTGACAATGAATTCAGGAAACGGTTAGCTGCTGGTCTGCAAAGAAAGTTTAGACGCAACTTTCAAGGCGGAATGGGCACTGGATACACGACTTCTGATGAGATGTGGTGTTTCCATAAACCTTCAGAGGATGATCTACAAACATGGATCAGGGCAGAAGACAGAGGAGAAAAGCGTATAGATGAGGATCGTGCCATTGCACCGGCGGAGAAATCTCGGAATAGTCATCATGCGGTTCCCGACGCGCCTAAATCTGCAACCCCCTCCCAGAGAGAGGCAGAGAGAAGCGAAAGACCGGTACGGGAACATGAGGCGGAGACAAGGGATGCAAACAGTCAGCAAACAGGGCATGGGGTACGAGATAGATATGATGATGCTGAGAAGAACACTAGTGGGGAGTCTGGGGGAGAGAACGCATCGGCCGCTGCAGGGCAGGGCGAAGATGAACAATCGAACAACTGGTTGGGCGTTCTTCCGAAGCTTAGACATGGGCCGGGGCAAGCATCAGGGTAGATATAGCGTTAGATTATGTGATCATATACAGACTCTAAATATCCTTGACCGGACTATTGAACAAGTACTTGAAACCCATGGAAGTCGTGGATATGATATTGTCGACCTGTAAGCTTGACAGACTCGTTCGTTAAAACATTGACGTCATGATCTAGATATTCTAGGATCTGCGTTGTTCCCGGTGCCGCGTCGCCCGTATCCCGTATTGACTGGGCTGAGGCTACGCAAGGAAGCGTCTGCCCAGGTATCGCGGCCCTGAAGCGTATAGGGGCGCTTGGTTTACCAAGCTAGAGAGGTTTAAGCAGCTTACACAATCAGGTCTTCGCAACAACAGACCTGACAATGAAGCTAGGGAAGAATTTATAACCGCCAGCCCTGCAGACTGCTGACAGGAGCTGCCTTGGTGTCACGTGAAGACGCTTGGCAAGCGGCACTTGCCGTTCCGGGAAATTTGTTGTTCAGTAATCAGGATGGCAAAGCATCCCGGACTGCACCAGAGCCACAAGACACACAGCGAAACAATTGGCCACACCCAGCTACCAAGCTCCGAAGACCTCGGTCTCAAACATCTCAGCATTAGCAATGTCTAGGAAAGGCCTGCGAGCTATAAAGTTGTACGCAAAGAAGACTATGTAGATGGTATCACAACGCCCGCAAACCTGTGGCCATGAACCCACCCGTCCATGCAATCGTCCGCCTCTTCGCCCTACGGACAGCAGGAACTAGCCGCATCGTGTGCGGAGACGCGCATTAGCCCCGTGTAACAGCGGACCCTTGATCGATCTCGAACCTTGTGAGCTGTAGCGGCCGTTCACTGAATCGGCGCCGGAGCATCTTTTGCTTTTCCATACTGGCTGGTCTGCGTCAGATTGAATTAGTCTTGGATGCAATCTACATGTACACAACGTCTTCCCGCTATTTTTACGCGAACCAAATTACTCCATTGAGAATCTGTACGAAGGGTTTACGATTTCCCTCACAAGTGAACGATAGCGGTGTTTCAAGAGTCGGAACGGAGTGATTAGGAGTCCGTGGAGACCGACTTCGGTTCAGCACCCTTTCGTAGTCAGTCTCGCTATTGGTTCCACCGAACTCCTTCGGTGGCATACCTCCGGACCTTACTCTGCTCGATCAGCGGTATCAGAAGCCAAAACCAGAATCATGACGAGCTCAGAATCAGAACAGACGCAGACATCACGAAAGCGCTCACGCAGGGGGGACAGTGGCGATGACGGTGGTGCTGGAGGAAAGAAGGCTAGAGGCCGTCCACGGGTAGACACACAGGACGCCACGGCTGCAGATGTGAGTGGAGACGCAACGTCCTTTTTGCTCTGTCTACCCCGATTCGTCGTTGTCAACTCTTGGAGCGGGATGGTAAACGGGACATGCGCACCTGTCCTGGACGAAGAAGCTGTCAGGTTGTTGATGTGTTCTCAAGCTCGACCCACTGTGAGCTCCTCATCGTCATCCCCACCTCCTGTGAACGATGCTGATGAGCCTGCAGCGCTCCAGATGACACTACCCAGCATGGAGCCCCTCGCGATTCGATCTCAGCATACATGTCGAATGTACTGACAGATGTACCAGAGACGAAGAACTCAAATCCGGCTTGCCCAGCGTGCATACCGCCAGCGGAAGGAAACCACCATCGCATCGTTGAAGAGTCAAAGCTCACAGCTCCACTCGATTATCGACCAGATGAACAAGGCATTTTTAAAGCTAAACCAGTCCACCATCAAGTCAGGTCTGTTACAGCTGAATCCGACTTTGGCCCAAGAGTTCAAGCTGGTAACGGACACGTTCGCGAGCTTGATAAAGACAGCCAACGAGGGCCAGTATGAGGGAGACGAAGAAGGTGAACAAGGCGAACAAGGAGTTGAAGGCAATGGTGCACCAAAGCTAGCCGAACCGGAGCCTGAAGTGCAACACATCGGATGGGGTTATTCCACAGTTCCGAAACCATCCGCTGAGAAGCGCCCGCAGCCACAACTGTCAACACCGGATAGCTACCTCGCCCACATCAGTGCTGCTTATGGCAATGTAGACTCCCGTAGGAGCGATCTGGTGGGATGCCGACAGTTTGGAGCAGGTTCGGTCTTCGACCAGTCACACCGATCTTCGCAGCCTCCAGTAGACCCATCACCATCGCATACTTCATCCGAACCGACGCAGCTGCCTTTCGGGCTTGTAGACCTTCTGAGTCAGCACCAAGCACCGTATGCAACATCAAACCCACACACCTACTCTGTCCGTGTACCGACGCCTGAAAGGACACCGCCAACGAACAGGCTACCCACGCCGCCTCCATCGAAACTACCGACGAGGACACTCCCTCCGGTGACAACGTACAGTTTCCAAGAAACCACATTTGCCAGAAGATTGTCTAGGGCGGCGCTCGAGGCGGGGTTTCATTTGCTTAGCAACGCCCATGCCCGCCCTACGGTACGTTTCCAGCTAGTCGATGTAGGAATTGCTTCTCTGGCTTCACTGCCTATTTCCCCAGAGAGTGATACAAGGCTAATCATTACAGCTAGGCAATCAATCGTGTATTCAAGCTCTCTCTACCTCATGAAACCCTCGATCAAATACGAAGCCGCTTCCGAACTATCATGGCCCGTGGCATTGACGAAGATTTGGATTGGTGGGAGTCGCCATTCCTCCATCTCGGTGGTGCAGGAACTCACTATCCGCGACGGGACGCTGCCGGCAATGTAATGTCTGTTAGGAACGGATGGAACGTACGGCAAATTGGACCAGCGGAGAAGAAAGTACTCATCATAGAGAATACAGAAGACGGTAGGAGTGAAGAGCTACGCGGCGTGGACCTCCGTGGATACGAGGGAGAATGGTTCGATTGTTACGACGTACAAGGCTACTTGGAAGAGCAGTACTCGTGCAAGCTCGACCCGAAGAGCTCGTTCGCGGAGTGTGTTATCGACGTTGATGACGAAGAACTGTCCAGAACCCCCAACAGTGCATTACGGCAACGGCCGCATAACACAACGAGTCTGCCTTCTATTCACCAGAACTCCGCGAACGCATCGGCAGCTCCGTCAGCCACTTCGACAAATCCGCCAAACAACCCTTACAATATCGCGAACAGTGGAGCTTTTGGGCTAGACCTGTCTTTTGGGAACACCGGTGAATTCCCCAGGCTTGTCAACTACGAAATCTCCTATGATCAGACACTGGGTTTAGATCTCGCACCCGGGTATGATTATGGGTTTGCGCATACGTCTGCCTTTCACATGGACAATATGGATTTGGGCATCAACATGATGAGCGACGTAGCGGCAGCTTTACCAGTGGCGAGGCAGAAGCGGAAGAAGACTGCCTGGCTAGACGTTGCGAAGCTGATTGATGGTGAGTGTACACATTCACGAGAAGTCAACATTTGGCTGACATTTCCGACAGAGATCATTATACATGGCGTGTGTCTCGGGCGATCACCAGGGTATAGGCGCAAGGACGTTGATGCAGCGGTACAAAAGGCTTTGGTGCATGAGCATTAGCCGGTAGCGATTGCGAGGAGCATGCCAAGATACCCAAGTGCGATTCGAGTGCAGTGGCGGGAGTTTTGCTTCTTATGGGATGCAGGTTGGTCGTTTGAGGTGCAATTGATGAACTGACGACGTCTGTACCAATGTTTCAATCGATTCGTGTGTGTATTGATCATGGCCACTACTATATTTCGAATCCGCCAGAACGGTGCATCGCGTTCTTTGAATGTTGAGCTGTGAGCCTAGTCACGTGTGGCGCTAGAGTAGCGTTAGGCGCTAAGGAATCGGCGCCCTCAATGATTGCCGGAACGCCGCTCACTATCACTCATACACCCACGATCCCGAAAGCTGAGGGTACCCGAACACGTTGTACAAGGCCTTCCGTCTGGGCTAGCGATATCCGTAGAACTTCCTTGACCGCGCAGAAGCTTCCTCAAGCGCGCGCACCTATCTGCAGCCTCAAGCGCTGACGTCGCCTGCCTGGCTTGCCTGCCTATTCCTCAATCCTCTCCACGCGAGCAACCATCGCAGCCGTCGCGCAGCTATCACAGAGCTCGCATCGTACACTAGATAGCTCAGACCATACCAAACAGTCGCGATCATGTCGAACTCGGTCGTGGTTAGTATTCCCAAGGCGCGCATGCGAGCGGTGGAAGGGTAAAGGCAGGCTTGCTAACAGCAACCACCAGGGCGGCGTGTATCAGCAGATCATCGAGAAGGTGATCCAGACCTCGCAGAATGACTTCGAGGAGTCGGGCGTCGATCATAGCACACTCGACGAGATGAAGCAGGTATGTTGCAACCTGGCCTCCATGTCGGCCAGCGCGCCTTCCTTTTCTCTGTCGCAGCACATTTACGGCAGCCGTCACACCGCTTCTTATGTCTCTCACTTTTCCTGTCAATTTATTTCTCGCATCGGTTTCGCTGGCTGCGGCGATCGCGCGGTGACCGCCTGGCTTGGGTGATGGGCGGCTGGAAGCGGGGCGGAGTTGCCGGTCGGTCTGGCAGCTCCGGGGGCGCCTCAGTATTTGAGATGCCTTCTTATAGCCCTTGCACAGCTCCCCCACCCGCCAAGACCAACGCATCATTTCCTAAAAAGGCATAGTCTGTCATGTGACGACTGTTCTCACATCATGTTTTTGTTGCAGTCGGGCTGAGCATGTGCTGACTATCACTAGGGCTGGCAAGAGAGGCTGTCCGCTCTCAAGATTGCTCACTTCCCATGGGACCCTGCTCCTGAGCCTGTTCGTCAGCCACCTACGGTGCCGTCCAACGTAAAGGTTGACAATGACATGCCTCCCGTGTCGGGACCTCAGGAGGTTCTCAACTTCCCCAACGTGCCTGTGAAGACAGAAGGAGGATACCAACCACCAGTTGCTAACTATCCTCCTGCTCAGACTGCAAACAACGGCTATGGCGGTACCTATGATCAAAACCAGCAGCTCGCGCACCAGCGTGCAGCTGCTTTGGTACAGCAGCGAGTGCAGCAGCAAGGACATGTACAACAGCAGAACTTTCCGAACCTGGCGCAACAGGGCCATCTGCCTCAAATGCCCATGCAGAATCAGCAGCAACAGCAGCGTATAATGGCGCAACAGCAACAACAACAACAACAGCAGCAGCAGCAGCAGCATCAACGCCCTCCGCAACAGCAACAGCAGGGAATGCCACAGCAGCGTCCACCACCGCAAAACCACATGTACACCTCACAGACTGATGGTTCGGGTGATGCTATGGCTGACTGGGAGGCCTTGAAGGCTGCACGCGCTGCTGATGCAGTAGAGCGCATGGCGGCGGACGACTTCATGCGTTCTCGAGTTGATGCCATGGCTATGCGTCAGGACAGTGGTCTCATGGTACCGCTCGACTCGATGCCAAAGGGCAAGAAGCGCAAGGCAGCTGTGCGTGTCCTGCAGGCCGAAGACGCAGAGGCTTCGTCAAGCGCACCGGCCCCCGCACGCTTCGACGGGGATGACGACGTGAAGCCGGAAGAAGATCCAGATGACGCGATCAACTCTGATCTGGATGATTCCGAGGACGAACTCGGTGATGGAGATAACAGTGATGACGAAATGGTGGACTACATGTTGTGCACTTATGACAAAGTGCAGCGCGTCAAGAACAAGTGGAAGTGCACGCTTAAGGACGGCATCTTGACCACGAACAAGAAGGAGTAAGTTGGGTGTTGATACTTTGCAGAGATCTTGCTAACGATACGGAAGATACCTGTTCCACAAGGCAAATGGTGAATTCGAATGGTGAACATTCGCAACCCATTACTAATGCCCGTGGTAGCTGAACTTGAGTTCTAAGTCGCTCCGTACAGCGCACGAACCCCACTCGATCGAGACGCGAGTCTAATGCGCCTGATATACGACTCACCGACCTCGATCCCCCTTTCGCGACGACAAAGCGGCTCGGTACGAACATCGATAACGAGTATCAGATTGGATACTATGGCCTGGCGCGACACTCGAGAAAGAAGAAAGAAGAAAAGAAACAAATTCCCATGACGCATTACATAAAACTATGGATAGGACGACTGGGCGTCCTGAGTATTCCTAGTTTACGCTATACAGATTGATTTTGCACTTACGTCAGGACTAGACGTTTGGCTGGCCTCACATGTCCTAGTACAGGCGTATCGGCTCCATGGCAGGTTTATATTTCATCAGGTGGAGTTTTCTGCTTGAGTAAGAAACGGAAATGTCGAATTTGTGGCCATGTCCATAGCAAAACGTCAGGACATTCAAGTAAGAGGCTGCCAGACAAAGGCTCTTGGTTGCTTCATCACAGAAGTCATTGTACGATTGTGGATTTCTTTCCCTATTCTGTTCGGGTCTGGACAGACTAGCAAATATAAGATATCAGCGAAATCGGCACATGCTGAGCTCAAACTCCGACCTCATTCAAGTGAAAAGCTGAACACTCTGGAGCCTACACTGTCACTGGATCTTCCAATTTGCTTGTTTCATCATAGTGTAGTCCGCAGACCTGTTCAGTTCTTCCCTTGTCGGAGGTGCTCCTGCTTTCTGCCAGTAATGATATCCATCGTTCCTCATAGCGTATCATCAGCTCCGCTCTCGCCATCACTCGCTGGGCCATTGTGCATTAGAGTCTCGTCAACGTCTGCGCCCTCGGCCTCGTCGTCATCCTCTTCCACAAGCGGGACAAAGCGAAAGTCGACGAAACTCACTTGTCCGCCTGTGGCCACTCCAGGCCCAATCTGAGAAGCCGACCCACCACCGTCTACCTCAATCATGAACTGTAGACTCAATACGCCTTGGGTATCTGCTCGTATACTGACTTTAGTCGCAACGTTCATGGCGCGCGCAGCCTTTTGTATCAAGCTAAACTTGTAAGATGAGCGGAGTACGGCTTGTGGATCGCTGAGCTGGAAGGTCTCAAGCAGATTGGTAGGTTGCTGATCTGCCGTCTCGTTGTTCGTATTGAGGTTCGTGGATGCAGGGGTGCGGTAGGCGGAGAGCTGGGGCTGATTGTTGAACTCGACGCGTGCTGAGCCTAGAGTGCCTGACGACGAAAGAGCGAAGAAGGGTTTGCCGTGCACGGTTTTGGCGTACATGGTCAGTTTCTCTGGGCTTGTAGATGATAGCTCTTGTACTGCGTCATACAGCCAGCTGCCTCGCATGATGACTTTGAGTGCGAGGGCTTGGCGATCAAAGGGTATCTCGTCTGTGTACTCTGGCTCGTACGTCGTGAGATCGCACTGCGTGCGTATGCTCGCTTCTGTCAAGGTGACGGCTAGTGGAGCTCCGGGTCCGTCGTAGCTTATCCGACAGAGGTTGTTCATGCCGCCTAATATGTTGTTTCCAGTGAAGGCTGTGCTGGTGGGATAGGCACCATCGCGCGCCCATGGTGGTTTGGAAGTGGAGGGGTCGGTGAGGCCGAAGATCTGGAGGGTCTCAAGGAGGGCGGGAAGGGATATTTGGAAAGCCGGAGTGGTACTAGATGGTGAGTCGAGTTCATCGTCGCTGTCAGAGTGTTGGGAGTTCGGCGGTGGGGCGGGCGCATTGAAAGTGTAGGTTGTGAAGAGGGACTTGTCAAGGAAGGCGGATGCTGTGGTTGCGTCAGCCTGCGAATGTACAGAGAAGTTGTTGCGCATAGACGTACCTTCCATGACGCTCGCCTCATCGACGGCAAGTTTTATACCAATGTCGCTGATCTGGACATGAGCCTTGTTGGAGAAGGCAATGCAGCGGAGGAGCAGGTACAATTGTCGCGCAGAGCTTGACACTGCCGTGAGGATTGGGGGCTCTTCTTCGTCCATAGTGCTGTGTTATGAGTGTATGGGCTATGGGGTATCGCGCAGGTAGATTCGAGAGTCTTGAACTTTTTATTGGTATTCCATAGATTGTACACAGTATGCCCCTAACGCCGGATGGAGAAGTAGGAAACTAGACGTAGACGCCGACTGCGCAAATCATGTAAACGGCGCCGAAGCTGTTTGCAGTCAGTGGGCGCATGTTGTCTCTGTGTTTCCAAGGCCACGTACCCGAATGCTAATGACGCGGGAACACCGAGAACGGGTAGGTTGATGAAGGATCGGTCTGTGTGCGCGTGAGTAGAGGTTCGCTAGAGGGACATGGCTATGTCGCGTACTCAAGCCGAAGATGGTGGACAAGATGAGAGCTGCGCGCGTTGTTAGCAGAGCTCCACTAAGCATGAGAGCTTGCAACATACAGATGGCTAGCAGCACGAAGCCGACTGTGAATTGCGTGTTCTTTCCGACGGCAGGGCTGAAGGGCGAGGACGCAGCAGCCTCCCAGACGTCTACAAGTGGGCTCGACATGTGTGCAGGCGTGCAATTGGGTTATGTAAGTATGAATCTCTCGTGAAGCTGCTTTGGTGGCCTTTCGTGTTCACTCACAGGTGATCGGCCGTGATTGGTGTGGGGCGACTAGCGCGGGAGGCGCACCTTCCCCGACATTCAGTCAACACCACGCACAGGGCCGAGAGAAGGCGCGACCGCACACCAGAAGGCGCCCTATACCGCAACATGGCGGGCGCAACGGACGACAGTAAGTGCGCATACTCTCCCCAGCTTCATGCGTGTCGACAGATGTGCATCGTACCCACAAGCCCGACATGTCTCCCCGCAACAACATCCCGCAGTTGCGCGACACGCTGGGCTATCCCACCTCTCCCCCAACCTCACCACTGCTCGTTCCTCCCCCCATACCTCGCCGACACACCCGACAGTCTTCTTCGAACACATCACTTCGCGAAGTACACGCTAACCCGTCTCGCGCTGAAGCTAAGCGCAAAGCGACCACCGACCCTCCCAACGGCTCTCCCAAGCGCATAAAGCAGGATCCCTCGACACCTTCTGCCGCCGACGATGCCCCTGCGCCTCCCGTGAAACGCATAGTACCATTCCCCGAGAAGCCCGCCGTCATAGAAGAGCGCAATGGGGAGATTGAATTCAGAGTGGTCAACAACGATGGGGAGAGGGAGAGCACCATCATCTTGACAGGCTTGAAGTGTATTTTCCAGAAACAGTTGCCTAAAATGCCGAAGGACTATATTGCGCGCCTGGTCTATGACAGAACACATCTGAGTATAGCAATCGTGAAGCATCCTCTCGAGGTGGTAGGGTATGTAAACACTCTCGTCCCATCTTCGGCCAGATGCTGACAGTATAACGTTCTAGTGGCATAACATACCGTCCCTTCGACAAAGGCCAATTCGCCGAAATCGTCTTTTGCGCAATCTCCTCGGATCAACAGGTCAAGGGCTACGGTGCCCATCTCATGTCCCATCTCAAAGACTACGTCAAAGCTACTTCACAGGTCATGCACTTCCTGACCTACGCCGACAATTACGCCATCGGATACTTCAAAAAACAAGGCTTTACCAAGGAGATTACCTTGGAAAAGTCAAGATGGATGGGCTACATCAAAGACTACGAAGGCGGCACCATCATGCAGTGTAGCATGGTGCCCAAGATAAGATACTTGGAAAGTGGCAGGATGCTCTTGAAGCAGAAGGAATGCGCAAACGCCAAGATAAGAGCTGTGAGCAAGAGCTACGAAGTCCACGCCCCTCCGGCGCAGTGGGCAAAGGGCGAGCTGAAAGCCATCGACCCCCTGACCATTCCTGCCATCAAGAACTCCGGCTGGTCACCTGTCATGGACGAACTCGCTCGCGCGCCCCGCCACGGACCCAACTACAATGCCCTTCTCCATCTCCTCAACGACATGCAGAATAACAGCAATGCCTGGCCGTTCCAACAACCTGTCAACAAGGATGAGGTGCTCGACTACTACGACGTCATCAAGGAGCCCATGGACCTCGCGACCATGGAGGAGAAACACGAAAAGGATCTCTACCCCACCCCCGAGGACTTTATCAGGGATGCCAAGCTCATCTTCGACAATTGCCGCAAGTACAACAATGAAAGCACGCCGTACGCAAAGGCGGCGAACCGTTTGGAAAGATATATGTGGCAGCGGATACGTGACATTCCAGAGTGGTCGGTAAGTATTCAACACTTTTATGCCTGACGCAGCAACATCATGACTAACAAATTACCAGCACTTGGAAGGCGAGTTGACAGGCAAGTAAGAGGTTAGGGGTCTAGGTTACTCTGGGTCCGCCGTGCATAGAGGGCGTTTGGTATGTGGGTTGTGGCAGCTTGTATTATTATTATTATCATCAATAGTCTTGTTGTTTAGCGGCATTGGGTAAGGTGTAAGGTGTATGGTATGGTAGTATTGGTTAAGGGTTCGGTCGGGCTGATTATACCCTTTGTCGTTACGTATTCGAATCACTTGTTCATGCCCATCTTGCAAGAACATGCAGTGAGATGCTGGGTGTGCAGCGTACCTGTGAACATCTCGTTTAGCAAACACATGGAGGCACAGAGTATGATGAAGTCCCATACCGATGATGGAATATCGATTCGTCCATGTGGCCTATTTGCTATACCAACAGGCCTTCCCCATTGTGTCGAGCACCTTCTCAATTCGTCACTACTCTCATTACAAAATATGTGACTGCGTGTTTGCTCTCCGTATGAGGTTCGCATCACGGGTTAGTATAAGGTAGCACCAAGTACACGTTTGCAAGGCTAGGTACGTGGGACCAGATTCTGTGCTCAGCCTAGACGAAGAAGTAGGTAGCCGTACACCAAACATGTTTGGTGCAACCGCACAATCTACCATGCCGTGTCCCGCAACCTTATTGTGGCGTCCGTAGCGTTCGATGTACTCAGTTGATGAGATTTGAACAAGGCTTCGCGGTTTAGCGACGGGGTATGGTGCTCGTCTACATGACAGCCACAACAGAGAAGCGAGTGAAGAAGCTTTGTGGACAGTAAGGAGGCTTGTACAGTGCGCGCTAGGAAGTTTGAGCTGCAGTACGGTGGATAATGAGGATGAGGATGCTAAGCTCGTTGGGATAAATAATGCGAGATGTCGTCCATGGTCGTTGAGAGGGTACGCTTACCGTGATTAGGGCGAGGCGTGACGACTGATCAACTTCAATCACTGTGACTTGCACCCAAAGTCGTCAATGAATACTACGCAATAGCGCGGATGAATGGGCTCGTATTTGATTGACGTGGTGTATACGCAAATACATTCGTTGCCCGTGTTTCGTTTCGGAAAGTGGAGACTGTCTCCCAGACACTGATAGGAACTGACCGAGATGACGGGCGCCACGGATACAAAAAGTAAGTTGTTCCGGATTGCGAATAAGGTGCTGCATCGACCACGATCCTTCGAATCGAACATATGTAATCAATGAATGGAGGCTCCGCGGATGGCTGTACCTCTTAGTTGTTGGTATTCCGTGATTGTGCTCCTAGCAGACGCCACGTAAAGCATGATTAGGTACAGTAAATTGTAACCATTCGGTTGGCCTCGGGTGGGGTGGTAAGCCTAACATGGGAGAAGTGCCGACGACTTGGCCTAGTGCAATGCGTAAGACGTTAATTCGGAGCAACATCAAGCAGGCATTTCCCCATGTGATGAGCACTGTTAAGTAGGAATTCGGTAGGGCTGGTTTCGCAGTCAAGCTCGAAAGAATGCCAGCCCACACGATGTGCTACCGCATGGAGTTGGGCCCGCTGCGGGGAAGGGACGAGGCTAGCTCCAAGGCCACCTGCGGATCTTGGATGACATTCATTACAATGCGTCCTGCGTCCAAAAGCATGTCAGGATCGCTCGGCCAGCCAAGACAGCGGCTATCCAAAGTGTATACACAGGCGAAGTCCGCGACATGATTCGGCGCATATATCTCGATGCGTGCCCTCGTGATAAGAACCCCAGCTTCCCTCAGCTGCAGGACACCACAAGCGCGCTCGATGGTCCAGCGTCCCTAGCGTAGACCTGGTTATCGGAATGATGGTGATAGCGCTGGTCGAGACCCGTTGGTCAGATAGCATTGAGGAACACCAATCCAACGCTTGCTGATGGAGGCGCACGCCGTGTGCTACCATGGCGTTCGCGCGTGCCCGGCTGCAGCGTACGATAGGAGTGGGTATAATGGCCTCCTTGCGTCAGACGGAGTACCCGGTCTGATCTGCATCCCGGAGGGTCCACAAGAACAAAGTACAAACGAAATTCAGCGACGGTTCGCAGATGCTGTCTTTGCCCCTGTGTAACTGCTGCGAGATCCTGGCAATTGCTTCTGCACATGACCCAGGGCAGCGGAAACGTCGACCTCGGGGAAGACGATGGAGGTCGGGTTGTCAAGGCAGAGGTGTTGCTTCGAGAACGCCACGCGAAGCCCAAAACAGAGCCTCAACCGAGGAGGGGCGCATATTCGCCGCCGCTTATCACGGACTAGGCGGGCGTTGCAGCACGTTCATCTCCGTGATTGGCGCTTGGACAGGCTATCAAGGCTGGGGAAAGATAAGAACCTAGCTCGGGTTGCAGAAGCGCGGTAGGTCGGCCGGTACTGGGTCGCGTTGACACAAGAGACAGGCCCGTGAACAGCGAGTAAGCGAGCACCAACATGAGACGGTAGACATTCCAGAAAGCGGAGACGACCGGGAGCCAATGGAACCCTGTGCTACTGTGCTCTAGCCAGTGCAAAAGAGGAAGTTGCCAAGTGACCGTCTGGAGCCCGTTCAACTGTTTGTCTGGGCCAGCGACGGTGCGATCCCTCCACTTTGGTGGTAGCGCGTGCCACGGTGCGAAAATATAATTCCGCGAGGGCCGACCTCGATATGAGAACCAACAGTTCCTCGTCGTTCAACCTCTGTTCAGGAATTGCCCTTGTGCCTATTCGTCGCCATGGCTGATATCCGCGACCAACACAACGGCTCACCAATGCCCGGTGTCGCCCGCAATGACGACCCGGCGCTAGACATTGCGCGCGAGCACCACCACGAACACGTGCACCACAGCGCGCGTGCGGCCCACCCTGACAACATCGTCTACACCACGGGAACCACAGACGAGCCGACGAGCAAGCTGTTCCTGCCCAGTGGTCTTGACAGCGCCAGCCACAACCTCCACCAGCGCCACTCTGTCAACGAGAAGCATGACATTGAGAAGGCCGGCGGCTACGACTATGAAGTCGAGAAGGCTACGCGCAGCTCTTCTGATCCCGAAATGGAGGCAGAGAAGAAGCTCTGGTACACTTCCTTTGGTGCTTTCTACCGGGCGTTTAGACTGCCTGTCCACATCTTTATTGGAGCCCTCTTCACCGGGTAAGGCGCATTTCCACGTCCATCGTCTCGAGTGCTTCGGGCTAACAGTACCAGATGGTGGATTGCTAGTGTAGTCGTGCACCGCAATGACAAAAACTGGATCATTCCATTCTTGTTCTGGCTGGCCATTATGATCCGCCTGATCACTCTGCACATCCCCATCACCGTCGTCACCAAGCCCATGCACTGGGTTTGGGCCAACACTGGAACGAGAATTGCCAACCTCATCCCGGAGAAGATGCGCATTCCTGCCGCTGCCGCCCTCGCCATTGCTGTCATCATTGTCGGATCATTCGCCAGCGAAGAGAGCGAGGACAACACCCGCGCAAATCGAGCCGTTTCCCTGTTCGGTCTCGCCGTCTTCATCTTCATGTTCTGGGCGACTTCCCGCAACCGCAGCAAGATTGTATGGCACACCGTCATCGTCGGTATGCTCATGCAATTCATCATCGCACTGTTCGTTCTCCGTACCAAGGCTGGATACGACATCTTCAACTTCATCTCCGAGCTCGCTCGCCTGCTCTTGGGTTTCGCCAGGGATGGTGTCTCTTTCTTGACCACTCCAGAGATCTCCCAGAACCAGTACTTCATGTTCAGCGTCATTCCGGCCATCATCTTCTTCGTGTCGTTCGTCCAGCTCTTGTACTATTGGGGCATTCTCCAGTGGTTCATCGGCAAATTCGCCGTCTTCTTCTTCTGGTCTATGCGAGTATCGGGTGCCGAGGCCGTGGTCGCGTCTGCCTCTCCCTTCATCGGCCAGGGTGAATCTGCTATGTTGATCAAGCCCTTCGTTGCTCATCTCACTATGGCCGAGATGCACCAGGTCATGTGCTCTGGATTCGCCACCATTGCAGGTAGTGTTTTGGTCGCCTATATCGGTATGGGCCTTAACCCGCAAGCCCTGATTTCATCTTGCGTCATGAGTATCCCTGCATCGCTCGCTTTCAGTAAGCTGCGATACCCCGAGACTGAGGAGACTCTTACCGCTGGTCGTGTTGTTGTGCCCGACGACGATGAGCACAAGGCCGCCAACGCCCTCCACGCCTTTGCCAACGGTGCCTGGCTCGGTCTCAAGATCGCCGGTATGATCGTCTCTACACTCTTGTGTATTATCGCTCTTCTTAACCTGGTCGACGGTCTGCTCACCTGGTGGGGACGCTACATCAACCTCGACGGCGACTACGACTTGACACTAGAGTTGATCCTCGGTTATCTTTTGTACCCTGTCGCTTTCCTCCTCGGTGTATCGCGTCAAGGCAACGACCTGATTCTTGTTGCTCGTCTCATCGGTATCAAGGTCATCACCAACGAGTTCGTCGCGTTCCAATCGCTCACCGACGAGGACCCCGAGTCCCCCTACCACGACCTGAGCCCACGCTCCCGCCTTATCGCTACCTACGCTCTTTGCGGTTTCGGCAACATCGGTTCCCTGGGTACCCAAATCGGTGTGCTCAGTCAGATTAGTCCTGGTCGAAGCGGTGACGTCTCGCGTCTCGCCCTGTCCGCTCTCATTACAGGTGTTTTCTCCACTCTGTCCAGTGCGACGGTCGCAGGTCTTGTCGTTCTAGACGGATCCAACTTCAGCTCAGGCTCGTAGGCCTGGAGCTGGGAATGTATGAAATGTCGCGTTGCTGAGGAGTCGCTGTTTGGTGGTCCTAAAATATTATGCTTAGCCAGTTTTGGTGTACGAGATACCCACAGTAGTACATGGATTTGATGAAGAATCAATACTCTCACTTCAAACCTCTTTCCCGAAACCCGACTGTGAGACATGATCATGACTTTAAACGTGGACACGACGTGCCTTATACACTCCGCCCTTGAGCACAAGTTTTGCCTTGGCGTCGCCCTTTTACTCACGACATGTTGCCTCAATCCGGTTAGCGTGTCTAGGAACGGTAATCCTCCAACACGAACAACTTTGCAATCTCGCTTGCGATACGAATCAGACTGTGCGGCGAAGTGCTGAAGACTGTGAGTATTGCAGGGAGAATGGTGTGTTCACAGTCTCCCATGCCCAAGTTTTTGGGATGTGACTGGTCAAGCTGTGATATTCCGTGACAGAAGTGGAGTTGAAAAAATCACGAGCTCTTATATCAATCTTCACGCGAGGCTTTTCGACGACCATCGATCTCATTAGATTCGCAAAAGGTGACGATGCAAGGTCGAGGTTTACGGTGTTGATGTTTGCTCTTGTTCCGCCAAGCCTGAGCTAGCTGTGTCAATAGAAAGGCCGCCTGCGATACCATGATGCTCACTCGTTTTCAAAGTCCAAGTCCGGTACTCTACGCTGGTCGCACAACACATACTAAGCCAGATATACAATGCATTAGCGACACATCGACGGGAAAGGTACGTTTCACATACCAGAGCGCTATCAAGTGCCATGCCACACCGTCGAAAGGCAAAATCGAACGCCTGCCCACCTGCACAGACCGGATGCGTTCGATGATCCCCGCTGATGGCGTGACACCAACGCGATGTGGCATCTGGGGCTGCCAATCCCGCCAAAAAGATAAGAGATGCTGAACATCCAATGACACGTCATGACTGGTAATTAAGCGAGCCTGCTAAGATTGCCGTTGAAGCTTGACGGAAGAGACGCTGGACGAATGCTTTTTCCGTGTTCCAACGGCTTTCCTGCATCTTGCTATTGAGTTTTGAACCCTTCGCCTCAGTATTTTCGAAAGTCATGGTTGGAAGGCCGCGAGTCCATTGGCATTTACCTCTCGCGACGCAATGCACTCAATGACACTATATACATCCGCGCTTTGACGACCGCGAGCAGCTGCCTGACCCGAACGATCTCGAAGCCGTGCAAGCCTGCGATTGGTCGCAGCTTGGCTGTGAGTAAAAGATGCCACACAAAAGTTCGCATCTTATCTGCATTGTTCCGCCGCGTTATCGGACCATACCAGGGTTGGAAGATCGTTTCCGCACAGGGTGTGCTTCCTCCTGTTGCCCAACCCCACGAAAACCTGCAGAACCATGCAGATATCGAGCTGTGATCGTTGTTACCTTTAATAATTATCCGCGAATATGCAAGCTAGTCCTCCGGTTGACTATGCCTGCCTTATGCGTCCAGCCGATGAACGGTAACGCTCCTGCTTTATCATGGTTAAAGTCCTCTCCCAGAGGTCGTATGCCGGTAGATCCTGACCGAAGCTTTCTGTAACATCTACCAAGCGAAGCTAAGCAGCGAGGTTAACTATATCTTAACTTCCGGTATCCCTCTGACATCGTACTTTCTGCTTATCAGCTACTCATCACCCGGGTTGTCTTTAACCCGCCCAGCATGAGTACACCTCCTCCGCTAAGCCAAGGTTTTGGCTATGGCATCGTGATCGGTTTAGGCTTTGCCTTCTCGTGGGTATTACATCCCCCATGCGTGGGCGTCACTAACTCGGCAAAGCTTCGGTATGATCTTGACGACATTCGTGCTGAAGAGATACAACTATGAACTCCAAACCTCTGAGATGTTCTCGACAGCTGGTCGCACAGTGAAATCAGGACTCGTTGCATCAGCCGTCGTATCATCCTGGACATGGGCGGCAACACTTCTTCAATCGAGCGCGGTCGCCTACAGATACGGTGTATCTGGCCCCTTCTGGTACGCCTCAGGAGCAACTGTGCAAATCATTCTATTTGCTACGATTGCCATAGAGCTGAAACGAAGAGCTCCTAATGCACATACGTTCCTTGAGGTCATTCGAGCCAGATACGGCGCTGTTACGCACATCGTCTTCATGGTCTTTGGTCTCTTTACTAATATCCTTGTCACTTCCATGCTGTTGACCGGAGGCTCCGCTGTTGTGACTTCGGTACGTCGAATCTGGCAAATAATATAGATCTATACTAAAACACTTAAGCTCACCGGCATGCCAACTGCTGCTGCGTGTTTTCTTCTACCTGTTGGTGTAGTCCTATACACCATGTTTGGAGGTATCAAGGCCACCTTCTTGACTGATTACGGTACGTTGCTTTCTTCTATATTTGTAGCGAAAAGCCGCTAACATTACCTCTAGCACACACTGTGGTCATTCTGATCATCCTCTTGATGTTTGCCTTCACCGCATACGCGACCAACGAGAATCTTGGAAGCCCTGGAAAAGTCTTCGACCTACTGGTACAAGCCGCAGCGGATCACCCAGTTGAAGGAAATGCCGGCGGCTCTTACCTAACCATGCGGTCGAAAGAAGGTGCAATATTCTTTGTGATCAACATCGTGGGTAACTTCGGTACTGTATTCTGCGACAACGGATACTACAACAAAGCCATCGCTGCCAGTCCCGTCGATGCTCTTCCTGGATATATCATTGGCGGTCTATCCTGGTTCGCGATTCCATGGCTAGCTGCTACTACCATGGGTCTCAGTGCGATTGCACTGGAGAATAACCCTGTTTTCCCCGGCTATCCAAATCGCATGGCTGACGCTGACGTGACGGCTGGGCTTGTGTTACCCACGGCCGCTGTAGCCCTGATGGGTTCGGGAGGAGCGGCTGCAGTATTACTTCTCGTCTTCATGGCTGTGACCAGCGCCATGTCTGCTGAGCTGATTGCCGTTTCTTCAATTTTCACTTACGATTTCTACCAGGTAAGCATGATTCTACAGGTCATGAAAAGATGTTATCGAGCTGACGAGATCTAGACCTACGTCAATCCCAAAGCTACAGGGAAACAACTCATCTACATGTCTCACACCATGGTTGTCGGCTTCGCTGTCGCAATGGCAGCCTGGAGTACTGGACTATACTACATTGGCATCAGTATGGGCTACCTATATCTCCTGATGGGCGTCATAATCTCCTCCGCCGTCCTACCCGCCACTCTAACGCTGATGTGGTCAAAGATGAACTGGGTTGCAGCAACCTTTACACCACCTCTCGGCTTCGCCTGCTCCCTCATTGCTTGGCTCGTCACCGCCCAGAAAGAGAGCGGCGAACTCACTGTCCTCACCACCGGTGCCAACAACCCCATGCTAGCAGGGAATGTTGTCGCCCTCCTTTCTCCCATTGTGTTCATCCCCGTCTTCACGTACGCTTTCGGACCCCAGAATTACGATTGGCAGAGCATGAAGGCTATTCGCAGAGGCGACGACCACGATCTTGCTCTTGCCGCGAACGTCGATCTAGAACGGATACCCGGTGAACAACGACGAGCAATCGAGGCTGACGAAGAGGAACAAGCTAAACTACTCAAAGCATCGCGTATCGCTCGCTGGCTCACGCTCTTCATGGCAATATCTTTTCTCGTGCTGTGGCCTATGCCCATGTACGGTTCTTCGTATATTTTCAGTAAGAAGTTCTTCACAGGCTGGGTTGTCGTCGGCATTTTGTGGATGTTCTGCTCTTGCTTCGCAGTAGGACTATATCCGCTTTGGGAGGGGAGAAAAACAAGTGTTAGGACATTCAAGTCGATGTACATGGACATCACGGGGAGGAAGAAGCCGGGCAAGGGGCCGATGGTTGTGGAGGGTGAGGGGACGGATACGCCACCGGAGGCTATGGAAGAGAAGATGGTGAAGGAATGAGTTTTGGTCGGAAGATGTCGGCGTGTGTATCGAACTTGTCCATCATTCGTCTACCTAAAGAACATGATCACAAGGGACCGTGTAACCAGGGGCTGTGGGTAGCCTGGGCACCAAGCCGCACGGCGGTTCCAAGCCACTAGTGCTACAATCGACATGTTGCGAGAGATACCTGATAAAGTATACCAAGATGTTCGAAGGCTATTTCTGTCGGCGCGATTCGAGTTTGCCGGGGTTGACCGAAGATTTCTAGCATGGGTCTCCGGCGATTGGAACTGACAACTAGGCCTTCCATGGGCTAGCGTCGATGAGGCTCAGTTTAGCGACCCACGTGGCAATAGCCATCCCACGCAAAAATCACTACCCCTAGATGTACCGGTGGGTTCATTCACAGTGCCGCATACTGTCTTGTATATGTCGAGTGTGACAGGTACTACGGATTAGACTGCACCATGCAAGTCCAACAAAGCAAGCTCAACCTGCGCACCTGCCTTTTCGATCCAAACACATGCCCACGATGCCAAATGACAGGCGGTGAAAGATCTAGAAGTCACGACTTCGCCCGAGCGTGAGGCTAAACTAAGTATCGTCAAATTGTCCCTTGCCTTGGCTGCTCAATTTTTCTGACTGAACCCTTGTCTCCACCTCTTCTCCAGTTCTTTCCTCCTTCTCTCCACATTCCTTTTCCTTGTGTGCGTTCCTTGGCCTGTTCCTTTGTTAGCGAGGTGTCAGATGAGTGTCAGTCTCACAGGCAGTTGCCTGCCACCATCAAGCAGTTTACCATCTATTCGTTCACTGCTATCAGCATCGGAAGATCAAGTTTTTGCTGCTCTCAAGAATTTGCAGGCGCTGTACTGTCCTGTACGCCTTCCGACTACTATCTCACACCCAACGTCGAAAAGAGAGCACACGTGTATTGCCTCACCCCCTGGACCAGCGGATTCCGGTTACGCGTCTCAAGATGAAGGCGAAGATGACGAGAACGAAGTCACATCCGAAGAGGTGACAGCAGCTCTGCGTGCAGACCCATTCGAGCGCACTTTTGCCACCCAATGGCTGAACTCGCTCCTCGCGCGGTCGGAAGAGATGGAAGTTGATGACGATATACGGGAAAAACTTGTCGATGATGCCGGCTTCATTCTTTCAAGTCTATTTGATAACACCGATAAAGAGGAAGAGGCACTGACACGAGACTTCCGCTTCTCCACATCGTTCGGAGAACCTATTGAGGTTACGCTCAACGATGCGCCACTATCGAGTACAGACCACACGGCTGTCGGACTTCAGTCCTGGGGGGCTAGCATCGTACTCAGTAGCATGGTTTGCGCCGAGCCAGAGCGTTTTGGACTTCCTGGAAATAGTCGCGCGGGGAAGCGGACAATCATCGAGCTAGGTGCGGGCACTGGACTCGTCAGCTTAGCAGTCGCGAAACTACTTCCTGTGGTCGGCATTGAATCTGTCAGCATTACAGCGACTGACTATCATCCCGCGGTTCTGGAGAACTGCGACGCAAACATTAAGACAAACTTCCCTCCCAGTTCATACGACACACCACCTGTAGATACGGCAATACTGGACTGGGCCGAACCTCCCACAGCCATGAAATCGGCATCCGATCTTCTCATAGCCTCGGACGTGGTCTACGCTCCTGAACATGCCGCCTGGCTACGTGATTGTGCAGCCCATCTCCTGGCTCAGAACGGTTTATTCTGGCTTATGGTCACAGTGCGCAAGACGGGTAAATTCGAGGGCATTCCCGATACTGTCGAAGCCGCATTCGAACCAGAGCTCTGTCCGAAGAGCGACAGCGGGTTGACGTTCAAGATTCTGGAAAAAGAGTTTGTAGAGAAGAGACGGGGTATTGGAAGAGGTGATGAGAGCGGATATAATCTTTATAGAATTGGATGGGCATAGAACAGAGCGATTTATAGACTAGACAGCGCAAGCGACCTAGCGGGCTTCGTCAAGGCCTACGACGTTACGAATTCAAGACCTACATCTAAGACCTTTGCAACGAACCAAGATGCTCTTACTTACGCACCAGACTCATCCTCATTCTCTGACACCCGGTGTTCCCCATGTTTATATCTTTCTTTCGCAAATTTGTCCGGTTCTGAGTACTTTTCCACGCTGACGGCCACAGTCGCAGCAACGAGGCCCCTATCAACCGTCTGCAAGACGCCCACTAACCTCAATACAAACGCCCACATTCTTTCGTTTATCTCCAAAACCGTGTCTACAAACGGCTTAAGTGGTAGCGTCAGCTCCTCGATTGGCTTGTGCACATCAGGCTTCTCGAACGTGTTCTGCATATCGTCAAATCTCGCCTGCAGTCCCAGAACAATGTCCAACCCAAAATCCCAAGCCTCAGTCATATGCTTTGCGTAGTCGCTATGAATCATCCTTCCCATGGTGATTTTGGCGTCTTTCACGGGATCATTCAGGTTGTTCAGCCATTCTCTACCGGCTAGTCGTGCTTCGCCTTGTACCCACTTCAGTTTGATCTCGGCTAGGTTGACGAGCTTTCGTAGTAGGTTTTGCGTCGTGTTCAGCAGCTTTCCAGTATCCTCCATCGGGCCATTAATACAGTCTACAAGAGCGAGCCGAATCCGGAGAATGTTCGGCGAAGGCTTTCCATGCCCTGCGTTGCGATTGAAAGAGCGAGTTGGTGCAAGTGAACAGGTATGTCAGCGGCGTAAGAGATGATTTTGGGCCGAAAGTTTTGCTCGTCAAAGACATGCTGTGGTTGACTGACCGGTGTTGGATCGTGGGGGGCGGTGAGGAAACCAATGATACGCCGGTTTGCTGCTTGTTTGCATGATCGCAAAGAAGATGGTGAATAAAGCTTGACGTGTCGCAAAGCCGGAACTTCATGTGCTGCGAAGTATTCGGATATAGATCGCATATTCTAGATGTCATCTCCCCTCTTCCTCTTCCTTCTCCCATCGCCTGCTATATTTTCCACCCCATGTCGTTCTTCGGTGATGCCCGCAAGAGGAAAGACATATGTTCCCATTGACTGACCTTCCGCGTACCAAACTCCATTCACCCATCCAGCGCTATACAGCAAACAACCCCCCTTGCCACAAGCCTCTTGGAGCCCCATACCGGGCTCTACGCCGACTTCCAAGCTTGCCAGTCGTTCAGAATTATGTGATTGATCCCAGCTCGTGAAAACCTTTGTAAGGCAAGGTGCTCCGTCAGAGTTTAAGTGGGTTACTTGCTCTGTCCTCCAACCATCTGGTTCCGGCTTGATGAAGATGGCAGCTGGCTCTGTATTCAGGGGTGCTGAAGCTAGCCGCCCCAGACGAAGCTCTCGATCATCGCGAAGAGCTTGATAGAGGGCGAACATCATATCTAGTACGTACAGTGCAGACTGCGGTGGATCTGATCGCGACAGATTCCTATCAAGAGACAGGTGTTCGCGCATGTAGCTGGCGAGCTCGCTACCTGGCCATAGTGCTTCCAACTTTTGGATCAGTAAACTCAACGCTATACCTGCATCCTTGCCGAGCTTCGTATCCCGAAGCACTGAACCTCGGCCCAAATCGGATAGAGCTTTTCGGTCCGAGTCGTTGAGACAGAGGCAATGCTGATCTGCTCGCGTTCCTGAACGCTCACAAGGTAATAATTCGAAAAGATAGCCTTTCGTCTTAAGACCACGAGACGTAATAGTTGGGGATTTGAGACGACAGTGGTCGACGAAAGTTTGCTGAAATCTCAGATTAGGCACACTAAACTCGTGTTGACATGCCATGAGATACGATTGTAACGTGTGCTGCATCAGGTTGCTTTCGCAGGGCAGACGCACACGGTCAGGTGATTCCCATGCCGTACTCTTCAATATCTCCCCATTCATTAGTATGAGTGCGAGCAGAGCTACAGAGAGGCTGTATTTGCCTGGCTCATGTATGGGAGATCCTTTCCCGATATTTATGCGCTTAGTAAATCTTAGAGCGTTTGCAAGGATAGCGATTCTGTCCTCCTCGTTCTCCAACGAACGGTTGCAAAGATCATCCAGCACACAGTTCGTAGTTGTTCGGTACGCTGGAACCTCGTAGTTGCTTCCGCGCTGGTGGTTCTGGTCATCGCCAGTATTACCGCGAACGCCATTGCTCCTGGAACGCAACAGATGTTCGTTCTGTAGCGGTGTGTAGCTCTTGTTGCAGATGTTGTATTGTTTGAGCTTTTTCAGTATGTTTGTATTAGGCTGCCGTTCCTCGGGGCGAGCCAAGCAAAACATGGTCGCATTTTGTCGGAGATCCTTAAGTTTGATCTTCAAGTCCCCAAGGAGATCACCAAAGTCATAACCCCGATATTTTTGAATACTTGCAGAACACGGTATGAGTAAGGTCATCCTGTTCGAAGCCAAATGATCTTCTTGGAAGATCCAGCCACGATCCCAGCGAGGGTCGCTAAGAATGCGCCGAATCAGCTTTTGTACTGCTAGAACGTTGACTTCGGGTCTCAACTTTGGATTTTCTCTGTCTTTGGGGTCGACGAAAATGCGGCCCTGTAGGAGTTCAGATAGAAGATCGACTTCGTGTTGATGCTCAAGCTTTACGGTGAGTAAACCAACCGAGACTTTGCTGTCGCCGTAGACTACGTCCATGATCTGAACTCCCAGTTCCTTGTCTTTTGGCCACTTTCTTTCATCTCCCGGTCTCTGGTATATGCACTCCTTGTCGATCCATACTTTGGACACATTAACGCTCTGTGCGAATTGTATTACCCGATCCATGTAGCGGTCCGGAAAGTCACTCTTGTGCGGCTTCGCATGCGGCCTCCTGATCCGATAATCGAATACAGGGGGTTCAGGCTCACCGGAGAGAGCCTCATGTTTGAGCACAGCCCATCTCCATGAGACAGCAATGTATGCGTCTTCGTCGTCGTCTTCACGCTTCGTGACGGAGACTTCGCGCAACGGTATCTCTCGATTGTAGAAAGAATCGCGAGCCTTTGCTAGTGCATAGCGGCGATTTTGTTTCTGCTTCTCTGCCTGTAGATCCGGTATTCCCGAAACATCCAGAAAGCGCAGATTCGATACCCATTTTTCAGCCTTGCTCCGATTGGTTTTGAGATGTTGGAACTCTAGTAATTGTTTACAGAAAGCGGATGGGTCGCCGTTGAAGATCTCACCGAACGTCTGGCGAAGATCGTTCTTCATGGTGTAAGTGGCTGTTCAAGTCTTGTGGTTGATGTTGAGCAGGCGGAATGATGGGATGAGAGGAGAGCGAGAACGCGTCTCAGGTCCCCGCATGAGACGCGCTGCGCTGTTCCGCGTCATCACGTGGGCAGCTTGGCGGCGACATGATGACGCGCGACCATCCCGAGGTCGTAATGCAACAGCATTACTCGGGTCAAATACAACCGTCGATGCACCGCAAAGTGCTCGGTCTCATCCGCCGCAACTACCTTGTCAGCATCCAGAACTATTGCAGTCGCAGCAGTGGCACTTCGTAAAAACATATAGACTGTAATACTGCAACGAAATGCAACGAAGTAGGCCACTGTTATCAGCTTCGAACGTCTCCTAGCAAGTTGATACTGTCCATCTCTACTGGGTTCGTTAAACTTAGATGTAATTTGAGGAAAGAGATGCGAGCCTGCCGAAGAACTAGTCCACGTGCTCCATCCAAAAGCGGTTATGCCTCGGCATGATCGTTTCAAGGGTCTCGGCCCACTCACTCATTCACATGCTTCCCCAGATTCGCAGCTGCATACATCATCACCGCTGTCACGAGCTTCCGAAGGCTGTTATATACCCCAGACTGTTCTGCACTCGCGATTTCGACTCCACAGACCTCTTCAGCCTAGCTACCATCGCCATCAGTCCCTACCTCCCTCGAAGCGCATCACCACTGTAGCAACACATCGCCAACATGTCTCTCAAGAACGGTATGCACATGCCAACCCTACGAAACCTCAGGGCAATGCAACTAACGAACATGCAGACGAATTCCCCGCTTCCGCCGCCTTCGACGAGATCGCGCAGGCCCTTTCCGCTTCCGAAGCCGACCGCAAAGACGCCATCAAGAACGGCAAGGCCATCTTCGCATTCACACTCAAGAACAAGGCCGGCGCGCAAGAAACATGGTACCTAGATCTCAAGGAGACTGGCACGGTCGGAAAGGGCCCTGCTCCAACAGGCAAGAAGGCTACTGCCACACTGGTGTTGAGCGATGAGGATTTTGGCAAGCTTGCGGCCGGCAACGCGAATGCTCAGAAGCTGTTTATGAGCGGGAAGTTGAAGGTCAAGGGAAATGTTATGAGCGCAACAAAGCTAGAGCCTATCTTCAAGAAGGTGCAGAACAAGGCTAAATTGTAGATGCGAGGGTAGAGGCGAATATGTATACCAATTCTCTCAACAAACACGCTTCTAATTCACGAGTGTTCAACATGTCAACGGATGCAAATGACCACGATGTCTGCGCGTGTTATGTATCTTGAGCTTTAGACATGCATATGGCCTGTAAACAACATGCGAACACTGCAGGTAGGGCAAGACTTGAGCACAGCCCGGGAGTTGGGTCATCTTAAAGTAGACATCCAAATCACGCTGGACCGATGCGATGCGCGCAAACATAAGGTAAGGACCAGAAGGAAATGTTATTGAATGATCGTAAGGTCATACTATTCTACTCATACCATCGTAACTATGCGCAAACGTGATTTTCGGAGTAGTCGTAAAGGCCGTGGAGACGTTGAGTCGTAGTGAGCGTGAGGAAGACGAGACAAAGGAAAGACGAAGAGAGAGGACAGGAAAGGCCGTTACTCGAAACCCAACAACAAGAACAATGAAGACAGAAAGCAGACGCCATGAACCATGCCCGAGGGGTATCAACCGTGACATACCACAGCAAAACTCCCTAATACCAGACAAGAACCCAGAAAACATGCACAACCACTTCACCTCACCATGACAGGCGAGCTGCCTTTCCAGCTCGAAAGATGCAGGAACCTCTTTCCTCCACCCCAGAAGCTATCCTTCTTACTCGACTGTCTTGGTCTACCCAACCACCTCGACAGCGCATGTTCTCTCCTCTCCTTCCCACTAACCTCCTCGATCGCCTGCTCAACCTCCTCAAGCAACGGGCCCATGACCCGCGGCTCGGCATCAACAGGCGACAGCATGATGGGAACGTCCATGACCTCTTCTTGGTACTGCTTCCATCGATCGCTTCCAGAGATGGTAGTCAGAGGTTCAAGCGCGAGATCCCAGTCGCCCTCGCGCAGTTTGACGTCTTCGAAGTTGAACTCGCGGAGGGACCGCTTGTGCTTGGTGATGAAGTCGCTGATTTGAGCGGAGTCCATGAGCGCGTTCTCTAGCTCCATGACGCGAAGGCGGGGGAACTTGAGGGGACGGGGACCATGGGTTTGGCCGCGGAGAGAGGGGTGGGTGGATTCCTCTCGGGTGGGAAGCATGCAGGGTTCACGGTCAAGAGAGAGGGGAGAAGGACCGCGCTCGCCTTTCCAACGGAAGAAGACACGTGTTAGGCCGCGGGAGAGGGTGGCGAGGTAGGCGTGGAGGATGCGGAGGTGTTCTAAGGATTGGGCGCGGGTGCGCGAGGAGCTTGAGGTAAAGGGTATGCTTTCCATGCAGATCGAGAGGCGACGGATTTGACCCCAGCGCTTGGCTGAGGATGGTGTGCTTCCGAAGCCGTGCATGGGGTGGAGGTACAATAGACCACCCGGGTGGATGGGGTGAAGGGATAGAGCAGCGAGGCTGTATAATGGAGCGCGCTCAATGGCGATGCGGAGAGAGATGAGCGCGTAGTCGACTACACCTCTTCGGTGTCGGAGTGAGCCAGTAGATCCCGGACATGAGACCTTGAGGTGTGTGAGGTTGATCAGCTCAGAGAACGCGGCGCAAAAGGCAGGGACATTGGTCGCGGCGTGGAACAGTGGTGGATACTGTTTGATGAGCAAGTCCTGCATCTCCCAGCTGCCATACTTGGGTGCCTTGTCTTTGGCCGGTCCATGTTGCGGTGTTTGAACCTGAGGCTCGTAGATGAACTGCTTCTCTGTGCCAGTGCACGGGTCAATGATGGGTGGCAAGCAGGTCTCTGGGCCATGTGGCATGTGGAAGGTAAAGGTCTTGACGTGACGGCCTATCCTCGATAGCGCTTCGATGCGCGCTGGCTTGGAAAAGGTAGATGTTTTGAAGGTCACGGTCATCTTCTCAAAGAGTCGCGGCGCAGCTTTTGATGAAAAATCATGGCATACAAGGCGGAAGTTGGATAGGTCCTCGGTTTCCATGTGATCCAGTACATTGTCGCGGCAGGTATCGTTTAACCAGAAGCGCAAAAAGACTGAGCTTGTGGAGAGGACCAGGTTGCAGATGGAGCCATTGGAACGAATTGCTTCATGATGTTAGGATGAGTGCGCGCGCATTGCGACGGAGTACTTACATCGTCCATCTACTGTCGTCGCAGGCGTCAATGGGATCTCTCCAAATAGTAGCTTGGAGCTTGCGCGCGATACTGTTGTCGCAGCGCTGGCGTAACTGTTCTGGCTCTCACCCGAATGGGAGCGCTTCAGTGGCGGTGGCGATGATCGCTGTGAGTACATGTTGTAATAGTCGAGTTGGTCGCATGCAATAGTGTTGGTTCGTGAAAAGGTCGTTTATTCTTCAAGGTATCAATCTCGTGGTAAATCTCAAGTAAATCGTAAAAGTCGTTTCAAACATCCAGCATTCGAAAGAGTAAAAGGGAAACCTCAGAAAACAGAAAATCCAACGGGACCAGCCACGACCTCGTCCCCAGCTGTATTTACCACAGCGCGGTGCATGGTTGCAAAGCGGGGCCCGACGCTACTACACGTGAGCTGCAAGTGTGAGTCAAAGGTCGTTCCCCTAGATGCCAACGAGCCCGCCACCGGATTCCCAACTCTTAACGCAAAGCAGCCGAAGAATTGATCAGAAAACGCGACCATCTCGCGGTGGGTAGACGTGTATATATGGTGTTAGACGCGACGATTCGACCAAGTGGTCGAGTGGGGCTGCAGCCTGGAGCCGGCTTGAAACGTTTCACGCATTTGGACCAACCGGCTCGAAGCATGCACGGGATAGTGTATGCGGCTCTTGCATTAGTCTTGCATCGTGTCTGCATCCCGGTCTTGGAAGCTGTGGCTAAACAGTCACGACTGGCGGTCAGCGATCCCGTCGCGTGCAGGGCTGTTAATCGTCCCGTAAGTCAGGCACGACGCGTCTGTTAGTGCGCACAGTGGGCTCTGGACGTTGCTCTGGAGAGTCGCGATTCGAGGGCCACAACAACAACAAATGCCGTGCTTGCATTGGTGCCGGCTATGCGCGTCTGTTTTGAAGATGAAGGCTGTTTTGGACCAAGGTTATCGATAGCTAGCCGGAAGGCGCGTCTGTGGCTAAGGCAGTCACGCAGTGTCAACGCCATCAAAGTATCGTGACCGCATCCTGTCGCGTCGCATGTACGATACAAGTAGGCGGCAGTGTCTTTGTTCATCAGCTTGGCGCATCCGATAGACCTACAGCGCGTTCAGCAATGTTGCTCCCCACAGACGCGTCTGCGCAAACCTCACAACAACAACAAAGCTAACCATCGCGAACATCTACCAGTGGCACACCATGACCGCGTAAATGCCTCACACGCCTCACTTGATGGCTGGTGGCAGGCATGGCTTGCATACTGCCGTCCTGCCGCTCTACACCGATATGCCGTGTAGCTTCACCGGTCACGTTGTATGCCCCGCACTTGCACACTTCTATCTAAGAGTGCCGTCTGGACGTAAAGATGTTTCGAATAATTGTATTAAACTACATGGTTATGACGAGTAAAATCGACTATATCGGAGAGAAGCTTGTGACATACACCATCCTACGATATACTGTTTCAGATTGCTCCGCCGATAATTCCAGAAAAGCTATTAGCAAGGGTGATTACTGGGTAGAAAGAGATCAACCTCCCCCGTAGAACTGCTGCATGCCCCCCACTTCGGTCGCAGCGCATCTGCTTCTTAGGCCGTTCGCTGCGGCCCAAAACTCCTTGTTGGTCGCGTGTCACACGCCTAGACTCGCTCATTACTATACCATATCGCCACTTCTCGACGCGTCCCGGGTGCTGATCCGCGGCATAGCCCTGTTCCTTGACTTTCACAGAGGAGTTCGTTTCCTCTCAGCTGTTGCCCATGACACAATGTCTATCGAAGGCCTTCGCTGTCGTTCGCGCTGAAGTACCAACAAACACGTAGTATAACTTTCAGGGTGCACCACAGCTAGGCTGCACATTGTCGATACGAAAGCCGCATCCTCATCTTCTCTTTTCGTCGGAAAATCTGGGCGCGCCTTCGGGTGCAGGAGGGGGCTGGTAACTACCTCTGTAACCATTGATCGGGGGAAGATCCTGTCCAATCGCGTCCTCGTAGCTCGGTGGGGCATCGTCATAAGCGGGAGCATGCTGGGGCTGTACTGGCTGTCCGAAAGACGCGTTAGGTGCGTTGAAGCCTCCTTGGGTTGGCGTCGTTGGTGTGTGAGCAGCTGCTTGGGGTGGTGGGGCAAGTGTGGTTAGCTTTTCTGCAGGGAAACCACCCTCCAGGAGTGCTTTGGGTGGCGCGATGCCCGAGTAGACCTTGACTGGTAGTCGGAGGGGTAAGACGATGAGCTGATCTTCACCGTGTTTGTAGCTCCCGTAGCCAACGCCGACACGTATCTCTAACTCGTAGAAACGCGCGAGGTTGCATGACGTGAAGGTGGGTGGCACCGTATTGGGTACAGGCTTCTCAGACCAGTACTCGGCGTTAATGGGCACTTCCGTATCCAGAGGGTCAGAGGGACTTCCAATGGGAATAGCCATGTTACTGAAAGAGCACAGGATCCAGCTGTTTGACTCTGTACGTGATACCTCGTGCGCGCGTACTTTGGTATACCCTATCAGCTCAATCTGGAGCATCTGCAGATAAATGTTCTTTGTGCGCGCGCTGACGTTCTTCACAAGTAGTCTCAGCGGTAAGTCTTGGTTGCTAGTGAGGATGGCAGGATTGGGCAATCGGGCATCAATGGCTATCCGAGGTGGCACACTGCCTGTCGTCGGTGATGGCGGAGCACTTCCTGTCGAGCTCTTTCTATCGAAGAAGCTCATTCGTTTGCCTGCCGCGACGCTTGGGGCATTCTCAAGGAACTCATGTTGTCGCCTCGCATACGCCTCGCCGTCTGTCTTGTCTGGTCTCGGAGGTTCAATTGGAAGAAAATTGAAGTTCGCAATTGCCCTCGGATTTTCCTTGAAGAACTGCGGCCTGTTTACTGTGACCTTGACAAAGTATCGTATCTCTGCCTCGCCCGGAAACCCACCCAGTGTGGGAGGCAGTGTCGCCTTTACGTGCTGTGTCGGCGTCTTTGCAAACTCGGGTATCGCGTTCGAAAAGGAAACGTTGGAGATGGGATTGTTGGTCTGCTGGCATTGCGTGTTGAGAGGAAGCTGAGAAAGCTGTTAGCTATATAGTTTATATTGGCGCGTACTGCGTATCGTACCTTGAACTGGAACGGGTACTCAAAGGACCCGGCGTTGATGGTGAAGGCTGCTTTCGGATTCTGGGCGACATCTTCAGGGCGCACATTCGTCGGCCACACCACCTGTGTCTTGTACAGGAACTTGTGGACTTCCAGCACTGGTCGCTGTTTGTCTGGTCTGTTTGGATGTATGGGTGCCAGCAGTCGCGTTCTGCTTTCGCCTTCTAGCTTCACGATGATGCTGCTAATGTTGGTAGGATTCGGCACCCGCAGAAGAACTCTGCCTTGGATGACGTCGAGATTCGTGTAGTGCTCGTGAGGATTCTCGAGCACTATGTTGACGATCATCTTGAAGGTCTGCGTTCAGGATTAGTGGCCAGTATTTGCTTCCAGGCACCGGGTGGCTAAGTAAACGGGTAATCGCGAAGCTTGCAGAGGTGAGCCGTCATGTCAAGGACAAGGGTGTAGTTGAGCAGCAGAGAATCAATTTAGCGCATCAAGTAAGTTGGTGATGCAGCGGCTAAGCCAGGAGAACGCGTGTCATGTCGTGGGAGTGTTTGCGATGCAGGCTGCGCATCACCAGAACGGATGCCCGCGGGGTTCCCTCTGCCTGACCAGGGTCCCAGCCCCAACGTCATAACCCAATGCGAAGGCTTTTCCACGCAACAATCACCCAAACCACTCTCTTGCACGGCTTCTTCGGCAACGCTCAAGGTTGTACCCTAAAGGGGGCTTCTTTTTGTGTATTTAATTAGACTTTGGGTGTATATATTCGGCATTCCATGTACCCATTTCGGACAATGTGCCGGACACAGCCACAGTCATAGCCGCACTTCCGGGCTGAAGCTGACCCCTGTCTTACATGAGCATCGCATCGTGTGACTGGGCGCGACGCTTCCGAAGCTAGGGCTAACTGTCAAACGGCCTTTGCTCAAAAGCTGAATCCCACGGGGACGCACAAGCTTGCTCAGACGTGGAAATCATAAGGGCCAGAACGCGTCGATATTTTTGCGACCTGTTGTTGTGCATTCAGAGAGACTATAGGTCTTCCTTGGCTAGCATATCTGTACACTATATCAGCTATGTGCATCATGGGTTCAGACAAAATCTACTGACCGCAAATGTCAAGATAGAATGCAATGGCATTGAAACTGCACCCCCGGTCAGCTTTCATTCAGTCGTCGTTGCGAACGGTGCTTCCATACTTGCGCTTGCTGCCAGTAAGCTCCCAGAAGAACCACTTCAGGCGGTTCGTCCAATTGATCAGGTCGAGATGGCTCACACCAATCAACGTGCCTTTGTAGTCACCCCACCGACTCGACTCAACGCTGCCCTTGTGGTTAGTTGACATTGAGCGTACCAAACGCCAGCTGTCTACGCACCTGACCAGGCCATCGTTGAGACCCTCTTTTGCTTTGATAATACCATGGGAAGGTGCAAAGACGGACCATCGAGTCGGTTCGAGAGATGCGCCATATGAGTAGTACTTGACATTGGCTATGTCTGGCGTCTTGGGATTGAAGTTATTCTTCATGTACTCTTGCGTAAGCTGAGAGAAGGCGCCAGTCTCAAAACCAAAGTACTCCATAACACTATAGATGCGTTTTATTCTGCGTGCTAAACATGGTTTAGTTGAAAGCAGCCAAAAGGTATCACTGACGTACGACCGATCGTGTCGAACATGTAGTCTGCAAAAGCAGAACCCCTGTGTGGAGTGGCTATGGTGGTCAAGGAAAGAATCTTGAAGTCAGTCGGTCGAAGCTGGCTGATCATGTATCGTGAATCGAGACCCCTGCGAGTATTCAGTAACTGCACTGCGTACGTGTAGGCGCTGATTACCCCTAAGTAGAGGTCAGCCACTCAGTATTGCACTATGTCAGTGTGTCCATACCATGCTATGCCTGTAGATTGTTAGTGAACGGCAATTCAGCATATTACTGCATTCATGAAACGTACGCGATGATGTTGACCTGCTTTCCCTTTGCTTTGAGCGCAATGCTCTCGGCCAATTTCGCAGAGCGCGCCTCAATACTGCCACTGGCCGGGACCGCAGCCACGATAACCTCGATGCCCTTGTGTGCCAGGGCATCCGTGATGCCACGCCAGTATTGTATGCCAGGTATGAATTGGCCCGCGAGTCGCAGTTCGTCGAAGCCTAGCAGACCGTGGGCAAGGACTATGGTGTGTTTCTGGAAGGGTCAGTGTTGCGGTGTGCGATGGACTAAAGCGCATACAGGTGCATCTGCTCTTCATTAGCTACTTTCATGAGTTGAATCTGATAGTGGCATGGGTATACCATATTTCTCGCGCATTACGGCAAACTCATCTACAATCTCGCGACCAAAGTCGGAGATGCGTGGGTCTTCTTTGCGACATTGCGAGCGGCTGAACTGGCGTGTCGCATTTTTTGGTGAGAGTATACATGATGTGGTACTGTATACAGGCGAGCGAATGGTCGCTCGAGCATAAATTCGTATCATTGGGTGCAGCGCATTGCATTGCAGTTCGGAGACGCGTTGATGCTCGAGCGATAAAGTTCCACACCAGTGACGTAGGCCTGACCTCGGGAAGCTAGGACATACATGGGCCAGGGTCCGCAACGAGTAGAGAGGTGCAGCAACAAAAGAGGGTATGAGCATTTGCTCTCTGCTATTCACACATGTTAGGTTAAGAACACAACACAGAGGAGTACTTCTAGGACGTCACCAACGTAATTATATGCACTATGCAAGAGTGTCGGATCGGTGACCTTGGACGATTTGAATGCATTTCACGAATAGATATCGACTTGACTATCAAAGCCTGGAAGACAAAGGCATATTGAAGTGGAATACATTCACCAAACTCGCAGCATATCGTCTATTGTTGGTATGTTCGAGGCCGCAGGTCGACCTTGACTGTCTCGGGCCCGTCAAAGATCATGTACAAGGAGCGCTCTTCCCATGTGTCTCCTCAACAGCATCGCACCAGTCCGACTCCACGCTTCGTCTAACCCTCCATGTTGGTGCTCTAGTCCTGCTTGCCCGGTGGCTTGGGGTGCGCGTTTACGACGGCCTCGATGAGCTGGTCGACGACCTTGCTGCCAGACTTGTTGCCGATCTCGTCAATCTCCTTGACCTTGGCATCTGTGTCCTTCTTCGCGTCCTCTTCAGCCTTCTGGTTGCCTGAGCTGTGCTGCGCCATAGTTAGCCTCCCACTTCCGTCACGCGTATAGTGTATCGTCTCCGCTGACGCACCTCCTTCTCGAACTTCTGGTACTCGGACTCCTTCTCTTTTCTGTAGTCCTCGATTTCCTTTTGTGCTTCGTTTCGGGCGTCCTTTACTCGCTTCGTACGGTCTGGGTCGGTTAGAGTGTTGATACGGCTGGGTACATCGGGCGTTGTTTACATTCTCTTGCTGGTGAGCGGTTAGCGACTGCCCAAACAGACTACCTCGTGTGCTAGAATACCTTGCTGGACAATCTTCTGAGCTTCGCGTTCGGCCTAGGTGCGGTGTGAGCTATGCGGAGATTGGAGTGGGTTGCGCTGCCTTACATCGAGCAGGGTCTGAATTCCCGCGGAGTTTTGGGCGGACTACAGCTGTCAGTGTTCGCTACGGCGGCCTACTATTGATGTCCTCACCATTTTGAGTGCTGATTTGCGGGGATGTTGGCTATCACAGGTAGAGTTGCGGAGAGGCACGATGCAGCCGTGGACTTGGCGGAAGGTGCTCCAAGGCCCAAGCTCCCTCCCGCAGAGAAGCCGCTCCAACTTTACACAAGGCTCCGTCCCCAACTTCGCCTTTACTCCACGGTCCCCGCCATGTCTCGAGCGTCGCAGATCACACTGGCGACTACGTGCGTCACCGCCATCGGTACCGTAGCATTTGTTCATTGGTCGCAGAGGAACGACAAAGCCGTGAGTACTGCGGGATTGACATGGCCCAGAAATTATCTAATATGTATCAGGCAATGCATATGGGCGTCATCCGGGATTTCGAACAGCAACGAATCAAGCGCGAACGACAGGCCGACTTCGAGATGCAGAGAGAACTCGAACAGGAATACAGGAAATATCAGACAGTGTCGGATGGAGGCCCCGCTGAACCACCACCCCAAGCACGATGATAGCCGAGTAGACCATGTCTGCTGCGCAAAACGCCGTGACTGAGAGGCATAACGCCACATCAGCCTTGCTGCCCGCAGATACGGTCGCGAAGTACCAGGCCTACCATGTGCCCCGGCTGCGCCATTGTTGAGCCCAGACCAAGGGACCGGCGTATACATAGCCCTACGACTATCGGTGACCCATCAACGGCTCGAGATGCGGATGCTCGATGCGCATGTGCAGTAATAACATGGAGCATTACGCGAACAAATCAACAATCATCTCGTGGGAATTGTTCACAATGAGGACCAGGCGCTCGACGTCCAACGAGAAGCTTTAGTGAAGAAGCAGGCCAACGGAGGAACGGAGTATGTTGTGCGGCCATTATCCAAGAATCACGAAGCATCGTTTACTCTTTAGGCGCCCTGCACTGCAGTATGATCATGCTCCAGCACAGTTGTCAAGCCATTTACTCCGGTCCTGTCGTCAATCCTGCCACGATGCTGCTCATTGTCATTATCGGGTTGTGCCAGCAAGGCACCATGCGCTTCGAGATCCATAAATGCAACACACAGCATCCATTGTTATTGTTCGCGCACATTACTGCATACAGTCACTACACACCCAAGATTGCGTTCTTGGCGCTCGTTGTTTCCGCGCCGTATGCCCAGAGCACATTTGCGCACCAATGACGAGGTTCCATGGTAGTGATTCATAGCGATTGCAATGCCTCCCGCTAACAAACCACATCGAGGCGCAATCGGATATCCGGCAGAGCTTGCTCTTCTGGTTTGTTGGTAATCCAGTCTGTGATGCGTTTGGCCACACCTCTGGTTCGGGAGGCTCGTTTAGTGCCTCGGCAGATCAGCAACTATGAGGTCATTTACCCTGAGTATCTCGATGCACTTGATGGATTTGCACGTCATGAATGTTCCACAGTGAAGACTTCCAGGGAGAGACTCAGGTTGTGGTCGAGAGTGACAAGGTATCCAAATTGTGCCAGGCATTTGTGCAGCATTGCGCCCGTTTGAGCAGATCAACGGCGTCTTCACGGCGTGTACTCACGGTCGCCCAAAGGAATCGCGTGCTTCAGCCACAAAGTCCATGTGATTTAGCCTATAGAATGGTCAGATCGGTAACAGCTGGTCAGGCACCCAACTGCCTGCTAGATTATGGCGTTGAGCTTGGCTGGTCTGGTGGCGGGTCGCAACCGACTAAGCTTTACCCTTTGCTCCAGGCTTTCTTTGATGACGCAGGGCTGTGCAACCCATGTCTCTAGCCAGCACAACATTAAAGACCTACGCTTGCCTCTTCACAAAGTCGTGCATTGATCCTCCTATACCTAGCAACTTCGCTACACAATCACATTGCAAACTTCTCACGTTTTGCTTCCTCATACCACACTACTATCACATCCCTGTAGCTTTATCGGTATTACCTCGACCCGACATCTGGTGTCGCAGATTACATCCGCGATTCTTCCGTACCACTGTCACGCATCATGAAGTTCTCACAGATCCTCACCGGCCTCGTTGCCGCACAAGTAATCAGCGCCGCTTCAATACCCGAATCCAACGCCCTCAACGTCCTCGAAGAGCGACGAGTTGTTCCTGCCTCCGAAATTGTCTCACCAGACCACACACTAGAGCGTCGCAAGGGAGGCGGTGGCCGTGGAGGTGGCGGCGGAGGCGGTGGCAGTCGCTCAGGTGGAGGAAGCAGTGGCGGCGGATCTTCTGGGCGTACATCAACCTCCTCCAACGCCGGTGGCGCAACGTCCGCTGGATCAGGTCGACCGCGCACTTTCGGCGGTGGGCAATACTATGGCGGTGGTGCCCGAACACCCTACACTGCCGGTTCGAAAACACCAAAGGGACTCATCGCTGGTCTTTTGATCTTACCGGCAGCCATGCTACTTATCATGCCCGGCCTGTGGCTCCACAGTACTTACCCTTACTATTACAACAACCCCTACCGCTTCTACAACCAGTCCGCAACCAACGACGATGACGACAACGACAACGACCGACGCGCACTGTGGACGCGCCAAACCCAGGGCCGCAACGAGTCTCTTCCCGTCATGTGCGTGTGCGAAGAGGACTTCGTCTGTGGATGCGACGAGAACGACGACCAGCAATACCTCAACGATCTTATTGGTAACGGCAGCTATGCTGCGCTCAACAAGACTCTCGTCACTGTTTCTGACGTCAACGGCACCAGGACTCTTGTTCTCAACGGTACCCTCGAGAAAGGCACTACTGCGCCTGGCGGCACCGATGACAGCGGAGCTATGAGCTTGAGTGCCGGAAAGTATGTCGGATACTACGCCGTAGGCATGATGGTGTTGGCTGGTGTCTTCATGTAGAGACCAAGCAACGCTTGATTTCGTGGTTGGGAGATGTATAATTTGACGACGTTACGATTACTCTAGAAGAATACCGGAGGCGTTTGGAGGAATTTTTCTTTGTTCAGCGGGAATTTTGTCCGGATAGAATCCTGCCAGGCTTGGTGAAAGATATGGATATACCCCCAAGTCGGTTGTTCTGACTTTTATCAGCTTTGAGGACGTTTTTTACGTAATCACTTAGTAGTACCTCTCACTTCCAATCATTGCATTTGCATTTGCCTATCGTTATGACGTGGTGTAAGGAATGAGTGAATCTCCACTGGGACTTCTCGTAAGCTTCGTAAGCTGTCAACCCTGTCAAGGGTCCTTCGTGTCGCCTCGGGCAACGAACGGTGTTGGGTCGCTCGTGCTGAGCGTAATGATTCCGGTCAAGACAGTGATGCCTTGCTACTGACTCGCAGATAATTGTGATTCCTTGGGACCAGCACGCGGAGAAGCAACCAAACACTTGGAGATAAAGAAGGCGGTGTATCCCATGTATAGAACGATGCAAGTGGGATATCGTATTCAATACTGTCCAAACAGTATACGAACAACAACCGGATGTATATTCGCCGTGTTTCCGGTGAATGATAAGTAGGCAGTGCCGACATATTTACAGGACCCGAGACACTCGCCCGGTACCACATCCGCGGGAACGATGGGCGAGATGGTGCGTGGGGTATTCAAACGCATATAGGTCAGCTGACGCGGGGTCTGAGCGGTGAAGTGGCACATCGTGTAATTGCTGTTTAGGAGCATATGAAGCGATAGTCTGCCTGGATATGCGGTTTTCGCTTGTCCATACGGGCACATCCGTGGAGTGCGATAGGGCTACGAAGCGCGGGTATATATCGGTAGTAAGGTTGCTCTGTCAGCTTGGTGGCGTTCACAATATAGCAACTTTATTCCTTTGCTAACCTATTCCATGACTGCTGCAGCTCCTACTTACCAATCGTGATGCCTCGGCAGGCCATCGTGACTCTGCTAGCGTTCCGTGGCCCAAAGAAAGGGAAACCTGGCGCAGCGCTGTCGCACAACGGTGTTACTCTATTTTGGCTGGTACCTAAAGGTAGACGGCATTACGTGCGCTGGCCGCAGGTACGGTCGGACCTGCGTTCGCTGCCCGCAGCTATTTTGCGGTGTCACTTCTTCTCTTCGCTATCTGGGTTGTGTTTGCATCGTTCAACGGACACCCCGGAGGTGAAATCGGACAACGTTCTCTGGACAATTACGAGCACAAAGTGACTTGAGCAGACTGAATGAAACAAGACAAGCAAAATTACATCATGCCCCTCTCTTGGTGGACCAGATATGGGGCTGGGGGCCAAAAGTTCTGATGACTGCTGCGGACCTACATTTTCGTTTACTGAAACAAGTAATTCTGGCTTGGGGCCGGTGTAATATGCACGCTTTCCAAAGCGCTTGCGGCCATGCAAAGGGTGATGGTAGTCAAGATTATTGGAGATGTGACCGGTAGCCGTAGATGAAGACGTAGGTGATGCTGCATCCGACATACTGACCGCCACCACGTGTTCCCAGGAAACGGGAGGGTGCATAGGGCTGCATGATTGTCAAACGTCGCAGGTCAGCCTCGAGCCGTGTAACAAGCCAGTGGCAGGGTCTTCAGCCCTAACAGGGGATCTGACGCACTAATGGACCGACCAGAGGATGGCTGTTGGGTAGACAACAGTATCTGGACATGATTGTGACGTGATGGAGTCTCTCAAGGCCGCCCGCATCTGATTCTATCAGCGGTGTGCTCCAACACTTGACGTAGATAAAGGAACTTTGCATGCTTGACAGATGCAGAAAGTTACTCAGTCATGGAATGCGACCAATGACAGAAGCGGATATGCATTTGCTTTCGAAACGTCGACGTAGCGTTAGTGTCAACCCATAGGTCGCCAGGCAGCACTCAGCTGGTCAGCCTGAAGCTCCAGGCAGTCCCGCCCATGCACTTCAATGGGAAGTTGGTGAGAACGGATAGCTTGCGCAGCCATGTAAAGTAATCGGCGTTGCAATTGAGTAAACCTGGCCTATTGAAGTGTGGTGGATGGAAAAGGGCGGAAGCACCAAGAATACTTCGTACTGCTAATTGCCCCGCAACGGACGGTTATTGGAGCGACTGGACGCGCACGTGCCTCCTACCCCAGCTTCGACATCCGCGTCGTCGGCCTGCCCACGCACTCTTCTTCTCACCTTAAACCTTTTGCTCGGTAGCAGCTCCGACCCGCGCGACAGGCGCTACTGGTCAACCGACACTTCTCCAGCGAAACCGCCGTGGTCCGCGAAGAGGCCCGAACCTGAGTAATCTACGTCAGAAATGTCACTGCCCCTCCTTGTCCACCCACAGATCGATCGCTATATCAGGAAACGTGGCTGGGCCTAAGCGGGCTGTCAGATACGATTAGAGTCACGCAGCTATCGTGACACCCACTTCGTACACTACGTACCGATTTGAACATGAACTCTTGTGCGGTATCGTGGCACGTTCACATGGTCCGCGCGCTACAGGGGTTTTGCAGCCCCGGTTAGCTTCCACTGCGCTTCCACTCCATGTGCAGCTCTGCTTTGCTGCGCGCCCCATTCAATCCTCTACTGATGTGCTCAGCGACCCGGAAATATTACATGGCCTTGGCCACTGACCAATTGGAATATGGGACGCACCATGTACGACAGCTGAAGAGCCTCCAAGAGGCGAACTACCAACCCCTGCTGAGTGTCAAGACCAAACCTTTTTCCCTACCGTCGACAAGCTAACGGCCATGATGGCTGTGTTAGTTGCCTTTGGGAATCCCATCTTAGCAGCGTCCGGCTGACTGTGCACTCATCCCTACACTTGGTCCCCGTTGCCTGACGGACCTGCGGGTAGTCAACGATGCCTACCGGGTGACCCACACTAGCCTATGCATCCGAGTCGTCTTCACGCCTATCGCTATATATGCTACTGCTTGCCACGTCGAGTCAGGATTCATCACTACAAGTCTCAGTTCGCTCTTGTCAACACATCTTCTTTTGTAACATATCGTTGGCGTTCACGCTATCCAGATCTTCAATTTCTCCGGGCCACTCCACATTTGGGCACCAGATTACACAATCACACCCTCCCCGGCATGTGCTATCAAGTCATTGAGCGCTATTCGGTCTGCCGTTGCTTATACTACAAACACGCAATCGATCCATGCGCCGCCCATGGCCAACGAGGACATGGGATCCAAGAGAAGACAGTTCTCGTAGGCTACGCCTGCAGTTCTCATAGTCATCATCGACCTCAAGCCTACCATACCGGTGTTCTTCCAGATTCTGGCTATGGTAGCGGTGGATTTTCCCCGGCATACCTACGATGAATGCATGAGAGTATGTGTGTCCACAACTCACACTCTGCTGCGAAGACAGGCTATCATTCGATCCCTAGCCCGTTTGCTCGCTTCAACACACAACTATCTTCTCGAGCTGGTTACTCAGTGCCGTATCTTCAGCCATTCTACGTTCGCGTCATCTCATACTTTCGGCGACACACGCATTACCATGGAGTTTAAGAGGGATTGGATCTATATGATGGGTTACACGCATGGAGCAGGGGAATGACAGAGAAATTGGCGTTTGTTTGGATCCGCACTGTAACATCACGAGGATGTGGGAGTCATCTTGAGAACTGGCCTGTTGCGCATGCTTCGGACAACACTGGCTGCTTCGGTTCCTGATACATCAGGAGCAGCATCGTTAGTCTACATCGTTTGGTATTCTTACTTACACTTTCTACTTCAATCGTAGTGTTAACCTTCAATATCATTGTGCTATTTTTACGAGCACATTTGAGTCTGCCTTGCGTAAGGCGCCATCGCAATGAAGCCCACTATTTCAAGACGGAGAAAGTTGCCCCGTTCGGCCCTGATACGTGCTTGAGTTAACACGAAAACGTGCTGTATGTAGTCGTATTGCATTCGGGTCTAGGTGATATGATGAAGCACCATAGCGTGTTCGCAAGTGCATACAGAGTTCAGTGAGACGTCATCTTCGCCAAGCAGACCCACCTTTGGCGGCCCATGCACGTGCCACTCCAAGGGTCACCGCCATCTCCATGAGCAGACCGAAGAGTATACACCTAAAAGTCGCCGTATCCGTCGGTGTGAGAACCATTGCTATCCACTCCACACTTCAGTCGCTGCATCATACATCTCTAGCCTACCTCGATCGCGACCACACCCCGATGATACTTGCAGGAAGACTCACACCCCGGCCGTTTCCGACGTCGCCGGTGAACGACATTCGGCATTCTCAAGTCTCGGCGAGTCGGATCATTGCGCCACAGTCAATCGGAATCCCTACATACCGTGAAGGCGACGCACCTCGTCATGACCCACGAGAGCCGTTACTTCCGCCGCAAGCTCACGAATCCACCCTGTAACGGACCACGCGTAGGCCAGGCGCAGGGCGAAGGGGTCACATTGCCGTTTTCAACGGTACCGCGACTGCCGCTGGATAAAATCTAATTCTCCCATCCTCGTATCCGTGGGTTGAGGCTTGCGCGGCAACTCTACAGTCATAGCTTGAAAGCTAGGCATCCATTGCTTCTCATCACCGGTTGGCTGGATTCTCTCGACGCTTTCATCTGCTCGCCTTGCTCTCAACATCTCAATGCTGTATTCTTGGGCGATGTCCAATATTTCCGGCATGCCAGTGCTGCTAGTTAGGGTTGAGGAAGCCCATTCTCCAGATTCGGGCCAACATTGTATCGTATCTCTAAAGCTTCCTAGTACTCCACCTATCAGTTTACCCAGCTTCATAGACCCAGAATTTTCTTTCGAGCTAACCCTTCAAGCCAGGTTGCATTATTCTTTAGGCGCGTTTGGCGCATCTCTTCCTCTGTTGGTCATATCCGACAATTGACCTTGGACCGTTGCACACTAGATCGGGCATAAGATGCGTCCCAGCCGAGAGGCTCCCGAACGGACGCTGCCGAGACATTGATTCAGCCTTGTGGACCGCTCGCGAGGACGCTGGGTGTTCGGCTGTTGTATCCACTGCGGCAAGACGGGTCGTGGATCCATCGCCATCCCGAATCTACAGTCACCAACACGCTGGTGTCATGAAAGACCCCTGCATTAGCTCAAAGCCTACAGAACATGTTACGAATGGAAGCTCGATGTTGTACATCTTATTGGACATGAGGCGAATACTTCGAGATGCATTGGCACTACTTGTTTTGCCTTGTCTGGCCATGAGGCATTCCAATATCCCCATTCGTCCAGGTTGGCTCCAATGCTCATAGACCTACTTACCTTCGCACTGGTCTGGAAGTCCAGACAATTGTGACGACCACGTCCATCGACGAGCAAGTACTCAGCCCCCAGCTCTGCATGCTTTGGGGCCGTCCAGCATCAAACAGGTATCATACCCCAGACGATCGAAGGGTAAAACGTGCCGACTGGCTTCATCAAGCTATCAAAGAGATATTGGTAACCTCGGCATCCATACCACGCACCAATCACATCCATCAGGACCAATCGCCTTGGCACCAAATCCCGCCTTACGTGAGCCTGCCCCTACAAGCGCCTTTTCTAGCGTACACTGGCCCATATTCCCACACCTACCAACCGCTCCACTCCCCACTTTAACCAATCACTGCCTCCGCATGAGCCTCTTCTTGACAAGCCCAGGGTAAGGCTTAGCGTGTATTTTCATCGTGGCGAGCGGGATCTGGCCAGGTTTAGATGCCCTCGCGTGTAGCGATTCTACTCCGGCGGCGCAGTTGCGTAGGGGCTGATCGTGGGGCTGAATCATCTTGCTAGGAATGCAGGAGGCCTTGCAGCAAGGTGTGGTCATGTGTTATTGAGAAATCCAGTAACAATCCATACGCTTCGCGGCAATACTCGTAATGTATTGTCTCAATACCAATTGGTGTATTCTTCTGAGATGCAACCCTTCTTGACGGCAGTCAGTATTTTTCCCGCAAGCCTCCGTGTTCTCCGTTTGGCTACTTTCAGAACTGAGCCAATGTGCTATGGCAGCGCATCGGATCGAATCTTGCCTGAAGCTGCTTCTTTCATGACCAATCTGCTAGGGTAAATTGAAGGCCCTAGTAGATACCAAGCTACTACATCCGAGTCACCTCATTCCAGGACGATTGTTTCGAACTCCGGCGACGCTTCAACCCATCTCTTCAGATAAACCCTTCCAATGCCCAGTCTCCGATATACGACACTACCTTCTTGGACTGAACTTCGCGCAACTACCATCACATACAACTCAGGCACGTGCCGCCAACTGTGAAGAGGTTCGCCGTCGATGCCAAAATAGCTCAATCCTTTCCAATGCTTTGCAAACGCCCTTGCTTTCTCGGACTGTCTCTGCCCAGGGGCAAATCTATCGTCAGGAGACAGTAGTTCCCAGTAAGGGCTGGGCGTATCGAAATCCGCGTGTCTGGGACACTCTACCAGATGCGCTTCCGGTTCTAAATCGATGGTCCCGTTTGATGAGCACATACATCCAAAAAACTCACTGATCGACAAGCTGTCAGATGGCGAATCGAAGCACGGCATTACAGGCGGGAATCTGTGACCCTCAGGGTCTACTGAGAGCGCAATCAGGTCTACGTCACAATGGTCCATATTTCGGCTTGCGGTGCTATCGATGAGGTCTTCATCGAGCGCTATAGCACCTGCTACCAGGCCCTTGCTGCGAATCAGGATCGTGGCATTTTCTGGAAATTCCCAAGGCCGCTGTGTATTTCTTCCGGTTCGGCTGCTTCGATCCAGGGTGAAGGAAGCCTTTTGCGTGTGCGCTATGACGCGTCTAGTGACATCTAAGAGATTACCAGGGACGCTCTCAAATAGTTCAACCGTTTTATACTCGCGGAAAGCATCTTCCCAGTATCCGGGGAGATTATCGTCAGACCATCTCTCCTCGAGCCGTTTCTCGTACTCGGCACTTGAGCAGTCGATCTTGAGATAGGCTGGTGGTTTTGAGCGCACGCAGCCAGCCAACCATGCCAGCGCGGCTACAGCGTGATCGCTCCCCTCTCTTTCGCCTTGACATATCCGGTTCGGTGGCCCAATGACAACCTTCACGACTTTGTCGTCTTCGTAGACGAATTTGCCCCAGTAAGCGAGGCTATATGAGTAATAGTACTTCTGGTAGAACTCTATGGATCCCCCAACCGAGGTCCAAGACCATGTGGGTATGAGATCTGTTTGTTCCTGGGTTCTTGGTTCAATCCTCGATCCTCGTCGTCGCCACAGGATGCTGCGATCGAAGTCGTCAATGGGCTGTCCGTGGGTTGTTCTGTTACCATGAGTTGCATAGAGTATACCCGAGAAGCCGCGCAGTCTATCTGATGAGTGCGTGAGCGATTTGGCCGTGTATGTTTCCAATGCGTCAAAGGAATTGTGCAGTCGATCATATGTGGGTTGGTGTACCCCGGGTGCTTCGGTGTATACATCGAGCGAGCCGGGTTCCGATCTGTGACCAACATAAATTCCATGTTCAGTGAAGAACATCATTGTCGTTGACGACAAGTACTCCTGAAATGTCCAAGCACGACTGCTCCATGTAGTCTTGTGTAAGACCTGTTTGAGAATTGGTGCGGTTTCCACAAGCTGGAGGCCACTGTTGAGCTTGAGTTGTTCCTGCTCTTCCCTTGCGCGGCTCACGCCTAGCAATCCATGCGCTGCGCTGGAACCTGCAGCTGCAACAATGGTAAAGGCTGCTTGATGGTATAGACTTGCCATCTGCTCCAATTGAATTGCTTGTGCATGCAGTTCGTCTTGTATGATGCAAAGTCGGTCAACCCATAGGAACCGATGCTCTAGCTGTCTGCATACTGTGATTGCGTCTACTATTGTTGAAGGTAGTTCAATCCTATTCAGACTACCAGGAATTTCAAGGTCGCGCACATTGGTGCGTAAGGTCCGAAAGTCTTTCGCAGAGTCTGGTCCCCATACATACGACAGGGCAACGAACTGGGCTTCCCGAGGTAAAGATACGATGCAGACATCCACAACATCTACGATGCGAACGTCTTGGAGTGGTTGTCGTAAGATTAATCCTCCCGGGCTCTCCTCCGAGGGTCTCCGTAATGGTAGGCTTTCGAACCAAGTCCGGTATTGGCTCCAGTCAATATAAGGATGGAGACGTGCCATTAGTGCTTTTGTATATATCTCTGACTCAGAAGGTAACGACACACCAGCGTCGAAAGAAGGACGATCGGTAGGTCGGTCCATTGTGTTTACTATAAATTCGTGATTGCCAGCAAAAGGCTGTTCTTTGCCATTGATGTTGACGGAGAACATATAGAAAATGCAACGCACGAGTCCGTCGCTAATGTCACTACGAAGTGCGAATTTGACGTTGTCGGCATCTTGGAGGTCCAATATTTCCCCGTGTCCTCTGCCTGACTCTTCGGCTGCTGATATGACGGAGTAGCAGAAATCACAATGTCGCAGATTCTTGTGACAATGCTCAAGATCGCCGTACCATTCTATCTTGGCACGGCAAGTGAACAAATGCCAGATGCGGAAGTGGCGACAGGTCTCGCACAAGCGTGAGGAGGGATCCAGCTCCGTGTTGTCGCATCTTGGACAGTTCTCATGAAGAAAAAAGGAGGCATCGTCAAATTGAAAGTAGCCTTCGGTATCTATGCCACGTGTCTTCAGGCGAATTCCATTCGTATGACATGTTCGACAGTCAGAGTTCTCGTCATTTCTGGTGGTCTCCATGATGGCGAGCGGGATGTAACCAGGTATACGATGGGTTGAGCAGATTGGGCAGGGTTTATGACCAGTGAGTGAGCTTGCGCATACGCAAGGGCGGAGACCAGGGCTTCAGAGTAGTGGACCCGAAGATGGCAAGAACGATGAAATAAATCTATTTCAATGGCGGCCTTTTCTTCCATGAGTGCTGGTAAAGGAGCGGGCCAACGACAGAGGCAAGAAGCTTGGAAAGGTGTTGCTGTCGCCTTGGTAGACTGAGCCTGTTGAGCTAGGCAGTTACCCCTCAGTGGATGTGGGTTGGGAAGCTGCGACAGCCGGGCCTAACAAACTTGTCACAGCCCCTTCCGGCGCCTACCACGTCCCTAAATCACTCAGAGTGCATATTTGAAAAGCGATATATCTTTCCGCGCACGAGCGCATGTGGATCCATAGATTTAGTAAACTATAGACTACATGAGCGTGCATTGGCACGGTGAGAACATCTAGCGTGTTCTCTGGGTGGCTTGTTAAGCCATTGTCATAAGGTGCAGGCAGTTGCCTCGTTATCCCCCATCCATAAAACCCATGGGCAGCTCCCATACCAGCAGCAATAGTACCCGTCGTAAATATCCCAAAGAGCGGAAGCCAGCCTCTGAACACGAGGCCGGTTGTGGTTGATAGAACAAGATAAGAAAGAAGATTCGTAATCATAATATGCACAGAAGAAAGAGGTTGAAAAGGCGCATCGGCACACTGTGATGGCAGATGCAAGGATGCAGGTGTCGATGATGGAACAATGGTATCCAGGATGATAGTGAGGCACTTAGGAACGGATGACGACACCCTGGCGGCGGGTGGTCTTCTCCTCGTACACGTACTCGTCCTCGGAGGAGCAGTCGGATGAGTCGTCAGAGTATCCGCAGCGAGCACCACCGCAGTCGAGCTTGACGCGGTCACCAGCGCGGGTGATTCCGTAGCGTTCGCATGTGCAGCATGAGCTACCAGAGCTGACACTGGACGGGCTGGAGCTGTTGGTGGAGCGGCTGGTGAGCGAAGGAACGTCGGAGCCCTCGTCGGAGTCGTAGTCTGAGTCGTCGGACGACTCCTCGATTTGCTGCTTGGCAAAGCGGCGGTTGAGGTCCTCAAGAGTGGTCTTGTCGTACTGGGTGTTGATGACCTGACGGGTCTCGTGTGGGCGCTGGGGCTTGGGAGCGACGATGCGCTCTGGGCTGAGGCCACGGCCCTTGGGGATGGTGGCGGTCGAGACGCGGCGGGACTTGCGGTCTGAGCTGGAGGTGGTTGTCTTGGAGCTCGACTTGGCAGCGGGGATGTCGATGATGTTAAGCTTGCGGCCAGTGGTGGGCTCGGTGGTGTGGTCCTTAGCGGGGTCGTGCGAGACGTGGTAGCCGTCGATGATGTACTGGGCAAATGTTAGCTTCTAGTACACCATGTAGTACTAGAGGAAGGACATACGTAGTACCAGTAGCGCTGTCCCTGCTTCAAGGTCTGTCCTTGGAACTTGAAGCATCCGACCCAGCCTCCGGACTTCTTGGGGTCCTTGGAAAGCGGGAGCTGACCCTGGTAGCCGTCCCAGGAGCCGAGCAAGTGCACGGTCTTGCAGTTGGAGGAAGTGCGGAGAGTGAAGTTAAGCTGGATAGCGGCCATTGTGATGTTGTTTCGTTCTTTCTGTTGTAAAGATTGGTATTATGATGTAATTGTTTCTTTCGAATTCGTCCAATGCCAAACTAATGGATAGACGTCAAGATTGCTGGAGAAGCTGTGTGTTGAGAGTTTCGTAAAGGGTTGCGAGTATTGCGTTGTCGTTGTGAGTTTGAAAGTTCGTTTTGAGCAAGTAGAACTGTGTATTACGTGAAAGTGGACCGGCCACAAAGAATTGGATTATTGTAAAAGGGTGGGTATAAAGGTTGACGGTGAGGTAGTGGGTATTAAATGGCACCAGGCCTGGAGAGTAGAGAGGGAGAAGGGGAGGGGTAAAAAGAATAGACAAAAGACGAACACAACAGCTCTGAACTTGACACACTTGCTGAAGAAAAAAAGACGAGATATGAGCGGCGCCAGGCCTACTTATCTATAGACACAGCATCGCACAGCTGCTGAGCGACAATTGGGCATTAGCGAGGGGCTGGCAGACCGGCACATTGCACTACGCCAACTATGGGCCAGGTCTCGCTGCACCCGGTAGCGATTGATTACCTGCGCTGCGTAGACACGCCATGTTCGCAGGGTGTAAGCTGGTAGCGGGTGTGGAGAGCAGTCTATCGAAAGTACGGCGAGCGCTTGATGGTGAAGCGGGAGTGGTGGGCGGGCTTGACGTGTGTAGCCGGGCGTCTTGCTTCTGCGCCCTCATTCGCTAACGCGGGCGGGGAATACATAAGTGGGCCGTCACGTAGCGCACGGGCTTGGGGTGCAAACACCACACCAATGAGCAGCAGGGAACAGGTGAGCCATGTGATGCCGGGATGTGCAAGGTGCAGGAAATCGCCTGTCACACTGCATATCAGTGCATATTCGACGGGGGAACTGTGGCTCGAGGGCTGACGACAGATGCAGAGAAATTTGCTTTCCAAGGCTGCTACCTTGATCGCGCTGCAGCTATCCTCCCTGCCGCATAGAGACCTATTTACAGCCATTCTGCATCCACATTTCGGCCTCTGCCCAATCACTGCAGCTGTGCTGCATATCATCCATCACCTAATGCCCCGAATGAGGACAATGGGCGGCTAATAAACTTAGTGGCTTGCAACGCCGTCCAACCACAACACCCCATCACCAACCTCAGGTATGCTGGAGCCGGAGCGAGCGACTTCTCCGGCCACACTGCGGTCACAATGTGCGCCATGTGGAGGAAAACCGGTGTCTCTCGTGATGATGTGCAGAGGTGCATGCGAAGACTAGAGATTGAACGAGAGCAGAGTTGTCAGGAGGAATGACGGGCGGGCGGGAGGAGTCAGGTACGCGAAGCGACCGAGGACGATAACATTATCGATGCCCGACTATGAGCACTTCCACCAAAGCATGTCACTGCATCGCATACGCAGCCCCTTGGGCACGCGAGAAGCAGGGTAGACGCCGTGTTGCTGTTGTACCATGGACCATTCGCATGATGAGGTAGGTCAGTTCTCATTGACGTCCTTCAAAATCAAGCCCGTTTACAGTTGCACATTGACCGGAACTCGTGCGAGCTCACGAGTGGGACCTAGCGAATCTTGACAGTCCAGCCGAGGAGGGCCTCAGGATACGCGCCGTTACCCAGTGCATAAAGGCCACAAACGCACTGGCATCTTTGTCCTACCCAATAGAGGAGAGCGTGGGTCACGCCCATCAGCCACTCCACCGACCGGCTCCTCAACATGCAAGCCTCGCATATAACTGGAAGCCAGTTGATGGTATGATCTTGCATGACCAGCCGCCGATGCAGCCTCGAGTTGCTATCAAGTCCAAGTTCACGGTGCCATCGTGAGTATTGTACATGCTTCAACCTAGTCTAGCAGCCTAAAAGATTTGCCAACTCCTCTGGCGTCAAGGTGCTCTTTCTCCTCTTTGGTCTGCCACTGATTCGTGTCTTGACTGGGGATCTAGGTGCCCGCTTCTTGGGGTTCTCCTCGGATACTTCGGTGCTTTCGTCCGTCTTCTTGGTGGAGATGTCTCCGTCGGTTACAGCGGCTGCTTCCGCGGCCTCTCGTAATTTGTCTTGGACCGATAGCTTGGGCGATCGCTCGTCGGGATGGGCACGTGGGCTCGACAAGCGCTTCTTGGTCTGTTGTAGACTGTCAGACTTGTTGAGGGATGGGTGTGGTGCTGATGGGCTGGAGATTGAAGAGGGAGTGGATGCAGAGGGAAAGATGTTATAACGTACATGGCGTTGTCTGTCCTGACTTGTTGGTCTTGACGCTCGTTCTTCAGAACGAAGTGGTTTGGCTGCAGAAGTTGGCCGACTAGTCTTCTCCACATCGACTGAATCTATCCCTGATGCATCTGCGTTCTCCCCGTCAACCTGAGACGGCGTGTTCGGTATGGACGCCGAGAAGGCGACTTTACGGGGCGATCGACTGAGCGACTTGTTGCCGTTGGTCTCCCTTAGCGCTGGCTGGCTGGGTTGCAACTTGATGCTGAAGACATCGGGCCCAGTTGTCTTGTCTGGTTTCGTGTGTATCTTCGGTGAGGGCAGGTAGACCGCCTCCTCTTGCTCTTCTGTATCGTCCACGTCTTCTTCCAAGGCTGAGCTTGTAGCTTCCTCGGCCTCGCTTTCTTCATCAATCACGGAGAAGCCTTCCCTATCGACCGTCTCGAACCCTTGACTAAAACCTAGTCCCATTCTGAGTTCTTCGAGATTGATAGTGTCACCATTGGTCATGCGCTTCCGCCAGGAGTCCATGAGGAGGAAAGACTCGCGCAGCCGAGCCTCCATCTTCTCCCAGCCCGCCCGCAGCCTGTGTATCTCCTCCTCGCGCATCTCGACCTCGTCCACTGCCACAAAGTTTGGGTTTGTGAGGAGGTTCTTCAGGTTGTCCAAGACCGTGTCCATGTCGTCGGCGAGAGTCTCGTAATCGGTAGGCAGCGTGTGCAGCATGTCCTGTTGCGTGTCGTCTTGCTCGTCGCCCGTGACCGAGGCGTTGTCTGCGTCTTGTTTGCGATTGACTTCGGGCATGCCTTGCAGCTCTCTTAGTGTCAACAAGGCGCTCCGCACGAGGCCGATGAGGTTGTCGTTTTCGTCGCTCAGGCTCTGGCTCAGCTGCGTCAAGAACTCGGTCGTCTCCTGCTTCAGACTGTATTCGGGGTCGTCGACATTGGGCGACTCGTCGCGCACATGGCCCGTGGCAGCGCCCAAGCCTGTGCTGCCGGGGTTGATGGTGATGCTTGCGCCCACGAGGCCCGTCTTGTTGCCGCGCTGCTGGCTCGTTAGGTGGCTCTTGAGCCGTGCAATCTCCTTGTCGCGCTTTCGCACGTCGTTTGTGCAGCTGGTGCGCACTTGGTCGACCGTCGTCTTGAGGCGCTGCATCTCGGCGCGCAGCTTTCGCGCCGACGACTCGGCTGCGTGCAGGGCTTTGCGCGCCGACTGCTCTTGCGCCTGGGCAAGCGAGAGCTGTCGCGACAGGTCGGCATTGCGGTTGTGCTGCTTCTCGAGGGCGGCCGTCTGGCGCGTCGACTCGGCGCGCAGGCTCCGCAGCGTGTCGGCGATGGATTCGCGGTACTCTTGATCGCGCTATCTGCTTATTAGGATCCTCTCCCCCAGAGTATAAACGTGTATGTGCCTACATCGCGCTTCAATATCAGGTCGTGCACCAGGTTGATGATCTGGGCCATGGTGGCCTCTTTCCCCCCTTCCCCCCTCGACGGATGCGCAAACTCAATGGGCGTGCCATTGCGCAACAACCCCCGGGCGAGCAGCAAATTGTTGATGTACGTCGACGCCGTCTTGAGATTGTACGAGTCCATGGTGAGTGCAACCGTCGTGGTCGGCTACCGGCGGCGTTGTCGGATGTGGCGGCGTTGTGAGCTTGCCGTCCAATGTTTGTTTATCCCTGGGTTCCGATGCCCGGGTAGGAGGTAGAAGGAGCAACCGACCGAGCACGGACACGCGCGTTCCGATCCTTCCGCTACGACTCCATGCAACGTCGACGTGATACGACGACCTCCACCACATCAGCCAGCCCACAATAGCCGTGCATGCAGCCTCTTCGTATCATCACGATCGTTGCATCCGCCTGCACCCGACTTCTCCTCCACTCTGGCTTCATTAATTATCGCGATTGCCAGCGACATACATATGCTTTTCTAGCGTATCTGTGCGTGCATCTCGTTTCGCATGGCCCAGAAGTTTAATGCCACAGACATGCTTTTTCCCCTGAAGTCGGACTCGGACTTGGTCCCACCATCAGCGCCCCCCACCATGACCGCCGGTGATGTCTGACGAAACCTTCGGGTACCGCGACTGCAAATCCTGCAATTCGGCATTCAAGTACAGTATTCAGGGTTGGACTCGCCTTGTCCCCTCTAGGCTAAATGCCCATTTCAGCAAACCATATAGTTTTACGACGGTGTGCGTCGAATCCCCTCAAATGTCGGGCCCATTGCCGTAAGCTTTGCAGGGACTCACACACGATCTGCACTCAATTCCTTATTCATGCATCGCTATTGGAGGGGTGTTGCCGTATTTTGCGATTCTTCCACGCGATCTGCTCTAGTCAAGGACCTCCCCAGCTTGTGTACATGTGCTGCTCTTTGCGTGGCTGCCATGGCGTCCGGAACCAAAACCGGAGACAGCTGAACCTAACGTCGAAGAGGGCTAGATAGTAGTACTTAAGGCACATCACTCATCAAGAGGGTGATCTGTAGGCTCCGTTGGTTCTTCAGCGCTTTCGTCCATCTTTCGGTCATTCCTTCCTCTCATTCAGTCCCAGACATGGACAAGTTCGCGTCCCTCGCTCTCGCGACCCTACTGTTAGGAGCCCGATCGGCTCTTGCGATTCCCACCGAGGCCACTACCAAAGCATGTAACGAAATCAATAGTGCTCTTCCAGGCAAAGTCCTCACTCCGGGACTTCTCGAGCTCGAATACGCACATGAGACACAACAATACTGGGCTACCAACCTCCGCGAAGTCGACCCTGCATGCATTGTTCAGCCAGACTCTGCCCAAGATGTGTCCATTGCTATCAAGATCTTGAACAAGTACCCGACTGTCAAGCTTGCTACACGGAGCGGAGGGCACGACCCGAACAAGCAGCATGCTGCGGTCGAAGACGGTGTTCTCATCACCATGACTAATCTAGTCGGAGCGACATACGACGCAGCAGAAGATGTTGCCTACGTCCGACCCGGAGGTGAATGGAACGACGTCATTGGTGACCTTGAGAAGAGCGGCGTGGCAATCGCTGGAGGAAGACTTGGTCTCGTTGGTGTCGGTGGTCTGCTGCTGGGTGGAGGCCTTTCATTCCTCGGTGCTCAAGAGGGTCTTGCAGCCGATGTCAGTTCGCCCGCAATATCTGAAGGACAGCTATACTAACAAGCGATAGAACATCATCGAATGGGAGACCGTTATGGCGAACGGGTCTGTCGTCAATGTTAACGCCGCGAAGCATCCCGACCTTGCGCAAGCGATGCGTGGCTCCGGTAGCCAGTTCGGTATTGTCACCCAGTTCAAGACCAAAGTCCATCACATGGGCGACGTCTGGGGTGGCTCTTGTGTCTTCGACGACTCGAAATCCGACGCACTATACGCTGCCTTGCACAACTTCATGGCACACGGTGCCGAAGACCCCAAGGCGGCCATTATCCTTACGGACCTGGTAGTCGCAGCTGGGATCAAGACGAAAATTCTGTTTTCCTTTTACGACAACCCCAAGCCACCTACGTCGGGTCCATTTGCCGATTTCTTCAAGATCGTCAACCCTCTGTGTCTACCTAAGACACAAAAGTACTCCGAGCTAGTAAGTCCATGACCTAACTTCAATGCTGTGCAGGAACTAACAGTTCTCAGCTCAAAGCAAACGGCGAACCGGTCCGACTCTTGAACGCCCGCGCATTCTTCCGCACTTACACTGTCCCATACATTGCATCACGGCCCCAGATGTACAAGGAGATCCGCGACAAGCTTGCTGAACTCACTGGTATCTTCCTCAACACCCTACCTGTCGTTCGCGCCATCCAGTTCAGCGTTGACTTCCAACCTCTTCCATCCCGCTTTGGAAAGATGTCCGAGTCCAAAGGCGGAAACGCTATGGGTCTCTCATCCTCCGACCCTGATCGCATCATCCTAATTTACCAAGGAGCGTGGAACTTGCCCACAGATGATCCTCTTGCGTTTGGCATTGCTAGGGAGCTGACAACTTGGTTGGATCAGGTCGTACCTCAATGGATGGCAGAGGCGGGTATGCCGAGCAACATGTACATGCCATTGTTCATCAACGATGCTATGTGGGACCAGCCAGTCTTCCAGAGCTACAAGGATTATGACAAGTTCAAGGCATTGCAGAAGAGTGTTGACCCGAACGGCTTGTGGAGCACTAGGGCAGGTGGTTTCAAGTACTAGACTTTTGTCGCCAACTTCATTATGAACCAGTATATATCATAATGTGTATTTCAAATACCATCGTGTCAATTGCATCTTTCGCACGCTTGCCGCAGATCGCATACCGGGAGCAGAATAGGAAGGTGTTCTTTACGCAGCGGGGCCACTATACTGAAAGCGGGGTAGTCGTACCTAGATGTCTGACTCCATCACTGCCAGTATGACTGTCTTGCACACACGTCGACTACAAAGGTTCTTTGCGTCTTCTTGTCTAGCTGTAAACTTTCTAGCTACTACGAAGGCAACATGGCTCAAACACCCCAGTTCACCAGCTACGAGCATGAAGATGCCTGGGACGTGAATTGGCTGCGCGTGGACGATACCCATGAACTTTACTATCAACAGTTCGGCAAGAAGGATGGAAAGCCTGGTGGGTGCTTCAGCCATCCTGTCCAATTTCCCTGACAGCTAACGCTTTGCAGTCATCTACCTCCATGGCGGGCCTGGTGGAAACTGCTCCAAAGCCAACACCGTCTTCTTCAACCCTTCTGAATACCGAGTAATTCTGCTCGACCAGCGAGGCTGTGGTCAATCGCGCCCTAATGCCAACACCACAGACAACACTACCTGGCATCTCGTCGACGATATTGAAAAGCTGCGCAAGCATCTGAAAATTTCCAAATGGCACATGGTCTTCGGCGGCTCCTGGGGGTCCACACTCGCTCTCGCATATGCGCAAACACATCCCGATAGTGTAGGTAGTCTGGTCCTGCGCGGCATCTTCACAGTGCGAGACGTCGAACTCAAGTGGACCAACCATGCAGGCGGCGTGCAGATGCTGTTCCCCGACCGCTGGGAGGACTTTATCAACTTTTTACCAGAGGAAGAACGTTCTGATCATATCGGCAACTACCACAAACGCCTCATGTCTCCGGACTCGGCTATCAGTCATCCCGCGGCTGCGGCGTGGAACACGTGGGAGCTATCAATCAGCACCCTGTACCCTGACCCACACGCGTACAAGAAACTGAAAGAACCAGCCTACTTACTCGCACATGCGAGGATGGAGATCCACTACTTCATCAACAAAGCATGGATGGAAGACGGGCAGTTGTTGAGGAAGGAGAACGTGGATCGGATCCGGAACATTCCGACGACCATCGTGCAGGGCAGGTACGATGTTGTCTGCCCGCCGATTACAGCATGGGAGTTGCACAAGCAGTGGCCGGAGAGCAGATTGCATTTCATAGACGATGCTGGGCACAGTGTTATGGAGCCCGGGACGAGGAAGAAGTTGACTGAGGTGTGCGACGAATACGCGAATCTCAGCGTCTAGCCATGTGCAGCTGCGGCATTCGTGTTAGGCTAGCGTTACTCTGAGACATCACGATCGGATGAATTTGACGAGAAATTAAGCCGTACTTGCCTCCCCCAGCTTTGGCTATACGGGCCGTTTGTGTGTTGGCTGACTAACGCCAAGACGACGCGCCAAAGTCCAGAAGACGGGCTGGGGCCAGCGCAACTGTCGCAAACAGCACCAACAGTCTTCAATTCCTGTGAGTGACGTAATATGGACCATGGCTACCACCACGCCCATCTCGACCACGACGCCACCCGCAGCTATCGATAACCACGAACGGGTACGCGCATACGAGATCGCCGCGTGAGAATTGCCAGCCTACGTCACAAAGTCGATTCCTGTTGCTAACACGGCCCCAGATATCTCTCTGCCGCGTCGTTCCCCTTTCACATTGCAGAAGGACCGCCGTCCGAACCAGTCCCCAGCAGCGACATAACCCTCAACGCCCTCGTCCAGCATGGCGTGCACAAGATGGATTGCGATCGCGCATTCCTTTCGCTCATTGATAATCGAAATCAATTCATATGCGCAGAGATGACGAGGCATCAGTCGCTTTCGAGTGCAGACCCGGCCGAGCCGCTCTTGCTGGGTACTTCCCGAGTCGCGCTCGAATGGGGTGTCTGTCCATTCACCATGTGCATCTTCCAGGGCAAACCAGTGTCTATGCCGGATAGTCCCTATATCGTTGCCGACAAGTCGTATTTCTGCATAAAAGACTTCCGCCAGGTCCCCACCTTTGCCGGGCGCCCGTTTGTGGCAGGCTATCCGCATATGGTTTCATACCTCGAAATACCGCTGTTTGCAATGAGCGGGCATATATTGGGCAGTTACTGTGTCGTCGACACCAAAGAACGGGATTTTCTACATCCCAAGTCTCTGAGTACTCTTCGCGAAACTACCTCGGCTATCAGTGCATACCTCGATATGCGACGCGCCGAAGCCTGTAAGTCTCGATCTGCTGAGATGATGCAAGGTCTTCGTCGTTTCGTAGCTTCAGATGATATGGTTCCAAGGTCTGTGGCTCCTGTGCGCCCTGGAGCTCACACAAGCCAATTCGACCTAGATGTTTTTGGTGCCGCCTCGCGAAGAAAACCTGACAAGAAGCCATCTGACGGCACGAATGCACGCGTCGCCATGTCAGACCATATTCAGTCATTGCCTGTTTGCGATGCATCTACTATCGTTTCGCCCCAAGATAATGATTCGAACCGCGTCAAATCTAACTTTGCTACTCAAGTCGACACTCTCTTCACGAGAGCCGCAAATAGTATTGGCGATGCCATGAGTCTGGACGGCCTAGTCTTCTTTGACACTGTCTCAACTGGCAACCGAAATAAAAGCTGCCTGATACGAGACATGTCTCCTGACAACACATCTTCGCAGACATGCGATCTCTTCGCGGTACCTCTGTCCTATTTCCACAGAGATAACGCCCTCGGAAAGCTGAAACTGCGTCAGTCGCTCATCCAGCGCTTGACTGCTAGGTACCCTCGAGGGCATGTCTTCGCAGTCGATGAACATGGTGTCTTCCAACACGGTTGCGACGACGAACTTGACTCTGGTTCGGATGACAGATGGAACGACCTCTTCGGTCTATTGCCAAAGACCCGCTACGTAATATTCCTACCCATGTTTCACTACTCAAGAGAAGCTTGCTACGCTACCTGCCTAGCCTGGGTATCTGACACCGGCAAAACACTTGATACTGGCGATGTCAATTCATTGACAGCTTTCGGTAACTCACTGATGGCTGAGGTCTTTCGCTTAGAAGCATGCGAAAATACACTTTCCAAGTCGGATTTTGTTTCGACCATCAGTCACGAATTAAGAAGTCCCTTGCATGGCATTTTGGCCAGCATTGAGTTGATTCAAGAAAACTGCCAGGGATCAGGCTTGATGTCGGAGATTACCATGATTGAGTCTTGTGCGATCACTCTTCTCGATACATTTGACCATCTGCTGGAATATTCCAAAGTGAATAGCCGCGCCAGCGTTGGACACAGAGGTGGAAATGGACATCCGCGTTCCACCACCCACCTGCATCACGGTGCAGTAGCTGTCGACTTGGCTTCTATGGTCGAAGATGTCATTGAGACTGTCTCAGTAGGTCACGACCATTCTTCGCGCCTCTCTTCTGGACTCAATAAGGAGCGTCAGAATTTGTTGGCTGAATCACCTGCAACGGCACAAACCGAGCCTGTCGTCGTTACCACAAACATTGAAAAGGCCCGTGATTGGACCTTTGTCATTGACAAGGGTGCTTGGAAGCGCATTTTACTAAACGTTGTCAGCAATGCATTGAAGTATACCAAGTCGGGTTACATTCACGTAGATCTAGCATTTGTGGAGGCTACCGATGACAGCCAGTCACACATCAGTCTATCTGTGACCGACACGGGTGTAGGCATGAGTGGGGATTTCCTCAAATACCATCTCTTTACACCCTTCACCCAGGAGAATCTACTAAGCCCAGGAACTGGACTAGGTTTGAGCTTAGTAAAGAGTATCGTGGAGTCACTACACGGAATCATATCAGTGTCTAGTCGTTTGGGCAAGGGAACAAAGATCATTATCAACATTCCGGCTACCCGTACGACGCAGAGACCAAATGCGCCAAGTGCCGAGAATTTCTCCTCTCACGAATGCCTACGCGGAAAGGTAATCGGTATGCTTAGTATCTCTCTGCCCGAAGAGCAAGGCAAAGAAACTGCACCCTCTATCGTTTCGCCTCCCGAAGCGCTCGAGCGGGCCGTTCGAAACATCTGCGAGGATCGCTTCGGCATGAGGTTCACCACTGTTTCCGCAAACGTACTTCCGGTTCTGGATGTACTCCTCGTCGATCACCATGCCCTCTCTTCCACGTACGACTTGAAAACTTTGTTCCCTACGTATACGGAAGAGACTTTCCCTGTCATTGTCGAACTGCGCGATACAAAAGGCGCACCTCCCGAATCTAGCACTAGTAAGCCCATGCACACAATACTAGTCACTGCAAACTCGCTCGGACCTGCACTCATCTCGGCTATGAAGGATGCCACCACCAAGGAAATGGCAGACCCAGTGCCGTCCATAGAAGTCAGAAGCAGACCCGACATGGAGCCAATAGAGCAATCAGAACATGACCACACCACCTTAGAGCCAGATCCGCAAACCAAAGTACTTCCACACCGCAGCTTATCGTCGCAGAGTGTGACACTATCCGACGCCGCCACAAGTCCTGTTCCGCAAGCACCATCACCAACACAACCACCTACCCCGCTCACAAGCAGACCAACATGCCGATTCCGCCGTCTACTCCTAGTAGACGATAATCCCATAAATCTAAAAATGCTCTGCGCCTTTGCAAAACGCCTTGGCGTACCGTATTCCAGCGCCACCGACGGCGCAGAAGCGGTGCGCCTCTATGAATCCGCCACTAAACAAGAGGGCTCAAAAGCAAGGTATGACTGCATCTTCATGGATATCAACATGCCGATCATGGATGGCTTCCAGGCTGTGTCAAAGATCCGTAGAATCGAACACGGCTTGATGGAAAAAGACATCCCAAAACAGTTCAATGACGCTGCGACATATGGTTTAGATGGTACCTCAGAGGATAACAGAGGTACGCGGGCGTACATATTTGCATTAACGGGTCTTGGTAGCGAGAAAGCGCGAAAGCAAGCGAAGAACAGCGGTTTTGACGAGTTCCTCCTCAAGCCAGTGAGGTTCAAAGACGTCCTACCGTTGTTGGCACCTCTGCCGACTGAATGAGGATCATGGGTCATCTGCCAAAGTTCATGCAGAGTTTATTATGAGAGCATTGATTTTTTGTAGTCTATTCAACATGCTGGCGTACGGATCTTGGGGAAGCTCTACTAAGAGCACATGAATATAATAACGACCTCAACGATGAGGCTTCTTGTATCACCGCATGCTCAACATACGAATAAGTTTAGAACAGTGACAACATCGTAAGGAGGCGCTATTCACACTGATAGCTATCTTGCAGTGATCTAAATGTTGCCGCTGTCGTCTTGGCTAGCCTTCTTCATGTCTGCCAGTGTTTGCTTTTGCGTGCCTAATAGCAAGGCGCTTATGAATCGGTTCGGTCCCTCCGACAGCAGTAAGAAAAGCTATGAGACCCCGCTCTGTAGTTGTAAAGAACTAAAAAGTAAAGAAAACGTGGACACGAGGCTCTAAGTAGAAGGTGCCGTTCTGCTTAATTGACTAGGAGCTTAGCCTCTACCGAACAGCTATAGTGGTGCATGTTGTCAGGCGGAAGTGCCTCATGGTTTCGTGACACCCGAGGAGGCATAGAGAGCTGGATCGCATTCTTGTTGGCGGACATCGATATTGAGGTGATGTTGTGGCGCCGTCACATGGATGAGCACTGTCTCGTCTATGGTCTTTGCTTGACGTTTGTTAGTGCGTTGATGATGGGGGTTGAGTCTAAGCGCCGAGTTGAGGACTAAGCTAGATGCACGTACAACTAGTATTCAAGGTTCGTGGCAAGCCTTCCCCTCTCTATTGTATGTGACCGTAGTCATTCTAGTAGTCATCAAAACTTCGAACGACTTCATAAAAACAGTGCGTACATGATGGAAGGCAGTCAGAATCGATCAGAGTATTGAGCCCGGCTCATTGCGACATCAATCTGAGTTTCTGCCCAGTGTCGTCAGGATGTGGAGTCTAGCGTCCTGTGTAAGGACCCTTCGTCTACGCACACGCAAGTCATATTGCAGTGCAGGCAGTACGGAGCAGCCGGCATCTTGCTTTCCACTGGTGTAAATTGCCAACATGCTTTTTTGTTTTCGTTGCTCTATTCATGGAGGCAACTTGAAGTTTGGTAGTTTACATGGTTGATCACAACGGTTACGGGTGAACACCCCTTAGTAAACGAACCTCTGCAATTAGTTGCCGGATGAGTACAAGCTGACATCACAACAAATATCCCGGCAATATACCGGTGGTTCTCACGGCTAATGGTGTTTACCTAAGGTACGATCTCACCAACTTTGAGTTGACGTGACTATCTGGGAAAGATCGGCTGCTTTATGCCTATCTTGACATTCCGTCTCAAGAGCTTGTCTCTCATTTCCTAATCGACATGTGTTGAGTATTATGGCCGCTCCAGTCTCGCAAGAACGATGCAGCGAGAAGCGAAGCGAAGTCGCCGAAGTTGAACTTCAATGACAAAAGTAGGAGCTAACTACTCGCCAAAGTAAAGGAGCTGTCAGTACGGCTAGTATCGGCGAGCCGTCACGACTCAGCGGGCTCGGCACTATTCCGAGCCCTGACTTACACAAAAGAAATAAACACATCGACCGGCTCTCTTGTATTGCTTTTGGCGGACCGCGCCACGCAGCGAACATGTCTCATTTCCCTTTTCCAGGTAGCCACCTGCATGCCGTTGTACGCTGTGAGACTAGATTGCTGTATACACGAGGCTTACACGTGATCTAGCGTTGGCTGCGGCCGCTCCGGCCAGGAAAAAGCAGATGTGCATAAGGCTCGGCTCCTCTACTCAACTGTTAGCTCGTTGCTGGCATCCCTGACTGGACGATCGCATGTGCCTGCCTCTGCATGTTCGGGCGGCTGCATCATCGCGCTGGTATTCGACGGCTACGCCCGCAGAAGGATCGCCGACCCGTACCGCTACTACACCCTTTCCAGTGGCGCGCCGCTTGCCAACAAAGAGTTACTGAACAACCTCAGCTGAAGTCGGGCAAATTGACAAGAAGCCTTGTTCATAGAAGGTAGCGATCTACTATGCTACTGCAATGCTGATCTTGGCACGACGAAGAGATTGGGGTAGCCTGAGCTCACCCTGCGAGTTGGGAAGCGACATGAGCCCCCTAGCCCTGAGATTGTTTAGTGCTTTCTACCCAATACCGTGTCTCTTTGTCCACTACGAGCAAGCTGTTGATCATGTATTGGACATGAGTAGTGGAAATCGATGATCTCAATTCCTTGTGCAGATTCAGCCGCAGAAGCCCCACTCGGCGATGGATCATGGCAGATCTCTTTGACAGAGACTAGTTCAGTAGACCCTGTCGATGATCACTGTGAGCTAACATCAACCACGATGCTGAGAGCAGAGAGGTCCTTGACGATAGTTGAAAGCAGCTTCAATGCGATACGATTAAACATGCCAACACAAGCCATGATACTATCAAGGATGTCTTGTGATCAATGTCAAAGAACTTTCCATCAACTGATCCCAAGTTTTTTACATGCTGGTATCCGAGTATAGTCGGTCATGTCAGAGTGGGTTGTAGTGCGTAGCCTCACCTGTCATTAAACTTTGCTCTTTCGACAGTGGCGTACGCTACATCACCCACCTTCTGGAATATGGGCTTGATTGGCATCTCAACAGGGTGTACAGGAGGATCAGCGAACCTAGTCATCGTTCAGGACTACGGGAAGCATTTGCTCCGTTGACTCGAGCTTGGCTACATCGCACGTCGGGTATAAAGACACTGCAGTCTCCCATGGATAGAAGGCATCGCACACCTTCATCTGCAATCATAACTCCTCACTTCTACCATCAACAGCCGCTTTCACAGCTTCCTACCACCGCAAAAATGGTCTCATTCCGCAACCTTTTCACTGCCGCCTTGGCCTTCTCCGTGCCTATCTCGGCTGCAATCACACCCGCTGAGGTTGTCACCAATATCAAGACGATCACGCAGAAGAGCCAGGCGCTTCAGGCACCAGCTAAGGAGATTAGCATCGTCAATGGGCCATTGATCCTCATCGGACAGGGACCGTTTCCCAAGATCATCATCGGCTTTTCAGACATTGTGCAGACTGCCACCACCGCTATCGCCCAGATGCAGGGCATGCCCAAAGAGCCGGCAGGCGCGCCTACTGATGCTGTCTTCGAGGCCTTCCGCGAGGTCATTATTATCTGCTCCCATTGACATATATATAGCTTACACAGAGAAACAGTTTGTCCGTGTTCACCAAGCACTCCTCAACATCCTCATTGGCAAGGCTGGTCTGTTCAACACTGTTCCTTTCATCGGTCAGCCAATCGCCGCCGTACTCAGGCAGATCGAGAAGGTCGTGGACGTAAGTCTTTCCTTTCGCAGGGCGTAGCACCCACCCCTCTTCACCGGATTCGAGTCGAACGTTATTCAACGGCCTGCTGACTAATCGCCCTTTGCAGACGATTGCGTTCATGTTGATTGATACCTTCGAGGCCCGCGCAGCAGACCTCCAGAAGGAAGCGATGAGCCTGACTGGATCTCTTGATATCTGCATCAAGTCATACGACGGCCTCACCGGTGGTATCACCAAGCGAAACCTCAGGTTCGCCCGCCGCGAGATGGTCGCTGCTGCTTAGATAGACTTCCAGCCCAAGAATCACTGAGCGGAAAGCTCTCGAAGCTGAACGATATCTGTGGGTGGAGTAGAGGAGGATTGTCGAGGACGATGGGCAGTATTTGTAGAGTCTTCAAGGTCTCAGGACAGTCATTACCACATGGTTGGCCATATTTCTGTTTGACAGCTGCACTTTACAGTCGATTGCATAGTTAATGTAAAGTCACTTTCGTCCAAAAGTCAACCATCACCATATGAACATGTTGTATCCATTCCTTGCTTCTGCGAACAAGTCGTACAAACTTACCGCTAGCGCTCTTCTAACGAGTCTCATCTCGGGTACATCTCTCTATGTCTGCTACTTGGCAACCGTCAGCGCACTTGCGGGATGTTCGGCTGCTGATGTCGATAGAAGCAGCGGGAGATATGTAGACCCAGCCTTCGGGCCAGAGCATCATTGAAGAGAAGCCAGCGAACCAAGTGTAGATACTCCAAGTCTCCGGATCTAGTTGCTGTGATATGTTAAGCAGTTTGTGGGTGGGGTGCCTGCCCGAGTGCAAGTGAAGAAAGAGCGACACTCCCTTCCGGCCTGGCGCGGTGACATCATCCCCTCCGCTCTTCCTGGCTGCTCCTTCTCTCCTCATCCTTCTGCACATCCACCTGAAGAATACCATGCGTGCTCTCTAGGTTCAATCGTATTCTTTTGATCCACGGTCACGTCCTGTTACCAATGCACGGCTGGCAGACAGATTGAGAGCTTAGGCTACATTCCCATGAACGTAGCTCGTAGAGCAACTCTAGAATAGTCGAAAATATTCACTGGTGGTCCGACGAAACCATAAAGTCACCATGTCCGCACGGACAGGCTTTATGGCCCAGGCAGCTCTTGACCTAGGGACCATATCAATCCTGGCTTTCTACGTCCCGTCAACATAGAGCCATCCCTCAACCTAACATTACTTGACTAATATTCTGGAGACCGTAAGGATAACCGTCCGGATCAGACCGCCAGCGAAGAGACAAAATGGACTTGATCGAGCTTCCAGTAGAGCTCCTCAGTCGAGTGTGTCGCTTCCTCGGACGGGCGTCGGGTACCAACAAGGAAAAGTATTCATACGAGAACAGAGACTTTGGATCGCTATGTTCGACATGAAAAACCATCTACGCTAGGACTGAGTTCGACGCAAGCATTCGATATGGCCTCCATGAATGCTGCTTCGATCTTAACCCGTCGTCGCTTGCTCTCTTCCTACGCTTATCCCGTATCCCCGCCTACCGCAATCGAATGGCGCGTATAAATATATGCGAGCTCACCAGGCCCAGTACTACGAGCGATTACGAGTGGTATCTGCTACACGAGGACGAGTACAGCTTTGCGAGATCTGGTGAAGCCGCCCGTGTGCCCGCTCCATGTTTCCGCCAACTACGAGACGCGGACTCTTTCATCGAACTGGAGCTACCGTATGGAACTCACATTATCGGTGAGCAGAAAACTGTATTACGAGCCTTGCAGCTGTCACAGTTCCCAGAGAAGATCGCCTATATCCACCTTTGGCTCGAAAACTCTCAGAAGCCGGAATGGGAGCTGTTTGCAGACTCGTTGTCGGAGTTTCGACCTTGGATCAAGAAAGCTGTCTTCCTAACACCAAAAACTCGCGGCAAAGATGTTGCGAAGAGTCGCGAAGTGGGAGCCCACATCAAGAATGTGCGCCGGGTGCATCCGGATGTGCTGGGGGTCGTTGCTGCCACTACTGATGTTGAACGCCTACAACTTCAAGGATGCAACGAAGTTCCAGAGCTTCGGATATGCCACGGCTGCGTAAGTCTCTCCTCTACACACATCCTGGCCCGCTCGTATAAGTATCTGCAATCTCGAGAGCTTTCCGATCTGTACCTAAGCGGTAGCCGACTCCGAGAATTTCTGTTAAGCTCGCTTCCGTTGCCTCGAACCACACCAAATTCTCGGCACGCTTGAGATGGATCATGGAAGTCGATATACCAGGGATTGAGAAAGCTACCGCTCTGGCATGTCAACATCGGTCGCAATTACCAGAAACGCGGGGCCCTCACACCAGCCGAACTTCCTCACGCTTGCCGTAACGGCCACGCAAACAAGAGCAGGAATGGCGCCTACAATGACAATATCAACGCGCTAATCGATGCTATGATAGCCCACTTTCACGTTTGTCGCGTGCGCAGAGAACAGGAGTATCGTGGTCCGAAATACTTCAAAGTCTGTTTCTTTGATGTTCCGGGTTTGCTCAGAAAAGTCTACAAGAGCGACATACAGAGGTATGCTGTAGAGGTAGAAGGAAACTGAAACAGCAAGGTAACATCTCTGACAGTTTGTATCTTGGATTCCAAGATGAGCTAGATACCATACCACCCTGTTTAAGTAAAACGCTCAACACGTAGCTACTACGATGACAAGTGAGAGAAATATGACATGAGATCTGTAAACTGCAGAGCAGAAGGCCGTCGGCTTTGACTGCTTTTTGTGTCACTAGTATGTGTTGATGAGGGAATGTTGTTGTAATTGATACATTGAATCTTACTGGGGTTGAACCGTTACTTCATAATACATACATGGATCAGTCGTTGAGACCTGATCAGACCACTTTTACACAACACCGTACTCATGCTTTCATCTCAGTACCAGCACCTCCAAATTCCTTCAACCGAAACATGATTCTTCTTACTTGCTGATGTCGTCGCCCCAGACCTGCTTGGCAATCTCTACACTCAGCTTGACCTTGGCCCACTGCTCCTCCTCCGTCAACTCGTTGCCCTCAGCCGTGGAGCTGAATCCACACTGGTGGCTCACGCAAAGCTGGTCAAGACCCTTGGGGGCAACCTTGGCCGCCTCATGTAGCCTCTTGATGATCTCCTCCTTGTCATCCAGAGTGTTCTTCTTACTGCTCATGACACCGAGCACAACGACTTTGTGCTCAGGCAGATGGCGCAGCGGAGAAAAGTCGCCAGAGCGCGCATCGTCATACTCGAGGAAGTAGGCATCGACGTTCAGTTCCTTGAAGAGGACTTCCGAAACGGGCTCGTAGCCGCCAGAGGCGAACCACTTGGAGCGGTAGTTGCCGCGGCAGAGGTGGATGCCGATCTTCATGTCTGCAGGTCGCTTCTCGATGGCCTTGTTGATGAGCTCGGCGTATTTGCGGGGGAGGGTGCTGAGGTCTTCGTTGCGTTCCTGTTCGGCGGCTTTGCGCATGTCGGGGTCGCACAGGTAGGCCAGGTTAGTGTCGTCGAGTTGGACGAAGCGGCAGCCGGCCTTGTACAGGCTGTCTAGTTCTTCCTGATATACGCGCGCGAGGTCCTCGAAGAAGACATCGAGGTCGGGGTATGCGGAGATGTCAATCGAGGCGCGTCCACCACGGAAGTGCACCATTGTTGGCGACGGAATGGCGACTTTTGTGCTCGCCTTGCCGCCATTCTCTTTGATCGCTTGCTCAAGGAACTGAAAGTCCTTTACCTGGATGGCCTCGGGGTGGGCCAGCTTTCCCTTTACGACCAGCGTTGGTGGCGAAAAGCCATCCTTGTGCCTGATGTTTCCCACTTGACCTTTCTCCTCAATACCTTCGACGTGCTTGAGGAAGTCGAGGTGGAAGTATGCGCGGCGGAACTCGCCGTCGGTTATGGATCGGAGACCGCTCTCTATTTGCTTCTTTGCAACGTATTTGATGTGTTCGTCTTCGACATTACGGAGCTCGTCGGCGGTGATCTCACCGTTGGCTGCCTTTGTACGCGCTTCGAGGACGGCTTTGGGCCGAAGGAAGGAGCCGACGTGGTCGGCCCGATATACACCAGTGGGAAGAGGCATCGTGTCTAGTTCTGTACGACGGTTAGCATGTTGTGGCACTATCGCGGCAACAACACTTACATGAGATGTTGTGGTTTTTGCTATGCGATACTTTGTCCGTCAGACACAATGATGCTGTAGTTTGACTAGAGGCTTAGCAGTAAGATGACGAGACGGGACGCATCTGCCGAAAATTTGTACACGGCCTCCTCGCTCCTCCATGGCATAACGTACCCGTCCGCGTCTAATCATGAAGCTAGTGGGCCACGGCAGTTATAATTTTGGGGCTAAGACCCTGAATTGGGGCGCCGAGGAATAGCCTGCGCGGGCAACTTGCTCCGAAGGGAAGTCGCACCGCGGGCGAAGGCTTGTAGGAAACATCAAACGCAGGCAAAGACCCTGTGTACATGAGACGCTCGCCATGGGAAACTCATCCCGTGGTAGTGAGTAGTGCCGGTGGCTGTCAGCTCCTGCAGCTTCTGGACCTGGAAGGGTTGGCATGACGTTTGGCGGGGTAACCTCACCAAACCCCAGTTCGCGACAACGCACTACAACCAGCTCGTCTCCTCGGATTCGCGGACCGTGCACATATTTAAAGGTCAAAAGTATATCTAATTGGGTATATTGAAACATGTTCGATGAAGCAAGATAGAGGGGATTACATGTGACCGACAACCATACGAATGGTCGACCCATTAACCACACATACCTCGTGGTATTACTTACGCAGCCTTCACGAGCTTCGCTTCTAGAAGCTCGCCAAATGAGCCTTCCCACAAGCCCTCATCCTCGTCGTCCTCTTCCATGAGGAGGGCGTCGGCCGCGTTGTAGATGCGATTGCCCTTGCTGTCAAACTTCTTCTCCCTCTTGGGGAGGTCGCGCAAAGCAATCTTGAGCTGAATCGTACCCGCGCCAGGGCCTGAGTCGCCTTCTTGCTCTACAGTAGCTGTCTTGTATCCGCTAATCTCGGGTGTGACGGTGACGGGATTGACAGTAAAGAATTTGCAGGCGATGACAGCACCAGCCTTCATGTCAGACGACGTGAGATCTGGCAGGGTGCTCATGTCTTTGGGAAGTGGTGGCAGATCAGACTGCGCAGCCATTGCAAGATCTTGACGCAATTGGTCCTCGACGGCTGCGTTGACGGACTCGGAGTCCGGATTCGTTGTGGGGGCATCATCGTAGTCTAAGATGATCTTTTCTTCTTCCTCCTCTTCTACTAGCGTGGCCTCCTGCTGCACATTACTCCGCCTCTTTTGCTTCTTTTTCTTAGCCTTGTCATGCATCAGCTTGCTGGCTGGATCCCAGTGCTGCTGAAACGGGAAGGGCGGAGCGCTGAGCTCAAAGTCCTCTTCCCAGCATTCAAATGCCGAGAGATTGATCCGTGTCTTCCAGAAATCGGGGTTTGACCACTCTTCAGGCTCAGGTGTCGGTGCCTTCGCTTTTGTCTTCCGAACAGGTCCAGCCTGTCGAGCAAGTATCCGACCAATGGCGCGGGTGTCTGGCCGCATTCTTCTCGAGGTAGGCTCCTTCTTCGCTGGTGATTCCTCTTCTGCTGGTGTAGTAGTGACTTTTTCCACAGTCGCAGTCGTTGGCTGTATGGCCTCGTCTGCTGGTGCCGTCGCCTCTGTGCTCTCTCCGAACCTCGCCATCAGGTCCCGTTTCCTTCGCTCCAACTCTGTTGTATCTTCCGCGGCCTCTTCTGCCGGCTCGTCTTCGTCCAATCGTTTCCTCTTGCCTTGGGATTTGGCAAAAGGTTGTGTGTGTCGAGGTTCTTCCTCATCCAGACCATATCGGCCTTCTTCGTAGGCGGCCAGGTCATCGAACGTAGCGTTATTCGGAAGCTTGCCCGAAGTCTTGAGACTGCGCAGACGATTAGCTCTTGTACGTCGCGAGTTCCTCAGCTTTGTAGCTTTGAGCCCTTCTCCGGGGGGTACATGCTTTGTGGCTGCTTTCGTCTTGCGACCGTCTTTGGAAGACAAGACATCGGGCGGGGAGCTTGCGTCGCTATCATCGGAATCGGAGTCGGAATCGCTCGAAGTATCTGAGTCGGAATCCGAAGTATCTGAGGCGCTGGACGATGCGTTCGCCTTTGCCTTCGCGTCTGCCTCTGATTCGGAATCTGAGTCTGAGTTTGAGTCTGAGTCTGAGTCTGAGTCTGAGTCTGAGTCCGAATCGTCTGAAGAGGAAGCCTCATCCTCTGCTTCTTCAGGCGCGAAGTCATCATCGTCTTCCTCGCTATCTTCCTCATCATCAAGCTCTGGCTGCTTGAACTGCACCGACTTGACTGTTCGCTGCGACCTCGATGCTTTGCTTGCCGACCTTGTGAGACCGTTCAGCGTCGCAGCATCGTCGCGCACTTCAGGTGATTCTCCATGCTGCGTCAGAAGTCCCACAGCTTCAGTATCGTCGTCGGACTGCTCATCGTCCAGTCGGCGTCGTTTGCGCGGAGGTATGCGAACGGCAGGTCGATTTGGTTGTCGCAGGTAGGGTCGACCGAAAGGAACGCCATCAACGAGATGTTGGCCTCCGTCTGAAATCTGATCACGGCCGGTCAGGGTGCGCGCGCGCACTTCGGCAGTCATGAGCGGGCGGATGCTGGTAGGCTGTTAGCAGGCATCAATGAAGAAAGTTGAAATTTGCATACGAGACATGGTCGTCTTCTTTGAGCGCATTCGTGACGGGCATAAAGTGCAGGCACTCAAAGCCGCCCACCTCGACGACATAGTGCTCCAGGCCCCAGTGCTCTGCCTCTAGCGGGATAATGTGGTTGACATCCTCGAGCAGGCGCGTGACGGTGTATGCCTGCGTGCTGTTCGTTTCGGGCACGCTCCAAAGTATGTTGGCGGCAGGCAGGCCATTCCGCTGGACCGTCAGTCGAAGCCTCATGATGGCGTGTTGAGTCGCATGTGCTCGCGCGTGAAATGCGACGGTCGCGAACTTTTGGAAGGAGCTAGGGCGATGACGATCCCTGCGTTTGAGACTAGCCCCATTTGTCTAGCCCCTTCTCCACTTGGTAGATTCACCAGGCACCACAAACAGCAGGTGTATTACCACCCGCACATGACGCAATCCTCGATCTTGATCTGAGCTATATATCACTAATCCAAGACTGTGAGTTCTACCTGGTCAACTACTGTCTGTTAGAGTCCAAACTTCACAATCTGTCACAATGCCTATGATGCCCATCAACACGCTCAAAGGCTCCTGGAAGCGTCTTCTCGACGACGAACGATTGCGCCGCTCTTCGCAGGTCCTCTCCGTCATCGACAATCATGTCTGCATTTTCGGTGGTGAAGTGAAACCGAGGGAGCCTTTGGATAATAAAGTTGACATTTTCCCCCTCAAATCTGGTATTGCTTCCCCTCATTATAGTAGGCCATCAGGGTACAGCACTAACGACGCCACAGATGCAAAGCATTTGGAAACAAAGGCTGTTTCTTCAGCGCCCACTCCGCGCGTTGGAAGTGCGTCAGCTGTACTGTATGGAAAAATGTACCTTTTCTCTGGTCGGGGTGGCATCGACATGGCCCCGATAGAGGAAGATGGTGCAGTGTGGTGCTTCGACCCTACAAGCTCAACCTGGTCCAAGATCATGCCTGCTGATTCATCTGCGCCATACCCACCAGCTCGCAGTTATCATTGCTCTACCAGCGATGGCAAAGACACCTTCTTTCTCCATGCTGGATGTCCCGCAAGTGGCCGTCTCTCAGATCTGTGGATGTTTAACATCAACGATCGTACATGGAAACAGGCCCCTGATGCTCCAGCGCCGCATCGAGGAGGAACTTCCATCGCTTATAGTGGTGGCAAGCTTTATAGGATGAACGGATTTGATGGAACCACAGAGCAGGGTGGTAGTGTCGACATTTTCGACCTTGCCAAAAATGCATGGTCAACCGATACATTCAGGGCGGATGGCAACGATGGACCTGAAGCTCGCAGTGTTTGTGTCCTTCTACCGGTCAAACTGGCTCGCAAAGACAAACTCCTTACTCTCTTCGGTGAACATGATCCCTCATCGCTCGGTCATGCTGGTGCAGGCAAGATGTTGAAAGATGTCTGGATCTATGACATCAGCGAGAAGTGGTGGACTCAACTACATCCCGATGGCAGCGATGGTATTCCTGATCCGCGTGGTTGGTTTGATGCTGATGTGGTCAAGGCTGACAGCGGCAACGACAGCGTCATCATCCATGGCGGGCTCGGTGAGAACAATGAGCGTCTGACCGACATGTGGCAGCTCGCCTTCTAGATTTTCACATGATACAAACTGAATTTGTTTCACTGCATTTGCAATGACCAATTCATTTGCCGCTTTGATCTGGTCATCAGTCATGAGTTGCTCATTGAAGCACTTACGCCTGAGTACTCGAACTGCCGCTCAGCGGTCATGCAAATGCTTTAAAGTAGGAACGTTGCCATACCCAACTCGATTTTCATGGCTCTCGAATCCAACGACCCGCTGGTGATCGCGAGTCAGGAAGTGTGGGTGGTAGTACCTTCCGTACCTGTGCTTACACTTAGGAAGGAGCCTCCATCCGGAAAATACCAAATTATGAGAATGCGGCAAGTATACTAGCAACTCAGCTCCATTTGAAGCGAAATGCGCTACTGGCATGGAGCCTGGCCTGCTGCATGTCGTCGCTGCTGCTGCTGCCGCTGCTACAATGAAACCCGTCACAAGGTCGGCATGAGCTCCATGGGCTTTCAAGTAAAGACGGCACACGATTCGGACGTATTCGAAAGAGTTAAACTGGTTATTTTTTGGTGCGAGTTGAAACCCCAAGACTGTGACGAGGGAATTTAGTTCAGCTTTGCAGATACGAAGAAGCCACCTGAACAGAGAGTTGCGTAGTCGCACCTTCCTGATCCTGTGCATCATGATAGGAGTCACAACATGTTCGGTCTCAACTGACCCGATGCTTACCGTGGACGAGTAAGTTGTCCAAGAATTGTGTCTGATCTAACTTCAAGGTCGGAATGTGGAGGAGAAGGCGTGAGACTCTTCGTGGTATCTATTCCGCTTGTCTGGGCCAATGCGCAAATGCTGCGGCTTGGACTAACGTATCTTCGAATACTTGTTGATGCGCAAGACGAAGATTTTGTTGATACGATCAAAGTGGGAAGGGTGAATCGCTCAAATGGTCAGTGAGATCGAGAACCTTGATCGTCTTGATCGTTCCGCTGCTTTCCGCAGAACTATTATGCCATCCGGAAGTATGCAGGATCTCCAGACATACTTCTGCCGTTGACATCGTGAAATGGTTGTGCCTTCTCCATTGGGTGCAGTTCGTGTCAAGTACGCGTTTACCTCGGCTACGCGACACCGATGTCTACACATCAATCCCACCCACTCAACGACGCGGTTCGCTGTATCTTCTCTGGACCGTGATATAATCAATACATGCCGGATGCTAATGATCTGAAGTTTCCAGACTCTATTCAATGTTCGTACGAGCTAGACTCCGCTCCACATGCCGCTCGCGCCATCCGCTCCTACTCCGCGCATCGTCGCTACCCCGCACAGCGAACCTTCGGACGAGCTTAAACATGTAGCAAATCGCGCGAGATGGATCGCATATGATATAGCAAGACATTGCAAATAGACCACTGTGGGTTTCGTCACTACGATTGTCAAAATGCATTCTGAAGTTCTTGCTTTCGCAGCTGCCGTAGCATTCGTCGCGCGTATCCTCTTTCCGTTATTGAAGAACTTGTCCTCCCCATTGCGAAACGTACCTGGACCCGCCGCAACGCGCTTCACAGACCTATGGTACCTTTGGAGAGTGAGAAGAGGTGGCTTTGAACATGACAACATTGAGCTGCACCGAAAGCATGGTGAGTTCGACCCTGCCGGCCTGTTCCTGATCTACCCCGATCCCATATTTACACTGCTACCACAGGCGAAATAGTCCGCTACGGTCCGAATCGATACTCCCTCTCCTCTACCGATGCGCAGAAGACTATTTACGGGCATGGCGCCAAATTCCCGAAGTCTTCATGGTACGCGACCTGGCAGAACCCTTCGCCCTCGCAGTGGTCCCTCTTCGCCGATCAATCTATACCAAGACACAGCGAGAACCGAAGGCAATACCAAAGCGCATACACCATGTCATCGCTTGTTAGCTACGAGCCGTATGTCGACGAGTGCACCGACCTGTTCAGCCAGCGCCTTCAGGAGGTTGCGAGTGCGGGCGCGTATGCCGACATGGGACATTGGCTTCAGTGCTATGCCTTCGATGTCATTGGATTGATCACATACTCGAAGCGGCTGGGCTTTCTGGACAGGGGCGAGGACATTCGCGGTGTGATTGGGGCTCTCGAAGATCACCTCTGGTATGCTACCTTTACGGGCATCTTCTCCTGGCTGCACAAATATCTCTTTCCCATCCGAAATTGGCTGGCTGGTCCGACAGGCACAGGAAGGGCGTACGTCATGAAGTTCACGCAAGAGCGCATTGCGGAACATGAGAAGGAGCAGACCAAAGCCATTCCTGTCGATGGCATCGAGGAAGGCAAGACGAGCATGGACTTCCTTTCCAAATTCTTCAAGAAGAACGCGGATGATCCCAAGGCGTTTACAATGTACCATCTCAGCATGGGCTGCGTGTCAAACATGGTCGCTGGTTCCGATACTACAGCCATCAGTCTCTCCGCAATCCTGTACTACCTACTCAAGTTCCCGCAAACATTCGAGACTCTGCGTCAAGAGATCGACGAGCGGCAGCGCAAAGGCAAGATTGGTCACTATATCACATTCAAGGAAAGCCAAGAAATGCCGTATCTTCAAGCCGTCATGAAGGAGGCGCTGCGAATGCACCCCGCTACTGGCCTACCACTCGAGCGCGTGGTACCCGTTGGAGGAGCGAGTATATGTGATCAGTTCTTTCCTGAGGGCGTAAGTTGCCGTGCATGTCAAATCGCACTCTCTAGGCTGACTGCTTGGGTAGACTATTGTCGGAATCAACTCCTGGGTTGCTCACCGCAACCCATCAGTTTTCGGCCCTGACGCAGACCTGTTTAAACCTGAGCGCTGGCTCAGCTCCGATAAAGAAAAGCTTAGTATCATGGAGCGCAACTGGATGCCGGTAAGTCGTAGCACCGGAATGTCCCCTTGCTCGGCGTCTGCCGACCGCTGCCTCGTCGTTTCCACATTCGTAGCGCCACTCGTTGACGATTACCTCTTTCGTTATCTCAGCCAGCCTCACCAAATCCTTCATCTCTTTTCACGATGAGCAGCGGCTAACAAACGTGGCAACAGTTTGGTCTAGGCTCGCGAACGTGCATCGGAAGACACATTTCGCACTTGGAAATGTCCAAGCTAATCCCCATGCTGGTGCGCGACTTTGATTTTTCGCTCGCTCCCCACTTGCAGGCTGCAGATTGGGAAACGAGGAATTACTGGTTCGTCAAGCCGAGGGATTTCCAAGTCAAGGTAATGGTAAGGCGACAGGGCTATTAATGTTGAGGAGCGTATCGCAGCAGCGACAGCCCGTCGGGTAGCTGAGTACCCGGTTCTGGGTGCGACTGCGATTGTCGGCTGCTATACTTGGAATGACAGATAGAGTAGTTGAGCAATCGAGGAAGAGATTGACATGGTAACGTGCAGTAGCGGAGTGGAACTGCAAGGTATCATAGGCCCGATGTTTGCGTGATGGTAGATAACAGCCCAATCGTCCCAAAGGTACATACCCTGTTGCTGCAACTGCTAGGTCTAGCGAGCATCGCGATGCATAGACGAAGTATTGTATATTGCAAGAAGCCATGGTGGCGTTGAGAGTTGCAATCTACACCTTCTGGAATTCCGTGGCGCCCAGCCGAAGCTTCCGCGGATTGTGCCGTTCCACGTTGTTCACAGCCCGCCTCACCATGGGTTCTGGCTTGCAGGTATGCAAGGCGATGGAGCAGACGAGTTGCCACCGGTAAATCCCTTGCGTGGCCGCCTAACAAGGCTGTTGCCGCGGTTGATGAGCGACAAAAAAAAACCTGAAAGTAGGGAGATTGGTGTTGGAGACCGGAGTGGATGATGCCTTGATTGTAAGCACACCATGATGTTGGAATATGCACGAGAGATGAGAGGGTGTTGGCTAGTCGCTGCCCCTCTTCTACGGCATGTAGTCAAAGTAGGCAAACCCCTCTTGCATCATACCCATCATGAACGATGATTGAATCTTGGTACCCTAGCCATGCCCCTGATCCCACGCCTGTGGACTTGGAGGTTCGGAAAAGCAAATAAAACCTCCTGCGGTGACTGAAACGGCCAACCCCAGAAGGTCCCACAAAAGCAAACACCCTCTCTGTTGCCAAATTAACTGGGTACCAGCCTGCCAACTGTGGAACAGGACAATCAGAATCGGGATGATGCGGCGCAGTTCGTGCGCTCCCGTGTACAGATAAGCGGAAGCGCCTCCGCCGGTCAGCCCCTGCAGCAACTTAGACAGGTGAGAGTCGTGCTCACGCCCAGGCTCTCTGATTCGCCGGAATTAGCGTTGCGACTACTGCATTTGGATTAGAAGACTGAGTCGCAGGCTACGTCGTGTGGAGATTAGTGCGAATGTTCAACGAAAAGTTTATCGCGCTTTGGCATCGACATCGTACGTGATTTTCTCAGGGGTGCGATGCGCAGCTGGGCGAGGGCGAGGGCGAGAACGGGCGATGCCATGCACATGGAGATGCGCGAGGGTGGATTGTTTGGGTGTCTGCTGGGTCAGGGAAGGAAGGTGAGACACGAGCGCCGATGCGATATGCAAGTGATGGACGCGAAGCTGCGAGGGTCTCTCGATACGAGGCTGGAGTGGATGCTTCGCAAGGCTTGTGGGACCACGATTGCGGATACGAGATGCGTCGTACATAACAGCGATTATGCACGACGGTGAGTTCGTTTATGTCGTGTTGCTGGAGGCCTGTCGCTAGGCTGTCGACTTCCGCTGCACGTAAGCTGCATGGGAGTGGTGTGATTTCATAGAGGCGATTGGTGAGAAAAAATCTATTAGATACTACAGTATTGCTTTGTCCTTATCTGTAAAATGTACGATGCAGACGTTTGATGCCCAAGACGCCTCGGCGCCTCTGCCATGCCAGGGAGGAAAAGAAATGGGAAACGTTCATCTAATGTGCCCTTGTGCCCTGAGTGACGTTGTAAAAAAGAAATGTGATACGTCCGTGTTCGTGAACCCGGGTTATAGTATGAGGTGGACCCGTGGGGGTATCGGATAGAAAAAAGGAAGGAGCGTTCGGCAGTCAGATGCTGGTGGTCTAGCACTTGCCGGCCTGCCACATCTTGACGGACTTGACAGTCATACCGCGCTCGGTGCCCTCGCCCCAGGTTGGGAGCCAGTCATCCTTGGCTATTGCAGGATTAGTAAAGTGATCATAAGCATTGCAGATTGGGTGTGAACGTACCATTCCAGAAATCGCGGACAGCAAAGTCACTGCCATCAACCCACGGCTTGCCACCTTCGCCGTCAAAGAACCATCCATTTTGCGCACCGACGGCGACGTTGAGGATGAGGTAGAACTTCTCGTCGAAAGGCGCGTTCTTGCCGCCCTGCTTCCACGGGTCCTCGAAAAGAGTGCCGTTGCTGGTCGTCAAGCCGTTGAAGCCACCCTTGTTCCATAGCTTGTTCTTCTCGTTGAACTTGAAGTACATGACCTGCTTGAGGCGGCTGTCGAGATACAACATGAGGTAGTTCTCGGTCCACTCCATACCGAATGTGTGCCAGCTGGAAGCGAAGTCTGTGCGGCGGAAGAAGGAGGTACCATGAGTGTTGATGTAGCCGTCGTGCTTGTAGTCGGGACCCCAGTGGAGCGTGGAGGAAACAAAGTCGCGACCCTCGGGGTACTTGTACGAGTTACCGCGGAACTCAGCAATGTCGATTTCTCCACTGCGAGGCCATTCACCGTATTTGTCCTCCTCGGGCATCATCCAGATGGCGGGCCAGAGCCAGTCACCCTTGGCTGTCTTTGCAACAACCTCTACGCGGCCATACTTGATCGACTTCTTGCCCTTGGTAGTCATACGTGCGGAGCGAACAGGAGGGATGATGGTTCCAGTGGTGGAGTTGGAGCGGACACCGCATGACTTGTAGTCGCTGGATGTGCAAGAACCGTCGCCGTCTGCCTTGGTGATGTTCAGTGTGTAGCCATTGACGATCTGCTCCTCGGTAATACTGGTCGATTCGGTGGTGAGAGTTGGGACAATGTGAAGACCTTCCGCGTCGACGAAGCTGTTCTTGGGGTCGTTGGTAGTCCAGTCAAACTCTCCGTTACCGTATCCGCCGGTCTGGATCTCGTAGCCCCAGTTGGCCGGGTCAATCTTCTCGAAGTTGTCTTCCATGATTAGACATTGCTCAGGTATCTGAGCCTCTTGTACACCAGTGTACATGATGTATCCACTGACACAGAAGCCAATGATGATGAAGCCAAGGGTGATCCAGTTGCCGACCTTGGTCTTCTTCATCCTTGGGTCGTCGACCCATGGCTGCTCACGTCTGTGATAGAGATTAGATGATAGTTGACAACGTGTGTAATAGGTAATACATACTCTCCCCGTAGCCTGTAGCTTCTGAAGGGTCGCGGTTGTTTCCGTATTTCGGAAGCGCTGATCTGGCTCCCATATATAGGACCGAATGACAGGTTGGAGGGGTTTCTAGGAATGTATGCTCCCTGGTTCGAGGACTCAGGACGCATCCTTTGTGACATGCCGGCAGGAAGGTCTGGGACATCTTGAGAATGAGCCTGAGGCGGTGCGTCCTCCTCAGGACTGGCCTTCTTGTTGCGTTTAAAGAATGAAGGCATTGTCGTACTGTAGAACGAAGGTATCAAAAGCGGAATAGAAATGCCAAAGTGTTAGCGATGGGCAAGGTAGTTTATTGCCGTACGCGACCTCGTCTAAGGAGATTAGAAGAGTACACAAAAAAACGCAGGGGACGTTGTTGGGAGCTGAAGTATCGATACCACAAGCCGAGCCAGCGCCGCGCTGAGTATGCGGCACCGATAAATCGATAGTAGGCTGAAGCGGCGTCGGGAAGAGCGAGGTTCACGGATTCCAAAAGCCTAGATTTAGAACAGTCAACAGGCTCTAGGCGTATCTGCCGTTCTCGACGTGATGGCTTCTGCAAGTGCAAGGGGCGGGCAGCGCCCATGGCAGTTTCATCCCAGTCGCTGGTCACGGTCTTGGAAATAGTGCACAGTAGCGTGGCTGTTTCTAGCGTTCGTTTAGACGCAGGTACGTCAGGAAACATGAGATAGGCGCAAGGCTAGTGTGGCAGCCTTGCAGTCAACGTGCCAGGGGGGAAAGCCACATGCCGCTAGCGATACGGAAGGATTTGACCGGCCGTGGCTAGGCTTGTGCTTGAGGCTCGACGTTGGAGAGCTGACTTGGATCTCGGACGCCACGGCACATCAATCCATGGTTCGTGTTTTGTCTAGCGCCCGGTCGATCGCTTTCCAAAACCCGCGCGATCTACACTTGGGTTTTCCACGCTTGTACCCAGAAAAGTGTGGACCTGTAGATGCGCCTCCGTAGCCCTTGATGCAGCCGTTTATGCATTGGCGGGTCAGCCTAGACGCGGCTTGCCAGTATGCAAGCTTCTGATGTTGTATTCTCTCTTCCGTATCTGCACGTTGGTGGCTAAATCCTGCACCTCGGCTTGCTGACCCAAAGCTGTTGATTGACTTATCGGCGAGCCGGTTAAACGCACTAACCCTGACGGGCGTCGCACATCTGGTAGCTCCGCTGTTGCAATCGAACTCTGTTTACAAGCAACTCTGCTGACTCGAAATAGCCCAGCTGGGCATGGCGTCATGCAAAGTTAAAGAGTTGAGGCAGAAAATCTGTGACGTGTGGCTGATGGTGGCGAGCTGCTTTATGTGTTGTCCGATATGTAGACGGGGGTACAGGATCAATAGAAGCGGAACAAAGTCCTAATCTTAACAACGGGAGAGTCAGCAAGGGTGCTTATCAAGGGCGACATGCAGTAAGCTGCGCTTTAATCGTTGGCTTGTTTGCGACGTGGGATTCATCCGCTCCCGGAACGTGGGCATCGTGTAAAAGCAATTTGCAGGGTCCTGTCCCCTCAGAGGTTGTCAGGATGGCGCACGCGTGGGCCAGGACCTCATCTTGGCTTGCAGGACGTCACTGTATTTGCGGCGTAGGGTGCCGGCTGGACTGGACGGCCCAAGGCTCCAAATGCCCGGTTCGGCGCTGAGCTAGGCGGCCAGCTGTCTCCACTTCCGACCTGACTCTTAATCGCAGCGTAGGAGGCTGGCTGGACAGGTCCGCTACGTGAAGCCGAGGAGCTGACCGAACGTCGAGAAAAGTAAAATCTCCTCAGGCGGAACGTCAAAGAATGGTGGCGCACGCCCAGTATAGTAGCGGCTAGGCTAAACCGTTCCACTTAGCTCAGGCACAAGCGTGGGCGTGCAAGGTACCCGAATGCGACACACAATTACACATCCCCTTTTGCTTCAGATCTCGATGATGACCGATAGCTTGATGGTGATGCACCGGCGAAACATATGTTCGTCGATGCTAGTAAGGGAGCCACCGTCCCAATATTGAGGACCACCAAGGCCCAGCGGACGGGAGAGCGACCGGGGCGTGCGCTGGCAGGATAATCGATAGATGACAGGATCGCTAGGTGCAGCTGGCGGTCTGCGCAGCCGCCGATTCTGGATGGTGGTGAATGCGAGATAGCGTTTGTGACAGACGCTGCGGCCTTAATCGGGACATTCGCGTAGCAGGTCTTGTTGAGACTCGAACGTGCTAGACAAGGGGTCTGCCGAACATTCGATAGTGTGTAGCATGAGTGTATCTTTGACCTGGTCGCTAAGGATTGTGGCGGGGCCCTGTTTCGCGTAGTCGGAGAGAATTGTGTAGACACTACCAATTGTGCCGCGTTGATAACCTCTGCTCGTCGACCGCTTCCGTTCGCTTTCCAGTCTCTACACACTCGCGCTTTACTGATCTTCGCAGGGCTCCTTGCCCATTCCCTCGTTTCTTGGCTCCGACCACAGCACCTGTCTTTAACAGACTCGTCTGCTCCCTACAATCGCTTACTACCCCTACTACTCCTCTTAATTCTATTGACATCCCTTCGGCATGTCTTCCGCCACACCTTCCCACGATGGGGACAGGCCCTTTATCCCCTCCAGCAGGCAATCGTTCAGTGGCAGTGTCAATGACTCCTCCCGCTACTCCGTACCCCAGACACCCACGAGTCGCCCGGCCCTGTCGCGGCCGTTGACCATGAAGATTGACGAAGACTCAAGATACCGTGCTGTAAGTACAAACAACCCCACACGTGGATAACAATGTCTGACACCATCTAGATCATCAAGCACCTTTACGCCAAGGCATGCTCCATGCGATGGATGACTTCCAGTGCCTCAACACCTGGCTCCTGCGAAGGTGTCTTGATCCGAAAGGGTCAAGGAGAATATGTCACAGAACCCGTCGCGGCCAACAAGGACCTTCTCTCAGCAGTAAAGAGGATCAACCCTGGTGTCGCCCTCACCATGAGCACCGATGGTACCCAGGCTATCTTTGATGTTCTCGAGCCATTCGAGACAGAGTTGATGTTCCAGAACGGCTCCCAGATCCAGATCTTCGAGTCCATGGCAGAGGTCGCTACCTCAAGTACCATCCGCAAGTTCCAATACGCAGCTCTTATCCGCCAGGAGAGGCTCCTCCTTGTATGGCACGACGACCTTGGTGCGATCCTTTCCCAGGCGATGGAGATCGAATCAAGGATCCTGGCCTTGGTCTGGGGTACATCCAAGAACCCCTTCAGTGGTTTCGACAGCGCCATCCAGTCAAGTGCCAACTCTACCCTTGGAGGATCCACAGTCGACTTTGCCATTGACAGCAAGAAGGACGATGTTGAGGTTAATGCTGAGGAGGTTGAGGGTGACCTCGAGAAGGCCGAAGGTCCCAAGGAGTCGCTTGCACGCCCTCTCATCTTCACCAGTTCCATCTTCGTCGGTCTCGCCATGGTTTTGATCATCGTCCTCGTCATTGGTCTCGGAAACAAGGCCATCATTCTCCAGACCATGACCGACCACTTCTACCCCCGTATGCTTCTTATCCTCACCGAACCACTGTGGATTGCCCTTGGTCTCTTCTTCGTCGTTGTCGTCTTGGGTAACATCTTCGAGGTGTTCGGACCCGTCACTGGTGTCAAGTCAAACAGCCGCTTCCACTCCGCCGTCAAGCCCAACCTTGCTCAGGCACGCGCCATGGGATTCACCCCGTCGACCATCACTATCCAGATGCCCATCTACACTGAGTCGCTTGAGGGTGTCGTCAAGCCCACCGTCGCCAGTTTGCAAGCCGCCATCTCCTACTACGAGTCCCGCGGTGGAACTGCACGCATCTTCATCAACGACGATGGTATGGCCGTCCGATCCGAAGAGGACAACGAGAAGTTCCTGCGATTCTACGAGAACAACAACATTGGATGGGTCTCGCGTCCCAAGCACAACCACGAAGGTTTCGTTCGCCGCGGAAAGTTCAAGAAGGCCTCCAACATGAACTTCGCTCTCAACACCTCCAACAAGGTCGAAGATGTACTCCAAAGCCTGGTCGACAACCGCTTCGATAAGGGTGATGGTGACGCTTCGATCTCCGAGGAGGAGGAACTCGCCCTCTACCACCAGGCTCTCGACCAAGTTCTCACCGCTGACCCCCGCGCGAAGGCTGGTGGTAACATCCGCATGGGTGAAATCATTCTCATTGTCGACTCTGATACCATCGTTCCCGAAGACTGCCTCATGTACGGTGCTGCCGAGATGTTCCTGTCCCCCGAGGTTGCCATTGTCCAGCACGCTACCGGTGTCATGCAAGTCTCTTGGGATTACTTCGAGAACGGTATCACCTACTTCACTAACCTTGTCTACACTGCCATTCGCTTCTCAGTTGGTAGCGGTGAAGTCGCACCCTTCGTCGGTCATAACGCCTTCTTGCGATGGCAAGCTGTCCAGTCCGTCGGCAACCCTCCGGAAGATGATGGCTACGTCTGCTTCTGGTCCGAGAGCCACGTTTCCGAGGACTTCGATATCGCGCTTCGTCTCCAGATCAAGGGTAACATTGTCCGCTTGGCCAGTTACCACGGCCGCGGTTTCAAGGAGGGTGTGTCTCTTACCGTCTTCGACGAGTTGGACCGATGGGAAAAGTACGCCTACGGTTGCAACGAATTGGTCTTCAACCCCATCCACACTTGGTTGTGGAAGTCTCCATTCACCAAGCTCTTCCGCACCTTCCTCTTCTCCAACATCCAGCTGTCGTCCAAGATCTCCATCTGTGGTTACATCTTCTCTTACTACGCTCTCGGATCGGCCGTTCCCCTTGGATGCCTCAACTACTTCCTCGTCGGATGGCTCAACGGTGACCTTGACAAGTACTACGTCGAATCGTGGAAGATCTTCATCGTCTTGCTTATCGTATTCAACGGAATGTCCAACGTCTGCTTCGCCATCATGCGCTACCGTATCGGTGAGGCCAGTCTGATGGGTGCCTTCTTCGAGAACCTCAAGTGGATGCCCTTCTTCATGATCTTCTTCGGTGGTGTCTCGTTCCACATCCTCCTCGCCATTTGCTCGCACATGTTCTCTATCAACATGAGCTGGGGTGCCACAGCCAAGGAAAAGGACAACTCCAACTTCTTCGCCGAGCTGCCTAAGATCTGGAAGCGCTTCAAGTGGATGTACATGATCATGATCCTCATGATCGGAGGTATGATCTACCTCGGATGCTTCGCTCCCCACGGCTGGGAGATTACTGGTTTGACTGCTGTTCTGCCGTAAGTACCTTGCTCTTCGATATCATTGACATGTCGCTAACAATACCTAGTTGGGCCGTAACGGTTATCATGCATTGCCTGTTGCCCATCGTACTGAACCCGTCATTGACGGTCTTCAACTACTAGTTGGGTCATGACTGGATGTATTTTCCTTTGTTCGATTCACCTGTTGCGGCGTTGGGAATTGGAAGCCAGTTGGCACCATGGATCGGGATACATAGAGCGGGTCATCGCATCATGGAGGGCACCATTCCCTTGTCGGCGTTGGTTCTAGAGTTGTATGACCTACTTTACAGGTTAATTTCTAATCTCGTTACAAAAATATCTTCTCTTACACTTACAGCCTCATGCTCACCGCTTGACCACCATCTACCTAACGACCCTCATGGCTGTGTCGCATCAGTTCCGTACGATCTTTTCGAGTTGCGGTCGTGTGAGATGAATTTTGCAATGATTTTGGGGCAGATGGGCAGGTGAGGTGTTATCAGAGGACTTGATGGCGGCTACGTGCTCTTCATACGGCATTCGCGGGCGGCCTGGCGGTGAAAAGCATAATACGGCGCAACTTCGACCGCGCACCTGGCCATCAAGCCACAACTCACTACCGTCACCACACAGCCATTCCTAGCCATTCACAACACCACATAGCCGAATAAAATTCAGCCCATCGCGAAACCCCAATCAGCATCCAAGTCGATCGCCTCGACTCAGCTGCGCTTTGTCCGGGGTTCCCGTTGCAGCTTGCGCTTTTCCATCTGGCCAGTTGTGGCAGCACCATTCAGATGATAGCACACCACACCTCGCCATGGATCTAGGTGCGACGCTTTGCGTGTACATCGACGATACGTGCAGTCTCTTCAACGAAGGCGTTTTGTGCCGCGCCCAGCTCGTCGCACTTCGCTCACAATGAGAGTCACATCATGTGGATGTTGCTTCAAGTCGCGTTCCCACGGCTGCATGCATACTGTGTTGATGAATAGATAGTAAACAAGCCAATGTATACCTCGGTTCAAAGTATACAGTGTAACTCATAAATGATGGCGTTTCTGTAGAGATCTACCTGATGCGACACAGATTCTGTCATGGCCGATGCGTTTACACGGTAGCCGCCTAGGGCTGCATGCCAGCTGAGGATCCATGGCAATTTCCTACAGTAGGAAGCGAACATCCAATAATACGCGTAACTTTGGTATCGCGCACATTAGGACAAGGGCGATGTTTGCGCGAAACGAGGGATAGGCGTGTTTGTCGGGTGTATGAGGTAGTTTGGTCGAACAGCACTTGTTGGCGATCTGTTGGTCGTGCGGATGAGTTGTGGGCCCTCTACGTCAGCCTTCGAGGGCAATGGTGGGTAGGCTGCGGAAAACCGGCGCTGAACCATACCACTAGCAACTATCACCTACACATCGGTATACGCAACTCAACTGAGTTACAAATCACGAACTGATTTTCTAGATAGGACCATGACTTGGGCAGCTTGCAGATTCATTTTGTTGGCTTTTAAAGGTGGAAGATCGGCCCACGACGTAGGATGCTAGCGAGAAGCCGCCCACCACCCAAGTATCCAAACCCTCCGCCATCAGCAAAGTTGTGAAGCTTTACTCTCCTCACCCACTTTTTTGAACGACCTCATCTCCGCCCTTACAAGTACGACTCATGTGATCGATATATCCATCATCGTTCAAAGACCTCAATAGCTATTACCGTCAGACTACTTAGCTCAGGGCCACTCGGTCGACAACAATCTTAGGACTTTGGCCAAATTTTCCTCATTGCCGAAGCCTTCTGAAGCTTGGTGATATGTTGATACATATAGCATATGTGCGGTCTACTGGGTTGGGAAGACCTACCGAGTTACGCATCCAATGCATTGCAGCAGCGACGGGGCAGTTGGCCAAAGGAAGTGACCTTGGTCACGGGTGACAAAACTAATCAGTATGCATGCATGAGAGATGGCACTGATCTGGGTATGAAGCCCCATATCTGCGGTTGCTGGCACAAAGTCATTGGATCGGATGAATTCTCCCATGCAGCATGGATGCAGCGATGCAGTATAACATCATACAGCGTACGCGCTCGTTCTGTTTCAAATTCAACATTGACGGGCTGCGATTACTAGATGAATTGACTGAATCGCTTTCTGCTATTATCACTCACCATTTTCTCGTCTAAACTCGAAGCTATGTACCGGAAAGGCTCGGTCGTCCACGCCCCTAGTAGTGAGTGGATGCAGCCCCGTGTCATTGGAGACCCACCCTACTGTTCGGAATGCTGTAAGAAGCTACTCTGGAGGATAGTCGATCGACGCGACGAGATTTTTCATCTTAATCTCCACGACTTGATGGAATGCAGCAACCGGTGCATACTATGTGAGTACATATGTGGCCTGTTTGGACAGGATGATCTCGAAGAGCACCTTGCGCGAGCTACTATGAACACCCCAAAGCTGGAAGAACATGCTGGCTTCAACATAGCCAATCGGATAGTGTATCACAGTGGTGGTTACACGGACCTGTTCACACTTTCACGAGCGCCTACAAACACACCAAGAGTGAGCATCGAATGCGACTGGCGAGCAGCTAAGGAGTCACCTATCGTATCCATTGGGTGTGACACTACTGATTCCTGCCCGGACCCCAATGGCCATCTGGATCATGTCTCGATTCGCATCAATCTACAAAGTCACCTTACCGGTATAATACATGATAGCAGGTCATTCACGGTTCATACAAGCTTTGGTATGTACAGTGACTCTTCTGGATCCCTTCGGTTTACTGAGGTTTTTTTGACCTCGTTCAGGCAGAGCATTTCGTAGAGCCATATGGAGCAATGCGGATTTTCAAAATATCAATACAAGAAGTGCAACGATTCGCGAGTGGCTTTTGGAGTGTCAAGAACACCACCCTGATTGTCGGAAGACTTTAAAACTGGATACGCCATTAGCAGCGCGCATTCTCGCCATCCAAGAGCAGGGACACAATGACTTCTCCATCAGACTTGTTCGGGCTGAGGGCATCAATCTACATAACGAGCCCTATGTTGTACTGAGTCATGTATGGGGCGGAATAGACATCTTCTGCAAAACCACCACCAGAAACATCTCACAGTACGAGCACACTGGTATCCCTTTTGGAAGCTTGACAAAGACTTTTCAAGATGCAGTCAGAATCACTGCTGCTGTAGGCTTCAAGTACCTTTGGATAGACAGGTACGTCTTTATATACCTGGTTCATGTAAGAGACGTACGCTGACTGTCCAATTATTCTAACGTAGTCTTGCCATTATCCAGGACGATAAAGAAGACTGGCAACGTGAGAGTAGTAAGATGGCAGCGATATTTCGTGCTGGCACTTTCACACTGTCTGCTACTAGTGCACATAATGGTCATGGGGGTTGCGGGTTGACTGCAGAATTTGAGCCAGCGGTTCCGTTTCCCGGGTTGTATGAAGGCCACCCAGGGTTCTCTGCTAGGAGAACAGGAACATGCGGCAAAAGCTCCACTGATATTCTCAGAGAGCAGCTTTTACATGCACCAGTCAGCACCCGGGCATGGATATTGCAAGAGAGCATGCTTTCACGCCGTACCTTGCATGCTACGTATTCGCAATTCGTATGGCAGTGTGGCTCACTTACGGAAAGTGAGGATAGCACTATTTACATGCAGGAGAAACGCGCGCCTATGAGGATGGGCTTATTCGACATCCAGAGAAACAGAACACGCGAACACGGCGCTCCCAAGATGATCGACTCTACTGAAGATGAGTATGGGTTCGACATTGACTGGTGGCGATGCGTGGCAGATTACTCCAAGCGATCCCTTACCTTCTCAGGCGATCAATATGCCGCCATAGCCGGGATCGTGCAGTTGCACCAAGATTTGTCCAACGATCACCCAATTTTGGGCCTCTGGAAACGTCACTTGGTTCACCATCTGGCGTGGAGAGCTCTTCGCGAACCTCATCGGCACATCATACCCACACGGGAGCCCGCCGACCGCCGACCGAGTTGGACATGGATGTCTTATGAACACGGCAGCGTCGGGATTCGAGCACCCATATCTTTGTATGATATGATGAACGATTCAGCAAAGACAAGCAAATTACGGATCGTGTACCGAGCCCAAATCTTGCAGGCCAATGTCAGTTGGAGCGGCGAGCCGCTGACTTCCGATCCTAGTAGCAGCACGATTCGAATACACGGGGCGTTCCATGGTATGTCCCGGCCCGAGCCAGTCCGGCGTTGGGCAGATAGCAGCCCGTTACAACTAGATCCAGGCGTCCTTGGTTCGAGCGAAGCAAGCGGTCAATATGACACGCTCGCACTTGCCGCCTACGTGCGCAATCCGGGTTTGACAAACCAGCCACCAGTTGTAACAACCAGTTATCTGGTCATCGAGTCGATAAAATCGAGAGGGAAAGACGAATACATGCGTATTGGGAACATGATGTTGTCGGAGGACTTTGAGGTGCCTGATGGCCAATCGTACACGCCAAAGGGTGTTCTGAGGGATATTACTCTTGTCTGAAATAGACGGTGCTGTGGATCAAATTTGCGTCGTAGTTTTGGAGCTGTTGAGAACGACGTCTCTGGTGCGACATGTGTGGAAGTGCGGGAGTATTTGGTCGAGCAGCTGTCTCTTGGCGATCAGTCTCAATTTGTGTTGGGTGATGGACCCCTACGTCAGCCTTTGGCGGGGCAGAAGCCCCGTGCGGGTGGAACTGTAACACGCGCTAGCAGCATTCACATACACACAACTCGGCCCCCTCTCTCCCCTCTGTCTATAATCACTTCATAAACTCTTTCCTGGATATCAACAAGAGTATACGAAATCAAGAGCACGATGCCGCAATTCAGCGACGTCTGGCTGCCATGCCTCATCGTAATGGTGTTGTGGGCGCGCCCCACTGCAGCTTTCGGTGCGGGCAACATTGCGAGCCTCAGCGCCATTGAGGGACAGAACTGGCGCCATGGAGACATCGAAGACACCCTACTCACCCTGCTGATCAGCGGCCAGACTGGCAAGAAGTTCAGCAAGATGGATGTCAAGCGTGTCTACTTTGGCAACTGGCTGCGCGACTACTCCCAGGCCGTCGATGTCGGCACTGTCAAGATGGTTTCTGCAGAGGCTATCCGCATCCTCCTGTGGGTGCTCGGCTTCATGAGCTTCGGCTACGGAACCAAGGAATTCGAGGTCACCCGCGATCGCCTTGGGTGCTACAGACCCGAAGAGCACATTGACAACCCCAAGGTCGGTACACCGCTTTCTCCATCACGTCAAGATACTGACTATCCAGGACTACGCCGACAATCTCGATGCCCGTGATTACGACCGCCGCCTGCGAGGCCCCGTTGACGAGAGACGCGAGCTCAGCGTCGACGAGCGAACCGGCCTGAAGAACTACATCGCCTCGGAAGACTTGGGCATCACGACATCGGCTGGCATGGTTCGCGACCTGCTTCGGCGTTGCATTGACCTGGGACGTCGCTCACGCGGAAAGGGTCCCGACTTCTATGAAGCCTTGAGACTCCTCGGTACTGCGACCCACTGTCTGGAAGACTACTCTGCCCACTCCAACTATGTCGAGCTTGCCTTGATTGAACTCGAAGAGGAAAACCGGGACATCTTCCCCCACGTCGGCAGGAACGCCCTGTTTGATGTCCGCGCCGCTGGAAAGCAGGTATACCCCATCATCACAGGCACATTCGGTGGCGTCGACTTTTTGCACTCTGTCTGCGGAGAGATTACCGACAAGGCCACACAGTCCGAGCTGCAGGAACTCGAAGGCGCAATCGCCAATGCCGACAGAAACGAGAACAAGAGCAAGATCCAAGAGCTTCTTGCTAAGCTCCCTGACGGCATCTTTGGCGGCAAAGACGAAGCCGGTAAGGCGGAGGAGCTTGCCGACAACTCCAACGCTGCCGCTATGGGCAACATCCAGATCACCCCTAAGGAGCCTGAGGCTTTTACTGAGCAAATTGGAGAGCTAGTCAAGCAGATCTACCCCATCATGGAGTTCCACGACGAAATTATGCAGTCCATCACCGAGTTCATTGAGAAGATCCCAATTTTGCCAGATCTGATCGAGGAGGTCCAGAGCCAGGTCACTGTCTTCGTCTTCAGTCTTCTTGCTCCCTACGTTCTGCCCATTCTTAGCCAAGTCAAGGCTGAGCTTGAGACTGGATCCAGCGAGGTCATTGCAAGCTCTCGCGAGAAGCAACACATTGTCTTCAACGACGACGACTGCACCGACCCAACCCACAGTATGCTTTCCAAGGATCACTTCTCTAACGTGCTCAACGAGCCTGCTGGTCGCGTAGCCTCTGCCGTGCTTAGCTGGGCTGTCCCGCAAGTCGTTCAGTGCTGGGACGGTGAGGCAGACCCTGAGCAAACCATTGACCGCATCATCAATGGCGTGTTTCACCACCCTGCGGTTGCTGCGGCAGAGAGAAGGTACGGAGGGCGGGGTGATCGCGGGGTCGAAGAATGCCACCAGATCATGTTCGACACTGTTGGAAAGTGGTGGAACTCCAAAGACGAGAGCGCAAAGGAAGAATTCCGCCACCAGCTCAGTCGAGACGGTGTGCAAAACCTTCGCAATCATAAGAAGAATGTGCACGACAAGGGTCATGGTTGCGGCAAACCTCTGGGTATGGCCAACAACTTTGGCTCTTCCGGCGGACAAGGTCGTGTCAACCCACAGATCCAGCAGGCCTCTGACCATGTTGGCAAGCTCGCCGGCGAAGCCGTTGGTGGTGGTGCCCTAGGCGGCCTTGTTGGTGGCCTTGTTGGCGGCATTGGTGGCTCACTGCTCGGCGACGCTTTTGGCGGACAGGAAAAGAAGAGCCGCAAAGACGAAAGCTACGGTCAAGATGGCTCCTACACCCAGTCTTACTCCGAGACTGGTCACCACCAGGCATCTTCGTATGGTGATAGCGATCGTTATGGCCGCGCCGAGTACGAGCAAACACAGTACCCGAGTGGCGGGCGTCGCGAGGAGTACTCTCGTCAGGAGCGGGACGACCGTGGCGGATCTTACAGCTACGAACAGCGTGTCGAGACTTCCAGCTACAGCAACACCGGTGGATATGAGCGTCGAGAGGAGCGTCGCGTCCAGCACGGTGATGAATGGCGCTCTGAAGAGAAACGTGAAGGGTTCGATCGGTCTGGAGAATATTACTCCGAGGAGAAAGAGTAAGTGGATTTCTTGAGTTGTAACAATCCTAGGCTAACAGATGTGCAGACGACGTGGTAAGTCTAAAAAACACTCCGATGACGACGATTCGAACGATTCCGGCGGCGAGGATTCATACGAGAAGCGGATGAAGAAGGAACGCAAGAAGCGTGAGAAGGAGGAAAAGAAGCGCCATAAGCACAAGAAGCATGGCAGCGGCGATGAGGATTCGGATGATGCTGACAAGCGTCGATCAGGATCTGGTGAACACAGGCGTCGCTCTCGCTCCCGTGAGCATGAACACCGTCGCAAGAAGAGCAGCAGCCGCTCGCCCCAGCGCCAGTCCGGAGGCGACTCTCAAGGCTACGGCCAAGAGCAGCGCTACGGCGAGCAGTCAAGCTACGGTCGTGAAGAGCCATCCAGGTACGAACGCCAGGAGTACGGCGGAGACGCTGGAGGCTACGGCCGTCAGCAACCGCAGTATGGTGCTGACTCTTATAGCACTGGCGGATACGGTCGTCAAGAGGAGTCTGGATATGGCCGTCGCCAGGAAGAGTCGAGCTACGGCCGTCAAGAGTACGTCAATGAAAGTTCTCACCAGGACAACGTTACTAACTCTTACAGATCCAGCGGATACGGTCGTTCGGAAGGCCTGGAATACGGTGGCGAGCGTCCTGATCAATCTTACGGCGCCTCTGGTGTTCCCGGCGGTTTCGGTGAAGAGACTCAAGGCTATGGTCGCCGCCGCGATGATGAGGACGAATACGGCCAGCGAAGACAGGAGTATGGTTCCGGTGGTTATGGCGGCTCAGGCGGGTATGGTGAGGAGGGGTACGGAAGGCGGTACTAGACATGACGTCTTCTCCGCGGGAACCCAATGTGGCTTGGGGTTGCTGAGCCGTGTCCGGAGCACCGTGATGACTATGCTGTAGTACCTGCGTGAACCGCCCAACTCAGCCGATAGACTCACCAATAGGAACATCATCCTGGCTGACATAACCAACACCCTGAGGTCTACAATGGACTTTGATGGTGAACCGTTTGTTACCGAGTGCTTGATCCATACTATGCTCGTATAGAGTGAACGATCCTTCTTGTGGGTGAGTACTGGAATGTAGATAGTGACATGTGCAAGTAGACTTTGCGGCCTACAACAAACAGTACAGGCCTTACAACGTTTCAGAGTATCTATCAATCGCAATCTCGGTACCGGGGATGGAGCAGGATTCCTCTTCGTCCCAATCAGGGACACTCTCAGGATGGACCATAGCAACGCTGGAGTAAAGCAAGAGACCGTGCGAAAACAAAGATATGCTTGGTTCAAATCCAAGAGGTGCACACGCTCATGAGCGAGTGCCATGTTTCCCGGGCGAATAGATCAAAACCATTCGTGCCTGTGTGCTGCGGATAAAGAGGGTGCAGGTGAAAAGTGGAGCTGAGCGTTGCGGCGGAGAAAACACGCTAGTGCCGAGCTGGGACCAGTTGGATTCCCAATGTTCAGAGGTTCGTGAAGACGCGACAACTCGACCAATTCCGCTCCGTTGTACTCGCCTTTCTTCTGCTTCCTCTTACGTCGCAGCGCGCATTATGACGAGCATCGACGACCTCTTCAAAAGCGCAAACGGCTCAACAAAGCGCAAGTTCGAGAACCCAAACGAAGCCGACCCGACCCAATCATACAAATCTGCAAAGCTGGACGCAAATGGCGATGTCAAGACCCCAGCGCAAGCTTCGGTAGCCGACGAAGATGATGACGATGAGGCTGGTCCCCCGCTACCGCCCGACTTCGAAGATGGGCCCGGCGACGACGACGAAGGACGCTTCTTTGGCGACGGCCTGGATGAGAATGCGCGGGACGCTATGGAGTACATCGATGCGCAAGACGGCGATGGAGCTATAGGCGAAGAGAAATACGACGTGCCGTGGGTGCGCAAGCTGGCGCTCAACTTTGAGAAGAAGGTCAACAAGAACGCATCGCTGCGCGCAAAGTACGAGGACGACCCCACCAAGTTCATGGAGTCGGAAGGCGATCTGGATGAAGGCATAAAGGCGCTCAGCATACTGTCGGAGCATCCGGAGCTATACGAGGAATTTGCGAAAAGCACAGCGGCATCCAAGCTGGTGGAACTACTGGCGCACGAGAATACAGACATCGCAATCGCAGCGATTGAGATGGTATCAGAGCTCACAGACGAAGATGTTGGAGGAGAGCAAGAACAATGGGACGCGCTCGTCACCGCATTCATGGAGGCCGACCTGCTCAGTCTGCTTGTATCCAACTTCTCCCGCTTCGACGAGACCGATGAAGCCGACGCATCGGGCGTCTACAACTCCCTCAGCGTCATCGAAAACCTCCTATCACAACCCACGTACACAGACATAATAGGGAGAGAGACAGCGTTACTGAAATGGCTACTGGACAGGATACAGAAGTCCGAGAAACCTACTACACAGAACAAACAATACGCCTCCGAGATCCTCTCCATCCTCACACAATCCTCGCGACCGAATCGACATCACGTAGCCGACGCTAACGGTGTCGAAATCTTTCTCACAAACCTCGCGCCGTACCGAAGAGACGACCCAGAAAAGGACAGCAATGAGGAGGAGTACATGGAGAATCTGTTCAATTGCCTCTCGTCAGTGACAGAAGAGCCTCTCGGGAAAGCCAAATTCCTAGAAGCAGAAGGTGTAGAACTCTGTCTCCTCTTCGTCCGAGACGGCAAGACCAGCAAGAGCCGCGCCCTGAAAGTACTAGACCACGCCTGTGGTTACGCAGAAGAAACGACACCACCACAAGCCAACGGCAACACAAGCTCAAAAGGCAAAGAAGCCGCAGCAGAAGTTCCCGAAGCCACAAACAGCGCCACAGCCGTCTGCACCAAACTCATCGACAGTCGCGGCCTAAAACCTCTCTTCAGCACCTTTTCCAAAACAAAAAAGTCCCACGACCCTGAGCAGACCGAACATATACTCGGCATCTTCGCCTCTCTTCTCCGCTCACTACCCGGAAACTCCGACACTCGTTTCCGTCTCTTAGCCAAGTTCCTCGAGAAAGACTACGACAAGATACACAAACTAGTTGATTTGCGCAGAGACTACGTTACTCGGTTATCTGCTTTCGATAGGAAGATTGCGGAGAAGAAGAGGGCGTTGCGGATAAGCGGGAAAGATGAGCTCGAGGCTTTTGAGCTGGAGAATATCCCTGACAGGCTAAGTCAGGGGCTGTACTGTCTGGAGAGGATTGATGCCGTGTTGGCTTGGTTGGTTGCTGAGGACGGGGGTGCTAAGGTGGCTATTGAGAAGGCACTGGCTGAGAGGGATGAAGGACTGGGAGACGTCAAGAGGACGCTGCAGGCGCAACTTGATGGCGTGTTGGCCGTTGAGCCGGCTGAGAGGGAGATGCTCGAGACGCTTGTGGGATTCTTGATATAGATAAGTTATGGAAGCAAATGGCACAAGCAAAGGCATGAGATAGATATTTATCGTATTCGAATATGAATTCATGTATATACCGATACTTGGAAAGATATAGATGCTGCACAAAATGCACAAACGTCATCATGCTTTTCTGCTCATCACGCAATGCACTCATCCACGCAAGCGTATACTCACCATAAAGATATGTTTCCTTCACTTCATTACCTTCTATCCCTCAGCTTCAATCTCGTAAGCGTTGGACTTGTGCTTAGGCTCAAACTTGAAGTTTGGGTGAGCTGGACCCAAGAACATTTCACTATAAACACATTAGTCAAAACACCTTCCAAGGTCACAAGAGGGACATACCTAAGCTTGATCCAGTCTGTGTAGTGCTCACTAGCCATCAACGTCTCCAAGTCATTCCTACCCTTGAACCTCGGGGGACGATCCTGGATATTCGGGGGTAAATGTTCCAAAATACCAACCGGGACGTAGCGATGTGCAAAACTCAGCCACTCAAGCAGGAAACGACGGGTCGTGCCTATACCCATCTCGTCAGAGCCCCAAGTCTGCAGGCCGTACTTGGTAAACTTCTCAATGTAGGAGAGGCGCTCTGACGCGGACTTGTCCAGGTACTGGCCTTTTTCAATCTCCTCGAAGAGCCAGGGTTTGATGAGTGCACCACGACCGACCATGACGGTATCGACTTTGGCGTTTTCAAGATGGTTGTAGTAGTCCTCATGGGAGTAACAGTCGCCGTTGCCGACAAAATAGACATGTCCGCCGTTTGCGAGATCACGGGGATCAGCTTCAGTGGCGGTGTCCGTCTTGGCCGCTTGTTCTTTGCGGAGTCGATTGATGAGGGCGGAGCATTCGGCGATGTAGGACCAGTCTGCGCTGCGAGAGTATCGCTGCTGCTTACTCCTGCCGTGAAGCGTAATGGCCGCAATACCCGAGAGACCCTTTCCGGACTCCACGGCTTCGTGGCCGCCAAGCACGAGACGTTTGATAAGCTTTTGCGCGGTTGGGTGGTTGTCCTTAGTGCCCATGCGGATCTTAACGGTGATGGGGACCTCCTTGGATACATAGGTCATTCCTCGAAGAATACTCTCCAGTTTTGCCTCGCTGTCAAGTAGTGCGGAACCGCTTCCCTTCTCACAGACGAGGTTGATGGGGCATCCGCAGTTGAGATCGATAGCGCGCAGCTTCGGGCAGTATTCAGTCAGTACTTCGACCGTCTTGGTGGCCAACCATGGCTTGTTCGCCGCAATTTGTGCGCCGAACTTGAGATCAGTCGAGTTGTCATATCCCTGGACCACAGTGTTCTTGCCCAAGAACTTCGGAGGAGTTACCTCGGATTCGTGGGCCTTGAGAAGCGGCCATTCGCCCTTGTCACCTTGGATCAGTGGCATACCCATGGCCATCTCGCTCCAGGTCACTTGGCAGCCGAAGTCCACGCAGAGTCGGCGGTACGGCATGTTGCCTTGAGTGGTGAGAGGTGCGAGCATTGGCGTCTCGGGCCCATAGTAGAGCCTACGCTTCTCCGACGGCCTGAAGGGCGCCTCCACATACTCCGCTCTGCGCGCCTCTTTCTCCTCCTTAAGAACGTCCATGTCCATCTGAGCTGCATCAAACATTTCTCTTTCGTTGCGAGCATTGGTTTCGATCCATTGTAGGTACTGGTCAGAGCGCGGGGTTCCAATCTTCCGTCTCGATAAGCCAATCTTGATGTCCTTAGGCACGATGTTTACCACTTCAGCCTCTGCCTCTTCGTCAAAGCTGGAGAATTTGGCTTTGCGGTCGGCATCCTCTTTCAAGACCAACTCTTTTCGGCCGTCTTCTAAAGTGCGCTCTTCGGAATGGCTGCCGACAAATCGACACTTCCAGCCAAAGTGGCAAAAACCCTTGACAGCATAGACTGGACATTGGCCATCGAAGGTAGTGAGATCTTCTCGCCGGCCTTCCTTCAGGTACTTGCGGATATCGTGTTCGAACTTGCACTTCTCGCCGAAAGGACACTCCTTGGGTGAAAATTCATTGTAAGATGCGCGAGTTCCACAGAGTGGTATCTTGTCGCGCGAGCTACCAAAAGTGCGGCTGGTGTTTTGGCCCTTTTGCTTTTTGTCTTTTTTGTTGTTCTTGCCCTTTCTGGGGCCATCGCGAGCATCAGTCTTTGGCAGGCCTTCAGATTTGTGCTCAGCATCGGCGCCCTCGGCTGCATCGTCGTCAATGACTGTGTCTTTGGTGGCGGCCTTGTTGTTATCTAGTCGTATCAGGAATCTGGTGTTCTTAGCACGCGAGTTACTTCAAGTGGGTGGCGCATGTACTCTGCCTTGATGGGTGCGACACCCTTGACTCGCTTGACAGAGGTATCCGCGTCCTCGATGTCTTGACTGCTAGTCCTGTTCCTCTTCTTGGGGCTCGCAGGTGGTTCGGATTGCACATTGACTGTACCATTGGTGCCATTGGTGCCATTAGAGACAGCACCGTCTGGGACCGAATGGTCGGGCTCGAGCTTGGTTCCTTCACCTGTCGTCATTTTATGCAAGCAAGGCGGCCAGGCTGAGAATAGGCGTGCGTTGTTGGCGTTGCTGCTCAAAAGAGAAAAGCACTCGCTCAAATTGTGAGGGCAAATGCGGCTAGAAGAGGCTAGACCGGCGGCCCATGCGCTAGTGAGCAAGTTGGGAAAGCTGCGATCATACGTCACAGCTAGGCACTTGCGGCTCCCCTACATCACATCGCGTTCCGTTCCCACTTTCACAGCAACCCTCCTGCAATCCTCTCCGGCCCTCCGCACCATTCTCATCTCCCTGCTGGTCCTTTGCACGTATACGCAAGCCAGCTCTCCCAGGTCCATTGCTGATCCTGCTCAACCCCGCTCCCACACAAACACACACACCAGACAATAATACCACGTAGCCATCATGACGCTCTACTACAGTCTGGTAAGCAGCCCCCCTCATTGTATGAGAGCAGCGGTCGAGAGAGATGTCAATGGTCTCGTCTCGTCACTGCTCGCGTGCTTTCCTACGCGCCTTGTCTACAACTGCGTATGTGGCCTTTGTGCTAACTCTTCATCTTCTAGGTTTTCCTCCTCCTGGTGACGGAGATGCTCATCTTCTGCGCCCTCATCGTCCCTCTACCCTTCACATGGCGCCGCAAGCTCTTCACCTTCATCTCGGAGAGCCCTATAATAGCAAAGCTGCAATATGGCATGAAGGTACGGAAACCACTACATCCAGGCGGAGGACTCATCTGACATGCGTAGATCACGTTCATCTTCATTCTGATCCTGTTCATTGACAGTGTCAACCGCGTATACCGCGTGCAGATTGAGCTCTCTGGCTCAGACGACCAGGGCCGCGGATCGTAAGTCAAGCAACCCACCTACATGACGCTATACTAACGACACAAGAAGCGTTGCTGCTGGAGGCATCGAGCGCATGGAGGTCCAGGCCCGCAAGTTCTACTCGCAGCGCAACATGTACCTTTGTGGTTTCACCCTCTTCCTGTCGCTCATCCTCAACCGTACCTACGTCATGATCCTCGATGTTCTCCGTCTCGAAGAGGAGGTCAAGACCCTCAAGGGTGACCCCAGCACCAAGAAAGGCACTTCGCTGAAGAATGTTGGTGGTGCTGGCGAGGTTGGAGCTCTCAAGGAGGAGCTCGCTGCCAAGGATCGCGACATGGCGAACCTGAAGAAGCAGGTTGAGAACATGCAGAAGGAGTACAACCGCATGGGCGACCAGGTCTCTGGCAAGCAGTAGACGCGTACGAACGGCTTCGAACGGATACGGAATGCAGGCTATGGCTATCCTGCAGAACGGCAGGCGCACGTCCGGGAGAGGCCGTCACTACAATTATACCTTCAAAGTTGAAGTTTCAAGGGCTCTATGCAGGCGGACGCCATGTATACGACTACATTATCTTTGTCCTTTGGGTGTGTTACGGTGTGGCAACGAGTTGAGACGGAGGAGAGCTATAGTGCTGACGTAACTTTCGCACATGGCTCAGCAGCAATGAACAGTAGACATAATTGAATTCATGTGCTCTTCGATCAATATCGGACCTTGTTCGGAAAGCTTCTTTTGTTGTTGCTTACGTTGGGAGCATCGGACATCTTGGAGCTTGCGCAATGACGAAACACCCCAACTAGTAGCATGTGAAAGCTAGCGCAGTGCTTGAGGTATCCCGAGGCTTATCAAGATTCGCATAAAGGCAGCGGAGGAGCATACCAGTCTTACCAAAGGTCCAATCGCCTACTCCTTCAGCTTCATTTGCCATTGGTCCCGTGCAGTCGCAGCCAAGATGCCGGGAAGCAGCCAGACATCCCCGCGCTTCTTCAACTACCCGCTCCCTAAACCTCACGACGCGCCATACAAGGCCCCACCGCCCGGAAAGAACCCCGTAGTCAAGGGCGCCTTACTGCACTATCTTTCCAATCTGTGAGTCAATTTAGTTCCCTTGTGTCACCAAGCTAACAGCTCCAGAGTTGCGACTGTACCACTGGTCCCGGGCATCCTGTGGAGTAATGCTGGCTTCAGCTCCTTGCGAGAATGCAGGCAACTCGACGGCATCGACCCGCGTTATGACCCCACCGTGATTCCGCTGCCTGAATCCGACGATGCTCCCATAAGTTACACCGACAAATCCAACTTCCGCTCATCGTCCCCGCACGCGTCCTCCTCCAACCGATTCTACTCGATCAAAGACTTCTACGATGCATACTCGAGCGGCGCACTTACACCGACCGATGTAGTAGAACACCTCTTGCCTCTCATACGCAGAGATGTTGCACAGCGCTCGCCCTATTCGACGGCCTTCATGGACAGCAAAGTAGACATGGTCAGACAAGCTGCCGAAGCCTCCACGCAACGGTACAAGCAGGGCCAGCCATTGGGTATACTAGATGGCGTGCCGTTCGGAGTCAAGGACGACCTCAAGGTCACGGGATACAAGCATTATGTCGGCACCACTTACGACTACAGCCGTGGGGGAAACAAGGAAACGAGCTGGTGTGCGAAGATGCTCGAGAAGGAGGGCGCCGTCTTGGTCGGCACGCTGACCATGCATGAGATGGGGATGGGTGAGTGAAACGTTGCTTCTGTGGTTTCATGGACAATGCTGATTGATCTAGATACCACAAATAACAACCCTAATTGGGGCACACCACGAAACCCATACAACAGCTCATACTACCCGGGAGGCTCATCGGGAGGCGCTGCGTCTGCGGTAGGACATGGTCTCATACCCTTTGCTATTGGTTCAGACGGAGGTGGCTCAGTCCGAATCCCCAGCAACTACTGCGGTCTATATGGTCTGAAGCCATCCCACTCCCGCGTCTCCGTCGCGCCCATGCCAGACGCCGGGAAATCCGTCACCGTTCGCGGGCCCCTCGCAAGCAACATGTCGGATCTCGAGATCGCATACCGTGTCCTCGCCCAGCCTGACCCATCAACATATCCCTCATCGCTATTCAACCCACCCAAGAAACACACCGGGCCTCGAAACAAAGTACTGGGTGTATATAAAGCCTGGATCGACCGTGCAGATCCTCCAGTGCAGGAAGCCTGTCAATCAACCTTGCGGTACTTTGAGTCTGAACTGGGATACCAAATAGTCGATGTCAGTATCCCGCTGCTGACAGAGGGTCAACTGGCCCACGCAATGACTATCATGGCCGAAGGTGCAGCAGGACACAGGACGTCCATCTACGACCTTACGCCCGCCAACAGGATTCTCATGAGCGTGGCGCGACAAACCCCAGCAACGGACTTTCTCCTTGCCCAGCGTCTGCGCAACGTCCTCATGGAACATCTAGCCGACCTTTTCCGCAAACACCCGGGCCTCATCATTGTCACGCCCACAACGCCGAATGCTGGCTGGCCCATTGATGAAGCTGAACTTTCTCACGGTGTGACCAATGGCAATATGCAAATCAGGAACATGGAGTATGTTTGGCTGGCGAACTTCACAGGGATACCGTGCATACAATTCCCTATTGCCTATGTTGATGGCGTCAAGGGCACTGGCAAGGTCCCGATTGGGTTGAGTGGAAACGGAGAGTGGGGAAGTGAAGATGCGCTGATTGAGTTTGGATTTGATAGTGAGCAGTGGCTGGTTGATGGATATAAGGGTGGGAAGGTCATGCCAGAGGGATGGGTGGATGTCATGAAAGCGTAGGAGGGCGAGTCGACTTTGGGGTATGAATAAACACCGCCTGGCCGCCTTGTTAAGGTGTGTTTGGGATACGTTCTCCAGTGACATAGCATATCCACTCTCTCACTTCTTCCAGTTTTGACTACACTCTTTCTCGCTGATCCAGAGAATTGTCATGATTATCTAACACCTCTGGTTCCGGTAGCCGGTGTGGATGCTTGGTGTACTGGAATGTGGGTGTGAATTCATATTACCTTAATACCTAGCAGTCACGAAGTCTTTGGTGGACGCAAGGGTCAAGAAGATCTTGAAGCCCGATATATGGTCGACCGATATCTTGCCGTAACCTATGTGTAAAATTCCCGGCTTCGATGTGGGTGTAGCATCCAAGGTATCGACGATGTGGCATACTCCATTACCATTTTTTACATCAGTCAAACGTAGGCACAAGTCTCCAACGCCCGGACCGGAGGGGAATGACTCGCTGCCTGCATGTACAGCATCGTGGATCAGACGATGGCAAGACAAGCTCATGTGCGGACACGTACACCTAGTCACCACGTCTCATCTGCAACATCCCGTCGCCAACTGCAGGAGGCCATGTCAACTCCTGGTCTGTAGCGCCTTCCTCAAGTGTACAGAAGAGGAAGTCGACGAGACGAAAGTAGAAATTTTCGAGAGTTCCATGGAAGCATACGTGTTCAGCTCCGCAAGTACCGAGATTGACATGAATGCCGGCGCATGTGAGCGGTTGTTATCGTGGTATTTGCGTGTCGTCGGAGTACCAGGGCAAGATGGGGAAGTCGTGATGCAAGGCTGATAGAGATCGTCGGCGTCTTCCCCTCACCGCACCGATACCGAAGGTGAACAACAACAACAATAACAGCGCGCCCGCCGAGCGCGATGGCCTGCCTTTGGCTTTAGCTCATGAGCTTGTCAATCCCAATATTATCGATAGTAACTAGCACTCCCACCTATCTCGCTTGCTAAGTTGATGTCGCGGAACCCCCTCCCCAAGCGCACCAGCGGCCAATTTCGCCCCCACGAATCATAATATCCGCACCTTAATCTCCCATTCTCCTCGAAGGGCTCCGCACCAATCATGGTATGGGAGGAGCTCCGGACCAACACCCGAGTCGAGCAAGGTAGAGAGTTTCAGGATTCTTATTCCCATAACCTTCCTCCACGTTGCACTTGCCTTGCTTCCTTCTTTCCGGCAACAACTCGGCAAGTGCGATGGATGCTGCCTGCACTGCACATGTGAGCCTTACCACGGCAGAGCAAAGTGGAGTGCATCTGCATTACCGCAGCGTGGGCTTGGCGCACAAGTCGGACACATGAGATCTGTGACACGACGTTGCAACGGCGAATCGCACACTAGAGGCTTGTGTATGATTGATGATTGCATCGCGTGTGCGCCCACGCGCTAAAGCGGAACGTAGGCAAGCAAGCAAGCAAGCGAGAGACGCAAGAGAAGAAAAAAAAGCATGAGTCGTTAGATTTGCGCGTGATGGAATAGAGTTCTTTGGTTCTTTAGTTCATCGTGGGCATTCCGATCGCTTTCGCTTGGATGCAAGCGGAGAACAAACATGAAAGTAGGAACAACGGAGAGCGGAGACGGGCGTGCGTTACCAGGGCGGTGGGCGTTGTCTGCATGGTTTTCTTAGTCCAGTCAAGCTTAGTGTGGCGGCTGTCAGTTTTCCTTGTCTTGCGCGCTTTGGGTTGGGGCATCGTCCGACAAAGAGAGGGGCAGAGGTGCGGGTCTGCTCGAACAGTTTTTCTTGCGTTGCGGCAGCCTTGTCATGTTCCTTCGTGGAGCCTTGGACGGGTCATCTGCTACGCAGCTCACCGTATCTGGCATGGGCATGCAGGGTCCTGCCTGTTTCGATGCTAGATTGGGCACTCATGCACTGACACACATGCAGTCATGTAGTTGTCATCTACATTCAAAGATCGTGATGGCAATGTTGGGCGGCAGAAACACGACGGTTGTGCTGTGGTTCTGTGCATGAATAACCAAGATGCTTATTCGCTCGTGCAAACCATGTTACTTCTAATTTTCTCTCAAATAAGATGAAGCCTTACATAGCGCCGAGTATCAGACAAAGCACCGATACTTCAGCTATAGGCTGGAAGACGTTGATTCAACTCTTCCATTGGTAGCAAAAACAAAGGGGGCTTGGGTACCGTACAAAATCCTGCCATGATATAGAATCGAAACTAAAAGGAACTCCCATAACACCGTAGTCGCCATAGCCCCGTGAAGTGGTCGGGTGAAAGTGTAAAGTTGTAAGGTAAAACCCAATGGTCAAGGGCGCAATGTGCCGTGGTATAATCGCAAAATGGAGCGCGACAACACTGAGCCGAGCGGAGCCGAGTTCAAATAGTTGTCGAAAGGGTGGTAAGACAGAAGCTGTATGCTGAATCGAAGTGTAATGACGAACGCCGGTTCCCCAATCCTGTGCCGCTATGCAGATGCTCATAAACGCGGTGTCAACGTGCGTGTTTCGTGTATTGGAACGAGGTGGTGATGGTCAGTACGTGAGGCAGTAGACCATCATGATTGCGTGGTAGTGGGGGTTCGAGAGGCGAGTAGCGTCCATGATGAGTCGGGGCCTGGGAGGAATGCCGACGTGGTGGACGCTCGCAGTGCCTGTGGGAAGGAAGACGAGGACTGATTGTTATTTGATGACCCTGCCCTTGCCCTTGACTTTGGACGCTTTGCCAGCGCCCGTGGAGGTGAGCTTGCTGGTCTGCATCAGCTCGCCAATATATCTGCGAACCGTTAGTCAGTCGTCACGATGCAGATGCGGGGAGTACGTACGATTGGAGGAACTTGTTGCCGCCCTCGAGCTTCTCGTGTTCGTTCTTGACAACCTCGACACGGTCGACAATCTGCATGAGGCTGGCTTGGAGGGCTTTTGCTTGTCTAGCGAAACGGTTAGTCTGGTAAGGGCTGGGACGAAAGTCAAAAACGCGCACACAAAAGAGAGAGCAAGCACAGTGGGCGACAGCGACACCGAGGGGGTTCGCAGCGTTGCATGCCACGTACGTGGAGATGCAGGGTCGAGTTACTTACTCTATCAGAGCTTGCCGAGCATCCTGGCCCATCTTCTCAATCTCTTCGCTACTCCGGCGAGGGCTCATGGTGCGCGCATCGCCGTCGTCGTACTCCTCCTCTTCCTCCTTCATCTCGACGTTGGGGCTGTCGCGGGGTATTATGATGGTGCCGCTCGACTTTCTGCTCCCTAGCCGGGGCCGGGCCTGTAGTGTGGGGTCGTTCTTCATCTCCTGGTCGCTGATGGAAGAGTTGGAGGAGGAAGTCGACATGTCGTCGGGGTAGGACGGGCGGCGGTCGTCTTGCGTTGAAGTAGACGGGTAGGAGGTGATGGAAATCTGCGGGTTCATGGCACGAGACAGTATAGTGCGGCTCTCAGAGTGTAGGTTAGGGATGGAGCCAGGTGGGCGAGCGTCGGCAAGAGTATGCCGTGGGTGGGTTCAGGCCAAGATAAAGCCACACGGTTGATGTGGAAGGGTGTTAGAGTGGGTGGGCCCCTGTCGGCGCTAAGCCAGATAATGCTTCAGGGTCTCCCGAGACGAGGATCCCTGCTGGCGGGCGTCGAATGTGCACGCAGCGAGCAGCAGACAGCTCGGGGTGGCAGCGGCGGCGGCAACAGGCAATAGCGCGCTCGTATGGCTACTACCGGCGAGCACTGGAGCACGAGTTGACAGTGGCTGTCTCTGGCTGCTGCTCGTCGTCGACACGCAGGCAAGGTTTGCGTTGCGGATCGGCAAGGGCAAAAGCACCCACCAGAGGCGCGGATGATTAGAAGCGGTCAATTAGCGCTGCGATGGCCGAACAGCTATTGCCAGGCCTGCGACCAGGGAAACTGGGGCGTGTTGGCGAATGTCGCGCGGGCAGTGGATGCGCGCAGCTTGGACCGTGTCGTCGGCTTGATTCAGGGCGTGCGCGCGGGCGAGGGTGGTGAAGACGTTGCTGCGGCGCTGCGACCGCAGAGGTCTTGATGAAGGCCGAAAGCGGTGCATGACGTCGCCGGCCGCTGCGAGACATGGGAGAGCTGATCACTTGCCCCATTCCGCCACGTCCCACCGCACTGAGAGCACGGCTGCGCGTTGCGGGCGGCTGACATCACTGAACGCTGCCGTGGGTTCCGTCAACCGCCAATGGCGTCGCCGCTGACGTCTCCGGGCCTGCCTGCTGGGGCGGCGACGACGACGGTGCCTGCGTCCAACGGCCAAAGTCACGATGCGAGCGGGCAGCCTCAGCACTGCACCCAGAGACCGGTGCACCACCACCACGGCCACGTTCGCAGTCTCCGCCCACACTATTGTACCCACCGCATAGCACATAGCGCACAGGTCGACGCGTTACAGACCGACTGATTGCGGGTCATGCTGTCCATGCGCACATCACCAGCCGCTCGTGTCGGGCGTGGTCGCTGATCCCTCCTTGTGCGCCATCCGTTTCGTCGAGCTTGCGCACCAGAAATATATAAGATCGGCTAAGGGGACCCTGCGGCGGCGGCGTTGGCCTGCCACTTTGGCGTACATGGTATTTGTAGATTGCCGTTGCCACCAATCCTCGCCCGTTGGCACCACCAGCATGCACTGCGCTCGAGTGTGGCACACAGAAAAAGGCCTTTTCGAGCCTCGTCTCCAGCCCCTCACCCTCCATCGCCAGCGCCAGCGCCAGAGACCCTGACATCTCGTGGGCGTTGCACTCCGCACGCTGCCATGGCCAATGACGAAATTCTCGTTTGATCAGCACGTCACCCTGGGCGCTGAGCAACCGCTCACGGTGCTTCTATTCGACCTTTGCGCGCCGGGCCAAGAGCTTCTTTTCGTGCAATATGACAGCCGTGATTCTGTCATAAGTGGATGGGACATTTCCCGCCTCCGCCGCGACACTGTCGCACTTTGTCGAATCTGTACTTCTCCTGCATTGGACAACGGCGATCTCCAGGATCATGACGTTGAACGTTCCAACGTGAGAAAACACTCTCGTCTGAGTGGCCTTCCGCTTCCCCATTATCAATAAGTTGTTTCAGCGCACATAGCTCCACCTTGCCGGTACGATCCGCATCTCGCTAGGTTCCAACCTCTGCTTCGATGAGCGCTCTGAAGCATCAAAAGGTCACCGCTGTTCTGCCTCGCGACGATCCTTCGGGAACACGGCTGCTTGGGGCAAGACAGACGAACGAGTGTCATTTTCCCGCGGGTATTCAAGTAGGACCGGCTGATGCCGGCCTTGCAACTACTATCTTTGCTTTATTCGGTCCGGCCTTGCGCAGCACGTCTTCACCACGCGTCTGCATACCTTGCCAGCGTGCCACTGCTGTTTTCAGTCGGCGACGATCAGCACGGGGTTTCAAGGCGACACACATGCTCTGTAACGTGAGAGCGACAGGCCGACGCGCCTGCAAGACATCATGACAATTAACCTCTCTACACGACTCGCACGGGATTGTGACTGCATCATATTGTCCTTCGACTGGGACACCGTTTGCTTTGGTTTGCTTTGAGTTCCTTGTGCAAAACTTCCTACTCCAACGTCTCCAACATCTCCGACACCTCCAACTCAACAAAACAGTCACCACAGCTCGCTTATTTCACTCAATCAATCGGTTTGCATGCTGCTAGCACTCTTCCCGTTGTCTCTGCATCATCGCTGGTCCGGCAATTCGCTGTAGGGTGCCCACTTTTCGTTCTTCGGTGGTTCTCCAGCAGATGGTACCTGAGTCATGTTCTTGCTATCCAGGGTCCACCTGGTACACGCAACCAATACACTTATATCGGTCCGACACCTTACTTGACATTTCAGAGCAAGGCGACATCAATCACGAAACTTCGATCATGGAAGGCTGCCGAACCCAGTAATCAAACGCTGCCGAACCAAGTCACATCATGCCGCTGTTGCGCCGGCGTGCGAGTAATTGTGGAGCTGCGGTGTATATGTCCGGTAGGGCTGCATTCGGAGACAGTGCGGCGATTTGTGTTGCAGAGTGACGCCGCTGGGATGTAGTGATGTAAGTCGCAGAGGACGCCTGGTATGCATCACGGGGCATGAAGAGTTGGACGTGAGACACCGACAAACTCGCCGGTGGGCTCTCCTACAACCACGCGTCCCTATAACATGCGATATATACCCATTAGACCTGGCCCATGGGACAAACAGTGGTCAAATGCCTCTGTGCACTGGACGAAAGCTTCTCTTAACACGGAGTGCGAGTTCTATATATATCCACCTCGGAGCCGCCGCAATTTCCCTCAGTGGATATAAAGGTGTGACTGTCGTTCGAAGAGACGGCCATCCTTCATGGTGTGAGTAGATCATTGAACACACCGACACCAGAGATGCGTAAGAAGCGCTGCTATTATCGATTAGCAGTCTTTCCCCACTTGATTCGGATGTGGCACTTTTAGACCAGACAGTTGGGGATTCCCCGGATCCCCTGCGACCACAAGCATAATTTTCTAAAGATCATCGTTGCCCATCTCCGTGGCCGAGTAGTCAAGACTATACCGGAAATTAATGAGGCAACTGAAGCGCGGACGCGAGGTCCCGACAAACCCATTAGATTCTCTTATTGATCGCCATTCATCAACGATCTTCAGAGCATATTGCACTGAGAAATCGGCGATCGATCTGCACTTGCGTGAATGTAGTTGACCGCAATCTCCAGATAACGAGGGCGGGGACGCGATATGGTGTCGCGACATGAAGCCTCACCCTCATCTAGTCTCTCCGCCTCATATGAGGTCCTGAGAATATTAGAACCATGCAAAGGCGATTCAAAGTCACGAATGGTTAAATGCGATGCGAAGTCACGAATGGTTAAATGCGATGCGTTCCAGCTATTCGCAGCTTGCTATTGTGCCCGACGAAGCATGCATTGAGCTTTCCGTATCTTATTCATCATGATCAAAAACATCCGCATAGTGCACTGGGAACAGTTCATCCGGTGTGAAGGTTTCTCAATTGTCGACTTTGAGCGAAATGCGAAACGCCCATGTGGGTGATATGGCCCAGGATACCGTGTTGGACAGCCCTCGGCATTGCGTCACTGCCAACTCCAACCCATGGCCCAAGCTCAAGCTGCCTCTTAACAATCTGGACGCGAAAACTCCAGTGTAGCGACAGCGACGTGTAGTGAAGCGGTGACTTGTTTTGCAGACGATCAATCGTGCCTACCTCATTAGATCTGCACTTTGCACGTTGCTGAGTAAGAGCTCGCAGCTACCCCACCATGCACGGCATCCTCGAGCTCTCGCTGCAGCTCCTCAACTCGTTTAGCCCGGCCAATCTCGGTGCGTACGCCTCACCCACTAGCCACCTGCTGTTGCTGTGGCTTAAAATAACAATGCTAATTACGAACAGGTCGATCTGGGGCTCAAGTTCCTCTTCAAGGCGAACAAAATGTGAAGTGTCAGTACTCCCTGGTCTTGTTGGCTGGGCCAGCAAATTGAGGCAGCAATTAACAATCGCAAAGCAACACCATCAAAGTCATCTGTTCCGGACTACTTTGTGACGGATGATGGGCACTTCCAAGGTCCTACGAAAACTGGCGCTGCCCCGTTCATGGCGCAAACAAACTTGGCACCTTTTGCTGGCGTGTCGTATATCCCAAATACGCCTCTTGAAACCCAGATCCCCATTGCCGGCAATGCGGATAACAAAAATATTTTCCAGAGCATGGCAAACATCAGTCCATACTTTCCTAATCCTAGAGGTTTCGGCGTCAACGAATACTCGATACCGCCTGGCACCAACGTGACATGGCTTAACATGGTCCACCGCCATGGAAGTCGGTACCCCGAAGTCAGTGGTGAAGCTGCAGAGCGGACTCTAGGGAAGAAGCTTACAGACGCGGCTGGCAAGTTTACTGGCCATGGACCGCTTTCGTTCCTCAACGATTGGCAGTTTCTGCTGGGCGCTGAGATTCTAGTCCCCAATGGTAAGCAAGAGCTTTTCACCTCTGGTACCCTACACTACTATCAGTATGGTCATTTGTATCCCAACAATGGAAGCAAGGTTGTCGTTCGGAGCACAACCCAAAGACGCATGACCGAGTCGGCGGAGTACTTCCTCGCAGGCTTTTTCGGTCTGGGCTGGCCGCAAAATGCGACGCTTGAGCTGGCGATTGAGGCGCCCGGCTTCAACAATACGCTTGCTGGTTATAAGCAGTGTAACCATTCGAGTTGGCCGACGGCTAGGCAAGGTCTCATGGAGTGGATCGGCGTGTACCTTCATGATGCTCATCAGAGGTTCAGGAGCAACATCACCGGTGACCTCGACTGGACGATCAGCGATACCTACAACGCTCAAGCTTTATGTTCGTACGAGACGATTTCGCTTGGCTTCTCTCACTGGTGCGGCCTATTCACCTACGAAGAGTGGGAAGGCTACGAGTACGCCCTGGATCTTTCATTCCAGGCAGGCACAGGATTTGGCTCTTCAGTCGGTCGTGCTATTGGAATTGGTACGGATTGACGACCCTTATGCTACCCTCACCATGCTAATAATGCGCAGGCTACGTGGAAGAAGTCCTCGCCCGCATGCAGCACCACGTCATCACCTCCCCGTCTGCCCAGATCAATGTAACCCTTGACAACAATACCGTCACCTTTCCCATCGATCAGAACCTGAACCTAGACTTTAGCCACGATGCCGGCATCGTCAGTATCCTTGTCGCATTCGGCATTACGCAGTTTAGCGAGGTACTTCCCACAACCCACATCAAGACGCCCCGTGAATTCATCCTCTCACATCTCCAACCATTCGCTGGTCGCCTTGATATCGAAGTGATCAAAGCACCTGCACCCGTCAACCCCAATCGGACGGACGAGAAAATATACCTTGACGGGCCGCCGACGAGCTACGTTCATTTTATTCTCAACCAGAGGACTATTCCACTCGGCCGTAGTCATAAGGAATGTGGCGATCGAGACGACGGGTGGTGCGAGATGGAGACATTCCTGAAGGTTCAGCAAAAGCAGATTGAGCTTGCGGATTACGAATTTGCTTGCTTTGGAGACTACGACGCTCCGTCGTACGGAGAGGTCACGGACGGTCGGCCGCCGAAATGAGCGCTGGGTATGCCGTTGATAATTGGGACAGGTTGATGTTTTGGATGCGTCGCGATCACGAAATCTTTATTGCTAACGACTTTACGCCATTGAAGGCTCATCGATAAGTTCTTCTACTCGAGACTTCGCTATGCCGGTGACCATACGTTTCGGCAAGGTCTTGTTAGCTCTTGCAGCGGCCAATAGCACAGCAACAAGTCCCCCGACTTATCATCATTCTTGCTCAGTATCCATAAGGTTCCGAATCATGATCAAAATCGTCGTCGGAGTCGTCCATCGCACCCCAGACACCAACATAATGCACATAGTCCGACAATCCCTCGCACTCCAGTCGATTGCCTTGAAAGCACGCCTCCAGAACACCCTCACCCAAGAACGTGACTTCGCAATCAAAGGCATCCAGTTCCACGGTGCAATAGGCTGACGTTCAAGCAGGGTCTTGTGATGCGAACTGCGGAGGGTTCTTGAAATCCATCAAAAACCCGTCTTCCGGTTCGTCCATGAGATTGAGCTTGACTCCAATTATTTTATCACCTTTAGATAACATTAGCTCTGAATATTGCCTATCAATTTTCAGGCTTCCGGCTTCTCAGTCCTCGATAGTATCTCCGCCTTCCCACCACTGGTCTGGATTCTGAGCGTAAAAGTCTAAATGTTAAGACGAGAAAAGCGTATAGTTGCCGCTGATGTCTCCCAGAGGTATCTTCTCGCCGTTTTGTAGTCTTGCCTTTAGAGCTTGTGCTTGATCCTCGAAACGGATTGCTTTGGTCCTAAGTTCCACAATGCACTCTTGCAAGTATATGTCTCCATCGTTCAAGCGGTGATTCTCTTCTTCATCCGTCCCTACTTCTTCGTCTTCCCATTCGTCTTCATTCTTCACAATCGGCATCTCTTTGCGCGTATGTAAGCTTTTATCGGAACAAGAGTCGGGGCATCATACCAGTATGCAGGTCAAACACTCTCAGACCGTCGTGATTATGCTGCGTCGCCATACCGAGGCGGAAGAAGGGCCTTCTGGCTTGGACACTTCCAGGAGCGGATTACGGTTCGATTCTTTGGTAATGCAGTTCTACGCGCAGATGGAAGACGTAGATGCGTTGATGGAGTAAGAGACCTTGTGGTGCTCAAGGTCAGGTTGAGTGTCGCGCCGAGACGCGTTGCATTGCCTTTGGTTCACCAAAAGTAGTGCATTGAGTCCGGTTCAATGCCACGACGTCATCATGCGTCGATTTCACGATCAGATATCCTCGCACTGCAAAACCAAGAGTATGACAAAGTCATGGATGGCAAGATAAATGTATATGAATTTGGTGATCGCATGCTTTCTCACTCTTTATCTTCGTTGTCATCCTCATCGTCGCTCTCGTCATAGCTCCCAGAACCGGAATCCTCCAAGTCAACGGGTCCTCCAAACTCCGCCAGTATAGTCTTCAATTTTTTGTCATTCGCCGTGTGCATATGCCCGGTATACTTGCAATTCCGCCACTTTTCATCGAGTTCCTCGGCTGTACGCCTCAACGCTTTCCGATCTTGGGCCAGAATCCCAGCAAAGTAGATGCCATCCTTGCGTAACTCCAAGTAGTCATCGCCAAGAAAGTTGACTTGAACGGAAAACATTTCCTCCTCACTGTCGTTGTAGGACTGGACGGTTTCGGGGGTCAGGGATGCATGTTTCGGTTTGTTGAACTTCATCGCCTGAGAGTCTGTAGGCCCGCCGAGGAGATCGATCATCATGCCCATATCACCGGCATAGGGAGCGTAATCTTCGATGATAAGGTGCTTTCCAAACTCGATGGTCCCAACACCGCGCTCCCAATCACTATCTGTGATGTCTTGGTCTTTCTTGCTTGCATAGTCTTCCACCCATTGTGAGGAGTAGAAATTCCATTTCCTACGTATGTCGCCTACTTTGCGCTTTTTGCGCTCAAGCTTTTCGGCGGCGACCTTGACTTCCTCTTCTGCTTCAAATTGATTTGCTTTTGCTTCTTCGAGCAGCGTCTCGGGGTCTTCTCTGTCGATCGACTCTGCGCCTGAGCTCTCAGCTTCCGATTCTGCTCCCAGTTCTACTTCGCTGTTCTCCTCCTCACAGCTCCGTTCCTGCGCTAGTGGAATCGGTTAGAGCGTCACAATAAGGTAGCTGGAGGCGTCCATGAACTCAGTCGTGTTCGCGCTGGGTTGTGTAGCAGGCATCTTTGTTTTGATGCGTCTCGTGGCCTCCGCTATAACAGAGATGCACGTGTTATGGAAAGGAAGTGTTCACATCTAAGGTTTCTAGAAAGACCGTTGTGACGTAGCCGCGGAGATCTTCCCGACTGCGGTGTTCGCGCTACGGCAGGAACCAGTTGCAGGAACGCCTGACGCGACGACGCGTTGCCCCATCACCTCGACCCAGCTTTGCGTCCAACCTGGCGCTATGCCGCTCCCTCGCCCACACTTGAAATCCAATGTCACTTCCATCACCAGCGATCCTTCGGCAGCTTTGTGAGCTTTTGCATGGGAAACCTATCAGGCGGCTTCGCTCCTGCCCAGGTAATCTAAAAGAAAACAGAGCAAACATTGGAAGGCGCACCGGATCCCCAGAAACCGGACAATATCGCGCGCCTGTACCCATCATGTTTAGGGGTATACAAGCGTCTCGAACAGTCCCCAGAATGTTCACTCCGATCCACGTAGTCTTAAACCCTAGTGTTTTCCTAAAGCAACACGTCGAATCCTCAATTTCATAGCGGCAATCACGACCCGGAGCTTCGCACACCACAGTCAAGTGCAGCGGTCTAGCTCACTTCCGTCTCCTCACTTCGTGCCAGCATTTCCATCTTCAGCTTCTCGAGGTCCAAGTGCGGAGCGACCTTGTTCGCCCACCAAAGCGCCACCCACCCTCTGCTCGTTTCCTTCAGCTTATCCGCAAACATCTGTTCCTGCTCTTGTTCTGCTGAATCCTCATCGTACTGCTCCTTCATATCCTCGTGCGACATGCCACGGAAGCTGGTATCCAACTTTTCGCTGAAGGCCTCCGATGCCCACACACCAGGTGTGTAGGCTGTAGTCGTGCGATGGAACTTAGTTCGTGGGCGACGATTCTCGGCAAGGGTATGAGCGGCGTGTGGCAGCACGATTGTGGTGCGAGAGAGCGGTTGGAAGGGTGAAGGGTTGACGACGTAGAGGTGCTCGGGTGATATAGTCACCGAATCTGCTGTGCGGACCCGTTTAGGCGATGGTGATGCGCATTGGCTGCCGGGAATGGTGCGGGTGTGTGGGCGCTTGAGAATCGATTTGGGCATCGCCAAGTCATGCCGGGATGCCGGCGGCGTCGCAGTCATTGTTGTGGCTGTTAGATGTGCATCTGAACTTTCTTCCGATGCCGGTTCTGGTGCTGAAGTCCACTGAAACTCTGGTGGCTGACTGCGCAAAGCTTCTACTAACGGATCCAATCCAGTTGACTCCGGTATCGTGAGCACCTGCTGCGGTTCGTTCAATCCTGTCGCGGATACGGATGGCTTTACCTCGTCTCTCCACTCTTCCTTCGTTTCTTTCTCAATCACCATCCTCAACCATACCATCAACAAACGCGCACCCTCCTTCTCCAACGTGGTTGGCTCTTCCTCTTCTGCGCCGTTGATGTATCTTAGACCCGGCACTCTACCTAGCAAGACCTTCTTCTCGTCCCACACATTCAGCGCTTCTCTCAGTTTGGCCAGGTCCTGGACTGGCACACTTATGTCATTGAGTAGGTCTTCGAACGATTCCACAGTATTTGTCAGTGCAATCTTTGCCCTGCGCCAGGCCCTTCTGACGGCCTTGTGGCACGCGCTCGCATGGTCGCCTTTCCCGCCTTCTTTGGACTGGAAAAGACCACCCCGTATGTCAAACTGTCCCTGTACAGCTTCGATGTCTCGGATTTGTGAAGTTATCGTACACGTCGGACAGCGCTGCGGCGAGGGGAGCTTGGAAGCAAGAGTGGTCGGTACGGCGTGTGCGCATGTGCTCAGAACAGGCGTGACAGGGTTGAATCGTACCATCTTGTAGAAGCCGTGGGAGTGGAGCGTCAAGGTTTAGTGGACGAGTTGCTGTATGCGACAGTTTGCTGCGGCACTGCGTGAGCAAGGGTCAGCTGTGTCTGTGCGTTAATGTCGTTCTTGTCTCAGACAGGAGGAGCGAGCTCGGGTTCAGGCTACAACAATATGACGCAATAGTGGAGTTTCGAGTCAATGACCGTGGTACTGCGATGACCCGTAGACGGCGAACCACTTGCAACTCCCATAATACTATAAGAAAAGGGTGGCGAACCCCCTGCCCACGAGGGGCGTAGAAACACGAGTGAAGTGCACATGTGAAGTATAGGAGCTAGCGCCAAAACGGATGGAAGCTTGCGTCCATCAGTAATCGAGTTTGCCAGCTTTGCAGAGGCGCACCTCATACGAAGAGAAAATTGAACATATGCGCTAAAATCGACTTTGCTGAAGGAACGAGACATTGTGAAGTCTCAAGGCAATGTAGCTTTATTAGCTTTTTTCTTAATCGTATTTCGTGGAGATCACCGTTTAGTCTTCTCGCATGAATGCGATGGGCGCATGATCCCGAAGCATACATGAGATGGCGTACTAATGTGACGCACTGATGGATGTGGTAGGAAGTGAAGTTGGTAGTGACTAGACGAAACCGCCCAACTACTGAGCGCCACTTTCCTTGTTCCTTTCTGAAAACATCCGATTGTATGAGGCAGCTAAGCAAAGAATACAAGTACTGAACTAGCGACTCCGAGGTGTGACCAGCGTTGGGCGAAATGCAGCCTTGTAGTCATCGTGATGGCATTATGTCCGGTTGCACCTCCTGCTCAAAGTTCACAGAATGTCCGTTTGGAAAACACGTACAGCCCATAAGGCCAAAGTATGTGCTCTCAAGATGTGCCGGTGAAAGAAGCAAGACTGTTGGCGGGAAGATCGGAACCTAGTGATGGTAGTACAGATAGGAGATCAGAAAGAAGCAAAGAAACAGACTGACGGTGATGTCATAGATGATTTCATGAGGTTCAATGTGCCGGCAGAGCCGAGTGTAGGGAATTGGTATATAATGGCAAGAGATACCCACTTGGCGGGGCTGAGGGAGATGTGTCGCAGTACGTTTAGCCCAGTATGCTGACGACGTTCAAGCTCATGCAGCGCATATGCTGAGAGCCTAATCACCATGTATCATGAATACATGGACTCGTCATTTGTATCACAACAGGTATGCCACGCGTTCCCAGCTGCGCAATACGACCGACGTACATGCGCTTGCCTCGCCGAACAGTCGAATTAATTGACCAAGGTTACCTACATGCGCCCAATGTTGAGCCGGTACTCTACCAGCAAAAGCATCGCGGTCATTCGCAGGTTGGTTCGGAACGAATCGTCGCGCAGTCTGTTCTCCCCACCGGCATGATGTTTTTTCCGCACAGCTTAGGCACGTGGCGCGATGTAGGTCTTCCAACCTTGGAACCTTCGAAGGCTGCCACGAGGCTCGACGTATGGCCGGACATTACGCGCTCGCGAAGAAGTAATGGCCGGCTTGTAGTGCAATCCAATGATACGAGATGGTCGATGAGACAGTTGAAGTTCTGCTTGTCGAAAAGAGGTCTGTGTGAGTGGGTCTGGTGCGGGAAATGACACTAGTTAATGCCGCGGCAAAAACGAGGCAGCGATCACGCCACGAAGAGAGCATCCTTCAGACCGTTGCATGAGTACTAGAACTCGCGCTACGAATATTGCATCGCATTGTCCATCATCAACCTGCGTTTTCTGTATCTCGGCAAGATGTACTGCTGATAGTCAGTGATGGAGCCGAGAAGACGGATTTGCGTGATGTGGATGTGATCGTCGTAGCGCAATGTTCGCATCCATGGACGATCGTATGGATGAGGGGCCGCATGAGAACCGTGGTACTACTCCGAGCTCTCATCGCGAGATTGGCATACAAATAGGTTCTGCGGCACCTCGGGAAATGGCAACAAACAACAGCATGTCGAAGTTCTCATGGCTTTCATCATCGCCGCAGCATGGATCCAAGCCGCCGTTTATGCTCAAGGCTAGAAGCTCGGACGCTTTCATCATCGGAACTGTGTCTTTGGCTGTCTTTACAGTAAGTGTTCAATCCAGTTGTAGCTAGGTGCAAAACAGGAGCTGATTCAAGAAGGACATGTTTCTGTATGGTGTCATTGTACCCGTCATCCCATTCGCAATACGTTCGCGTAGTCATATTGAGGAGGACCAAGTTCAATACTGGGTCTCGGTGCTGGTTGCCGTATATGGCGCCGCTCTTCTTGCATTCTCGCCCATATGCGGATGGCTTGCGGACCGCGGGTCGACGCGTCGCTTTCCGCTTCTTCTGGGCTTGTTTGTTCTCTTAGGAGCTACACTCCTGATGAACCTTGGCAACTCAACTGGGGCTTTCATTGTCGGAAGGCTCCTACAGGGGGCTTCGGCAGCTGTGGTATGGGTCGTTGGCCTGGCCTTGTTGGCGGATACGGTGCCGCAGGAGCGACTCGCGACCGCCACTGGGTGGCTGACCATAGGCGTGTCGATTGGGATGCTCATATCGCCCTTACTCGGTGGCATAGTCTACGACAAGGCTGGTTATAATGCCGTCTTTGGCATGTGCTATGCATTAATCGGCCTGGATGTGATCCTCAGAGTGTTGCTCGTGGAGAAGAAGGTGGCTGCGAGATGGGACGCAACGGCTATGGGAGGCTCGTCTGTCGAGAAAGACGCATGCTCAGAGGGGAAAGAGACAGCCTTTGCCGTCCTCGCAAGTCGAAACGACAGCTTAGTTCCTCACAAGACGATAACTCAGCAAGACACCGGGTCTGCTGAAGCGCAACAGGAGAGTCCGCATCGGCAACGTGTGCGCGATCGCCTCCCTCCAGTACTTTCACTTCTGTACTCCCGACGCCTGCTTGCCTCGCTGTTCTGTGCTCTCATTCAAGCAATATTGCTGACGGCCTTCGACTCTGTTCTCGCCATCCATGCCGCCAACACATTCAACTGGTCCTCGACAGGCGCTGCGCTTCTTTTCCTTCCGATAGTCATTCCGAGTCTCCTCTCGCCGCTGTGGGGTTGGCTGAGTGACAGATATGGAGGGCGTTACGTGGTTGTCGTCGGCTTTCTGTGCGGTTGCCCTCCTCTCGTCTGCCTCCGATTTATCGACGAGAACACTATGAAGGACAAGGTGTTGCTTTGCGCGTTACTGGCGGTCACGGGGCTCTTTGTGGGCATGACCTTCGCGCCAGTCATGGCAGAGGTATCGGCTGTCGCTGAGGCCAAGGAAAGGAAGATGATCGCAAATGGACGCGCGGGATTCGGCAAAGGCGGTGCGTTTGCGCAGGCCTACGCACTGTACAATTGCGCGTTCGCTGCCGGCTGCATGGCGGGCCCTTTGTTGGCCGGCTTTCTCGCGGAGGATAGCGGCTGGGGAACTATGGCGGCTGTCTTGGGCGCGCTGTCTGCTGTCACTGCAGTACCGGGTTTTCTCTGGCTGGGCGGATGGGTGCTAGCCAAGAACTAAACACGATCGATAGGATAGTCTCTCCGAACATCGGCTGCATACAAAGTCATCTAGTCGGTTGCACTGTGCGTGTTGTGAGTCGTGATACATGGCGTCATTGCCTCGGCTTCGTCCCCACTTGCCGTTCTTGCCCGACATCTGGACCCTGTAACTGCCCGGGAGGCGCCACGCCACACCTTGATCGCACTCTCCTTGTCCTTCACACCACACGTCCATCTCTGCTCGCCACCGCTTGTATCGCTACATCGGCATCTTACTGTCAACTTCTTATTGGGCGTCCTAAACAGGGTCCTATTCATCCCTGTGTGGCGATGGCATTTGCTCCTTACTCATCTCCTGCGCTCACCCCGATCAATCGTTGCACGTCCAGGTCCAATCGTTGCTTCACCCGGGAGATGCGTGCTGCGGGCAATCGAACCCCTTTTGCAACTCTCTTCTCAAGGTTTGCACCACCAGTGCAGTTGCAGCAACAGAGTTCATTGGTGTCAGAACACTAATGAGTGCCTTAGACAATGCCATAACTACGTCATGCACCGGAAAGAAGACATAGGAGGCGCGGAGGAAATACCGCACCCCCGCTTGACAACAGGTTTCCTCTGACGGCCTGGAACAACGCATGGAGATAGGCGAGCATACTGCGATCTCTCTTCGACGATGCAATAGGCTGCCCAAAGATTAGTTTGCAGATCCGGGGTCAGATGGTCCATGCCACGCATCTTAGCTTCCAAGATCGTCAGGAACAGCCTCTCTAGGTACTAACGTACGGTACTAACTTTACTCCGAACGCTTTAGGCTCGCAGCCGACAAGCCGCTTGGTGCGTTAAGAAGGGGACCAAGTTGATCAGGTGTTTCAGACTCAAGCAACTACCTACACCGCTGCAAATTTGACCATGGCTGATGATCACTCCACGGCAAATTTTTCTACTCCAGGCTCCTCCACGGCAGTCACATCTCATGTGTGAGTATGCACTACAAGAAGTCTAGTTTAGAATGCTCATCGCTACCAAAATCTGAGTACGATGTAAGTCTTTCATTCGTGTGAACGCGTCACATGCGCCTCGGCGTGCTGAGCAAACCCACCTCCTGACCGTGTCGTCATCCATGTAGCTCTCTATCCCGATCCGGATCTCCGTGGGAAGACGTTCACTACAATCCCCCAGATTACCTTTTTAGTTAGATCGAAGGGTCGAACACCAATCATAACCCAGGACACCCGTGGGCTTGCCAACTTAGATGCCCAGTTCGGACTAGAGGACATCCGTCACATGGCCATAACATAGCAGTCACGACTCCATCCAGTTTGCTGCCTCCAAGGAAACCGCGCAAACTCCACCTTGGCCGCATCCACAGTGTCTGCTCGGCAACTTGTTAAATGCAGTGACTTGGTACCCATCTACAGACATACCATCACATCTTATTTGGATTGAGTGTCACCACATCTTCAGCGTCTGTACTTCTACCCTTGATTTTCAACACTACTACTCGACAACATGATTGTCGGTCGTGCACTTGCTGCGTTATCCCTATGCGCCGCCGCCGTTGCAGCTCCAACGTAAGTCACGCGCACGATGCAGAAGAAAGCGTCTTTCCTTCTCCGGCGAAAAGCAGCCGCTTCCAACTTCGACACTCCTTCCATCACAATACACGTCTGACGCAACCGCTGACCCATCCACAGAGAGAAGCGCGGGGTTGCCTTCAACTGGGGCTCTGAGAAGATTCGTGGTGTTAACATCGGTGGATGGTTGGTCTTGGAACCGTACGTATTCCCGAGCATCCTCGCCACCAATCACCAACCAGTTGCGTTGCTGATCATCTCTACGCAGTTGGATTACCCCTTCTATCTTTGATGGTGCGAACCAAGGCCGTCCGCAGAGGGACATCGTTGATGAGTACACATTGGGCGAGAAGCTTGGTAGAGATGCGGCGGGCAGCATCCTCCGCAAGCACTGGGACTCGTTCGTATCATGGCACGACTTCAACAAGATCAAGCAGTCAGGCTTCAATGTCGTTCGTATTCCCATCGGGTTCTGGGCATATGACACTTTTGGTACACCTTATGTCAGCGGTGCGAGTGTCTACATCGACGCTGCCATCGACTGGTCACGGAGTCTAGGGCTGAAGGTCATTATTGACCTCCATGGTGCACCGGGTTCTCAAAATGGATTCGACAACTCCGGCCAACGAATGGACTACCCTGGATGGCAACGCGGCGACACTGTAAAGCAGACTGTCCAAGTTCTCCGGACAATCTCGCAAAAGTATGCACGGACAGAGTACCAGGACGTCGTCGTCGGTATTCAACTACTCAACGAGCCCGCGTTGTACACTGGCATCAGCGAAGACGTGACCAGGCAATTCTATCGCGATGGATACGGTCAGGTTCGTGAGGTTTCCGACACCCCAGTGATCATTCACGACGGATTCAAGCCTCCGAACACGTGGAATGGTTTCCTCACTCCTTCGGATGCGAACGCGGTAAACGTCGCGGTTGACCACCACGAATATCAAGTGTTTGACAGCAATCTCCTCCGCATGTCACCTATGGACCACGCCCGCTACGCTTGCAGCAACTCGGAGACTATCAACGGTGCGGACAAATGGACTTTTGTTGGCGAGTGGACATCGGCTATGACGTGAGCAGTCCGCATTTTTACAGATAATTAGACGTCTACTAACGCCTACTAGGGATTGCGCGAAATACCTCAACGGCTTCGACCGTGGCGCCCGCTACGATGGAACCCTCCCAGGCAGCTCCAGGATTGGATCTTGCGATTGGCAAAACGACCTATCACGGTGGTCAGCCTCCTACAAGGACGACAGCCGACGTTACATTGAAGCCCAGATCGCCGCCTTCGAGAGCAAGACTCAGGGCTGGTTCTGGTGGAACTTCAAGACGGAGGGTGCGGCTGAATGGGACGCATTCCGACTCATCGACGCTGGCGTCTTTCCGGCTATCAGGAATGGGCAGGTGGAGTATAAGTTCGGCCGTATTTGTTAGGAGCGGAATGTGACGGTGACTTATCAACCTCCGGGTAATTGGACAAACCCCTAGAGTCCTGGATAGACAGGGCCATATACACGAGTAAGGTAACGCACATTGGTCAGTTGGTTGATAGGCTATATGCCAGAATACTACATTTGCGCATACATAGCGCGCATTCAGAGCTCAGGTATTTTGCAACGTGAGAAAAGCAAGTCGCGCGAACCACCGGGACATGCGATCGCGTGATGTCCGCCAACCGTTGCACCGCTTCCGACCGGTATGACCTTGCAGCTGGAGAACTTACCGCCAGCCGCCAACGGAACACCTTATGCGACAGCGCACAACAACGCCGCCAATAGTTCGCTGTCTCTCCACAAAAAGCACGTTGTCGGCTCCAGTTCTTCCCCAGATTCCCAGCCAAAGGGCACCGCTTGCAAACCTAGAACCAGGAAACCCACACAGAATCTGCTGATCGGCGTCAAAAATGCGACCGAGAAGTCTTGGATAGTGTGCATTTCGCGTGTATATTACGATAAGATCTGCAGGCCAAGCTTAGTGGCTGAACAAGCGGAGCGCGCATGTTTGCTATATTGTAGCACGGTGCGGGGAAAAGTCTTGGTGAGATCCTGTGCCAATACCACGCCAAGCAGTAGATTGGAGCATGCGTGTGAACATACCATGCCGCCATTATGCATTCAAAAGCAAAGCACATGCCCTCTGAATGCCGGCACGTTCTACCTGTTGACCTTTTCGAGAAACAAGCTCGAAAGACCCAGCCAAAATGGATACAAAACGCCAACCCGTAGTCGAGCCGACGGACGAGAAGCCCACGATTGTGGCGCACTTGGAAGACAAGAGTGAGCTTGGTCCAGATAAGCATGCTGGTGTTGTGGACTACACCGGCGCAGAGGCGAAGACGGACCCGGAAGAGATTGCCCTCGTAAGGAAGATTGACTGGAGACTGATGGTACGTATTGCGGATACAGATGTAGGGAAGGCTGCTAATGTGATCGTAGCCAACACTATGCGTCATGTACTTCCTCAACTACGTTGATCGTAATGCCATCGCTCAAGCGCGCTTGAACAATCTCGAAGATGACTTGGGAATGTCTGGCGTCCAATTCAACACTTGTGTTAGCATGTCAGTATTATCTGAAACTCGCTCGAAGTCGATGAGCAATATTGATGAATAGGCTAACCTTGCTGCAGTCTTTTCGTGGGATATGTCCTGATGCAAATTCCGAGCAACATGCTCATAACACGCATTCGTCCCGGTATCTACATGAGCAGTTGGATGTTCGTCTGGGCCATTGTATCAGCTTGCACAGCGCTCGTTCAGAACTTCGGCGGACTGGTCGCATGTCGGTTCTTCCTGGGTATCACCGAGGCGCCCTTCTACCCCGGAGCCACTTATATGCTGTCGATCTTCTACACCAGGAAGGAGGTGGCAACACGCATCGCACTGCTCTACTGCGCGCAGATCCTGGCTACAGGCTTCAGCGGGTTGATCGCGGCCGGCGTCTTCCAACTGGATGGCGCCCGAGGTCTCTCTGGTTGGCGTTGGCTTTTTATTATGTAAGTCGAACATGTCCTACTCAATAAAGCTTCAAGCTAATCTGTCGAAAGCGAAGGAGCCGTGACCGCGTTGGTCGCCATCTGGGGTTTCTTCATGCTTCCCAACACCCCACTCACCACAAGCTGGCTCAACCCACGGGAGCGCGAGCTTGCTCATGCCCGTATGGAGCGCGACCGAGTTGGTGACTCTACTGAGCCCGTCAGCATGATGGAGGGACTGAGGCAGGCGTGCCGCGACAAGAGGACGTGGTTGTTCTGTCTCATGCAGAACTTCCATCTCAGCGCTTGCTCGTTCAACTCTTTCTTCCCAACGTAAGTACATTCGAATACTAACAGGAAAAGTCCGCTGACAATGGTGGTAGTGTCATCAAGACCCTCGGTTTTAACACAACGATTACTCTCCTATTGACATGCCCTCCCTTCCTGCTTGCCGGCGCGGCAGGTATCGCTACAGGCTGGAGCTCGGGACGCATGCACGAGCGCACATGGCATATCACTGGTGGACTGCTAGTCGCCATTGTTGGATTCGTCATCGCTGCCAGTACTATGAACACAGCGGGTCGATACGTTGCCTGCTTCATCTTCCCTATCGGCGCGTATTCCGTCAACTCTGTCATCATTGGATGGGCATCTTCGACCCTCAGTCAGACGAAAGAGAAGAAAGCTGTCGTCTTGGCGATGACGAACGTCGGAGGACAGATCGGATACATCTATGGTGCTTACCTCTGGCCAGATACCGACAAGCCTCGATACGGGATTGGATTCGGTGCATCTGCTGGCTTCGCGCTGCTATCAATTGCTTGTGCTTGGGCAATCCGCGTGATGCTCATCAAGGAGAACCAGAGGCTCAAGGCGTCGACAAATGAGCGTGTCAACTTGTACGGATACTAGACGGGGTGACTGAACTCAAAAAGAGGTCACAGAACGGAAGTTGGCTTGCATGTATTGGGATGATTTGGCATATCACGGATCATGTTATGGGCTAATAATTACAAATGTCTGTAATTCAACTACATACTCATTCTGCAACTCTCATTTTCACATGAACACGAACCACGTCATTCCTCCTTCGTTGTTGGCTAGCTTAAGCTCCAACAACTCAAATCGCGAGGTGACAAGAACGCTATCTTCACACCCTTTGATGGTGGCAGCATCGACTTCAAACCCGATGCTCGCTAATTTTGAGCTTCTATAGGTATCAGGATCGGCGTCCTGATACTAAGAGTATGCTCGAAACAATCCCAAGAGCAAATCCTGGAACCGTCGCTATGTCCTCGGATGCAACGATACAAATCCGTTACTCCTCACAAATGCTCTTGGCCGTGGTCGGAGCCCTTCTTGGGGGCCTCCTTGGAGTCCTCGTCAGACGAGTCGTCCGTAGTTCCTGAGACCGAGCCGTCGTCCCAGTCCATCAAATCTCCATCCCCCAGACCAAGAGCCTGCATCTTCTGGTCCTACTGCTCGTGTCGTCTTGTCATGTGTGCGAGCTGGGACTTCAGCGAAGTCGCCTCACGGACCGAACCGTCCAATGCGCGCTGCATTTTCTCCATTGCGAGTCGATTTGACTCCTCGCGACGGCTCTCGGCATCTTTGACAGACCGAATTTCTTCTACGAGCTCACGATTTGTCTTAAGGGGCCGCTTGGTCGCCGCCTCTTTCTTCGTAACCACCAACCGCAGGTTCTCCAACTCTTCACTCTGCTGATCGTTTGTGCGTCCGCGCTCCCATGCCAGCGCCTCAGCCTGCTGAGTTGCTATCTTCTGTGGGTTAAGCGCTCTCGTGAGCCCGTCCGCTGCAGCCTGCAACCTCTTGAGCTGCTGCACTCGCACCTCATCCCTCCTCGCCGCAGCAGCCTTCTCCACCTCATCGTCACGGTCGTCAGCCTTTCGCTTCGTGCCCTACCCCGCCGGTGCCTGGATTATCTCTTGAAGCGGGACAATCCTCCCAAAGTATGGGTCGACCTTCGCAAACTCCGCACACTGCTCAGGCGTGGGACGAAACTGCACGTCGTCAGGGAGCCAGCCGTTGTGCTCCATATGCCACTTCATGCTGGCCCAGGTTTGGGAGCACATTTCGCCGATGTGGGCCATCGAGCTGCCGCAGCAATCGCACCTTCCCATGCAGTCCTTGAAGTCGGGATGGTCCTACAAAAATGCGAAGTCAGTGTATGTCACACATGTATTCTGTACGGCCGCAACTTACCTTGAGCTTGACCGCCCCACACCGCATGCACTTGGGGTACCTCTTCCTGACGCCGTACCCCTCCAAGGTAGCCTGGTCACTGAACGCTCCCCAGGGTTGGAAGAACCTCTTTATATCCAAGGCTATCGTTGCCTTCTTGCTGAGCTCGTTAGCAGGACCGGTTCGCTCACCATCTCCTCCGCTCGATCCATGCCCGTGGCCATGTCCATGTTCATGCGCCCCTCGGAATCCCCCTCCTGGATGTCCACCACGTGGCGCCACTGGTGGTGCTCCCGAACCGTACTGCTGTCCCGCCTGACGCATGCTGGCTGGCCCCGTAGGTGCGTTCGCGATGTTAGGAGCCCCGCATCCTATCCCAGCTCCGCCTATATCGCCTCGTCCGCCTCGTCCGCCACGTGCGCGTCCGCGAGGATTTTGAGCAAGAGTCATAGTCGTATGTTGCAGTATCCACGGGGTTGGACGATGCGTTACTTTTGTACCTATATGTGGTTTGTATTCTTCAACTCAATCCTTGTCAACGGCGGAGAAAATGGGCTTTTACCTCTCTCTAGGGTGTGGTTCGTGGAATTCACGCATGTCTTGTCGCATAGATAAGCACAATCGTGCAGATTGTGGCTGTCATGCATGCAGCCATCACGCTGTATGCAGGTCTCTCAGCCTCGACACACTTTCAGCCTTGCATGCTTACCATGAAAGATATAGCGGCCCTTAAACCTCTGGTATTCTGTTGGAAGCCCTGTAAAACCAACAGCCTCGCAACTGACGCTTAGCGACCAAACTCTCTTTGTGTACAAACCGAAAACATGACTCCCAAGGTCCCGACAAAGAGTTTGTCCAGCAGGATGCGCGGCTACAGAGCGATGTTGATAGCCCTGAAGTAATAGTCTAGCAGCTACATCTAGTTCAAACTGACAATGCCATCAGAGAAAGAGTCGTGGTAGTCGCCAAGAAGATATACGCCAAGATCAGAGATCGTCCAGCTATGGAAACCCGGCCGGGCCTGAAGTTTGCCGACTACTGGATGCTAGCCATTCGCATAGCTTCCATTGGAATTATAATTACCGGAGTCTCACTCGGAGCGCTGCGCACATACATCTCCATAGGCCTGAGCCGTGTGTTCGGTGAAGAAGTGGATGCGGATCTCAAGCTAGCCTTTCTTGGTTTCTTTAACAAAAGCCTCGATGTCCTCTTGGTGAGCTCCTTGGAATACATGGCTTCGTTTCTTATCACAATCTGGATGGCACAGACTACAGTAGTGGGTGATAGACGTGGCGTGAAGCACAGCGACTTTGGTTTGAAAGAGGAGTTGACGAAGCCGTGGATGACTGTTAGCAGCTTTGCCAAGAGGTGGCGAAGGTCGAGCTTTAGTTGGAGAAGCGTCGCGCGCTGTTTGCTTTGTCTCTGCGTGTCTGTCTCGGTTATGTTGCAAGGCTTGGCCGTGAACACTGTGGCTATACCGAAGAAGCGTTGGTATCCTAACTACCAGAACGGTTGGGAAACGACAGCACATGACCGGAAGACAATGAGGATAGAGCATCCTAAAGTATCACTGCTCGGTGTCGGCCAGTCCAACATTGGAGGAGAAGGCTACCCTCCATGGGACTGGGCGCTCGGCATGTCCGCTTCTCTCGCGTTCACCGGCTTAACGCATGTTGTGTCCACGGTAAAGGAAACGCAAAAAGGCTGGAGACATGTGTATAACTACCGGCTGGACGGAGATCCATGGAAGCGCTGGACTGCACTGAATACCGATTTTGGCCTATCAAACGGGTCAGTCGAGACGGCCTCCGCAGATGATGGGCAAGTAACCAGTGTCTACAACTGGCTCAAGGAGGCGAACCATCAACCAACGTCTTCATCCATCGGTTGGACCGGTAATTTGACTCTCATACTACCGGTGTTGAACACTGTCTGCACGCCAGTGGAGTCCTTGGCCGCGGGGGCGTCGATTATTGTCCGCCCGCCAGCTAGAAACGAATCGTCTGAAGCGATGATCATAACCGACTTTGGACCCGTCCCAGCCCTAGGCTTTGCTGGCGCCATTTGTTCCAGCTTGTTCCGACAGGGATCATACGCGGTCAATGTGTGGATCGTGGACAGGGAAAGCCCCGATATTAGCTTCAATCATTACGGTGCTGAATTGAACCAGAGAATCGTTTACGACCGCGCAAATGCAAGCGACTTTGATGTTGCCAATGGAGTAGGGATGCAGGCACGGGACGTCATGTCGAGGCTTGAGCTATTGGTTTCGTCGACGAGATTGCTGCCGCAATTCCTATTGATGAGTCGCAATCTTCAGGCAATTGATCCACATGTGGACTCTGACGCCATTGGCCTGTCGATCGTTATGGGGATCCTATTGCAGAACATCCTCAGCACGAGCAACAAGTACTGGTCTTCTCTTCCGTCGTCTCTGCCTTCTCGATCAGAAGACAGGATTGTATCCTATCCCATTCAGTGGCAACTGTACGGATCCAGTCCGCGTCTGGGCTGGGAGTGGATAGCCATTGCTGTCCTCGCAACTGTGCTGTTATCGTCTTGCTTTGGCATTTATCAAAACCTACGGTACTGGATGGCCCCGGGTCCGTGGGTACAGCTTGATGGTATGATGATGATTGCACAGCGAAGCCCGAAGCTTGAAGGCATCGGAGACGAAGAAACGGCGCGGAAAAGGGTATACTCGGTAGAAGATGAAGGGAGTGGGGATTTGGTACTCAAGAGTAGAGCAGGGTAGGGAATAACCCACCCTTAGTAGTTGTACAGGGCATCATGGCCGTTTATGACATTGCTCTTTTCAAAGAGCCTGAACGCTTCTTAAACACCATACCTGAACTCGCGCACCTTCTTCTGGTAGTAGTAAGTCGCGAGCGCACCAGTCACACCCAGCGCAATCGGCACAGGCGCGCGTCCACCGGTCTTCATGATGCGCGGTATCGCAGAGCCCATTAACATGATGCTGTTGCCAAGCGCAAGCTCAGTGCCGTAGTCCTGGTTCTGCTTGATACGGTAGCCTTTAGTCACAGGTTAGCTGAAGCCACCACAGGCAGCTGGAATCCTTCAATGCAGCCAGGAACAAGTGAAAACAAGTTAAAGAACTCACCAGCAAGAGCATACGAAGCACCCAATCCAAGTCCAGCGACAAGGCTTGGTGTTGATCTTGTTCGGAGATAGCCCGCAGTTCCTCCGACAGCCACTGCACATCATTTCTCAGTCAGCTCTAATGCCTACAGACACGCAGATGCTGTCGGGGCACTTACACAAGCCTGCCAATGTGAAAGAAGGGTGCTCGGCCATTGTTTCTTCACGTTGGTTTGATGAAAAGCGATGCTTGTGCGGGATGGTGTGCTGATGTGGTGCCACGAGATGGAACGATTGGGAATCTGCGCGGGACCAGCACGGACATGCCAAGCCACCATGACACCATCTCAGGAAATGGGGCGAGCAGATGATGATGCAACGAACAGTGAGACAAAGGTAAATTAAGTTCATTACTCTATGTGATGGGTATCTGGTGCGCGATCTAATAATTAAAACAGGCGACTCAAATACAGCATGAGCCGCGGCCCGATGAATGAAAACCCAGCAACTATTCCATACCAAAACGCCCCAAAACAAGATCTTTCTCCATGAGACCCATGTCTCAATGATCGTCAGTTTGTTGCGCAACAAGATTTCCTTGTTGTCGTCACTGGTCCTGCCGTAACAACTTGGAACGTCTTCAGGTCACGATAGAATGGCTCACGCTGTACCTCGTGCTCGGCGGCGCAAAAGCCGAATAGCCAGGCGGCATCTCTTCCCGCGTACCAACACTCGCGCTGCGAACCGTCTCTGGGCTTGGAGGTGCGACACTGCGTGGTGCAAAGACATCAGAGGCTGCTCTGAATGCCGTCTCCTCGACGCTCCTCGCCCTAGCATTCTCAATGCCAGTATCACTGCCTTCGGCGCAGATCTGGATCGGGACCTTGAGATGTATACTGGAGCTTCCGTGGGTGGAGAACTGCATTGCGAGGGTGTATGTTCGTGAGATAAGGCAGGAATGAAAGGTCGGTATGAAGTTTTGTGTCATGGGAAGGGTGATTGGCACCAATATCTGAGCTGTGTAGAAGGCACCTTGCTTGTAATCCTTGGAGGCAGGTAGTATGCCAATCGCAAAGGCCTTCTCCGCTTCGCTCAGAGTTGAGCAATCGCTAATACCAGAGTCGCGTCGAACCAGACTTTCTGGACTAGGGTTTTGTGCCGCATCGTGCTTTTCCCACTGGGCGGAGGCAATGCAAAGATTGGACAGCGGCACGTACTCGGAGTATAGGCCTTGCGATAAATCGAACCCGAGCGTTGCCCGCGTCGGCAGATTCTGCCTAGGAGCTGAGGCGTAGTAGGTCACGACCTTCAACTTTGTTCCCAATGAACCGAGTTTTGGTGGTGCGCTGGTCTCCTCTGTGGGATCAAAGCGGAGAACTAACTTGGCCATGGTAGTAATCAACCTTCCCTCGGTTGATCTTGCGCCCGGAATGATAAGAGGTGGCGGTTGAACGGTCTTTGCAGACAATGTCCCGAGCTTTCCCTTGAACAAACCCTTCTTGACTGTCTTCTCCTGTCGCGATCGGTACTCGTCGTTGTGATCAATGTTCAGTGGGGGCTGCTCTTGAAAGGCGGGCTTCACACGCACTTTCTTTAGCTTGTCAGCGAGCACCGAGATGCCTTCTGATCCGCGAATGTGCGCGATTTTGACTTGGATTCCGTAGGTAATCTTTGACATCTCCGGTGCAAGGTCATCAAGCAGTGTACTGCCAAAACCAGCAAGATCGGGATCGCCAATGCTGGGTGGTAGTGTGAGATGTACGTCGCGTATGTGGTCCGAGACTACTGTATGCGAGCAGGCTTTTGGTAGTAGTTGCGAAGGGATGGTAAATGTGAAGGGAAACTTGTAGGGTCTTCCAGCTTCAAAGATTCTTGGGGAGGGGAAGTTTGATTGGTCTATTGGCTGTCTAAGAGTCAAAAACCGGTGCTTTGCCTCTGTTCGTCCTGTCATAGTTGGTGTAGTCGTCATCCTGTCCACATATACCTGGCTTGTACCTGTGTTGTGTCAGATACGATGATTGCTAAGTTCGTGTATGATCTAAGCTTACCAGTGAATGCGATGTCGATATCCTCAAAACGAGTGTCGTGAGGTGCAGTGACGGTGACTGTGCCTTCGATGGTATCCATGGAAGAATAGCTTGTGATGAACTTGTGGCAGTAGCCATTGCTGTCGTTGAGATCGATCGCGATGGTAGGCTGGCCATGATGCGAGATATTGCGGACCTTGTAGCCGATTTGATTGCCCAGTGCCTGCATCCTGTCTGGTGGCGCAAACACTGATGCGTTCGATGAAGAAGACATGTCGATGCTGTCGCGTGCCTTAAGGTCAGCTTGCTAGTCGCAATAGCCAAGGCAAGGTCGCACAAGAAAGCGGGGAACAATCCTGCCCAGATAAGACGTCTCGAATGCGGAGAAGCTGAGAGCTGGGCAGCTGGGGTAGTGCGGATAGGCAGAGATCAGACTAGCAGGTGGCGAGTGAAGATAAGACGTCTGCTCCAGGACTGCACTGCAAACAAGTGGGCCTTAAGGTTGTCTTATACATGGCACTCAGGCACGCCCTGGGTTGAGTCATTTGCAAGCGGCACAAAACTAGGGCTGGTAGGTGACGAGAAGGTTGCAGGCTGCAGATGGATGATGCGCTGAGCGATGGGCTTGCTTTGCCGTCGGATACGCGGGGGAGTCATCCTGCATCCATCACAAACCACGCCCTTTACTCCAATAGCGTTGTGCGCTAAGCCCATACAGGTGCCTGTCTCTACATTTCCGCAAAGCTGAGTACTGGACGACATCAGGACGTCTCCACAAGTCAAACGGTCTCGAATGTGCTTTTCTCAGGTTCTGTGATCTTGCCCGTCGCGATCGTGCTAGCTTGCGGCGCACCCACCAACCATAGCGGTACTCTGGCGGTCAGTTATGTGCCTCAAGCCAGCCTTACAGGATCTCATGCCACAAAAGTTGAACAAGCGCGACACGTTCCTGACTACTCGCGCTCAGAGTACACGGCAGGTGGATACCTTTTGTCATAGGCTTCATTGCAAATTTTCAACGTTATGCCGTTAAGTGGTAGAGTCAATAAACGTCGCGTTTCAACCTCGTCCAACGATCGGGGCTCTCCGAAGTTGCGTTTGTTAGCAAATTTTCCCTTTCTTGCAGCTAAGAAGACTTCTAGAAAAGGGGCGGCACCTGGTGGACCATCATACCCCTGTGGCAGTATATTACATGGTTGACTGTTGGCGGCTTAATTAGGTATGCATATCGGCGTCGCGAACGTGTGAAACTTGCATGTAAGGCGCACGCGCACGCGCACGCGTTGGAGAAGGGCGTGCCGGTGATTAATCAGCGACCTTGTCTTGCTCCTGGCCACTCAGGACGGGCCGATGGCGGTAGCGGCTTACTTTGCTGTGAGATGCACGGCATAGCAGCTGAACTCCGATGGCATGCTATTCCGAAGCATGCAAGTTTTCCGTCGTATCGCATTCCTGGCGGAAACGTATCCTCTGTCCGTTGGAAAAGCAGAGAGAGTGACTGTTGATGGCGTTGCCTAAGCTACTGCAGGTTCTCCGGTGATAGGAATAAATGATGACCAGGAAAGCTTACTAACAGTTTGGTGGGTAAGCAATAGCATAAGTGCATGCGGTTTCGGAGCTCTGGTGATAGCTGGGTGATGCACTGTTGTCGATGGTGTTGCGGGATGATCCAGCCCTGGAGGGCCCGGGCTGGGATGGCGGAGGAACCTTCCGCGAACGTCATCTCGTCGTCGCGAGCTCCACGCTCAGGTATGCGCAGCTTCTACCAGTGCGACATTCTATTATGCGGCTAGCAGATACACCTCATACAAGGAAAAAGCTGAACAAGTCTGGAGCCTACATTGACGTTAGGTCACCTACTTTGCATGTTTTCATGTTGATGTAGGCTGCAGACCTGTTCAGACCAAAGGCACTGCGGTATCGGTATGGCCGAGATTCCTACTCCACCAGCGTCACAGCACGCGTCGCCCCTCCCACAAGCACGCAAACACCCGCTGAAGCCCGGCGGCCCAAGGGAATCTGATCTGATACGCTACCTCGATCATGGCGTCAACAGCATCCAGAAGCGAGTGGACAACCGTATGACGAATCGAAAGCTTGAGCCTGCGCCGGGCGAGGAAGGATACAAGGCGTTCTGGGAGGTCGCAAGAGACCTCGATGGCCTGGTAGATGTTGTCTGGGTCTCTGGATCACGTATGCCCTTCCTCCCTCGCTCCATGGTCGAATGTAGCTAACGTGCATAGCAAACCTCCAGATTCCCTATCTGCGCAACCTTGCCGCTCTCACCGCCGACTTCCTCCCGCTGTTCAGTTCCTCAACGCGTTCCGCTCAGGCTACTTTCCGCCTGCTCTCGAAACTCGACTACGCCTTCTCCTCCCTACTTACTGGGCACGATACTGCGACCGGAGAGTTCTTACCTGGGTTTGAGAATGGTCGTACAGTCACCACAACAGACAAAGTTCGCTTGAAGGGCATTGTAGACCGGACCAGGCTCACGGTCGCCCGTGTAATGAGCGGAGACAGCGTGATCGGTGACGAGGATGATGTAGGTGAGGCCATGGACACGGATACGGAAGGAGAGGCAGAGGCAGGTGGACGTCAAGGCACTGTGACCTTTGAAGGCTTCGAGGACAATGACGACGATGAGGAAGATGACGACTGGGAAGAGCGCGGGGTTGCGAGTGTGTACGAAAAGACAATAGGCGAGTTAGGCGATGTCCTAGGCGGTCCACCGATTGGCATCATCACCGACGACTAGGGCACCTCGTACAAGGAAAAAGCTGAACAGGTCTGGAGCCTACATTGACGTCAGGTCACCTACTTTGCATGTTTTCACCTTGATGTAGGCTCCACGGTGTTCGCATTTTTGCTTGAACGAGGTGGGGGTATTAACGGCACTGAGCAGCAAAGAAGCGGCAGAGGCTTCGTCGAGCTCTGATGCACAGCATCACCTGACGTCAGATGTGAGGCCTTTCGAGGCGGAAGTCTGCAATCTAGGCATTCTGTTTAGGTATCTCTTCGTGCAGATAGCATTCATTGCTATTAGCACGATTACCTTCAGCCTTCTTTCCCTCTTTCTCACTTGTGTTTATCGCATGTATATTCTCATTGCAAAATCCGCCATCATGATACCTGGGTACATTCAAGATCGCCATACGTCAGATAGGGTGTGCATAGACGCAAGCCCGGTCACCGCGGCGAGGGCGCGTGGAAAGAGCAGCGGAGGGTACCTGCCGTAAACGGAAGCCCACGATATACGTCACGCGAGTTCAGCAGCGCTCGGTCACCGCAACGAGTACTCCATACCCCACCATGCTCGACACGCTCTAGACGGCCTTACCGCACCTAACCGACTCGAATTTGCTCCATCGCCAGGCATTGCGGCATTGTCTCTTGCGATGGCTATGTCGTAAAACGTGTATATCCTTCACCCCCTGCAAATATGCCTACCTACTTCGCGCGCGGCGTCTCGGTGCGCCTGGGCGCAATTCCGCTCGGTGATACGACTACAGCAAAGATCATACTAAGAAAGGGAGATGCAGCCAAGCAGCAGTCTGCACTAGCTGAAAAGAGGCTGTTGAAGAGCAAACTGTTGAAGGAAGAGCAGGTGCCTTTCCCAGGTGATGAGGCTGCCTTCCAGCTCAACTGGCTCGCACAGGCGCCTTTCATGCAAACACGGGTCGGGAGCGACATATACGAAGGGGAACTTTCTAGAGACGCGCAGGAAGCGACGAAGGGTGCGTACCTTCCGCCAAATACTAACAGCATCACGGCTAACAGCAGCTTCTCAGATGTCTCGCAGCGCACACTGAAAGCACTCACACTCCACGTCAACCTCTCCGAGCAGACCTACGTCTCCGGCCTCTACGACCAGAGAACATCGCTCAAGATCGAGGTCTTCTTCAATGGAACACTCGCCGCATGTCTGTCCATGCCCAACTACGACGGCAGATCTGGCTCGAAAGACCATCACCAGGTTTTCGCGGGCACCAGAGTCGACTTTCTCGCTGAGCGGCCATGGGTCGTCCTACCACGTGGAGTAGCCGCAGACGGCAGTACTGAGAAGAACAACACACCACCCCCGATAGAGCAGCGATGGCAACACATTGGCCAGGCGCTCCAAGCTGAAGTACGCGAACGGGGTACCGATAAACAAGGCAACATCCCCCCTACTGCCGAGTTCCTCCGCGCGCTTGCCGCAACGCAAATGCCGGAGGAAGCACACAGTATGCAGAAGCCAGGTGGAAAGACTTTCGGAGTCATTGACGTGGTCATCACATCTGGAGAGGGTAGGAAGCTCACCAGCGGCGTGGGCTATCTGAAGGCACCGAAGCGCATGATCGACGAAAGCTACCCGTTTGTCCTAGGAACCGATGGCAGTACCATGCATCTACGTGTCGATGCGTCCAGCAAGAGCGAGAGCGACGCGGTGCCTCCAGGTGCCATCGAGCCAAGCTCAGAGGTCATCGACGTGGATGCAGAAGGAGACAGCGATCCAGAGTATGGATTTCATACAAAGAGACGGGCTCTCCGGTCCGGTGTGCAGATGAAGCGGGATGTGTCACCTATTCTGCCATCAGCTCTGACCATAGAGCCTTGGACAGCGTCGAACCCACCACTCACTGGTGTCAGATCGAGCGTTCCAGTACTTATTGCACCAAACACTACATATCCAAGACTTGCGTCTTCACCAGTCCGGAGAAGTGCAGACACTCCCAACATATCGCGTGCATCGGAGACTGGACGAGCGCATGCGCAGGACACGGTACACACTCCAGAAGCGGAGCCCACGTCGCGTGTAGGGTTCAATCCGAAGATGTTGTATCCAGATTCGACCTTGAACCAGCAGACGATTCAGATGTATCCATCGCCATATATCATTTTATTCTCTGATCCAACCTTAGGAGGAGTCGCTCCCAGTGATCTCATGCGTCAGTGGGCGGGCGACAACGCCGGTCTGACGTCTAGTCCACTTGATCGCTTTCCCGCGGCTTTCCAGGGCACAGGCTACCAGTACTCGTCATCTTTTCCTACACGTGTACCAAGACTCAGACACGCAGCCCCGAGGTCCAGTCTGCAAGCGAATTCTTCGCCCGGAGAAGTACGCGATGGCTCACTCGATACCCAATATACGCGTCCAAACTACACCATATCCGGTAAGGGTCCTCCCTTCTATGGAGCTCCCGAGAGCTACAAGCCAGAAATGTTATCGCAAGCCGCAACCCTCCATGAACATCGGGAATCTGGACTACCGCACCTGTCATTTCCGGCTTTTGACCGCAGACTGTCCATGCCACTACCACCAGCAGCTTTGTACTCAGTACCTACAAAGCCAAAACGAAGTGTCTCTCTGAAGAAAGCACCACCTCCGAAACAGCCGGTGAAGACAAATTCCAACTTCGTGATCAGACGCTTGGTAGTCTACGGGCAAGATAGATCAATTATAGTGGACCATAGGTGGGAGCCTGCACTGCGTTTAGTCGTGGCTTCCAACAGCCCAGTCAAGAATCCGACTACACAGAACACAGTCCCAGGAGATGGTGGACAGATAAGATCTGTCGAGTCAAAGAAGGCAAATACCGACTCTCGCAGTTCAAGAAAAAGAACGGTCCGGATGGGAACGCCGCCACCTACATCACCATTAGAGCACGCGAAGACTGACCTGCCCCTCGCTTTCGACGACCAACACCAACACGAGACCAGCACTTTCCTACCGAATGCTGTCATTGACCAACCCACCTCTATTGTCAAGAACTCTACTCCAACGGTCGAACGACATATGGCAGAGGTCAAACTGCATGGCGACCAGCTGAGTACTGATTCGGGCAGCCAGAGTATACATGCAACCGAACAAAGACTCTCGCGTCGTAAAACTTCTAGCAACAACATTCTTGCTGTGCAGGGCCCAAAGGCAAATCCATTCTGGTTCGAGGATCCAGAAGAAATTCTTCGTGAAGCATCTGCGCGACTACGTCGATCTCGCCCCTCCGCCAAACCAAGAAACACGCCTGATGCAGCACCGTCGCCCAAGGTCGCGGAACAGGTCGTCCAGAACTCTAAAATCTGGGACACTGCTACATCTTCCCCTCTGTCCAGCCTACATACGACTCCTGAGCCCGATATGGAGCCCATTTCATACACCCGGTCACCTCAAGCACCTATAAGATTGTCTCCTGCTCCTATTCCGCAAGCAGATGGCTCACCGGAACGCAAAACCTTGCGCGAATCACGTCGCGGCAACGAAACTCAATCTCCAGTGAAGCTCACTTCAACCCTCACGACACCCCAACTCGTGCGCCACAAACCCTCTACACCTCAATCCTCTGCTACGAAGAAACGCAAAAGTCTCCACCGCACCTTACCCAAGGAGCCTCGCAGTCCCACGCGCCTAAAGACAAACAGCAACCCATCGCTCAACAGGGATTGTGTCATTGCGTACGCGGAGAGCAAGGACAAGAAAAACAAACAGGGCGTTCTAAGGCAGGTGAAGAGTGAAAGGCAGGGAGTGTTCAGCGAAAACGATGTCGTCTTTGCAGCCAGATTCTTCGTGGAGGAGTAAGCAGATGTTACATGGCCTGCGGATGAAGAAGTGGAAGCACGCATGAGACGTGCGGAAGATGTATGTAAAATCTGTACGCTCATGATGTGCGAGCCTCAGTGTTTCTGAATACACGCGAAACGCGAGCTCCGTGCAGTTTACATCATGTAATGAAGGTTTGTTCATCCCAATCATAGAGAATTCAATGCGTAGGAAACAACGATGAATAAATCATCTGCACCATGAGCTTTGTTCCGTCCTTGGAAAGTGGCAGGTTCTGAGATCGCGTCATAGCGTCATCGTGTCATCGTTGTCGCGTAGTCACGTGTCAGGCATCCTCAGTCTAGCATGGGCACGGTCCCAGGGCGCGGATTGTTCCACACGCGTGCAAGCACGACCATGACCACAATGAACATATGGCGGCCTCCGACAAATTTGGCATTTATACATACAAGCTATCGCAACCTGACGGCTCTATTCATACGCTCCAGCACGACAGGTGGAGACACCAAGTATAACGTCTGCGCGCGCTCCAGTAGGCATGCCTGGAATGGATCATCATACTAGAACAAACCATGGCTCACCCTCTGAGTCAACAGCGCCTGGCTAACAACTAACGACCGTATCGCATCTGCTGAAGAATACAGCATAGACTTTGCAGATACTCTGACAGGAATCTAGTCCTCTTATTCTCTTCGCAGAGCTACCACAATGTCGCGAACACGGCACGAACACGCGAGCGATAACCTTCGAGATGTCTCCCAAACCAGCCCAGCGCACGCAGCGAGCGAGACAATACACACCTCAGAGTCTTCACATACCTTAGTAGTCCCTGATCCCACGGATCTTCGCATCATCGGCCGCGGCACGTGCGGCACCATTTACACGTCGACAAGTCCCTCCACAGTCGCATACAAGATTGGTCGGGATCGAGACGCCCTGTGGAATGATATATGGCTCACAGCCCGCGTCCATCGGGCGTTGTCGGGCCCTGACGTGGACGCGTGGGGAGAATCCAAGCTCCAGGTGCCGGCCATCAAGGGCTGGGTAGCAGATGAAGCCAAAGAGTGCTTCTGGGCAGACTACGCCCGCTTTTTCCCGGATTCTCACGCCAGAGAGACGACGCCGTTCGTCTTTGCTCTTTCCCTTATCCCCACGATAGGTCCGGAGACTGGACAGGCTCTGCTATGGCGTTACGATCCCACCACCTCAAGAGGTGCGGTACTTGCGAATCCAGAGAACGATTTCTGTCTCATACGACCATATCTTGCACTGGCAACTCGCAAGGACGAGCCTTCGTGCAGATCAGACAACCTGTAGAACTTTCCTTTTACAAGGGAGGACTTCAGGTCGTTCCCACTCGACAGCTCCTGGTGGTTCAAGCACATGGTGGAGGAAATGGCCACTGGACTAGCCATCATATACTGGCATGCCAATGTGGACGGAATGGATATCGAGTTTGTACTCGGTGGGAGAGCTACTTGGGATGAGACACAAACCGATGTCGCCGACGATGTCGACACCTCCGGACCTTTCTTTTCCTCCCTACTGCAGCATAGAATTACACTCGCGACCCAGGCTCTAAATCCAGGCTCGATTAGCCACAGCTACCGCGGTATGCGTCTCTACGTCCTCGATTTCGACAAAGCCTCGCTTGTTTCGTTTGATCAGCCCGAAGCTGCGATAGAGCGACTAGTCACAGCGGTGACCTGTAACGATCCATACTTTCCCGATCCGAATGCTACAACGGGTGAAGACTTGAAGCTATGGCAGGATTTCCGCTTTGCATATTTGCGGGCTGCCAAGAATGTTTCGCGAGATCTTGTAAAGAAGCACGGGAAGCAAGCTAGGAGATGGCCAGCACGGTTCATGGATCAATGGGAGAGGAAGGCAGGACAACTGTTGGAGGGGAGGCATGGCGAGTTCATTGAGTTTGGTGAATGAGCTTGCTTAATGCCTGTCAATCTCCTAATGAGTGAGCGCGGAGAGAATGATGATATTGACGTACCTGCCATAGGAACACGCCAGAACGGTTATTTGCTCCCCTTTGACGATGAGTACTTCGACGCTTAGCAATCATCTGCTCGCAGCATGTTTTAGGGTTAGCGAGGGGTAAAGGCCCCCAATATTAGCTCTCGGCTCGAACTATCTAATCGATCCCTGCTCTTCGCAACTTCGTACCGTATCCCTGCGTTACGATCTCAGAAACTACTCGATGCCACCAGACGCTACAGCCATTGACGCCTCCCCCATTTCAACAGGGACCTTGGACACTGGCTTCATGCGATACCCACCTCTTTCACGAGACGGTGACAGCTTCCGACTTTTGCGCGTGCTGCCTAGCTTGATGAGCAATTCTCCATTGCAATGCGAAGTATACGCAGCTTGCATTTCCCGCGAGGAAGGTCAATATGTCGCTGGCTCGTACGTTTGGGGTCCTCCGGAGCCGACGAAGTCCATCCTACTGGACGGGACGCCTTTTTCAGTACGCGAAAACCTCTCTCATTTCCTTAGAGCCTTCCGCAGTCGATACCGATCTCAGGTTATATGGCTGGATGCCATATGCATTAACCAAGATGATGTTCAAGAACGGAGCCACCAGGTTCAAGGGATGAAGCGCATATACTCTGGCGCCAAGTGCGTCTACTGTTGGCTCGGCCCTAACCTTCCATTGCCTCACACAAACGCCTTTGATCTACACCATATGAAAGATATCGTCCACTGGCGTAGCAGAGGTGCACGCCAACATATACGAAGGAGAGAGCAAGCTGAATACATAGTACAAGCGGAGTACTGGGAAAGACTATGGATCGTGCAAGAATTTCTCTTAGCAAAGCATATTGTAGTGTTCGCGGGAAGCCATAGACTCTCTTATCGCATGTTTGAAAGCATCGTACTCTCCTGGCCCTTTCATAGCACGCCGGAGTCGCTGAATGAGACCAAAACGTTCAGTCTCATACGTCTACGCAGGGAAACCGCTCGACGATCTTTTGAATCATTATTTGCGGAATTTGGCATGTTGCCATGTTCAGTCTCTCTGGATGGCGTGTTTGCTTTACTCGGCCTTGTTGGGAGCCGGGAAAAGGATCTCGAGCTTTGCAATTTGATCGATTACAGCCTTAGCGTATGGCAACTTCTGCAGTGCATACTGGACAGCGAAGTATTGTGGGAGCCATTCAAGTTTACCGAATGCTACAATCGTCACTTGATCAAGGGACAAACGGACAAGTACATGCGTAATTCCATTAACATGGAACTGGATCGGCATCTGGATTGGCGGCCTCGCGGTTCGGATCAACATAGGTATACGAATGTCAACCAGGCATCCTCACATCCGGCTGTACAAGCATTTCGGACCTGTGTTTCCTCGAAAGACAGCAGTATGGATGTATACAGCAGTATAATCTATACGCACAACTGGACGACAGTAGCAAACCAATGTTGCAGTCTACTCCGCCTTTCAACAGAGTCTTGGGAATTGCTACACGATGCTGCGTTTGCCACATACGTTCTTGTCGAAACTTGCGACTCGCAATGCACCGACGTATGCGCCTCTCATGCCATCATCGGCTTCGCTGGCGTACTACGCTCCGGCGGACACGAGCACCAGAACACAAAGCCAATGGTGCCGACAGAGCTACGACCATCGACGGACGATGCTTCCAGCGGTATGCTCAAGCTTAAACGAGACGCACAGCAACGAATAGAAGAATTGTTGCGTGTCGGAAACGAAAAGGCACGGGCAACTCAGTACAAACCCGACCATTACAGACTGGAAATGAATCTCGAATTCATGGTGCAGCTTTCTATCTTTATGGTTCATGTGGAAGAAGGTGACTGGTGGGCATTGTTTCAAGATCCGGCTGAGCTTGGAGAGGCGCTTTAAGGGATAGATGACAATGACGACGTCGTGAAGGAGATGTGAGGGGAGGTCGTGTGTAGTGTCATACAATCAGATAGCTTTAACTTGGGTTGAAGAGAGTATAGGGTCTTGCCTGCTACATAGACTTTAGCTATTTATCTATTCCAAGCGTCTACGTCGTTCTTACTTTTGTCTCTTGTCTCATACATGCGGTAAAAGGTATAACACTCGAGTGCGAATGCCAAGGCTCTAATTAAGAGCTCGAAACGACCGTCCTCAAATATGTTCAACCCAGTCCTCCAGTACGCCTCCATGTGGGTGCCTGGCCGGTAGAGTAAGACGATATATGCATAGCTAGGAGCTGCGCTGGTCAACGACCCAGTCGAATTTTCGCAACATGCTCTTCTCTGGGCCGATCAGAAGTCCAGTGACGGCCAGCAGCGGCCGATGACTAAGACTGTGAGTGCGAATGTACTCAGGGGGCGCTCAGGAGAGACGCATACAGTCAAGCTCATAGAGAGAGATTACTAGTATTTGTATAATGTCGGCAATACTCGGAGCGAGTGAGCGAGCCTGAGCCGAGTAAATTGATAGGCGGCAACGGCAACAATAACAACGTAAATAGCGCCCATTAGCCGAGTAGTAAAGGCGTACAACTCTTGCAACTGTCACTAGTGATCTCTCGTCCTGTCGACGAAAGCTGCAACCGCACTAAGCTACACGACTTTCCCGACTCTATCTACTTCATTGAGCTACCCATAAACCTTTGAATTCTAGCAAATATCGAATGCAATCGCCACAGAGATGCCCAACTACGCGCGACAGAGTTCCTTGGACCTGGACGAGATATTCGGCCACTATATCAAGAACGACAGCAACGCCGCCATGATGAGAAACATTCGTACCAAAGAGAGAATGAGCAGCGCTGTAGGTAACCGGTTGGAGGGACTCAGACTGGGAACACACTGACCTCTTCAAACACAGCATCACTGCGAGGATAAGGAGTGTGGTGGTTGCCCATCCATGAGATGTGTCAGCGCGCTGCACTTCTCTTGGTGTCTCGCACCCGTCATAGATGAGGATAAGAAGTCAGACACATACGACGAGGTCGTGATCTGTGGGCAGCGCTTTCAGTGTATCTCCCCCAAAGGATGCGCCGTACATCCATACCTAGCGGGCTTCAACCTCGACATCAAGAACGCGCGCAACAACTACCCAAATATCGAGGTCGAATGGAAGGTTATCTTCGAGTCATTCAAGGCTGAGCACGATGCAGCCGTGGCGGACAAGACGGTGGAGCAGAGGTTGTTGAAGAAGCAGGAAAAGATGACCGATCATCAAAAGAAGCGCTACCAAAAGCTGCAAGACCAAGCCGCATTCCAGAAAAGTCACGAGAAGGAGCTTGGTGTCGACCAAGAGGATACTGCCTAGGAAGTAGGACACTCTCCACCGTGTCCACCTACCACGACCCCCGCCCGACCCCGCCGAAAAGATACCAAAAAAGCCAAGAGACAGAGAGCACGCAGAGACCGTGCTAATGCAAGGGCTGACGATTACATGACCGAGGAAGACGATGTGTCAAGTGAGACAAGGGGTCTAGAGGTGAGTCTGGCGTAAGAGGAGGCAAGACCAAAGGATCAACTTGACTAAAATTCCCAAGGCCTATAGAAGGAAAGTGACATCATAGCACGATGTTTGGACGAGCATAGATTTGGTGGAAGGTATGAAGTGTGCGTTGGAACAGTGCTGGAGCTTTTGTACTCAGGCGGCAAGAGACTTCGAATTAGCAATTTGGAATGTACAATATCGCGACCACATCGCAAATCGCGTTTTTCCGCGTCGTGACTGCGTGAGGTACTGCTTTCGACGCGTTGTGTACATATGGACGCGTATTGTGATAGTAAGGAAGCGCAGGAAGGAGCGTGACGGTAACGCTAGCTGATGACGTTTGTCGGTTATGTAAGCCCACAGCGATGTGGATCCTCGGTAGCTGTCACTCCACGCCGTTACCCACAACCCTAACATAAAAAAAACGCATTCCTTTGTCAACCCATGCCAGCCTACCGCCTCCTCTGTACCGGCGGCTCAAAAACAAAATCATTCACTCCTCCGGGAAGGCTCGAACTTCCAACCTCCTGATGACTGCTACTGCAAGCTGTAACAGTCAGACGCGCTAGCCAATTGCGCCACAGAGGATAACTGAATTGTGATGTGCAAATCCTCGATTGACTGGACCGTCATTCCAGGGCGTGCTCAATCCATCATGCCTTCTACATGTCGACCCACAGCTACCCAGTCCATACAGGTGGGCCCGGGATGTTGTATATCTGGGTAACGTCGTCAGCACAAGGCATTTGAAGCATCCCCGTGTCTCTATCGAACGTACCGTCTTTGCCGAGACCTCAGGACTGTAAATGTCGATATTGATCTCAGGTTCTACCAACGATCAGCCGCATGCTCTCTTTTGCCATTAGAATACGTACGGTCCATACTCCACACCCCTGGAATCTTGACCATATACTCCTCGCTGGGAATTGAGCCTTCCTCTTTATCGTTCGTGACTTCCAAATGCGCGCATTCAGGGTAAAATTGTGGTTCTGAGCACCCCAAACCGTTAGCGCGTTGCACCTTCCGTCATCCTCGAAGAGCTGTAGCTGGAGGAAGGAACCATGAACATACTATTCGCTGAATGCAAGCTGATGATCTCATGTCTTACCAAGTACCTTCCCGCTTTCAGCCCTATTGGCACTGTCTCACTCCACAAACTTGGACTCCCATCCCACATACTGAACGTCTTCTGGAACCACTCTCCAGTTTCGATGCTACCTTCCGACAAGCCCTTCTCGCCAATTTTGAACCAATCTGCAGTCTCGCTAGAAAAGGTCGCGCAGTCATTCTCGGCGTTGTTGCAGTATGCCATCCAGGCTATCATGGGGCCGACGGTATGCACCCAGTATGCATAGACGGCGGTTATGTTTTCGCCCGCGCGAATAGGTATGTAGGCGCGGGCGGGTGTACCGGGGGTGTTGCATGAAAGAGATGTATTGGTGGTCTCAAAGATGGGGTTGTTGGAGGTCCATTTTCTTTGTGGCATCCATGCGGCAGCATCCTGGATGGCCTGGTCGCCATAGGGATCATAGCTGCGAAGAGCGTCAACTGGATCGACTTGTTCACCTTCCAGAAGAACTCGGCATCTTTTACTTACCCAGGATACCATGTATTTCCGACAGTGTAGTTCAGAGCTCCGCCGTGAGCGGAAGCATACCGGGCGAAGAGTACGGCGGTGAATGCGAGAAGAGGCCACATCGTGAATGTCCTTACCCTGAGCGGAATATGATTACAGGTAACTATACGAGCGAGCAAATCTGTTCTGAGGAAAATATTCTGTCTTGTCGTCTGCTCAAAGTTGCTCAAAGAAAGCAGGACGACCGCCGCGAAGCTCCCCACATGACACCAATGTCCGCCTCATATAACGTACCAGACATTCAGCGCAGCCACCCTTCTATCCGCAGGTTTGAGTAAGCAGCACTCGCTCATTCTCCTGTCTCTATATTGCGCTACTTTCTAAGCCTCGCGAGGCTTGTCTAAACGCTGCGCCTGACGTCAAGCTTCGTTCGGCACTTAGAACAGCTGGATTAGACTCTGAGAATGGGCCGACCAGTAACATCAAGTCCTTGTGTTTCATATCGGCAATCGCAAAGTGGTAGACGTGGAGTGCATGGATACAGACATATGCGGGTAATGTGCGAAAAATGCTTGGTATGAAGCTTGATTGCGAGCACCTTGCCCTTTATCCGGAGCTACCTAACAAACGCTCTGATGAACGCTGTACTTCATGTGGCGCCACAGGCTTCGGACACTACATGACAAGACGAAGATACCGACTTCCACGAATGACAGTCGACCCCACTCTGTCAATGCGGAGCTTGTGCGTGTATATAGTGACGAAGCTCGAACATGAGACTGTCAGACTACCTCCAGCTCCCACAAGATGCTTATCCAATTTCTCACTACAAGTCTAGCACTTGCTTCGGGTGTTCTCGCTGCGCAATTGACACAGATCTCCAACTATGGTGGTAGTGCGCGAGCGAAACCAGGCATGTGAGTAAGACTTATCCCCCATTTGCCTCTGACTAACACGCTACCTAAGGTGGGTGTACGTACCCGACCAGATCAAGAGCGATGCGCTAGTCGTGGCGATTCACTCATGCCAGTCATCGGCGCAGAAGTATTTCCAAAACTCCTTGATCCCATGGAAGAAAGGGTCAGATACCAAAGGTTACGTGACAGTCTGGCCGAGCTCCACGACTGAGTGCTGGGACGTGTCCAGCAAAGCTTCGTTATCGCACAACGGTGGTGGTGATTCGAACGCTATTGCGAACATGATCGTCTATGCGATCGACAAGTACAAGATCGACCCCAAGAAGGTGTTCGTTACGGGTGGCTCCTCAGGTGGCATGATGAGCAATGTTCTCGCCGCCACATATCCCGATCTCATCAGCGCCGTGTCTCTGTACTCGGGTGTACCGGCTGGGTGTTTCATCTCTGCATCCGGAGCAGCGGCAGCATGGAATAATACCTGCTCCGGCGGACAGTCCATTTCGACTGCGCAGCACTGGGGTGACGTAGTTCGAGGGATGTTTCCTGGGTACAACGGAACACGACCGCGCATGCGTAAGTCCCAGTCCAAGTAAGCTGATGAGCCACATTCTGACTTCTCAAGAATTCTGGCATGGCTCGGTTGACGGAACGTTGAGTCCGAAGAACTACGACGAGACGCTGAAGCAATGGACTAACGTGTTTGGCGTGAGTACCACGCCAACGAGCTCGAGGAAAGATACGCCAGAGCGCAACTACCGCACTGACGACTTCGGCCCGAGTGTTGAAGGCATCTGGGCAGTAGGTGTCGGCCATAGCGTTCCTTCGCATCTGACCGTATCGGAAGCCTGGTTTGGGCTATAATCGGTCAATGGCTCTCGCTCCTACGATGCACTTCCTTTGGTACTTCCAGCGTAGCCCTTCGTTCTGGTCGTCGGACAGGGCTGATATCGGGACGCGGCGAATCCTGTATAGGAGGCGGAGATGTACTGCCCTCGATACCTGATGTAGATGCAATGCTTGCCGCATATACGCTATTTTCCCTTTCTTCGCGGAGTTTACTGTACGTGCGACTGATCCTTTCTAGATCGGGATTTCGTAGGACCTCGCCAGGAACTTCGGGAAACCTATGAGTGTCTTCGTCGTTGCCGACGTGATCTGTATCGAGCTTCTCATGGGCAGCGTCGCCCAGATAATTGCCAGCAGAAGTCAGCCATTTGCGCACAACGTTTCTGCCAGCTGTCGGCTGATCGGCTTGAGTATTCTCTTGCTGATCATCTTGAGGAGAAGGGCTGGGGTGGGGGCATTCGGAGCCGGGATGCGTGATAGTTGGGATCAGTTCAATAGCGTTGGGCGACTCTGAGCGTATGCCCAAGCCGTTCTCTGTAATACCCTTGGGGCTGAAGTAGGTGGAGGAAGGAGGCCGCGGAGATGGTCGTCGCTCGCTACTACGACTGGGGCGCGATGAGCCAGAGTTCTCATAATGATCCACAGGCTTCCCCTGCGGAGCCTCGTCACCACCAGTCGACCACAGGATATATAGAGAGCCAAGTGCGGCCAAGATTGTTCCGGCTATGGGTGACCATTGCCCTGGTTACTTTGTCAGCATCGAGCATACCACTGCGTCACTCTACTCACCAATCGAAGCCATAGGTTCCGTCATATGTCGCACCTGAGGGCTGAAGAAGTTTGCTTCCCCGACCCCAATGATTGTAATAATCACCCCGCCAAACAACGGTATCTCAATGACGCTCAAGAACTTTCTCACGACGTTGTTGATGCCTTTCATCTCCCCAACGGTCATGTTGGCCCCCTCGATCCGAGCGTCTAGCGGTTCCACGTGACGTCGTCTCTTCCAGTTGATCTCCAGGATCTTATCCCAGGTAAAGATCAGAGACAGTATCGCAGGTATGCAAAACCCGGCCGAGAGCAGCATGGCGGCGTTGAAAGTCAGGATGCGCGGCACGGGAATGACATAGACGTCGGCGGCAGATCCGCCTCGCATCGGAGAGTTTGGACCCACGCTTTCAGAGCACGTCAAATTGCAATTAGCATGCTCGTACGGAAATTTAGCGGCACCTTGGAAAGGGTTCCCATTGTCGTCGCTACTACAGGCCGTCGGAGTAACCCGGTAGAACTCGACGCAGAGGGCCAACAGCCCCATCAAGATCAGTATCGTCCAGAGAAAAATTATGTTGCGACCGGGAGACTGGAAATAGGTTCGCGACAGTCTCACAGTGAGAGGCGCTGCTAAAATGCCAATTGCGCAGAACTGGAAAGCCTGCACAGACGGAAAGGATCGATCAGTGCTTGTCGCACGGCATAATAACACCAAGAACTTACGCCGTAAATATCCATATCGACGCCGCCTATTGGGGTTTTAGGTCAGAAATGCGCTTCTTGGAGTTCTTGGTGGCTGTTGTACTGACCATTCGTATGCGCGGCTGCTAGCACGAGGGCCTGCAGGGCCGAGATGGCCGGCAGAATCAAGACGGCTGCCAGACAGGTGTTTCGCAGCCATTCTGCTTTGCGAAAAGTTACACATGCGGCGACGAGCACATAGTACAGGATCTGTATTCATGCATCAGTCCTCTGATAGGCCCAGATCCGCTCTACACGTAGTATGGAGTTGGTACTAACCCTTGATCCGGCTCCGTAGTTGGACGAAATGGGCCAGGCGCAGACGACTTGTAGCGTTGGGCTAGACGTTGTAGCGGTCGAGGTAGCGGTTGCAAAATCGGATAGCGCTCTAGTTGCAGACATGCTTCCCTGGTATGGGTAAAGACAGATGAGATGAAGACATTGCTGGACGGGCCGTCACGAAGGGAGGGCAGCATAGGTATTGCGAAGCGTGCATAAGGGCGCGACTCCGGGGTAAGGCGTGCCATGTAGATCCCCAATGGTTTGGGGCAATGCAGATTACCGGTGAACTACATCGTCTTCGCCTGTCGCAGTTGCATAGGGCGAGAGGCTGAGTGGAAGGCATGACCTGTCAGCGACTGGACCCTCTCTCAATACGGGAGGCGCTACCTGCTAGCGGCCCAACCGGCGCCGAGATGCCATCATCTTGTCATCCTGGGCTGCGAGCACCGCCTCCTTGGCCGCACATGTCGCGACAATACAAGAGCCTCACTTGCCTGCCGTCATGCCCATGTCGCGCGTCACCGTACAAGCAATTTCTCGGCATCGGTACTGAAGCCCACGGTCGCGAAGGAGGTCCAGGCACGCCGGCACACAGATCGCCTGCAACGTCTAGCGGGCATACGTACCCATCAATCGGCCCTTACTCAGAACCCAAAAGCTTGTTCTTGCACTTTTTAAACGTCAGGATATCTCCCGGCGGTTTTTTCTGGCCCCAAGACCATCTTGCAGTGTGAATTTCCAGCATTGCTACGGGGCGCAACATGTTGACTCAGCGCGCCACAGAGACAGAGAGGCCTGATCTTGATACTAGCAAGATCAAAGAGTGGCGCTCAATAGTGACCCTCATTGTTTTCGTATTGACAAGTAAGTAGTGTGTGTATACTGACATTGCAGATGGCGCACTAACGAGAAAATGCTGTAGACATCAATGTTCTGTTTCCATTCCACATACCCATCTATGTGCCGCGGATAATATGGACCCCATTCCTCAAGACCGTGAGCGCGTTGCGCATCATCGCACCACCACAACACCCAACGAGGGTCCGGAATGGCAAGCCTGGACCATTCGTCCGGTTCGACTTTCCCATGAACTTTATAACAACACCTCTGGTAGCGGATCTCTTTCTACTTGCCATTCTTGCCATTGGCGCAAAAGAAGTGAGAGGCGGCACCCTTGGTGATCAGGGTATTGTTCCATACGACATCATGCTGTTCTTTCTCTCCCTTGCTTACATCGCCATCTCTGTCGATGCTTCCGGTCTCATTCGATGGCTGGCTTTCAAGGTTCTGCAGAAAGGAGGAAAAGTCGGCCATCGGCTGTTCTTCTACCTGTATGCCTTTTTCTTCCTTCTCACAGCCTTCATCGGTAATGATCCGGTCATCCTATCTGGTACTGCGTTCCTGTCGTACATGACGCGCGTATCAAGCAACATCAAGCACCCAAGGGCGTGGATCTTCACGCAGTTCTCAGTCGCCAACATCGCATCGGCGATACTGGTATCATCCAATCCGACCAATCTAGTCTTGGCGGGCGCGTTTGGGATTACATTCATCAAGTACACGGCAAACATCATCGTACCGGTTCTCGTCACAGGAATCGTACTGTATCCTTTCTTGTTGTACATCATCTTTCACGACGAATCTCTGATCCCCGCCTCCATCAAGATGGAAGACCTTCCAGATGAGCTCAAGGTAAGCGTCCCACAAGGAGAGGCGTCATAGTCAGTGCTGATAATGCTCCCTCCAATAGAACAAGAAACCCGTCAATCCCAATATTCCTTTTGCCAAAGGTGGACTGGAAGAGAACGACAGCGATCCCAGCAGCGACGACGACGAACAAGAAAAGAAGTTGTCCCTCGAGGAAGTCTTGAACCCCTTCTTGGATAGGAAAGGCGCAATGTTTGGAGCAGCGATTATGGCAGCTACGCTGATTACTGTTTTGGCAATCAATGCTGCCTCTCAAGGTTCTCATGAACGTCCGGTGTTCTGGGTCACTTTACCTGCTGCATTCGTTATGCTTATCTTCGATCTCACAATGGGTTGGCTGAACAGAGCAGAGACACGTAAAATCGCTCACGAGGGCCGACGCAGGGCAGAGGCTGCACTTGCTGAAAGAGCTGAGACTAGAAGGCAGTCTGTCATACAGGAAGAGCTGGACGCCGTTGCCACTCACGCGGATCACGAAACGGCCCAGAACCCCGAGGAGAAGTCGCAGCCATTGGCTGAGGCGTCCAGTCACATATTGAGCGGTCGAACACGAGAGATGATGGGCGCTGAACTCTCGTCACAGGAAGAGAAGAAGCTGGAGCCATCCAAGAGACCGATGCCAACCACCCTCGCATCACTCGTCGCAGACACGTATAGATGGGCACAGGAGACGTTTCCAACAACTATGACCGTGTTCCATCATCTCCCTTTGGCGCTCGTTCCCTTTGCCTTTTGCATGTTCGTGCTGGTTCAGGCTCTAGTCACGAAGGGCTGGGTTCCGGTCTTTGCACATGCATGGGACCACTGGGTTGAGAAGACTGGGACGGTTGGAGCGATCGGCGGCATGGGCTTCGTCTCAGTCATACTCTGTAACGTGAGTCTCCGTTTCACTATAACACTTCAGTAGCTAACCTTTGACCAGTTTGCTGGAACTAACATCGGCACCACAATCCTCATCTCCAGAGTGGTTCAATCGTGGCAAGAAATCCACCGTCAGAACGGCATTCCGATTTCAGATCGAACGTTCTGGGGCACGATATACAGCATGGCGATCGGCGTCAATTATGGTGCTTTCAGTCTCGCGTTCAGTGCATCGCTGGCTGGCATGCTCTGGCGCGATATTCTGGGCAGAAAGCACATCCGTGTTGGTGGACTGGAGTTTGCGCGCGTCAATCTGCCCATCATTGCGATCACCATGCTCGTCGGTCTGGTCGTTCTCGTTGGCGAGATCTACATCATGAGGACCGATAACCCTTATGATAGCTGATGAGCCAGAACATAAGGGCTGTACATATGTATTGTAAACTGCGCTGTACGCCACGTCAAAAGTATTGTTTCCTCTTCCGACCTTCTCAGTCGCCATCGCCGCATTTGGACGTACAGCAACAGCCTGGAATGAACTATACGGAGTCCTGTGTTCAGGCCATTACTCTTCTGAAGCTTCGTGCTTTGATGATAGTACTAGGCTTGGGAACGAGACGAGCGGCGACTGGGAAAGAGACATCAACAGATGGATGGACGGCGGATCAAGCATGGAAATGGAAAATGGGGGGATTGCGGCTGGGGAAGACAGGCACAGCGCGAGACCGTCATGTACACATCTGCAGTTGAAGACGACGATGGGCCGACACAAGATTCTAGACCATAGACGCGCGCGCGAAACCAAATCCGGAGAGACCATTGACAGCACGGTCACCGTCCTACTCATGTCTTTTCGCTCCATCAACAATGCGAACGTCATGACTGTCCAGTGTCTCAAAGCTTTGTCCCTTCTCGTGACACCAGCAGTATCGCGTTAGCGCGCTATTAGCGCAGGCCCTGATTTCCGTTATTCCACGCCTACGACCTCCGATACTTCCACAGAAAACATTCTCAGCAACTCAGCATGGAGACTGCAAAGCCTTTCCGCAGCGATGGGCCTACGCTTGAAGCAGCCAAGGCAGAGCTGTCAAGGTCAGTGATTACAACACCGATCGCTATAAACGATTACTCACACCTTACAGGCTTCTCGCAGAAGAGATTTCCATCCAGACCGAGTGAGTCTTGTTTTTGGGCGATCGCACAAGGTTCTATATCTAAAATCCCACGCAGGCTTGATAAGTTCAAGAACAAGGTTGCAGAGCTCGAGACCAAGCGAACGACAGTAGGCAAGGACTGTCAACACCTCAGCCGCATCGTCACTGAGAAGCTGTGCCGCAACTTCGTCGACAAGTTCCACGCCACTCTACCACCAGAGCTCCGCGAGATGGTCTACGACTACGTCGGGAATGAGCCCATGCACAGGCTGGTCTTCGATGACGTGACCTTGTACGAGAAGACTTCGAACACTACAAGTGTCCCGCTTTCCGTCGCGTCGACTGACCGTCGTGGGCGAGCCAATATCAACTCGGCGCCTTGGTCCGTACCCTGTGGGCGAAATACCCGTCGCTGTTTCCATTGGCAGGAGCTTCCGTTCTGGGTCCAGCACCAGTATGTTGGAAAGGACGTCGCAAAGGAAGTCGCCAAAGCATACTATCGCAATATGAACGCCCGTCAGTTGGATGCTGATCACCTCGATGGTCTCACCGACTTGTTGTCGGAAGATCACTTCCACCTCAGTGTCAAACCTGTCGACCACATCCGCCGCCTGGAGCTCTCCTTGGCGGAGGATGCTTACATCCAAGACGAGGACCGATTGAAACACTCTATTCAGAGCAAGAAGGGCCAAGACATCTTCCAGCACCATTTCGAAAAGCTCTTGGACGTGCGTGTCAAGAGGGGTTTCCACCTGACGATCAAGCTCAAATGGGATGGTGCTCGCATCTACTGTACACCGGCCTTGGAGCGCTCACGTCGCGTTGTCAACGTGTTGATGAATGAGGGTGCCATAGTCACTGTAGTTGCTTGGGAGAAGAGCCAGCGCGCAGAGTACAACGTCTCGGACTACTACGCACTTGCGCCGGAAGATTGGCAGGCAAAGTGGACAAAGAAGGTGCGAAAAGACCAGCGTCTGGAGGGCCGTCGCTCTAACTCCTACGTGGACTCTTGGATGGCGTTTATCGAGAACTCCTCCCAAATTGACAACGACATTGTTGACGACGACCTCATGGATGATTCGGAACAAGAGAACTTGAAAGACGAGGCGTTTATGAAGGCTTTGGCTGGCTTGGAAGGTCCCAAGAGGAGTGTTTCTAACCCGTTTGCCGACTACTACACACTTCTTGATGAAGATTCCGATCTGGAGGGCTCTTTTTGAGGTCAGCTCGGATTTCCTGCGTGACAGCTCCGGTCACATCTAGGTAGTAATCAGCGCCCAGCATGTTTGAGCGGACACGTCAGTCTAAGGGAAAAGACTGGACACCCTGGAGCCTACATCCACGTTAGGTCACCCACTTTGCATGACTTTGTCTTGATGTAGTCTCTAGCCTTGTTCGGTTTTTTCTTGTATGAGATGCGGAGGCACAAAAGGGTACACTTGGCTAGCGGACGTAATACTCGGGGCCTCTACCATGCTTCACTAGCTTTCCTGATAAACACAAAGACAAAGTCAAATCATCTCTCTTTCCCTTGTTTCGCGCGAGAATGCAGGAGCATCTTCCGTTCTTTAAAATCATCCCACCTATCGCCAAATATGGCAAGGACAGTGTTTTCACAAACAAGCAGTTTAAACAGTATACGTGATACGCAACAGCCAAAACGGCGTTGCAGGACAAGTTCAATTGATTCATCCCAGATCCCCACCAAATATTTTGTTGCCTAGTAAAGGACCCCGCGGGAAGTCTTATCGCCCCGTACATCAACACCAAGAAAATACCCTTCAGGGCGACCACAGATCAGAATCTCTCCAAAGAAACAAGTCCAAGAATAAGGAGGCTCCGGCGTTTGCAAGCCAAGGAGTAGACGCCAAAACGCACACCCAGATGTTTTATGACTAGTAGAAGAGAAAAGGAAATCGACCTGTACCCGACCAGCGCCATGCTTGCTATGTACAGTTGCTGCAAAAGAAAATGGAAAACTAAGGTATCGCAAACGAGATTAGAAAAGTAGCGATTAAGTGGTATCGTGCTTGAGACATTACAAGGAACTTCGTAGACAGAGTGTCGCTGGATGGGCATATCCGATCCAGCGAGAAAGATCAGATAAGAGCGTAGCAGGATAGGATACCACTACCGCTACGCTGCGGGCGAGGTCATGGGTGATATGGCAGGTGATTCATCGGTACGCCGGTTGTCGCTCGTACCCGAGACGATGGTAAATGGCGCCGTAGAACCCGCTGGTGGGGCGGGCTTCACCGCTACACCATTTGGCTTTGGCTTTGGCGTCAAGACCGCAGAACCCGGTGGCGTTGTATCCGACTCTTCTTCTGGAATTGTAGGACAGTATGTTTTGAGAACGTGTTTGAGGGCGGGTCGGCGGATAGGTTTCGAGAGGAAAAAGTCCATGCCTGAGTCAAGGCATTCCTGTGACAAATTAGTACGATAGTAGCGAGATCAGAACAGAGATCAAATACCTTCACGTTACTCTCCTCCGCGTAAGCTGTCAGCGCGACAATGGGGGCCGAGAAACCAGACTGTCGGATGAGTCGCGTTGATTGCAACCCATCCAGGTTGGGCATTTGGACATCCATGAAGATGAGATTGTAGGGAGCTTGACGTTCCATACTTTCCATGACCAAGTCGAGCGCTTCCTGGCCGTCCTTTGCGACAGTAACATCGTACACGTCTTCGAGCTTCAACATGCGCAGCACGACCTCTTGGTTTGTCTTGTTGTCTTCGGCGACGAGCACCTTGACCTTGTCTCCACGTTTGGTAGCTTCGGCTTCAACACGCTTCATAGCTGCAACCTGCGAGTTTGGTGATTCTAATGGCGCATTCGAAGCGAAGAAAGGCTGACTAAGACCGACGAGACGAGGCTGGGTATCTGTGTCGAATGCAACTGGTCCGGACGGAGCAGTAGCGGCGGTGTTCCCAGCGACGATCGGGCCACTTGTAGCGGACTGAATCGAGCGGGCCGAAAGCGCGTCATCATGTGAGCGACCTCGCGGCGGCTCGTCGATCGATAAGCTGCGGCGCGGTGTCCCGGTTTCCAGGTTCACGTTTCTGGAGCTGGCTGTACTGTCGGCCCGACTTGTAAGGTGCTTCAACGGTATTACCATAGTGAAGACGCTTCCGTGGCCGACCTCACTCTTGAGACCAATCGTGCCCTTCATCAAACCAGCCAGCTGCGAGACGATACTCAGGCCAAGACCGGTGCCACCAAACTTCTTGCTTAGACCCAAGTCGCCTTGGACGAAAGGCTCGAAAATCTTGGCATGTAGATTGTCGGGAATACCTGGGCCAGTGTCCTCGACCTCGAACTCGAAAGACAACCACCGTCCCGGTGGCGGTGTTGCGGCTCGCTCCTGAGCCATGTAGCGGGAGAAGGCATCTCCCTTGCCCATTACGTTGATGACGTTGGCAGTTCCGTAGTTGTTTTCGGGCGTGTTGACTGAGATGGATCCTACCTCTGACGCAGAGGCTCTTACGCGAGTTTTCGAGTTGCGCGTTGAGCTTTGGCGTGACTGCAGAGACGCCTTGCGACTGTCTGACATGTGTGCCTCTCCAGGACAACGGATCGTAAGCGTGACAGAACCACCCTGTGGCGTAAACTTGAGACTGTTGGATACCAAGTTGATGACCACCTGGAGTATCCGATGTTGGTCGCCGTACAAGACCATATCCTTGAGTCGACCAAGCCCGAAAGGGCCGAGGTCGCGGAGCTCGTTGGGCCGTCCGCTGTCGTCCAGGTTGTTTTCGTATGGTCCCTCGAATTCGACAGCGAGCTTGATGCCGCCCTCTCTTGCTTGCTTTTCGAAAATGGCCAAGACTTGAGAGCTGATGTCCCGTAGCCGGAACTCTTTCTCGTCAAGACTGAGCTGCTGACCGACCTGGTTCTTGCTAAACGTCAAGAGATCTGTCAGTAGATTGAGTAGCAAGTCTCCACTCTTGTAGATGATGCCTAGCGACCGTCTCAGCTTGTTTGGATCGTCTTCCGACATGCACACGGCGCACATGCCCAGAATACCGTTGAGTGGGGTCTTCAACTCGTGCGAGATGTTCGCAATGAACAGCGTCTTGCTCTCGTTAGCCGCCTCTGCCGCCTTCTTGCTCTGTTCGAGTTCAGCTGTTCTTTGTGCCACGCGCTCTTCCAGCTTCTCATATTGCATCATCAATTCATCCGTCATCTCGTTGAAGGTCGTCGTCAGATCCGTGAGTTCATCGTGGATGAAGTGTTTGCGGTCCTTGACTTTGCCTGGGATACGAAACTGTCTCCGTCGCTCGGCTTCCTTCTTCTCTGCTCGGTTGAGTTTTGCGTTTCTCCGGTAATGTATGATCTGACCAAAGAAGCCCTCTTTGCGGGCGAGGGCCGCGTCTTCCGAACTGTCGTTGGCGCCATCGTTTTGCGAACTGAAGTCGTCGTCCTCAAACACGTGAGGCGCCACTGTCTTTTTGGTAGCGTCGCGTAACCTTCGGATGGGCTGACTGGAGAAGTGTGCCACGGGAAACGCCAGGAGTAGCATTGCACCCATTGTGCCAAACACACAGGCGAGAATGACGTTACGGAGGTGGTAGATGGGTCCCCAAACCTCATCGTGGGTCTGCTCTACCACAATCATCCAGTCGACCATGGGACTGGTAACGACAGCGTACCCAACAGCAACATCGTCGCCATGCTCGTTGTTGGTAGAGATGATGCTGCCAGCGTTGTTGGTGGCGCCGGTAGGTTTGGTGAAACCCTTGCGAATGGCGGGATATCGTGTCCAGTCGAATGGAGGTGGACTGAGAGAGGTATCGTATTGACCATGCCGTTGGACCTTTGCTCGCTGTGTTGGCGGAGCGAGGTAGCGAACCTGTACGTTCTCGGGAGCGTTGGGGGTAGCGGCATCGTACAGATATCCTGGAGGGAACGTATTCGTGGCGTTGTCCGGCCCGAACAGTAGGGTAAGACCACTATTGTCCAGACCCTCGGTCGCGTCGACAACAGTGGTGATAAGCGACGCATCCAGTACAGCCGTCAGCCATCCTAGGGTGTCGATGTTGGATGTGTTGTTGATGATGGGTATGGTGACAGACACCAAGCTGAGGGTTTCGTTGACGCGGTAGGGCCCGGAGAAGAGGTAGCTCGTGTTGTCGATGGTCCTGCCTTCATAGTGTGCCCTGTAGGTGTTGACGGTGTCATTGTAGGGAATCGTCTCGACAGAGAACTTGGGGTAGAGTTGAGGAATGAAGCCGTACTCGTTGTCGCCTAGTGTCGCATTCTCGCCGTTGGGTTTTACTATGGGCAGCACAACGTCCATCATGCTCAGTGCGGTCCGGCTGAAGAGGGAGCGGTCGGAGGAATTGAAGGGGTATATCTGGGCCTGGACGGCCACACGGGTCCGCATGTCACCAGAGAAGATGGCATCGTAGTCCTCCTCGACTCGGGCCCAGTTGGCGTCCGAGTTGTTGCCGTCGTAGTAGCGATTGAGGGCGGCTTGCGGGGAGAGGCGGTTCGCAGCCTGCTGGGAGATGATTTGCATGAGGTTCAGGTTCGAGGAGAGCTGGGCGGCTTTGAGCGAAGCTGTCAGCGTCAGGCGAGTCGAGCGGATGTTGAGCACGAAGTTGTGGTTGGTGAGCTGGCAAAGTCAGTACCAGCATAGACGAGTATACAGCGTCAATATGTACCCATGTTGCAACGGCCATGACAGCCAGGCCTATCATGGAAGCCAGCAGAACCAGACATCCCAACTGTTCGCGGATGGGAATCCGCATCTTGACCATGGCTCTGCGAAGAGTCGCAGGCTATTCTGTCGACGTGCTTTGAGGGGAGCAACGCAGCCCGGGGACGGTGGGAGAATGCGCAGCCGGGGCGGATCTCACTCAGCTGTCCAAGCGGTACCGGCAAGCTGACAGACGCGAAGGGCGGGTGTTGTGGGTAGGCAGAGGGGCATGTGCGAGTCCCATTCCTCGCAGCGGGCGGCGTCGGAGTTTTCCAGGCGTATCGTGGACGATCAGTACAGGATCTCGATTCAATCTGGGGCGGCTCGCAGAGGGCAGGCGCGCAGGCGAGGTGGAGTGAAAGCACGACCAAGGCTGCTAGGCCCGAAGCAGCTCGAACAGGTGCGTCGGCCTCTGGTGCTACAGGGTATATATTGCTTTTGGCCGCAGGTCCCGGGCGAACGATTACGAGCAGTGAATTGGCGAAAAGAGAGGACGAGCTGGTGCTCGGGCGGGCGCTGGCGATGAGTGGGAAGCTGGACGAGCAGCTCGGCGGCGGCGGCTCGGTGCACGTCGCAGTCGCGTCCGCGGTGGTGGAAAAGGGCAGAGGGCGGGCCTCCCGGGGAGAGATTAGGCGTTGGTCCCTTTGGGCTAGACGCCTCGAACGTTGAACATGGGCTGATTGCTCCAGGCCCAGGCGGAGGCTTGGGTTCGCCACAGCTTGCAGGCCTGCCCACGGCGCTGCATGAACAGAGCAGATTGCGCTGTGCAGAGGCGTGCCATCCAGACACGCACTGCTGTCAGCCACACTCAGCATCACCACGCTGTCTGCTGTCGTGTTTGGGGAGCCCTCGCGGCGTCGACTCTCCACCAGCAAACACGAGTTCGAGCCACTTGGCAAGCGGGGATGGCCTTGTCGTCTTGGACGGGCCCGTCTCCACCTGCTCTTTTGATCGCCGGATTGGCTCGAGTCGGTGCGATCCAGAACCTTCGCCCGCGTCGGGCGCGCATAGGGGGTTAAGCGTCCTGCGTCGCCTCCGAGGCACGACTGGCATGACTGGCATGACTGGCATGCAGCCACCGGCATGAAGAAATAAACCATCACGTCGAAACATCAACATCACAACGGCTGTTAGGTGGTTGCTAGCACTCGTTACCCGGTCCGCGCCGCTGTCTCGAGTAGTGCGCCAGTGCTGTCACGCCGTTTTCTAGCCTCATGACGCCGTTGCCGATGCTCTGGTACACATGCCCCAGATCGACACACGTCTAGTCATTAGGTGCTTCCTCGGCCCTTCCACGCGTGGCACAGGCACAGCAATATGGTAGCTTTCGCATCTTTCGGTCAGCTAATATCTGCATTGTACCACGTAATATCCAACCTTCGGCTACCTGAATGCTATCCTGCCCAGTTGCCCAAACTCGAGTAGCCTGCTGTCGAGCCCCGATGCAGCGACGGTAGCGGCATCTCTCTGCCCACAGACCCTACCCTCCCCAGCCCATTCGTCTTCGGGTTCGTGTAGTTCCTACCCATTCTTTTGAAAAAGGTGGCGACAATCATGACGCCGCAGACCACCTTGTCCATGCCGCCTGGCGCCAGTGTCAGTCCGTCGCGATACATGGTCAAGTCACCAACCGCCTCGCCCCTCAGTGCCAGCACGCCCTTTTCTGAAAACACAAAGCGCGCAATGACCTTGGCAGAGTCCTTGTCACTCAGGACCAGTGCAATCGGCCGCATGTCGAGTGCCCAGACGTACGTCTTGTCGTCGATGGTGAAACTCCAATCCTCAAAGTTCAACGACTCCATCCTATACCGCGTACACAAGCCATCTTCCGCGGTGTAATCGAAATGCGCGCGGGGCCGCCAGGGGAAGCCTCCGTCGTTGTCATAGGACAGTGCGGCTATGTTGCGCTGTCGCATGTCCTGCCAAGTATGGAGCACCTCCATCTCCGGCTTCTTGGAGAAGACGCGGAAGCTGTTGGTTGTAATTCGGTACGAGGGAGCGACGGGCGCATCGTGGGCGGCGAGCATCTGTATCTTGCGATCATACTGGCGAAGACAGTAGGTAGCGAGGGGCGTGTCGTGTGCGCCGTAGGCAGGGGCTGGCATAGCCTCGTCATAGCCAGGAAGCTCGTTGTCGTACTCGACGTCGAGGGAGTCCAAAGCGTTTGCACGCAGCATGGCCGACATGGTGCATTTAGTTGTCTTGTCTGCTGCTAGTCGAAAGGCCGTGGCATATATACCCTCGCTGCACGCATTGCACTCGTAGGGAATGCGACACCCATTGCGCGCGTGAGCGCTCGGCTGGCCTATGACGAGGACAAGAACCGGTGCCGAGCCAGCCATTCGCCGTGTTAGTCATCACTAGACGCGTGAAGCATGTAACCCACGTTAGCCTTTACTTACTATTAGAGAATGTCCGGTAACGCAAGACGACTAGAACTGTACCTACCCTGGACAATTCACGTGAGCATTCGTGCATAGTTCCTTGAGATCGCAGTAGCTGCGCGCTGAACGTACGTTAAGCACCCAGCTCTTTCGAAATACTTCTGATGCAATCCCCACCTGCGCTTAGCCATCGTAAAAAATATCTACCATGTCTCAATGCTTGTTTGACCCGTTCTCTGCCACCGCGAGCGATCTCCAACAACTCTTGAAGCAAGGGACAATTTACTAGCGTACAGATTGTTGAGGAATATCGACAGCACATTTAGAAATACAACGACAAACTACGCGCGATCATCTGTGTTTCATCGAACGTGACCGAGATCGCACGAGCTCTTGACGATGAAAGAAAGAATGGCAAGGTTCGGGGCCCTTTGCATGGAATACCAATCATCGTGAAGGTACGCACTCGGACTCCGAGCTGATGTAGGTGACATTAAATCTCCAGGATGCCTTCAATACCAACAGTTCCTTGGGAATGCCAACTATAGTTGGACCATTCGCTTTCACGAATACAAAGATATCGAAGAACGCAGCTATCATCGATGCGGTAAGCACCTAACGGCTAACTGATGCGCGTGCAAGACTGACAGATAACGGGCGGCTAGAGGCTCTTCCACTTTATCTGCAATGGGAGTCGCAGCCGGATTCAGTCCGATCTCTCTAGGCATCGAGACCTCTGGTTCTTTGACTTCGCTCGCCAGTTGAGTAGCGCTTTATGCCCTCAGACTAACACTCGGCGCAGTCAGCATGGAAAGTGTACGGCAAGTAGCTGCTTCTTTCGATACAGCAGGCGGCATGGCAAAGTCACCCTTAGACCTTACGCTACTTAGCGATGTTTTGTTGCAGCAAACCAATGCAGATAGACCTTCTCTCGTGGAAGCGATGCAAAACAACTGGACGGGATTACCATAGGGTTCGTTGACATTGAACTCTGGCGGCTTCCGTTAAAAGCCCGCAGAGACGTTCCAGGGTACAATGAACAAAGTGTAAGTATCTTGAATGTGGCTTATGGCTGTTCTTGGATTGCCCGGACGCCTTATGCTGAAGCTCAGGCAGGTGAACGACTACCAGAGCGTCATCGACTTAGTTCGGACATCCGGGGTGCGTGTAGTATATCCAGTCTTTATCACTCCGCCAGTAGATTGGTTGGTCGAAGGAGGAACCAACGTCGATGATCTCATGGATGATATTAGTGTTCTGCCCCAACTAGAATGGCTTGCTGAAAGCGCAAGAAATGTCATTGAGTGCAGAGGAGACCACGAAGATTCTCAAGATCTGTAAAGACTGGGCCGCTGTGGAAGGAGTGGACAAGGTGATGTATGAGCACAAGGTCGATGCTATCGTAGCTGTCATTGCGAGAGCAAACGAAGAGAACAAGTTCATCAAGTTCATGAGCGTATGGGAAAAAAGCATTGGGCCAAGAAAGCTACCAGATTTGGATGCGATTTAGCACGACTCGTCTAGTTCCTAGGTATCACCCCGCAGCCCACCAAGCTACTTTAGTCTTACCTGCATGGCCTACCTGCATCTCTTCCACAACACAACTACCAAGTTCACACCACCACTCTCACTTGTCTTCAAAACACAGCAGCTGTACTCTTAAACAAATAACTACTGCCAAAATGACGGACTCCAAACCCCTCGTCTTCTACGACATTTCCTCCCCTATACAGCCCCGCTCCTACGCACCCAACCCCTCCAAAGCCCGCCTCGCCTTAAGCTTCAAGGGGGTACCTTTCAAAACAACATGGGTCGATCTCCTCGACATCTCCACCGTCCGCAAGGGACTCAATTGTCCAGCCACACGTAAGCTAGACGATGGGTCCGACTACTACACCCTACCAATGCTACAAGACCCGTCCGCAGACAAGATCATCGGAGACAGTTTCGACATCGCCAACTACCTCGAAGACACGTTTTCCGGCTCCGGTGGCTGCTTGTTTCCTCGAGACTCCACCCACACTGGGCTTGACTACGAGAGTCCGAACAAAGACACCATGTTCTTCGCGCCCCTCACACTGAACGAGGGGGCCAAGAACGAGGCGTATGCAAAGTTCAACACCCACGTTGACGCCACGTTTTCTGCTCATGTGATGCTTGTGGCTCAATATATGCCCTTCAATCCTGAGACGGCGGATGCCGTGAAGGCGCAGATGTGCAAGCGTGCTCACTTGGATTCTTGGGACAGTATCTGCATTCAAGGCGAGGCTAAAGAGCAACTCAAAGTAGCGTTCAAGGCGGCGCTGAAGTCACTGGCGGATCTGTTCATGGTTCATAAAGAGGGTCCTTTCTTGGAGGGTGAAAAGGCAAACTACGCGGATCTGATAGTGGGTGGATGGCTGAACATGATGGCTTCTTGTATGCCCACCGAAGAATGGGATGATTTCAGGACGTGGCATGGAGGTGTTTTTGGAAGATTGCATGCTGTGTTGCAGGAGAAGTACTTTGTGTGCGTGTGATGAATCATCCTTGAGGAGAGATAGTTGTTACAGGATTCGGTGAGATCTGTAGTGCGAAGCGAGAGGGCAATAGAAAGGGCGAAGCGCAGCTGCTATGGCGGCGAAAAGCACATGAACAGGTCGAGTGGCTGAACGTTTTGTTTCCAATGTCACCGACCCAAGCATCCTACTCAAGAACAATATTCTCTCGCCAAAGATCCATCCTCAGAGCCTCGCCGTGCATTACTCCGTACACAAATGACTCTCCGACAAGGCGATAATAGCCATTGGGCATGGGGCGCAGCACAAAGGGAAGACCGCCACGATACAGCACCCAGACTTCGTCGCCTACCCGCAGCGATCTTGCTCCAGTGCCCATGAACCCTCTGCGTGTTTTGAACAGTCTTCGCTGTCGGCCTGCGCTTTGATCGATCTCGTGCTGTAGCTGCGCAAGCCCGATTGGCGAGTATGTGCCGTTGAACATACTCTCTACCACGGCAATTAAGCGCTTATGGTACGAGTCGAAGCTGTACGGCGAGTCCGGTGGTTCCAGCTCAAGGAGTCTGCGCCAATCCGGATATACAGACTCTGTTAATGGCGAATGGTGGGGTTGGAAATCGTCGGCGCTGGACCACGGAGTCAAGCGATGCCGGATCTGAAGGTTTAGAATATAGTCAATGAATAATTGACCGGTTTCTAAGGGAGCTGGATACGTGTGGTTGTAGATGTCGGTAGTCAACGTTCGCCACAGTACTTCGACACGCGATGGCGCCTTGCCAGTTGCACCAGGGTCGGGGTAGGGTAAGTCAAGTGCAAGAGCTAGGTTCACGATGCTTGCCCACACAGCTGGAGGGTCTTCCGATTCGTCGACAAGCAGCGAGGTCTGATCGATCTGATCTAAACGATGTCCTCGGACCGGGAGTAGCCCTCTTTTCATGTTTGCTACATCCGGACGCCAGGCGCGATTTCCGGCAGCATGCCAGTACGCGGGACCACGGTAACGAAGCGGGTAAGGTTGAAGCGGTACGCTCAAGTCGGGCACCCAGGATGGTAACCCTGATATCCGTCTTTGTGAGGCGTCTTCCACGTGTGACAACCACGAAAGGTTCTTGTAGGATGACATGAGTACCACTGTAGTTTGAGTGAAGACCTCTTGCACACTTAGATTGTAGTCCGGTGTAAGTGCGTTAGGCTCCGTACGAAATGGAGACATGTTCCTGTTGGCCAAGCCGAGAAAGGCATACACCTTGTCCCTGGGATCTGAAGACTCTGAAAAGCGGTGCTTGTCGAGCAGGTTCCGGAACGACGGTTGCTTGATCGCTTGACCGTTATCCTTGGTCAGTGACGATGCGAACAGCCGAGTATCATTGAGATATAGAGGGCTGATGCCGACAGCTAGCTTCGACTTGAGAATGTGCGTGTAGATGCCAGGATGGTTCCGTAGCTCTTTTACATGCTTCAATTTGTCTGCATGGAGATGATGATACCACCTCGTAAGCTTGACGAAAGAGAGCGTTTTGGATAGAATCTCCCAAGGAAAGACTTTGGTACCACAGACTACCAGAGCTGATTTGCCAAGTGCGATCTCTTGAACGACCTGATGATATCAGTCGTCGGCCGTGCATGTAGCTATTCGTTGCAAACTCACCCAAGCCCTCTTGAACCATGGGCGGTTGATGAGGACTATGAACCCTAGCCAGTTGTAGAAGGTGAGACCGGTAGAGGATACTAGCTGGCTCTCTCCGGAATTATAGAAGGATGTGTAAGGAACTAGCGGCCAGTATTTCTCAGGGATAGCTGCTACCCTCCGCATGGTGGTAAGAGCATCCAGCGTGTACTGGTCTTCTTTGCCGAGCCATACGACAACGCCATCGGCCTTCTTAAACACGTCCCCCATACGGGCAACCTGAGCATTTCTCTCCTCAATGTCTGCTTGATTCATGCACAAAAAGTCTATCCAGTAGTAGGTCGGTGTTTTAGGCATGTGTGGCATGTTGATGGCGTTGCTGAGCATTTGCAATGCATCTCGAAGGTTACTGGTGACCTTCAGAAGGCAGTCATCGCATATGATGGTGTGCTGGCGGGTTGAGTTCACTTCGTTGGTCGACGCAGGTCCTCGTCCTACTGCATTATGACTCGGTGTTCCTGTTGTTGAGCTATTTTGCGGACTACCCCATGTGTATGACAGAGCTTTGAAGGAGGGCGCATCTTCGAGCTCAGTCATCTTTAGCGAGCAACGAATGACACCGTTACTTGTCACTGGCAGGAGTTCCAACAGGCGTATACAAGTAGGCGAGGGCAAACGCTCATACTGGTAGCGTTTGCGGTTGCTGAACATAGGCAGCCGCGCATTTCGAGTGACGCGAGCATGGCGCACGAAGTTTCGCAGCCTCATGAGTGGATCGAGTAGCCTCAGGGCGCACAGGCGCGTCCTGCGTCATGTTGGATCATGACGCGCGGGGTCGCGATGTGGGGATTGGTGTACGTCATTGGCCAATTCGCGCTCAGTCAGCCAGCCTCGCTTGAGCGCGGCGTTGTCGGCAGGCCTAACCAGCAGGCACGGTGCATGCACATCATCCAAGTTTCAAAAAGTCTGGAGGCCTAATCGGATGTCAAACACATTAGTCATGGACACTATCGTTGGCTTGCGACTTTCCCGTGTAGTAGCAAATACATCAGCCTGTAGACGGCCGAACAGCAGTGATGGCATCATACAAACTGACTCCTATGCCGTCCCCCAGAAGGAATTCTTATGCCAATCCTGGGAGGTGTGAAGTCTTGGGGAGGCTAAGAACATCGGGGAATGCATAGACGAGGACGTATAGATGGTTTTTGTATTATTGCATGGGCATTCCGCTTCAGAATGTTCTTGTACGACCTCTGTTGTTTTACTGTCGCAGTCCAGACACGTCCGAGCAATCATCGTCAAAGACCGCGAAACAACTTTGCTGGAACGTCCTGTTGCTTGCTTGGCTAAAGCAGTCGTAGACGAAGGTCACGATTCCCGCCATGCAAGACACGCCATAGCGCCACAATCCTTGCCGGTTCACAGCCGGTACTATGATACCAAGAGCCTATATTTGACAATAACGGCACAAGGTGCGGTAATATTGCGCAAAGCATGCGACATGGTTGTCATCTACTCCAAGGGTTATAGAAACTCTATCTTGTGATTGTCCAAGAATAGGTCGCATGTGATCGAGGACGTTAGAAGGCGCCCGTGTTTGATGTTGAGAGGCATGAATTTCATCTCAGTTTACGTGGTGAGATTGCGCTACCAGATTGCGAATTGTTGGCATACTGGGATTGGTCATTGCAGTACTCTCGCAATAAGGTGTTGCGTCAATGTGACCGTCTGAGAGAAGCGCAGACTCTGTACGGAATCTGTTGGGTCTGATCTGTCGTGCTTCTATATCACTGGTCAGTCGCTACAAAGGCGGTTCAACGACCGGTGAGGTTGACTGCACCACATCGCATGTAGATATCGTTGGCGAAATGCATAGCTGTATGCTAGTAAAGGGCGCATGCAGCCAGGGCGATTACAATGAAGGTGGGAATGGCGGGAAACGAGGGATAGGATGCGACATCGATGATCAACACACATGATGACAAGGTTGATGGGCAATGCGCTAGTTGACGGGACACAACCGCGGTGCGAGGCTTGTCTGTATGGGCCCGATGCCGACGCCGACGGGTAGTGATCTTGACAGGCAGGTTACACTCGCACTAACGTCTCTAAAGAGTGCTTCATTTGTCCTCGTCCCTGTTCTGAAGGTACCAACGTGGCCTGATTCCGTCACACCCGCTGTCAGTAACATAGCTGTCAAGATGCTGTCCCTCATCGCTTCTGCGGATGCCCGTCGTGACAGGAAGTAACCCACGTTCTCGGAACGTCTGCCGTATGACCCTTGCAGTGAACACAAAGGAAAGGCTTGCTACAAGGCTCTATGCTACCGTGAGACACTAGTTGTCACTCGGGTGGGGAAAAACGCCTTTGTGTGACCGCGAAAATGTACGCATGCATGCTGTGTGCTAAGGCCCACAGTGGAGGGGTTTGGAATGCTGTGCTCGAATGAATCCCATCCACCGTTGGCGGTAGAAAATGCCGATGCGGAATGTCACATCGCCATTTCGTTGCTGAGCCAGGCTGGCTTTGCATGTAGTGTGTAGTGCATGCGATTATACATACAATCGCTCCTTACGAGGAGCGATTTCCGGAGCTCTAAACGAGGAACGTCCAGAAGCTTGGATAGACGAATTCATCTTCAAAGATGCGCCTGACCTGCTCCAGCACGAAAGATTCCACCTTCCCGACATTCTTCAGGACCTGTTTTCCGCTGCCCTGGCCACCTATCTCGCTTTCGACTTTGATGTTTTCCAGTAGACCTCCGATCTTGGGTCGTTGCACGGGCCGCGGGTTTTGGCCTTGTGAGTCTGTTTGAAGACCGTTGAAGCCGGTCTCGCCGCCGACCAGAGCATCTGCGTCATCTGGTGACAAGAAGCAGAAATGGGCCCGCTTCTTGATGTATGCCAATATCGCAACACCATCAAAGGTGAGTCCGGTGATGTTTAGCTTCAGAGGAATGCCAACAAAGCTTGGCATCGGGTAATCCAACAGAATTTCCGCTGTCAGAGACATCTTGATGTCACCGGAGTATTGCACATGTGTCACAACTTGGATATCATCAGGGCTCTTCTCACGCATGCGGTGAGGAGACGCAGATGGTGTCCGCGCATAGCTGTGCTGAGAAGTACCGTCGTCTGATCCGGCAAAGGAGGGCCTCTTTCCCTCGTCCTGTTGGTGCCTGGAGGAGGGCCTTGAACTTGGATCTGGGTGAGATTGCGGTGTGAGGGTTAGCGAATTCATGGATGCTGCGTTCCGCAGACGCATATTTGTTGGCGTAGTTGGCCGACCGTGAGGGTTCTCAAGCCAATTATGCAGTTGCGCACCAGCTACAGCAGCGAGAGGCGTAGTAGCGCCAGAGAGACCTGCACTCAAAGGTAGATGGAAGTAGTTCATATTGGACGTGCCACCAGGGATGCCTGGCGTTAGTGCTCCATGAAAGAATGGGCTGCCTAACTCGTTGGGAGCCAATGACGTGCGTTTCGTGGATGGCCGAGGAAGAGGTTGAAAAGGGCGTAATCTGTGCTGAATGGGAGTCTGTTCCTCCAAGTCTCCCTCTCGGCCTCGTTCCCTAGAATGGCTATCCTTTCGTGAACGACTGGGCGGATTGCTGGAGTCGCGTGACTTGGCGTCATGCTGCGTGTCGCCTTCCTCTAGCCCGTCCCCTTGTTCGTCTGGGTAGTCCTCATCATCCTCGTAAAAGTCTGGTAGTGGGTCGCATATGTCTTTAATCTCAATCTCCGGGGGTACGCTGCCGAAGTCGAATGAGTGCACGTGAACTGAGCGGATGAAGCGTGGCAGCGTCACCTGCTGGAACCGGTCGTGAATGAAGGCGCGTATTGTCTCAGCACGCGCGGAGCCTTCTGCACCGCCTGTGATGGTGTCCCAATTGATATCAATCGACATGGCTGGGGAGTGGAGGTTGGGGTTAACGACAGAACATTGAAACTCGCGGCTGCCGAGGCCGAATGAGGAAGCGACTACCGGGCCGAGCGCACAAACGACGCCGAGCCGTCGAACCACTCATCATCCTGACAACGAAGTCATCGCTTGCGCATCTCATTTCTTCACGAAACGTGCGGATGTGATGAGCTATTCGCGTCTGCATCAACACCCTGTCACTCCTCCGACCCCGAGCCAACTAGACTCAACACTTCCATAGCGAGACCCGCTGCCGGTGTTGTCTCAAGTTGGCACAGGATGCGACTACACCCGAGAGAAGTTCGTCTAATTGATGAAGCGAAAGGAGCCGCTTTGCGTCGCTGCACGTACTAGTACAAGCGCCTGGCTGCAGATCGACCATGTGATGTCTCGCGGAATCAAGAGCAAGGGATGGAGTGGTAGTCACAAGGGTCCGCACTGGTAGATGCAAAACACCTACCACAGGGGATTAAATTAGACTGAAGATGCCAATTCAAGAGGGCCACGGCGCTCTCGATTGTCCATACACCCAACAACACTAGCTTCAGCAGCGTGGCGAGAAAAGCCTGAGGGGGCCGGTGCACAGTCACACGCATGACAGAGGACGCTATTGCTGCGTCTATGTGGCTCAGTCTTCGGTTGAACCGTCAAGGTGGTCAGGCTGAATGCCTTCTAGAAGACGCGTTACCCGGTTGGCTGCAGATGACCAGTGCGGAGCTTGACGCATATCAGGTGCCAATATACAAGAGTCTCGGTTATTTGGCGATCGGGATACATGTTTGCACAGGCCGCGGCTTTGCAGTTGGTCACATGAGAGCATCGCACTTACTTGGACTTGCTTGATTGCAAGAGTCTTCAGGCAGCCATGGAGGCTGAGATAGATGTGGTCGCACGGCTGGGACAGACGCCTCTAAGCTTACGGCGTTGAACATGCCACGGCCCGTCCCTCAGCATGATCGGAGGAGTAATAAGACAGCCATATTTCGAGCATCATACGACGACGACGCTCTTGTTCCCAGGTTGAGACTTGTGCCCGGTGCGCATGCTAGCATGTGCTGCATGACAGAACTGGAGCTTGATTGAGGGCGTCCTATCAAGAGCTTAGGGCAGACGGTGCCTTGACCATGTCGTCTCGTTTACCTGGGTATTAGTGCAGGGCTGATATACAAGGGAGTCAGACCCAATATACAGAGCAAACAAGCGGCTCGCTTGATTGGCGCAACTCGCCGACGTGGCTCGACAGCTACACGAAATGTGATTGATGGCATCGCGGAGGCCGTAAGCCAGGGCGATTGGCGAAAAACGGCATTGCATGCGTTCCTCATGCGTGATACTGTACCGCAGATCAGCGCAGATTGATTGGGCCGCGACGGTCTCGAGATCCGCGGAGGCGGCGCAATAGAAGAATGGGCTCAACAGATGAATTATAGCAATCCTAGAGAGGATGAGGTGCCCGTCTCGGGTACCTAGGGTTTGATTGACTTGCTCGTATACCGGCCGTTTCCACTCACGCCAACGTCGCGGAGCGCCAGAGACTGCAGACATAAATATAGTGATAACAATGACAAGATAAGAAGAGAGAACCAGTGTGGTTCGCCGTTGGCGCATGGCGTGACGAGATTAGGAGAGCGTGGTATCCATGTAGTAAGAAAGCTGCCGAGTGGCACGAGTAAGAAAATGTCTCGCAACACCAGCCTGTATCCAAAACGCCGGACTTGCAGTACCCACAGTCCAATTAAGAGACAATACCCAAAGGGGACCAATACTTTTTTGAAATCCGTGACGCCGTGAAATGCAGTCCTGGGGCTAGAGCCTCAATGGGGAGCTAGCTGTGTATCGGGGCCAGAGAGTCGCGCGACGGGGAGCTAGGAGGGAGGAGGTGCTTGGAACGCGAGTGCGAAGGCGGGCTCGGTGCGTGCGACTGGCTGGCCATGATGGGGTATCGTGCGAACAACTTGACGGGAGTATACTATACGGCGAGGGGGGTTAGACACGTGTGACGCGTAGGGTTTGGGGAGGGTCGGACGCACCTGTCTCAATGGTCGCATCTATCACACTTCTCGTCATGCTTGACGGTCTTGGTGTTGCAGACGCCGCAAGGAGCTGTTCTCGACGTCGCGCATGGCGCCTTCTCAGCAATCTCGTGGCCGCAGCCATATTTGTGTACGACCTTGGTGCACATGTTGGCGGGGATCGGCGAATGGGGAAGGCGCGGTCGTACGGCGGGGGTAGCGCCTGCTGCAGCGGCGTGGGAGACGAGGAAGGCGGGGTGGCAGCTTGGGCGCGCTGATTGGCTGGCGGACAGGAGCTCTTTCTTCTTGCAGATGAGGGCGAGACTGCCGTGCGGAGCGCAGCTCGACGGGCTCGCGGGGAAGCAGAGGAGAAGACGGAGTTGAAGTAGGAAGAAGAAAAGCAGGCCAAAAAAAACAAGCGTGACGCGGAGAAGATAGGCGGCCGGCGGAGGTATCAAAGCTTGTTGGCGGGCGTGGGATGGTGCTGGACTGGTCGGGGAGCAGAGCAGAAGAGCAGCAGCAGGGTAGGTCTACTTGGTCGGGCGGGTGAGGAATTGGTCGGAGCGTCCAAAGGGGATGCAGCGGGCAGCGTGGAGAGTTTTATAACTTCGACATGGCAGCGAGCCAGTCTGACGGTACGCTCCAGTGCTCTTAGATTACCTTCGCTCCCGTTTGCAACAAGACGCGACAGTCTTGTACAGCCGTTGGCTCCGTGCGGAAAGGCAAGCACATACATACGCGGAGCTACTAGCCTTGACGCCTAGCTGCAGCCAGCAAGCCAGCATCGCATCAGCCAGGGTGATCCCGCCTCCTTGTCCAGCGCCAGTGCTGTGACCAACACGCCGTGAATGGCCCAATCGCCGTGCCTGGACACCCGACGACCGTTGCTCCTCGTCCTTCACCTGCCCAGGGTCTGCACACTTGCGGAGTCAACCCGGCACTTTGCTAGGAAACACCCGCTGCGCCAGCTCCGATGCTCGTCCATTTCCATTCATCTGCGCGCGAGGTACTTGGATACAACGCAAACAGGGCAGCAGATTCCTTGGGGTGGTCGGAGGAGGGCCCCGTGCATCAGACCATACAGGGCTGACTCTCGTCTGCATCTTACTCGTACGGTACAACATGTGCTGTTGATGGACGTTGACCTCCACTACTGCAACACTCCGTCCGTTACAAGGTTAGTTGCAACATTATGCCACACGGATAGCCGCATGCTCGCCCGTGACGCCAATGGTGGATATCGCCAACTGACCTCAGTCGCATTGTCGGCGGCCAGCGTCCGAGTCTGTCTGCGCGTCCTGACTCACGCCTCGACTCAAGCAGATGTGGTCGTCGACCAAATAAACGCACCCTGGTCTCTGTCGCGACCGCACATCGCTGGCACATGGCACCCTTGACTGCAATTCGATATGATGAAAACACGCCCAGGGCTCTACAGTCCTCGTCATGCGCTGTCGATTCCAGCGCGACGGACACCACGGGTGGAACATTGGAGGCAATAATAAGGGCCGTCCTTGCATAACATCAACGCAACTCAACGACAGCTACCTTAGGGCGAGGTCAAGTGAAGCGTCTGCTGTCGAGTCTAGTTGCTCTGTGGGCCGAATTTGGACGCAAACTTTAGCGTAGTGATTGCGACCTACGGCCATGATTCGAGACGAGATGGAAACGTCCTCACCTCAGTCGCCTACCCAATTTAGAACCCTGGCACCAAACGAACTGCGGATTGCAAACATCTAGCCGACAGCACGCCCGTCAAATGAGCCACCACGTCAGCGCCGGTATGAAGGGGATAGTGGTTGAGCCGGCTTGCGCAGCTCGCCCGTCGCTCACCAGATGTGATGACTGTCCGTCTCCACATCCCGACAACAGTACAAGCAGTCACCTGGGCGCAAAACCATCCTACACGAATGGACACGTCCCCTTACGGACCGCGATCGAGATACAGGCGCTACTCGGCGCATGCTGTGTAGCCTCTCAGAAGGAAAAAGTGTTGCACAAGCAGTGTCCAACGGGCAGCAGGGGTAGTTTTGCACGCTTCGCCTGTCGCGGACTAGCGTCACGGCCCGCTCTTACCTGATCGACTTGTGCGACCTGGAGCTCCACAAGTGCAGATGCGCCGTCGGTGATCAAAAAGCAACGCGGACTGTTTCGTTTTGCGAGACGCAGGAATCAAGTCCGCGCGACTGCAGAGCTGACGCGCAGAAGCAACCTACGTCTTTCTACCTGCAACATTCCTGTAAAGTCTGTTGCCCCCGCCTTGGAGCTATCGCCCACTTGGGCCAGGGTTGTGTTTCGGTAGATCCATCCACGTTTGAGGCACGGAGGCTCGCGGCTGTAAGATTAAGATGTGACTCGTTTTCCCCTTTGCGTGTGGCTTGTCCCACGGCTCCACGCATCACAGCGGCCTCAAGTCACCTGCTCCGGCTGTTGCTCGGCAGTCTGCCACGCTCGAGAGCTGATCAACGATCAGCATCGTCCGCAGATCAGTGCAGTACAAGGTGGAGATTACGAGAAGAGCCACACCAGTGCCTATGCGAGTGCCGGCCGATTCACGCACAATTCTCAAAGGATCACTTGCGACTCAGCGCTGTTCAGGTCAGCCTGGCGGTAATCTCCAGGATGCGCATCTCGGTTGCGCTTACCACACGCGAAGGCACTAGCTCAGGCCGCGCTATACCACAGTGCGCTTGTGACAGCGGCCCTATCCTTACATTCTTCCGCTGACCACAAAACCGTTGACAGCTCCTCTCGCTAGCATTCCTATCAGGATGGCAATTGCTAAGAGGCACAGCATGCCCCACTCCACCTGTACATATATCATGGCAGTCGCCATGACTAGCACCAAAACCATGCATCAACCTCGGCGTACGCCTGATCAGCGACTATGAGTACCGGGGCTGCCCCGCCTCATGACGGACAGGGTGTCTCGTCTACTCTCGGCACCATTGCAGCTACCCGGTTCTCGTCGACGACATCATATACAATCTTGCATGTTGTTGGGGTTGTTCCCTTGTCAGCTCATCTACCGGAAGGCCTGCATTCGCAATAAAAAGCTTGCTGGCATGGGATGAGAAAGAATATAGTTGCACATGCAGCTAGGATGCAGCTCCACAGGAGATGCGTCCATGGACAGCGGTAGTTACCGGAACCCAGCTCCAGAGCGCATTGCAGCCTCACATAGCCGTACAAGCTCCGCATAAATGCTGCGCATCTATATCCGTACTGGAAAGCATTGGACACTGAAACCGATAAAGCTTGTGGGGTTAGTAGCAGATCGTCAATACTTGGGAAAGCGGCCAAACGGGCGTTTTGCGCACCCTTTTCAGGCAACGACAAGATGAACGACATAAGGGTTGTACCGAAACTGCTTGCCTTAGCACAAGTCAACGGCTAGCTCACTGATATAATAAGATATAATTCGAATGCTCGCATTTATATCACTTCTTTTAAGCGAATGCGAGGCTTGAGCTACTAACGTACCGGTGCCATTGCCAAAATGCCGACGAAAGTTTTTCCGCCGTTTGACAACTGTGATTTCCGGAAGCCGCGGAGGCATTCGGTATAGATGCAAGGTACAATTGATACGCACAATGCCTGACGATCATCAGGCAAAGCGACCGAGCAGGCAATGCCAACTATTGCAAAACGTACTCATGGTTCATTGGCGGAAGGGTTGTCCGGGACTTCACGGCTCATGTCGGATGCAGGATACGACCAGACCATTTGCTGCCACTAATTTGCGAAACACCATCGGCAAATAATACAGATCAGCGTCGATTCATCGTGACTTTGGAGATAAGCCAGTCGCATTTACACACTGCGCAAAATAGGCTAGTAGGTGAATTTGTGAAGCGCGCTATCGACGCTTCGTAAACCAGTGGCCTACTGTGCGAAAAAGTAACCCCGGCATTAGCGTAGAGCGGCCTCCTCAAGTTGCATGAAGCTGTGAAGCGAGCATTGATCCATGAAAAGTTCCGGACGTTATGGGTGGCTATAGAGGCGTAGTCATCCGGCTTTTGCGGTTCGCCAAGAGCAGGTCACGCGGCGGATGTGCGTTTCGCACGCAACCCAACGGTCATCGTAGTGTCCGGCGTCAATGGATTAGTTGTTAGCTCTAGGAAAGTTTGTCGGGGAAGATGCGATAGGGTTTAGAAGCGAACGCGAAGGCAACGCGAAAGCTTATGTCACGGTCCAGGCGTAGCCCAACGAAGCCTGACAACTCGTCTTCGTCGCCCTGAATATCTTGAACCATTTTCTTGCGACTCTATCCCTTTGCGTCTGAAGCTCTCCCTGGCCGGAACATCGTGATGATCTTTCCTGGCAACTGGCAGCCGGTGGGGACGGTGCGGGGCATCCACGCGTGGGCCTCTTTAACGGTTTTCCATCATTGACGTCACAGCAGAATGTTTCCGAGTAGCGGCACTTTTCATACTCGCGAACGTCTCGGTCTCGATTCGCTAGGAAGAAGATGTAGTGGCGAGAACAAAGATGGGCTTCGGGAAAGGCCAATTCCTAGCATGCGATTCTCGAATGGCACCTGGGCAGGGACTAGCTGCCGGGTACATGGCAAAGTTGAGTCTCGCGTGGCACATCGGCGTCGCTCGGCAGTCGATACGGACGTTCAAATCACGATGATCGAACATCGTCTTCTTTGCTATTGGCTGGACTCCACAGACTCCACTTCCAAGCGCGTCGCAAACACGCAGTCGCTGTCCTGATGGAGCTGTACGGTAGAGATATTAGGCAACTCCAAGCCGAACTGCAGCGAATACACGTCGCTATGACGTCGCAAAGTAAACAGAGTCCCGGCAGTACAAAGACGGGCGCACCGCGCGCAGCAAACGGTCAGCATACCGATTGACATCGCCAATCGACTCAACCTTTGCACACTCGACAAGATGGCATCCGAAATCATAGGCAACATGGCAGAGAAGGCCAAGGGCCTCACTGGTGAGAAGACTGGCAAAATGGCCCAGCTCGCAGCCGTCACCAAGGATGTACACGATGACAAGTGGCGCATCACCAGCGACTACGGTGTCAAGCAGAATAACACCGACGACTGGCTGAAGGTGGCGACCGATGACCAGACCGGTCCCTCTCTTCTAGAGGACCACTTCGCTCGTGAGAAGGTATGTAGACCAGACCCCGCCACCAAGGCCGAGTAGTAACAGTGTCAGATCCACCGCTTCGACCACGAGCGCATTCCTGAGCGTGTTGTCCATGCCCGTGGTTCCGGTGCCTTTGGAAAATTTACCCTCTTCGAGTCGGCCGAAGATGTCACTTCAGCTGGCGTCCTCACTGACACATCGCGCGAGACCCCCGTCTTCCTACGATTCTCGACTGTACTGGGTAGCCGTGGTTCCGCAGACACCGTGCGTGATGTCCGCGGTTTCGCCGTAAAGTTCTACACAGAGGAGGGCAACTGGGACATTGTTGGCAACAACATTCCCGTCTTCTTCATCCAAGACTCCATGAAGTTCCCCGATGTCATTCACGCGGGCAAGCCCGAACCTGACTGCGAGGTCCCTCAAGCACAATCCGCACACAACAACTTCTGGGATTTCCAGTACATGCACCCAGAGGCAACGCACATGTTCATGTGGGCAATGTCCGACCGCACCATCCCCCGCTCTTACCGCATGATGCAAGGTTTCGGTGTCAACACCTACACACTCGTCAACGCCAAGGGCGAGAGGAGCTTTGTCAAGTTCCACTTCACACCCGAGCTCGGTGTACACAGCTTTGTGTGGGATGAGGCTCTCAAGATCGCCGGTCAAGACCCTGACTTCCACCGCAAGGACCTGTGGATGGCCATTGAGAGCGGTGCCTACCCCAAGTGGAAGTTTGGTATCCAGGTTCTCCCAGAGTCTCGCGAGCACGACTTTGACTTTGACATTCTCGACGCTACCAAGGTCTGGCCTGAGGAGCTTGTGCCTATCCGATACATTGGTCAGCTCGAGCTGAACCAGAACCCCGACGAGTTCTTCACCCAAACTGAGCAGGTAGCCTTCTGCACAAGCCACATCGTCCCTGGCATTGGTTTCAGTAATGACCCTCTTCTGCAAGGACGCAACTTTTCCTACCAGGATACCCAGCTCTCTCGCCTGGGCATCAACTGGGAAGAGTTGCCAATCAACAAGCCTGTCTGCCCTGTCATGAACTTCAACCGTGATGGTGCCAT